GAAAAAATTCACTGCCACCCTCCGCCCTCTTCAATTTGTACTTTTTTGATAAATGCAAATCTTCGTATTTCCCTTCTGATTTGATTCATATTCCGCTGCTCCCGGCCCAGATATGCTTATTGCAAATAGCTCTTTTGATGAAATGGTAAGGCCACATTTTGATAGAGTACAAAAATAAACTGAAATTTCTTTGGTCTTTTCAAGTGTAAGGAGATGGTACGCTCTCTGGCATTCCAATTAGTTACTCGAAAAAAGGGACCCGCAGTAACACCGATTCTGAAGGGGGCTGCTTTCAGACGTACTCGAGTCTCCATAGTGGTCTTTTCACTTTGGTCCGCCACTTGTGTTCTGTTCCGAATCGTGAAGAGGATCCTTCCAGAAACTCAAACCACACTATATTTCAGTTTTTGAACGTATTTCTAACGATTGATCATCTGTTGGTTTCAAAAAATATTTGCTCAAATTCTGAGTTCACTCTCACTATTACTGGATCTAGTTTTTTGATATCCTGGAATCAAAGTTCATTTCCTAGAAGAAATCTTTTCATCTTTTTATACTTCACTTTGTGATGTCAAATCCATAATTCATCAAGAACACGTGGAGTGCACTTTCAACCCTTTGTATTCTTTGACATTGAACTAGTGGAAGTGGGTGAAATTCTAGTAGTATGCATTGAAAATCAGCGACAAATTGTCCTCATTTCTCACACGATCGCACGTGTTTACTTGTCCCATGCGTAAGTGAGCGAGAGTGCCGCCCGAAAGTGACGAATATTCCGATTAGAAAGAAAGAACAAGATGGCAAGATGACAATCCTGACGTGTTATACTGACATTCGTGCACATGTGCCTCAAAAAACGAAGTACGCCGACTATCAGGCGACTACCCGACCCTTAGATTTGGCTAATTGTCGCCTTTTGCGTATCACTGTGTCGCGAACGAAGCCAATCACGGTCCATCGGAAGACGTTGACGAAAGGGAAGAGAGAGAAAGAGTCCCGCTGTGGCATTTTCCCATTTCATATGTCTTGTCTCTCGAACTTTTCGCCAAACAAAAATTGACGACCGAGAGCGCAAAGATTATTCGGTTGCTGTCTGTACCGTCACTCTCGGATCACACATGTTGAACGAGACGTATTCGAAGGTAAATTATATCATAAATCCTAACCGGAAATATTAGTGCACATCTTGAAAAAGAGTAGAAAAGTGATGTTCCCATCCGATGGAGATCACGTAGTATGAACAAGTTTCGTGAGATTCATGAAGTTCAAAAAGTTAAAGAATAATTTGCCTCCCACAGAAATCACACATCATTCAAAACATGTTATGGAAATTAAATGACAATCAAGGAGACCTCTTAAAATAATGTTTCCTCTTCCGGGATAAATAGATTACTAGTTAATAAAATTCAAAGTTCTAACTCTCGAACTTTTGTTTTCAATCATGTTGTTTTTCCGAGAAGCTTGATTGGGGAAAAATGAACTTGGCGCCTCCGGTTTATTTCTCGTTTTGTGCTTTTCCATTTCATTCCTGAAAAAGGGCGGGAGACAACACCAAAAGTCGCTCGTTTATCCATCTAAACATTAAAAAAGTTTTCAATCCGATCAAACATCTCGGGGATATCCTTATCTCGCTCTAAAAACGTCTTCGGTGACTCAATGTCAGTGACATTGCCAAATCAGGAGGCTTCCCGCCAATTCTCGCGGATCCCACCTTGTCTCGAATTATTTTCTGCTATTTCTCACGTATCCGTCTACCTATTCACCCTCGAAATCTTTTCCGGCATAAAATTTTCCGATCCTTAATTATTCTCCTACGTAGCGTCGATGATTCTTCAGATTTCTTCCCCTTGACTCTTTTTTTTTCACGAAACCAAGTAAGCAAGCGGAGAAAATAAGCAGAACGTCTCTGATTAATTCTGCGACTTTCGGTTGAATATGAGCCGTGAAAAACGACAAAAAACAGTTTTGGATGAGATTTTTGTGGCCGCCAGCGCATGTGCCTCATCGGAGATCATCCATGTCTGCTTCTCAAACTGATTATCTTGTCTACTGGTCTCTCGGATCCATGATCTGAATCTAATGCAGCTTTGCTCAGTTATAGAAGGTGTATTCTTGCAACCGTTGGAAATGTGCAAAAACGTGTATATACGTGCATTCAATTTTCAAGTCGAAGGTCCCATAAAACCGCACGTCATCGAAACCAAATGGAAAAGATGGGCGCCGAGAAGGAGAGGCTTTCTAATTTGGCATCTTCCTTGTTTTTCGGGGACTCCTTCCCTCTTCCAACTTATTCCTCCCTTCTCTTCATATGTAGTCAGATATACCCGCCACGTCGCCGACTGACTCATTCAGAAGAAGCAATTCAGGCGCGTCTGATTTTTAGCGCGTCTTTCTTCTTCTCTCTCCCTCCCTCCCTATCTCTCACTTGATTCCATTCATTAGTTGCACAAGACGTTCGTGTATCTTCTCCGAATTATAAAGCCAAAACAAACCGAGTCATTTCATTTTTCTGACCCGAAACTTTTAAAAGTGTGGACCTGCCTGCTTTCCTTTTCTTTTCTTGTCTCTAAGCGTACTAGGAGACGGCGTACCGACTCGTGAAAATATCATTTTTCAAAAATGAATGGAATGACGTGCACAAAGGATGTGCCATAATTAAAGAAATATCCCATTAGCCAAAAAAAAAATAACCATCAGGAGATTCCTCGTTTTGTTCTTCGCTCTTTCCCACTGTTCATGATTCACTTCTTGTGAATGTGGACCTAGAAGTCATAGGCTTCCGAAAATTCAAGAACAACAGAATTATTCTCACGACTAGTTGCAGAAATATTTGCGGTGTGATTCACTGAGATGAACAACCCGTACCGGAAATTTGTGTAGAGGTGTGCACACCTTGTTGAATGCTCCGTAATTGCTCTAGCTCTGAAAGTGAAGCAAAATTTCAATTCAGCCGCCTTTTTCATGTGCCTACAGTAGTTTATATTTGAGTGCGATTCGCTCCACGTCTTCTGATGTCATTGTTGTACTTGAAGCGCATAGTTTGAACGAGTTTCGAAGCAGAAAAACATGCATACCACACGAAACTTTTTCTGTTTTCGTTCCTCATCTTAATTGAGAAATACGTTGGCTGGTCCTTCTCTGCTGGCATGTCACTTTGATAGATTGCATTTATCATTTTTCCATCAAGAATTCAACGATTTTTTGATTTATATATCGAGTAGGTAGGGGATGGAATTCCTAATTCACCCTCTCTTCAGGACCGCTGAAAAAAACACGAATTTTTCGTTTTTGAGGAATGCTGCTGGGGAGCCGTTTGGTTCCGCCTTCATTTCCATCTTTTTATCTGACACCCATATCATTTCTTGCCTTAAAACTCGTCAAACAAAGAGAACGTGTGGTGCTGTGTTTCAATCACTCTCTTGGGACCAGTTCGACGGCCAAAAGACAAAAGACTTATGATAAATGGTGCGGGAAGAACACGTTTTTACACTTTTTTTAGAAATGAGACGCACTGATCCTGCAGCTGCCTTTTCATGCAAGATTCAATAGTTCCAAGTGCATTCCGTGGACTTTGAAAAAGTGAATAATATAAGCAGATCAACCCATTCATCCTCGGGTTCACTCCGTGCCTCCTCCGTCTTCTTTTGACCGCAAATAGAAGAGTGCTTTCTTCTCGTCTCGACACTTTTTTCTTTCCGCTTTCTGAAGGAAGGTCCAAAGAAGAGAGATATCATCTTTTGTTACAAGACCTCGTATGTTTCTCCTTGAAATCTGACACTCATTTTCTGCTCATTGGCACACAATTCAAACAACAGGTAACCAGGCGGATCCGTGCCAAGTGGGCATCATCACATCATCGTAACCTTCTATTTATTCCAGACTTGTTTCTCTTCTTCTCTCCCTCCATGTATTTCATTTCATTAGTCAAGAAACTCTCTCGTATGCATCTTGTTTCTCCTCACATGCCTCTTCGTGTCGTCCTAATGATCTGTGAAATCACGTCACAATATCAAATATGTGCAGCTTCAATGCTCTGTTTGTCCATTCCGAGTTGTGGTCGGGACGCGGCGACTATCCTCACAAATTTTCGATATTTTTCGATGGTTCATGCGAATGTCTACGCCGAGAGTTGCTGTAAAGGCAAACAAAGCAAAAAAAAACACATTCCGGATGAAATTGGAATTCTTCCAGAGCTGAAAAGAGCATGACCCGGAATGACTCATATTGGGCCTCGGGCCGTGAGCCTGAAGGAGAGGAATGAATCTTTTGCTTTTTCCCACGATAGCAAAGTAGAATGACGAGGATACTCCTTATTCCAGATTTCTCATGTGTTTTGTTTCCTCAAATAAGTCAGGTTACTAATGGCATAAACTCTACCACTGCCGATCCGGTTGAGCCGTATGTAATCCAGTGATGAGCGTACGCACTGCCATCCGTCATAATTTCCTTGAAGTTACTCTAACTGTCATCGTCACACTGATCAGCGCTACATAAGGGGTTTAGTGTCGTGTCATGGCACAGGTATTTTCGAAGAGAGTTGGATCTTTGTCCTTCTGAGGAAAGATTTCTTGCTAATCGCGATTCTCTATGCGACGCTTCTCACTTTTTAATTGCTTCATTCGCCCTCCTTTTTCTGAGCTCTCTCAATCTGTTTTCCCTGTTTTGACCTCTCTATGTGCTTTGATCCTGATCCTATTCCCCTTCCCAACATTCCCTTTCTTTCTTTCTTTCTTAGTGAACCGCTTTTCCAGTCGGGTTTTGTTTTGGCTCTGAACCCATTGCTAGTCATGAAATTTTAAAAAATTAAAACAATTTGTCTCGATCTCGATCTCATCTTTCCTATTTTTATAGTAGTAGCGCGTAAAACCTGCCAACAACAGACATTTCGAATTGCGTAAAAGAAGTGATGTGCAGTTGCAATTCACAATTAGAAAGAAAAAAGCAAAACGGAAAACTGCTTCCGTTTCCTGGTGCAAAATGTTTTTGTTTTCCAGCATGCGATGAGCGACTCTTCGCAACACCTTCGTCTTGCGCTGACGGTCACGCACCTTCTGCTCGTCGCCTTGGGGTCCGTCAACCTTATAGTCATCCTTTTAATTATCACAAGACCGTGAGTAACACCATCAATGAAGCTTCTGTATCAATTTTTTGCAGATACCTCCGATCTATCACAAATGTCTATATGATCGGGTTATGTCTAGCCGACTTCATTTATTTGGCCGATCTGATACTAGTCGCAGCCACGTCACTTAACGGCAAGAGCTGGCCGTTCGGACCAACAATTTGTCATCTCTTTCACGGCACGGAGGCGACTGGTAATTGAAGATTCGCACAAAGAGATACGCATTCGAAACTCGATTTTCTTTCAGGGAAGTACGCATCCGTACTTTTCGTCGTTCTTCTTGCCGCCGATCGTTACATCGCAATGTGCAAAAGCGATTTGTGTGGGAGATATAGGTTAGTGAATCGGGAAAATAATTGAATGAAACACAAATTGACGTTAAGAACTTATCGTACGGCAATCTTTCTGAGCGGCCTTGCCTGGATTGCCGCATTAATTTGCAGTCTCCCGTTGTACGTGTATGCTGATGAGGTAACAAAAAAGGGAATGAACACGTGAAAAATGCAATTTGATTCAGATCAAAGTCCGTATGCGTCCAAAGAATGGAACCGACGCCATAGAAAACAATCACACATTGTGTATTGCTCATTGGCCGAGTCCGCCACATGCACAGTGGTACGTGCTTTGTCTCAGACGTTTTCCTCATTTCCCATGCCGTAACTTCCTCTTCTGAGCAGAAAGAGATCCGAAAACTTAGAAATTCTGAATATATTGTTTTGCACACCGCGTCTCTTTCAGGTACATCTCGGTGTGCTCAGTTATGATTTTCATACTTCCGGGACTTGTTATCTTCTATTGTTACTATCACGTGTTCTGCAAGTTGCGGGAAGCGGCAAAAGGGTCTAGACGTCTACATCGCAATAAAAGCTCGCGATCTTCGTATCAACGAGTCACCCGAAGTGTTCAAAGGGTCGTATTGTTTCACTTGCTCTGTTGGTAAGTACCTCACTACCCGGATGTTCGCATGAAAAGATTATTACAGGTCACCATTCTGGCTGTTCAATCTGTTCTCAGCCATCTTCCGGGTTCGAATCACAACTCAACTCATGCGAATCGTTGTCAACATTATCCATCTCTTCCCATACGTGAACTGTGCTCTCAACCCAGTTCTGTATGCTTACCGCGCCGAAAACTTCCGGACTGCGTTCAAATCTCTTTTGTTTTGGAGTCGACGGTCAGTTTCTAGCACATTGTGAGTGTTTTACACTGTCGTTTTTCAATAAAATTGAAAAATACTCTGAAAAGTACACTTTTCAAAAAACACGAGTGTAGAGCAATTACAAGAACGTATACGTGGGTTCTTTCAAGCTTTTCTCTTGACAAATAATTAGGAGTGTGTCGAGTCTAATCAAACTTGTGTTGTGTAGGCGTTTTATAATTGAGTCGAAAGATGAATAATTTCAGAAACCGACCACTCCCCTTGCCGGAAGATATTCGAAGCACTTCCGCCAGCACGTACTATCGAAACAGCAGCAAGTAAGAAAAAGAGAGAAAGTACACTTGACAATTTGTTTTTTGTAGTTTGGACGGTCTGAAATCTCAATTGCCAATCAAGTCACCATTGGACACCCCTTCTGTGTACCAGCCGGAAGAAGAGAGTCCGGTTGATTCCTCGGAAAAGATGGAAATGGAGAGGTAGTTTGAAATACTGAAAAATATCGCTAATCAGCTGAATTTCAGGAAACGAGCTGAACTGCAAGCCTGGAGACCTTACGACGGCACAAATTGTGAGGTACTGGAGGTGCAGTACGATCATCACAAATGCTCTGCACGGAGTATCCTCCTTCCCGCAGTCACCATCGACGAAGGAACTAAATTGTGATTTTGAACCTGAAGAATAACGTAGGAACGCGTCGCATTGCCATTTTCGGGTCTCCGCTTTTCCCCGTTGAGAAAATTGTACTCTTATCTGCCCAGTGTCGTCTTCTTTCAACATGCAATAAATGTAATTTATTAATTTCACACGAAAATAATCGAATCTCGTGAGGAGGTACATACAAGGAAGAAAGCGATATTGAAGAGAAAGTAGTGATTCACATCCGATCCGGAAGTTCGGAAACGCCCGAATTTATATAACAAGGTTAGAGCTTGCAACACAACGAGTTTGGCGAGGCAGAATCCTGCAATTAGATAGAATAATGCATGTCGCTTTTGCCCTTTGCACATCGAACAAATGCGACAACGTTTTTCGGAGGGATTAAAGGATAGTTCGAAGGGCTCACCTTTGTGAAGTCAGTTGCGCTTGGATTGCAAGTGTAACCAGCTGGGCAACCATCATCCCCATCAGATGGGTCACAAAGAACGGGAATTCCAGAATACGTCAGACCTCCAGGGCATTCTGGAACACAATTGTTTTTCAGTCAGTTAAACACAGTTTTTCCAGTATTTTGTCTTACTTGGTGCAGTGGTTCCTGCTTTAGGTTTACAGCACACATGACTTCCCGACTTTACATCCATCACACACGGAGAACCTCCACAGTCAGAATCGGAGGAACATCCTCCAGACGGTTCAAGAAAAGCGAAATAGCAATCAGCATCTGAAGTTGTCCCATTTCAGATGGAATTTTTAAAGTCTCAATTAGACTCACATGATTTTGCAATAAAAGCGAATAAGAGGAGAGTTGTGAATGATCTGATGCCAGTCATGGTGGTCGTTTGCCATTTCCAACTTGCCATCGCACCATTTTATACAGATTCTATTTGCGCAGGCCACGAACATTCACGGGGAGCACAAAAAACCTGGACACTTTTTTCAACGCTTTGTGGATTCATCTTCCATTTTGTTTACTCACGTGTATCAAATCTGACTTTTTGCTGTTATTGCGTGTTCTTTATTTGTTGACCTTCTCGCTCTCCGGAATAAGAACGAATTCAAAGGGGGTGAGGTAAGAATAGATGTTTGGGACTGCACAGGCAAACCGGCGCGGGTGAAATGAGGGCGAGGCGTGGGCAAACGGACGGAGGGGCCGAAATCAGACCATTGTTTGGACCACATTCAATTTGTAGTCATTCGCAGATAAACGGACAACCGGCGAAGATGAAGTGCGGGTGAAATGCGGGCGAACTGGGAAAAATGAGCGCGAGGACGAAAAAAACCCAAAACTGGTCCGCAATTCGGGGTCTTTCCGTAACTTTTTTTTGACTACGGATCTCTTTTTTCGAATACGGCTCTCCGCTGCTTGATGGGTTCAATGTTATAGGATTGTAATTGTTGATTGTGTGGGACACTGAAAAACATCAGTCTTGTACATACCGTAAGCACTGCGTTAGAATGTCATGCCCTTCTATTTTTCAGAGTGTTCAAAATGAACATTTCGAATTTGTAAAATCGTGTGAAACGTTTTAATATCGACTCAAAACTGCTCTAGCTCACTTTGCGTTGCGGAAGAAAGAGATGGTTAAGAGTTTGACTTCTTGCATAGCAATAATGTCGGAGAGAGGAAGAGAGAGATGGTCAACTCGCGTCAACTCGCAACCGTCTCTCTCTCTCTCTCCTTTGGCTAGCATGGAATGCTTCCAAAGTGTTACCCATGTATCCGAGTGGTTATGGGGGCAAAAACTCGACCACCCTTAGCTAAAATTTTTCACCAAGCGAATTTTTGCCTAGTTGGGTCTTTCTGGATTTATGGCAATCTCTATCTCGTGGCAACACGAGAGCCCTATGCATGGCCTTTGCATCGTAGTAATCTATGCGGCGCTTGCCAACGCCAGATCACTCTGGTTTAATGTCGGGGCGCTAAATCACTGGCATACGACTTGGTCTCTTGGTCAAGGTGTTGTATTCAGTAGAGCAGTCTATACTGCGATCTGTTATACTGCGATCTGTTGAGACTATCCTTTAATTGAGTTTTTTGTTTTCATTTTCGCCAAAAAAATTGCATACGTTTGGGGTGCCTGAGCCCAAGATAAGTGACGACGCTTTTTTTAAATTTATTTGAATTTGAATCTATGTGACTTTCAAATAATACATAGATAAGACTAGCGAAGAGTTTGCTGTGCTTTTCTCCCATACATTTTTCTTGAATTTTTTGTTCACTTTTTTGTGTTGTCCATTTTCATGCGTGCTTCTTTCGGAGTTCGTGTGTCTGACTGTCATGTAGCTTCAGCTTAAAACTTTCTGCGAACGTCTTTAATTCTTTGAGTTCACACCCGAGTTCATCATTTGCAAAGGTTGTTGCTATCAGTTGCTGTTGCAATTTCTGTTGGTCTGTGGTTCCCCCCTTTACTCTTAGCTCTTTTTCACTCTCTCTTTTTCTTCACGCTCTTCCCGCGTGGCAACTCTTTTGCGTTCAGCATTTCTTTATGTGCCCACTCGGTTTACTCTCTCTTTCTTCCTCTCCTTCTTCTCTCTCCATCTTCTTCAACAAGCTATTCCTCGACGGGTTGTAAACGTAAACGTTTTCAGGTGATAAAAATTGAAATAGTTTTATTTGGAAAACCAATTGTTTGTGGTTAAGAAGAATGCAGTCGGCGCCTTGATAAAGACATAATTAATCGGCGACCCGAGTTGTAAGAAATACGGAAACACAGTTTAGAATTTTTATCGCTCCGCTGCAAAGGTTCTGTGAAACAAACAATCACTGGACAAAAGAGAGATTACACCCGTTTGGTTTGTCTACTTTCATCACTCATCAATGTTCAAAGTGTAATCGAAATTTTTTTGCATTTCCATTCAATGGTCACATGGGAAGTCAACGGAATCATCTTGTGAACCATCGATCTCTACGACAGTTTGGAGCATTGAGTATTGATCACAGGACAGAACACTAGAATCTAAAGTAGAAACGCTCAAAATCGTCTCCAGGGCCAAAAAAAGTGTGCATGTGCCATATCTCACGTATTCGCCTCTTTTCTCAGTCCCTATTTCTCTGCTCTTTTTTTGAGCACGCGGCCCTTTTCCTCCCAAATTTTTTGACATACTTCGCAGATCTGTTGAGGGCTGTGCTTTCTTCAGAGAGAGAAAAAGGATTATTCAATGAGAGTGCACTCTTGCCTCTCTTTTTTCTTTTTTGAAAAACATTTTTCTCCCTAAAAACGTTTCAAAACACGAGAAGCATTGCAATCCCGTCGAATTCTTCCTTTTTTGCTTGCTCTCTGCGTTGCCGTAGAAGGGCAAAAGCTTGTGAAATCGGATATCTCTTTTTCTCTTCTTTTTACTCTCTAACTCCCTCAAATCTCACTCAACTTTTTAGCCTTTGCAGATTAACCGTATTATCCAAAAGCTAATCAGCAGCACTCAACACTGATCTGCTGTCCGTTTAATCGTTGTTAAACTAGACTTTGCAAAAAAACCGGTCGGTCGGAAATGGCTGATAGGTGCAGCTTCTTATAGTAAGGTCACTCGGCTATTTATGACCATCACGGGATTTTCCCCCCTACTAAACAGTTCCCTTTACGTTTGTGCTGTGCGTGTGTGTGGGTGGTATGGATAATTTCCATTGAAACATTGTTTTTTCTCTACAGGGAACAGAACAGAATTGACGTCAATTCTATTTTGGTGTGTTTATCAGACCTCGTGTCTGTTTAGCCTCGTGACCCCCAAGTAACAGAAACTTATTCGCATTTTGTCCTTTACAAATGTGACTCAGCTGCTGTCTTCCTCCCTCTTTCTTTTTTAAATGCGTTTTCGCTCGTTTTCTGCAAGAAAGCACTAGTCTTCCATCAAAAAGTGTCAAAGGTTTCACAAAACTTTCACGGATATTTTAAACATTGATTGAAATCACCGGAAACACCCTTGTGATTTAGAGCAGTATCCACTTTTCTTCCTCACTGCGGATGAGCAAACAACGTCCATTGCGACTTCATGTGACCACAGTTTTCCGTGTTGATACAAATAGTTGGGTGAAGCGGCAAAGTACGGACACCTGGTGATCATTCTTTGCCCATTACCTTGACCCGGCAGGCTTGTGATGCGAAGCGGAGGAAAATTTTCGAATCTTCGAGAAGCACATGCTACTCCAATTTCTTCCTATTTATAACCTTTTTCACCATGCTTTTCGTGCCATCGCCCTAATACGTTATCAGTTTTTCTCACGTTTCTCCCCCTCCCTCTGTTTGCCGCCAGTTTTTGCACCGCCGTGGCCGGGCCGGCCACTTGTGATCAATCTCTCATCTTTCCAAAATAGTTTCGAGCGATCCGTCGCCGGCGGACCGTTCCGTTGTAAACGGCTGTGTAGTCTCTGGGCCTCCGGTTTGGCACAATCTATGAGCTAAAAAAAAGTGAAATGGGGCGAATGGAGGACAGCTGTCCGCAAAACAGCCTGTTGCCGAGGCAGGAGAGTGAGAGACCTTTCGCTGCTCACTGCAACCCACACACTTGCCGCCAGATCTTTTCTGTGAATTCGGATGGGATGCACGCAGGAGAGATTCCGACTCCCTCGCATCTCTTTGCATTTGTGCGCCCACCTATTCCTCCCATGATACAATCATGATGAAATCCTCGCCCGGTGCCACTTGTTCCAACGACCTTCCTGCTCGAATCTCATTGTTACTCAATTGTGTGACGTCAAACGGATTCTAGAACATTCTGCCGGTCCTCTGCCCGCGTTACAAGTTTTACTAGTGCTTCAACCAGCTGGTCATTTGTGCTGGTCGGGGCCATCAACAAAAGCTGACTCACCATGTACAGAATTGGAGAACCTCAAATGTTTTTGTATAACATCTCCGTTTTGTGTCCCTACATCATGTGCACTCAACCCCCTTCCCGCGGGTTTCCCCCGACACTCCTTGTGTCTCTTCAGCTGCCATTTCTCCGATTTGCAAACCGCCGTCTGTCGGCGTTCGACCAAGTAAATATATCACTTTTTCTTGTCGAGTTTTTGAGTTTTCTTCTCCTTTTCTCTCAGTTTCAAATCCGTGCGCAAACAGCAACTGATCACTTTTTTCGTGTCGCGCTGCTCTTTGAAACCTATCATTATCAGTGCCTTTTGATTCCAGAAACCAATTATGTCCGAGTCTTGGGTCACTCTCGCAACCAACGACAACTACGCTCAGGGAGCTCTTGTGCTTGTGCACTCGCTCAGAACCGCTGGAACCACCCGAAAGATTCACTGTCTTATCAGCAACCAGGTACCGCCGTAATTCGCACTGCATCATCTTTTGACCGTGGTTTTTTTTGCAGGTTTCCGCTCCAGTCCGCAAGCAACTTGAGGAACACTTTGACGATGTGTCCGTCGTCGACGTCTTCAACAGCAACGATTTGGACAATCTCCGTCTGATTGGCCGCCCGGACCTTGGAATCACCTTCACTAAGCTCCACTGCTGGCGTCTCACTCAGTACACCAAGTGCGTGTTCCTGGATGCCGACACATTGGTAAGCAGTTCAAGGGGGCATGCGTCATAACTTCGCATTCACAGGTGATTCGCAACGCTGACGAACTCTTCTCCCGTCCGGACTTCTCTGCCGCCGCCGATATCGGATGGCCAGACTCGTTCAACAGTGGAGTCTTTGTTTTCGTGCCAAATCATGAGACCTACAGTTTGTGTTCTTACATTGTCTGGGAAAGTAACAAATTGTTGTTTAGGACAACTCGTTGACTTTGCTGTTACGCACGGATCGTACGACGGAGGAGACCAGGGACTTCTCAACGACTTTTTCAACAACTGGAGAGATCTGCCGTCGGAGCACAGACTGCCGTTCATCTACAACATGACCGCCGGAGCCTTCTACACCTATGCTGCCGCTTACAAGAGGTAACTCGCTCAAATTCAGGCACTTTTCATCTCACATCCCCTTTAGATACGGAGAGAACACCAAGATTGTTCACTTCATCGGAAGCGTGAAGCCATGGCACGGAAGCGCCGCTGTCCACACCGGAGAGCACTTCCAGCAGTGGCAGAACATCTATCACGCTCATGTGACCCACACGGTTTGTAAATGAGTTCGGCATGGTTTGATGTTTCCATGAACTGCATGTTGTTTTTAATGAGTGTGTTGTTGCCCTCTTCCAGTCAAGAAACAAGGAACATTCAACCGTCTTCCCTTATCGCCATCACGTTTCTGAACATGCCCATCAGAGCCATTCGGCTGAAGAACCCAAGTTAGAGAGAAAGGAGTCAATTGTCAGGGAAATTGGGAATTTCGTGATGAATGTTGTTCAATCCTCCGTTAACCTTCTGCCCTCATTCGATAATGATAACCATAGCAGTGAACCTGAGAGGCAACATTCTCATCATCAATCGCCACCGCCGTATCATTATGTGGAGCCTCCTTATCAGCATGTTGAGCAGCATGAAGAAGTGCAAGCAGATACTGTCGGTAGTACAGATTGTTTTGGAAGTGAGCTCCCTGATTATGCAGCTGGTAACGAAGTCGAAGAAATTGTGAGTGTTTGTGAATGCGAATGATTATTTTGTAACAGGAATGCGAATAACTGTTTGAAAGAGAGTGACCTTTTCTTACAGACTAACAATATTCCATGTCCATCGTTCGTTCCCTCCGAGAGACGTGACGACCATCAGGTGAGCTCTTCCAATTGAAATTGAATTGCAGTTCTTATCGCACCCGTTTTTTTGACTTGAAAAATACATTTGTGAGTAAAATCCTAAAAGCATTTCAGTTCCGAATCTAAGAAGGTATACAGTGAAGTAAACTATTTATTCAGACCCCATCGCCATCGAAAGAAGAGCGCCGTGCGGCTTGGGAGGCCGGAGAGCCGGACTACTTGGGCCATGACGCGTTCGTCCATATCCAGGAGGCTCTGAACAGAGCACTCAATGAGTAATCTGGGGTTACACTCGACAATCCGTCAATCTGTTATTTTCTTTTCTCCTTATCCCATCCCCCACAACAACTTCTCGGTACAATTATTGTCGCCCCATTATTTGGTTCGTTGTCTCTGTTCTGTTGAATCTTTCATATCATTTCGCCAACCCTGCGTTAACTTTGGCAATGATGATTACTGTAACAACGACTTTTTCCTTTTCATTTTCTTCTTTCCTACACCCCGCTCGTTTGTAGAATAGTTGCCTGAACGGTCTTTCCGATTTTATAATTGATTGAGTGTTGCAGACAATTGAAACGGTAAATATAAAGTTAATTTGATGATATTTAGCACCTTTTCAAAGAAATCTGCGCCGACGCAAATATTTTCGTTGTTAGGTGAACCCAAGGGCCTATGGCAGGTGGTGGAGGCGCGCACAGGCAGGAAAGAGGGCCACAGTCAATTGGTGGTGCGCACAAGCGGCCGGCCGGTCGAGCGAAGACACCCGAACGCTCTTTCTGCGTCTCTTCTCTCTCGTCTTGTGGCGGGAACGCTCATCATTCAAATTTTCAAACGCGTTTTATCTCTTTTCAATCTATTTTCCATCGTTTTAGAACTGGTTTTCACCGTTTCGGTAGGTAAAAGTGCGATTCAACATGTGTTTCGAGTCAAAAGTGAGTGATGATCCCCGCATCGCTTCACGCTGTATTGATTTTTGATCGAATAGGTTAACGGTGCGCGTCGATCCAAGGTCGGAAGAAAGTAGAACTTGTAATCGAGAGTTAGTCGCGTTTGTCACGGTGCATTGAGTAATCGAATCGCGAGAGTAGGTCAGCAAGTACGATAAATATTATTTTTCGGTACCTTTGTCACGTTCGTTTGCTCTTCTTAATCTGCTTTGCTCTTATCAACTCCATGTGTTCCTGATAACACTCGTTTTCCCCAGTTATTTCAACTTCTAGAAAATATTTTTTTGTTTCCATACAAGAACACGTCATGAGTATCCCAATAGAGCAGTTATCTGTCCATCTGGAGAGCTCATTAAGTCAATTATAACGCGTCCGACCACCATAACGTCATTCGAGTCTATTTTTAACGAACATTTGGCTTGGTTGACCGTCAATCATGAAATGCTTCGAAAGTTCGCGTGCTCATTCAAACCATATGTGCGCTACTGCTATAAATTTCATTTTTGTGCCTCTTCAAACGTTTTCTGAAGGATGGACCTCTTTCGGAACGCATTTCTCTCGACCGAATCCCTTTGTCGGCCTTCTATTTGGCTTGTAACCTCGCTCCAATCAATCCTTTTGTTTTGGAGGAAACGAGTGTTACGTAACAGCCATTGCGAAGTTGGCATCGCTTTGGTGTGCCGCTCAACGACGACTGTTGTCCGCACCATAAATTTCGTAGCCCACACTTCTCACACCACTTCCTGTCCATTTCGTGGTAGTTAGACTGCTCGTAATCGCGAAAGTTACGGGTCACTTGCAATTTAGCGTTCTTCTTCTTCACCTTTCCGGTTCTCTTCACCGATCTGGGCCTATGCTTTTATAACTCTTCGCAAAAGGAGATTATCTTGGTCGTATTAAACGTATTGGCATATTGATCGGAGACGTACGGGCTCTGAGTGCTTCTTGTTGTGCAGTACTATCCAAACACAACGCGAGGTGAGGTCAGAATACGATACGATACGGCATCTCTCTTTCTGATTCATTCACACCCGTTCGCAAATCCTACATCTTATTCGTGCTCATTCGTGCACATTCGCTTCCTTTTTGTAATATGCTCTCTGTTCTAGATGTCTAACCAACGAATCAAGCTCAATCTGCACAAGTACAGCACGGCTGGAGTCCAGCAATACAGCATTGACAAGATATCGGACGATGAGGACGACTACGAGGACCAGTCATCTAGTAAGCGGTTATTTCCAATTAAAAAAACCAGTCCTTTTTCAGTCTCAGCTTCGGACGACGACTTCTCGGAGTCCGAATCTGAAAGTTATCAGGATACGACGGGTTCAACGGGTCCATCGGAAGCAACGACCGACGAAATGCTGTGGGGCAGGTGAGTTGTAAGACCACTTTCTCATTCGCTTCTCAATCTTGTGTGAGAGTTTCGGCATACTTTCGGGTGTTTAGTGTCACACTTTGTTTTTTCTCTCTTGCTCCTAATCATTTCCATTCATTTCGCATACATTTCCCTTCTCTTTCTCAACGTTTTCCTTACTTGGCTTTATTTTGCCTTCTGTAGATTGTTGGTCACTATGATTTCTCCAGGTTTTGAATTCTTCATGAGTGAAACGATCTATTTGTAGAACGTAGTGTGCAAACGCGCTCCATTGCACACATTCAAACGGTATGTGACCGCGGGGAACGAGGGACCCGAAAGGGTTGTGAGAGAAAAGAGGGTTCCAGAGAAAGGATGCGTTGATGGGACCAACAATATAGGGGACCCCGACGTTTTGCAACCCGCTATTTTGATACCGTGACGTTTCGATACAAACGTGAACTACTTCGCGATAATTTGCACTGTTAAAACTCACGTGGGCGTCGAAATGTCGCGCGTTCGAAACGTCGGGGTCCCCAATATAGGGGATGTTATTAGGGAAAAAGGCCGGATTGTTTGTCATATTTGTGAACAGCTTGAAACCCCTCAATCGTATTGGAAACATGCATTTAATGAAAGATAAGCGAATGAGTCCAGTCGGTAGCTATTTGCCCTAATTGGATCAGTACACATCAGAAATGATCAACATCTCGGCCATTTTTTTTGCAATTGACACCACTTGACTCAACCTTTCTGTTGAAATGAGAACGGCAAACAGAAGAAAAGTAACACCTCCGGCTGGTTACTGTGTCGCTGACATGACCTGATCCACTTGAAATGGGCACTGTGGCGGCTTTGAAATGTTTACCCCAAAGATATTTGCTTCTTTTCACATTTCTTCGTTTCACATCATGAATCTGTCAGCAAAGCCCTTTTTGTCGCAGGTGAAATCTCTCTGGTCATGGTTACAGTGGAAATCCATCAGTCCCTCTCCGGGCCGCCTACCTGCCTCTTTTTTTTAGTTTTGCAGAATTCTCAAAAGCCAGGTGGTTATTACTGTGACGCATAGCCACATCAGCATATAATTTCTGCCTCGATAACAATGATTCCCGCCGTCAATTGTACGTTCTCAATGGTTTTTCATCTCGAAAACGACGACGCGCCTGTTCAGAATTCCTCTTTGCTTGCGCGAATATTTGTCCGATGAATATACACTTTCAAAAGGGAAGGTGATTCAGCATCCAATTAGACGTACTCCCTAACAAGCTTTGTTTTCGAGTTCCCCTCATAAGCTCAATTTCCTTTTTTTGCATAGGTTAGTCCCTACTCGTCCTTTTGTATTAAGATCACCCCTACTTTTTATTTCCTCCCCGGTAGCCCGTGTCTTCTGGCAATTACGCAAGACTTTAAAAGTTACGTGGTCCTCCAATGCTCATCGACACTCTCCTAATTTGTCCACGCAATAGGTTCGAAACACCCAGTCGACGGTTGCGTAATGAGGAAGTCATAGGCCAGCAATACATCCAACCTGTCGCTTTTCTGCTAATTTACACGTAACTGACATCATACCTCGACGACTTTTTTCCGTTTGAGAACGTTTATGTGCTAAGCGTGTCGGTGGCATAATATTGAACAGAGCCAATTTTAGGTTGACCACAGTGATCAAAGAAAACTGCCGCACCCAACGGCCGCGGACCGTCGGTATCCGCAAAGGAGCCCATTTTTCTTGACTAGGGCATTATCATGTCCATAACAGGCTACAATAAGGCAGAAGGGTACACTGGCAGATTTTGGTCCGAGCGAGGACGCGGAAAACAGCGGTAGACTGGCTGATTGGTAGTTTCTCCTCAATGCTACCGACAATAGTTGAAATGAAAAGAACTACGAAAATGGAAATAGAAATTAGGTCTGAATTTTTATTGGTGACACCCGACCGCAGGACCAACGCAATTCGGAAACCGATCACTTACTAATCTCCCAATTAGTGTCGAATAGACGATTCCGTTCACGGAGCTCCTGTTTCACTGAGGTTCCCAGAATTGCGCAAATACCCATGCTTAAATTAGTGGTTGTCATATGGTGCATGTCCAAACAAATCAGTTTGCCTCGCCAATTAGACCGTTCGTTTTCGCCATCGGTAGTCATCTGCCACGTGTACCCTTCTCGATGGACTGTCCGTTCTCGCTGTCGTGTGGACGACACCGGGCGGAGCAGCAGACTCCGCCTCTCCCGGACGAGCTACTCTGCCGCTATTATGGGAACTCTTTCATTTGTGTGTTGTGTTTTTTGTCGTGATCACCCGCTCCTCCCTTCCACTTACTGAGTTTCAATTTCTGTGTCTAATATAATCCCGGTTTCAAGATGACTGCGGTTTCTAAAGCAAATCCGATGAGCTTCGAAGCTCTCATGTGAGTTGAGAAATGAGAATGAGAAGTAGACTGTCAAACAACAAGTCTTCAGCAGTTTTTAGGTTCAATTTCAAAAATCATTAAACTTTTATTTTTCAGGAGGCGTGCTCCAGTCTGCGGCGTAGCTGCCCACTCGGTCCGTCGTCAGATTTTGATGAACGGTCCCCGTGAGCCGATTGTCCTCGGCAACAACAAACAAGTATTCCAATCCTACGTTCCGAAACCAAAGATGGGTGCCGACCGGGAGAACAGAGAGCTTTACTCGAAGATCCACAGAGGAGAGGACAGTTCTTTCCGCCCGCATTCCAGATACAACTCGCTGAGAAAGCCGAGATTAACACATGGATCCAGCGATCTCTCTGCAATTGAGGTACGTCGAGGGGGCTACTGTAACGCCCACTTTTAGGCTTTTTTGTCTGTAGATCATCAAAATTTGAATTTCTGCATACCAAGTGTGGGAAAAATGTGTGTTTGACAATGGGTACTATTGCGTGGGCCACTTGAATTGCAAATAAGCTTTTTTCTTCACATCCCTACCCATTTGAAGAAAAGGAAAAGTGTCGAATTGAGTTAGTTGCGAGGGAATAAAATTGATGAGCGAGATGATGGTTATCTCTGAATAGTTGCAGGAAATGTCTCCGATTCGTTCATCAACGTATTCGACAGGCAGCGAAATGGCATCGATGCCGCCGTCGCTGCGGAAGCAAGCTGAATGGAAGCCTCAACTCACTTCGACCACCACTTCTTTCCAGGTGAGTAGTACGTGCCAATTGGTAAGGATTTAATGAGCTGGAAAAAAACACAAGCCGCACGAGGATGTGTCCGACAGAACATGCCTCTATTGCAGCCACTGAGTCCTATGGATAAGGACGACGAGCACTTCAAGGCACCGATTTCGCCAGTGTTCAGTTCGACTCCCCGTTCGCAGAGACTCTACCGTAAGCACCAGAAGTACGGACGTCATTTGTCAGCAACGCCAATGTCGGAATACCGCATGAACGGAATTACTAGCCAGGTATATCCAGATCTTGAACCCACTTTTAAAATAGACCACATTTCAGAACTCAGATAATCGTGCTGTAACTCCGGATCCGTGGATGGATAACGATAATGAGAATCAGAATCCACGCAAAAGTCAGCCGAACCCGTCCCAAATCACTTACAATCGCCCGGAGACGTTTGGTCTCGACAACGCGTTCGCCAAGCACAAAGACATACGTGGAATCGTGTACCTCAGCATGTCGCTGTGCGGAAGACGTCTCACTCTCAACGTCCAGAATGCGTTCTACTTCCGCAGCCCCGCTCAGTCTCTGTCCGTGTGCTCGTACATGAGCGCAGTCCTCTGCCATCGTTCGCATTCCTCCTCAAACCCCAGAAAGTACCATCAGAGACCGGATGAGGCTTACCGTACTCGTCTGGTGACCAACTCCAACAGCCCGACCTTTGACGATTGTTTCAAATTGTAAGTAGAAGGGAAACGGAAACAAGTTTATCTGATCGTCAGATCATGATCGGTGTTAAATCAAACAGTTTTCGGGTGAAGAGAGCATGCCACACACTCAAATAAACACAATCTTTAGTCTTCATTTTCAGTACTCTTCCGGAAAACTGCTCCCGCGACCTGCTTGTTCTGACCATCTACGAGATGGACTCTGGAAATGCGGAGAAGAAAAAGATTCTCGGTTGCATGACGTTCCCTGTGAGCCGCATTCTGAAAAAGGCCAATCAACTGATGGGAAGCTTCGACCGCCGCCATCCGGACGACATGGAAGACGTGGAAATCAACAACGAAGGGTTCTTCTTGCTCAACAAAGATCAGGGAAGGAAGCAGAATTTTCCACAGAGAAAGGTTAGTTTTATTTTGCGTTCGATTTCAGCGTAGCCAACTCTTCGGAAGATTCAGGTGCGTCGTCAGACTTACTACGAGGATCCGGCCTTCACGGGCATGTCGTCCGCTTCTTCATCGGTCATCTCGAATAGCCAAGGACAGGTGCGGAATCCCCTTGAACAGTGACGTGGTTGGAGTTGTACTCGCTTTTGTGTTATCGTTGTCTCTCGTATATTGCCCAATTTTGCTTCGTTGTTGCGTTTTTTATCATCGTTTTTTCGTGCAGCGTTAACGGTTTGACCCTCCCGATCTGGTCGTTGTTGTGGTGTATTGTTGGACTAACTGAAACTGTGTTCTCCGAAATCGTTGCGATTTTGTGAGAATATGAAACAGCCAAATCAAAATTTAACGCCAGTTTTCTGTGAGAGTCATTTGTCAAAAAGCTCACGTGTAAACGCCCAATTTGACGGTGTCATTCTTTTTTAGAAAAACAGCAATTTGCAGTGAGACGTGCGCGCGCGCAGTTTTGATGGATGCGTGGCTTACTCAAACCTAGTATTGTCCGATCGGTGTTCTCAGACATCTTTGAGTCATCCTTCGGAGAATGACGAAAAACTTCTCGAGAATCAATCTAATTCTAGCCCGTTGTACGCGGCGCTTATCAGCACAGAGTCTCTATTTCGTGATAAGTCTCAATGACCTGCAACTATCACTTCATTTTCTGCTTCGTTCTTTCATTTCTTCAAATTTAATAGACGGAAATTGTGGGCGTTTTTGCTGCCATTTGCGGTTTTCACTCACACAATTTCGAAAATGTTTTGCATTTCAACTCGGCGATCAAAGAGTGACCGCCGTTGATCTCTATCACTCACGCACTAGTGATTTTTTGTCCGATGTGAGCAGAGTTTTGACAAATGACTGGGCCGCATCTCATCTCTGGCGCGGCTATCGGATGTCAAGCCGGCCCCTAGGTATGAATGAAAAGGATACATTTTTTCACAACTTTCGTTTGTAAGATGACTCAATAGTTTGAAAATTTTGCAAGAAAAACCGCGCACGTCCAAGTTTTTGTCCGTGTTACTCTTTTTTTCCTCGTAGAACTTTGACCGTCGGCCAAGGTGACAACGACTAATCTGGCAAGCTGGTGTACTGCTCGAAAAGAAATGAGCGAGAGAAGGGGGATTACGGGCAGCAGAGGTGATCTACTCATCCTCGTCTTCTCTGCGCTTCATGCCCCTCGCACTCCTCGCACATATTTGTTTTCCTAACAGAACTGATTCAATGTTGAACACTTATCCGAGAAACCCCAATGTTTTTTGCCCTCAGTGACCTATGTTGAAAAGAGGGTTCTTTCTCTCTTCCTATTTTTTCCACGAACACACACAGTTTTCGTCTGCAATGCACTGCACCCATACCACTTCCAATGCTTGCAACCGTCTAGTTGCGTACTTGACACGTTACACAAAACTGCGAACGAGTACTGTCCGTCAGAGAGGAACAGCCAGTGTTGTCAGTTTTCCCGTCTTCCTCTCACACATTCGATTGATAACTAAGTCATTTTAATCTTTTGTTTCGCCTTTTTATTTTCCATAGAAGTTGCCATGTTTTCAACTCTCTTTCCCTCAATTTTATTGAAACATGCTTCTTTTCCGAAATTCAAAATGCGGAATTCCTAGCCTTGATAAGACATTCTTTGTCTTTTCCGATGAACCTAAGAACTACCATAATTCAAACTCCGCGCCCGCATAGTTCAATGTCATCAGTGTCGCTGCTCTCACCATCAACTTTCACTCTTTTTTTCCTGTCTCTCATTCTTTGCCGCCATCATGAGTCAACTCCATCCGCACTATAGTCTATCGGCCCCACAGAATTCAAATTCCCTTTAGCTCCCACTACTCATAACATTATTTTTACTTGCAGATGGCCGCCACTTCGCCTCGCTTGTCGGTTCCCAACGAGCTGACGATGGGTGATTACTACCGTTCGTCGAACGACATGCGCGTCCGGTCCACCAACAATCTTCTCGACTATACCTCCGCCTCGTCCAGCACTAATGGATCGTGTGCTGCTCCGCCGGAGAAGCTCAAATTCCACCGAGCCACTCTGCCGAGCATCACCACTACAACCAGTAAGTTGTTCTTTTTCTTTTTCCGCTTCACCTTCTCAAACATCAATTACAACCGTGCACTGTTGCATGTGCACGCGTGTGCCATTTCCAGATTTCAATTTTCCATTACTTTTCATGGCATACTTGGCAACTAGAAAGAATAGTGACGTGAGGAATGGGATATTTTATGTGGAATTCCGCCTAAAATTGAACGCAGCTTCAATGAGCTAGGTTTGCATGCCAATATCCGTCAGTGTTCTCCTCAAATTGAACTGAAACATCAGAATGCTGTTTGTTCTGCCGGGCCCTAGTCTTCTCACAATCATCACCGCATGGCTACCGAATCGCCGTGGGCAAAGTAGGTTTCTAATGGTAGCCGAGCACTTTTCCGCCCTCAAATCACTGTTTGTCATGTGTTCATAGTTTACTCGCGAGGTTTGATGAGTACTCTTAACAGGTGCGAAGCAACAGCCTGTGACGAGACGAAATGCTGATTTCAAGAGCTTTCCTCTTTTATCATCTGCCAATCACCGGCAGCTTCAACTACAACTTAAAATTCAAGGTCAAACACTTTCTGTGACCCAGTTTCCGCGTCTCCCCGATTACATGCCTCTTATGGTATTAACTTACTCTTATCAGAAGACTGGCCCTCGCGTGTATGTATGGAAACGGTTGGCCGGAGCCTTGTACGATGATTGTTTGTAAGACAGACCGCCGGTTACTTTTTTTTTACTGTTCTTTGCAATGCTTTGATTTGCATTTCACTATTTTGGGATGGATGCTATTCGACCGCCCAAACAACAATGTGTCGCACAAGAAGAACGTGTGCGGCGCTCTCGCGACCAACTCTCTATTTTTTCTCCAAATCATCATATTAACGGTCGTGTCAGTCCCCACAACGACAAAAACGTGTTGCACTGCCAACTCGTTCTATTAATTCGTTCGTATATATTCCCCCCTCATCGCTCCGCTCTTTTCCTCGTTTCTTTTCATTTCGTCTTCACTAGTATATGCTCCCAATACTGTTTTGTCAGTCGTGCCCCACTGATAACAGCATGAGTGACGAAGAGGTTGACACTGTGGAAGAGCAATCCAAATTGCAACGACGCGGCAGTTTTATTCGTCGAACTTGGAATAGCACGAGCGCGAAAATGCGTGGCAGATCGCTGACATGTGTCGAAGAGCGGGATGAATTCAGACGTTTGTCTTTCTCGTTTTCTTATCAGTTTCCCCTCGCACATCAACTCCCAAAATAGCACAGATCGAAGAGTATTAGTGAGCGGGAATAAAGAACTGCACCATATTTATTGACAGACACTCATTCAACTTTTTCGTTTCAGGCGAGAACAATTCGGACGACGCAAAGAGTCTGAGTCCAGAAGGCCAGGACCATCACTATCTGTGCACGAATGACAATGGTGGCGTCTATGGTGCCGGACCCGCACACAGTGCGATCAAAAAGGTGAGTTATTTTCCTCCGATCTTCCAAGGCCCTTTCTTTCTTCATTCTTTCTTTCTTAGCCAAGAACCTGGAAACTCCCATAAAAAACGCATCCGGTATTGCAGAGCTCGGTCCGTCGCGCCGCCTCGTTCACCTTTTCGCCGAAGCAGTCGTCATCGAAGAGCAATCTGCGTGCATTGAACGGCCGTGAGGAGGACAGAGAGAAACGCCGTTTTCTGTAAGTTTTTTTCCCACTTTTAGAGCCCGCATCATTTTTATTCATTTGTCAGTAGCAGCTATTCGAGCCTATCTTCTTTTGCACGTCCTTTTCGAACGAATGCTCGAACGTCCTAGACATTGCTAATCAGGCCTCGCTCACTTAAATGCAAATGAGGTGTTTCTCATTTTTTTGTGCGATGTTGAGAAAAAAGGGATAGAAGAGTGATGAGAAGGACAAACGACCGAAGGGTTTATCGTGGTTTTGGGGGGAACGGGATCAGAGATAAGAAAACGGTGTGAATTTGGTTTAAAACACAGAACAGAAGGATACCCTTGTACTTTTTGCTCTTTTCTTTTTTCTACGTGTTCAGCATCAACTTTAATACACTTCGAGTCGAGACAACGCAAAAATGCACAATTGTTTGGGACTATTGAACCGTGAGAAGGTGAAAATTAGTGAAGTTTGATCGCTAGGTCTGGAATTATGGGCAACTCTAGTTGGTTGATGTTTCGACTTTGGTCTACGGGAAGAAAAGGATCATCTCCATATGAGCTGTACTGAACACAAAATCAGAAAACCACGTGCAACCAGAACAGAAGAATTCTCCGAACTTTTGAGATGGGACAGCCTAATCCTTTCTACTGGTGTCGTTTTTGCAAAAAAAAAACACTCGAACTCATAGTCCCATTCTTCATCACAGTAAACCCATTCCTCTTTTCCGAAAAGGCGAGTAGTTTTTTATAGTTCGGTGTCTTCAAGAAGAACTAATCCATTTCCGAAATTGCCCAACCAGTCGTTCTTTTTAAACAACTCGCGACTCTTCCCACATCCGGGGGGGGGGGCCTATAACCCTGTCAGAGTTCCCGCCGCCGCGCCTTTTGCCCTTCCATCTCATTTGACTTTATCCGCCAGTGCACTCATCCGTCCACGGAACAAACGTACAAACGGGAGATGTGTCTATTGTAGGTTTTCCTCTCCTTCTTCCATTTTTTGCCTTGTTGCCCTTCCCTCCCCCCCTCTCCCCACGCGCTTACGCTTCACGTATCTGTCGTCTTCTTCCACTACTTCTTGCCTCTTGAGCCGCGTCGCTCAAAATATTCCACTATTGTTGCTCTCCACCTCCTCCTGTTTGGTGGGAGCAAGGGAAGGACATCCCCTCCCTCTTCAGAAACAAGTTTTTGCCGCTGTCTCCCTTCTTGTCACCGGACGAAAACTCGGAAAAGTGCCTACTCCAAGAAACTTGTGGCCATCCTCACGCTCTTCCACTAATCATTCCATAGAGCCAAAACAATCTGTCATCAATTAGTCGTCGTCTCAAATTGGCCGCAAAGTAAAAAAAAGCCACTTCTTCGTGCTTTTTGCCTCTTCCGCTTCTGCGAAAACATGGATATTCGTCGGAAAATTAGTACTCCTGTTCCCGTCAGCGCCTCGAAGCGATTCATCCACAAATGGGCCTCAGTGCGCGAGATGGAGTCGCTCGGCATTTCGCCGCCATCATTCTCTCCAATCTCGCCGTCTCACAGGCAAGCCAATTTACTCCATTAAACACACACCTCAAAGGAAGATTTAATGACTGAAAACCTCTAGTACTTGCGCGTTCGCTCACACTCACACCTTTCTTTTTTCTTTCTTTTCCCCCCGACTCAGTGTTGCATCAAGCCAGACTTTTAGTTCCGCACACTCGAACCCCCTGATTTCTGAGTCTAGAAGAATATGTGCATGGAACTCAAATTTTATTATCATTAATTATGGAGTGTCTCGTTCTCGCATTCGCATTCCACTTGCTCTAATGACTAAGTTTCGCGGGCATGGCAGGTCCAAGTCTAGGTAAGTTTTTGAATTTAGGTGTTACCCGAATGTTTCCATCAGACAATTTACAATCCAGTCGTAAACTAACACGTCGCGCCTATTTTATGATGATTGTATCTACACTAGATTCAAATTCAAGGATGGTACACTAAATACTACATAGATTCAAAGTGTGAAAAGTGTCACTTCCGCATTTCGACGTGTTGAGTCCTGGTCCCTGCCCTGTGCACCTTAAACCTTATTCACACGACAAAAATTACGTCGGCGCTCCGAGATTATGCAAATTGAGTGTGCGGCGAAACTGCTTCAAGTTGTCACGTGCAGCGTTCAACTCGTCATTCGGAATGTGGTTGTGGGCCAGAAAAGTGTCCACAGATTGGGCTCCCGATGATTGGTAATTGGTAATGTGATGCTGGGTAAGAAGGCGCCGCATCAGTTATTCCTCCGGAAAATATCAACTTTCTCTCGGGTGCACGCGCGAATAACTGAACAGGCTCGTTGGCGTCGAGTGCATGTGAAACGCACATTGTTGTTCTTTGTGTGAAGAAAGAAGACCAGAACACTAAGGAATCACTTACGAGATTATGTGTCATTCGCGCGGAGTCATTATGAAAATGTGCTCTTAGTCCAGATGGGATTTGTTGTGGGATTGCTGAACTATTTCAAATATCAGAAGATCACATTTCAATCAGCACAGTCTAGTGGAAAAAAAGAAACCAATTGGGAGGATCTTATCTCAGTTTCTTTCATTTGTCGGACACTCATTTCTGGGAAGAATCGTTAAATCGAAGGTGCGCGCGAACACGACTCCACCCTACATATAGATAGTCTTTCTGAGATTCATTTCTGTATTCCCTGTATTCTGTCAGACATCATGACTACTGTTTCGTTATTTGAATTTCAATTCGAAAATGTGAATCGTCAAGCTAGCAAGCCGCGTCGATTCAGTATCACCCCATCTGACATCATCATTTTGAAAAGACGGTTAGCTCACCACCAGACCCGCCCCAATCGGTTAGTTTCGGTCAACACACACACACACACAAAATACTGATTATAAACTCGAGTGATAAGCGAAAAAATTCCTGTAGTCGCAAGTATTCCGACTATGCTATCCATCACGTACCCCATTATTATTAAAACTAATGACAAACTTGTTGCGAAGTTTAGTAATGAGCACGAAAGCGCATCAATTCACATCTACAGCCAGTAGGCACTCATGTCAATACGGAAGCAGTTGAAAAGTTTTCTATTTTCAGTGGACCGATTTCGCGTACATTGTCCTACTTGCGCACTAAGATGGACCTCGCCCTCTCCACCTCGTCGCTGTACCCATCTCGCGATGAGGTCCGTCAGTGGGAAACGTCGTTCGAGTCGTTGCTCAACAACAAATGTAAGTTGACGTCATTTTCCAAACATCACGTTTTGCTAAATGATAATTTTCAGTTGGCTGCGCCCTTTTCCGTCAGTTTTTGAAAAAGGAGTTTTCCGACGAGAACATGGACTTCTGGCTGGAGTGTGAGGAATTCAAGAAGATGAAGGACGGCAAGAAGTCGACGACGCAGAAGGCCATTGAGATCTACAGCGAGTTTGTGGCCGAGCACTCGCCAAAAGAGGTGAACTTGGACAGTGATACCCGTGCCGCCACGAAGGCCGCTGTAGAGGGGGGATGCAAGCCGGACACGTTTGCTTTGGCTCAGAACCGTGTGGAGCAACTCATGTCGAAAGACTCGTACAGACGGTTAGTCAATCGATATTTCACATTTCTCAATCGACAATTTTTTTCTCTTTCAGTTTCCTTCGTGATCGTCTCTTCCTCGATCTGCTTGAAAGCTACGAGACTGGGGACAAGGAGGACAAGCCGTCGAGCTCAAAAGACAAAAACTGAGCCACCTTATGGTCATTATTATCTTATTTAATTTTCCACAATAATGATGGTAGTGCAAATGTGTTCCGCTCTCTTACGTAGTTGTCATCATCTCCCACTGAATTCCACCTGTTCGCCATGTATTCCTTCTAATCTCAGTCGTCTCTTAATATTCAAATGTTTCGGTTATTAACTAAGCTAATACCTATTTCATAATGTGTCCCTTCTCCCCCCTCGCCATTCAGACCAATCTATGACAAATTTCGCACTTTTTACCCCTTTTCACCAAAAAGGTGAGTCGGCCGATGCCAATCACTCTCATATGACCAAATTAAACTCAGAAATTTCAAGTATAATATAAAAATGAAGCAAAAACAAATTCACGTCTGAGAATCTCGCGACCATTTCGCATTTCTCGCTTCTCATCCACTTGATCTCTGTTGTGCAAACAGCACATTTCAATTGTATTCCTTTTCTGACTTTTCACATTTAATCCTCACAACTTGTAAGAAATGCTCTCTGGATAAATACTGTCAATTCAATCTGAATTTTTTTTTGTGTTGGGCGAGAAAATTATAGGTGTCACGTTTTTTTTGATCCTCACAAGTGATCCTGTCTGACGGCTTTGTAAAGTGCTATTAATACAGAGTCTCCAGATTTGTAGACCAGAAATTTTCACATGAAGAGTGAAGCGACTTTTCCGCTCAGGAAAGTCAAAATTAACTTGAACAAATGCTTAGAAAGGATGCAAATTACCAATTTATTGCGAGGAATATGAAAGTATATATAAAGTACATATGTATAGCGCATGCTCATTAGGACTCAAGCAACACGTTGCCTCCCTACGAAAGGTCCCTACGCTTGGGTAGAACTGTTAATTATTATTATACGCTTGAGTCTCATGTTACAAAGAATGCGTTTGAAGCTGTTCAGAGAAGCGAAAGTTTATTCTTTCTGACTTCGAGCTGCATCTGCTCTCGGAACTCAGTGATTGTCTCCGCACGAAACTCGACCTCGGTTGTATGGTCCTTCGCAATGCACCGGGCGTATCTGCAGACAAATGCACCGCAGTCGTGGATTGTTGATTGATGCGGGATGCCAGCTGGTACATCGGAATCCCAAAAATTCTCAGCTCCGATCAAATTCGCAATCCATCCGGCAAACTTGAGCACCTTATCGAGAGCGGTTCTATTATCCTCGTTGTCTCTTCCTCTGCCGGTAGAGTCGTAAATCTTGACAACATGGTTATTGAAACAGACACGGCCGAGAAGCCAATGGTAGTTGAGGCAAATTGGGAAAAGGAACGTTTTAGTAGTTGTCAGATCGGCTCCTCTCAAAACACTGCCAACTTTTCCTTCTTCTTTGATCAAATACAACGCATAACTGGGAATGATGAACGTGTGGTCTTGCGTTCGGTTGATTAGAGAACAGTAGTAATCAATTATGTTGTCGTTGAGCAGACTCGGTGATTTCAGGCAGTCGATATCTTTTTGGTACACATCAATCCCCAAGTGCGTAAACGCCGCTTTGTTTTCGTCCAAGTGTCTTCCATCCGGAAGAAGATAGTGGAACTCCGATGCCTTCTCACGAGACATTTTGTACTTGTCCATGACTATTTCCTGAGTGCTTTTGAGCAGTCGAATGAACTTGACCTTGAATAGTCTTTCAGCTCCAATCCTCGTACCCTCCAGCATATCTGTCAAATCAATCACAAAAACTGGAGTATCGGCTTGCTCGATATTGTCGACCGGTTTTTGCTTCGGGATGATGTTGTTGATTGACAGTTGCTGATCGGCTGGTTTTGCCTGCTTTTCCACTATCAACGGCTTCTGGACATCTGGCTGGTTCTCAGAAGCTACTGGTCGCTCATTTTCCGTTTTCGGCAACACTGCTTCCACCTTCTTTTTTGACTTTGGTTTATTTCGCTTCTTCTGGAAACGCAAGAAAATTTTACGCAAATAATGGGAAGAAAATAACTAACTCTTAGTATCTTTTTTCCGGACCTCAGGTTGAAGTTGTGTCGAACCATTTTTGAAGTCGTCGACTGAGCCATTGCGCGTGAATGCATACTAGTAATTATAAATTAATGGGATGTAATAGGAGAAGCTTCGCGGTCAATCCATGTTTATCTCCATGGCAACACGCCAAGCTGACTGTCTCCTAAGGACGAACAACAATTTCCGCACGCGCGCTCTTTTGCTGCCATCTGCTTCGATTCATAAGGAGCGTCGACTGATCATATTTTTGTCCTAATGCGCGCTTCTTATAGTTCAAAGCTTGAATGTACCTTGGAATGTGACGATTTGATGAAAACTGATTGATGCAATGTGGTATCTTCAGGATGATTGACTTGAAACTGCAAATATTATTGGAAAAAGTTGGGAAAAATAGAAATACAGATAAGTAACAATGAAGAAACTCTTTTCCAAAGAAAAATGCGGAACTACCTTAAAAGACTGAAGAGATCCGAAATCCGTTTGCAAAATTTACTGAAATTCAAGAAAATAACTGTTTTATAAAACAAATCTGAATCTGAATAGATAACACGATTAGAAAACACTGTTGTCTACCGTAGAATTCGTTGGAGAAGGAAGGAAGAGTAGGAAAACCTGTGAATTCAAAATAAAATAAAAGAAATGAATGAATGAGCAAAAGAGAGTGCTCGGGAGGGTGAGTAGCCGCCTCTTTTACTTAAGTTCATCTCCGTAGCAACACACACACACATAGATATAGATGCGGACACACCAGGATACTATTATATGTCAGGAGGTATTATGGATTAAAAAAGAAGCGGTGGCCACTTCCGATGTCGGATTTTCGGACGGACGATGTTGTGACGTTGTCTGAAAACAAGCCGATATTTGAACTAACAGAGAGGGCACCACGAGCGGCGGACAGTGTGTCGAATGGTGGACGAAGGACTCGAATGTTTTGATTTGAACTCTATATCTGCTGGAGAGACGGATACACGCGATATATTCTTGTCCGATGTGAGAAAATGAGAAAACAAATGACTAGAAGACATCGGAAACTTACCTCTACCTCTGGAAAAAAGTACTCGTTTGTTTTAGATCGAGTCGGATCAAAGTAATCAGCTACGTCGTCCGTAGTTTTTGCAATTTCGGAGCTAATCAGTGCAATTACAATTCCGTGCACACGCTCCTCCATGTGTTTGATTACTCGTTTCTTCCAGTGTAACTAATTATCACTTCGAATGATCACCACCCAGTTTCCTTACGCGCTCGCTTTATTTTGCACTGGTCGTGCAAATGCGGAGCTCTCCTCAAATGTCATTGTTCCTCGGCTCTCGCCAGATTTTCTAACGAGAAAGTCTCTGTGGAGTTGTTGCGCTTTTTTGAATATTTTTGCCTTCTCCGCGGCAAAAGAAACTTTTGCATACGCTAGTTCTACACAACCCTTGCTCTCGCGCACGTGCTCTGAAATTTTTGAAGTTTGATGGAAATCGTTGAATTTGACAGGTTTCATTGACGTTTGCTCATCGAAAACCGTTCTTGTTACCTAGAAAAGATGTCAAGAAAATGGAGCCAAGCGCAAGAGAGAAAAAGAAAGAAAAAATGACAGCCCGATAACAGTTGCTTCATTTGACTTGGAAAAGTGCTCCGGCAACTGCGCTGAGTCTTTTCTGTCTTTTTTTGGCTGCATGGTTGAATAAAATGTGCACTTTTTAGAAGTTCTATCACTCTTTTTTCCCAGTGTGATTGCTCGATGGTACCAGTAGTTTAACAGTTTTATATTTGCAATCAACTTTTCAGCTCTTCTATCCCGTTTCAATCACGTGAATCGACTTAATTTCATTTTCCTTTTCTAGATATTTATATTACAAACGCAGTTTCATAGATAAAAAAGAGCAAAGTGTCATGTTCGCGGAGTTTCAACCACGTGCTATTCAGTTAACCCGGTCTTTGAGCGGAGACGGCTATCTCTGGTCCTGCATGTAGTCGTTTTGTTTCGTCACCACTTTTCCTCGCCCGCATAGAGTCCCTAGACAGACACGGTCCGTTCGTTCAATCTTATCCATGGAGCTAAGTGCATTGCACTTGAAGTCCAGATGATTATTGCACTTTGGGTCCGCCCTCTCTCGAAAAATAGAAATCTGAGATCGTGTGAATGTATCCGTCGTCAGGACACTCACATGTTGCATCTCTTTCCCTTCTTAGTTTTTCTCAGCATCTGAACATTGCCGGTTTCCCTTTCGGTGTCAATTACTTTCCCGTAAATGGCATGATCACGGTCAAGAACGATCTGTCTCTCTCGAAAATCGTGTTTTCCGTCAACTCTCTTTCCACGCAGAGGTTCCTTCTCAATTTTTCTTGCCTTCTAAACGCTTTGCTCTGTCTTTGCCTGCTTGAGTTTTCTGAAAAATTGGAGATGATAACAGCCGGGAATCGTTAAAATGCCCTTTACCCGGGAAAGGCAATTCGTCTCTCATTCCGACTCATTCCCTCCGACACTTGTGTCTATCGCTTCTTATCATTCCGTTCTATTGCGTTGATTCGATGGACACAATACAAGATATTCTCGATTTTTTGATCGGTCTTCAAGAAAAGTCATTTCGTTTCTAGGCATGTCCACGTTTCACACATTCGATCAGGATCTGTCTCTGACCAATCAAAATGACTGCGAAAACTCTACCCGCTTGATTCTTGCTCAACTGCGCCCAGAATGGATTCCTTCAGAAATCACCTTCGAGGTTTGTATTTTTTACTCTTCCTTTTTTTGTCTGCAAGTCTCCGTTGATTTCAGTACTTCTCTGTCGGAATCACCAATAAGATTTTTGCGGCAGGATTTGGAAAGGAACACGTGATCTTCCGTGTCTTTGGCCATAACACCAACAAGGTCATTGACCGCGAAAATGAAGTGTCCGCATGGAGACAACTGGCCGAGTACGGGTTCGCAGCTCCTCTTTACGGAAAGTTTAATAATGGGCTTATTTGCGGATTCCTGGAGGGAAAGAGTTTGTCTATCGACCAAATGAGAAACTCCAGCTTTCACACGTGAGAAATTTATTATAAAATTGAAAAAAATTGAGTTGAGCTGCAGGAATATTGCAAAGAGAATCGCTCAGCTTCACACATCCATTCCGACTAACGGAAAGTCGTTGATGTTCGAGAAAATGCGAACGTTCCTGAACCAGTTTTCTCCAAAATTTCAAAAACAAACCCAAGAGGTCAGAAAAAAACATTGGATTCTGTTGACGCAATAATTTTCAGGAGTTCTTCACCAAAAACTTTCCCTCTAATCTTGAGGCCCAAATTCACAAAATTGAGGAGAAAATTTTAAAACTCAAGGAACCGGTTGCGTTTTGTCACAACGACCTGCTTGTCCACAACATCGTCTACAACGGAGAAACTAAATCGATTGAGTTTATCGATTACGAGTACGCATTCCCGAATTACGTCCTCTACGATATTGCCAACCATTTCTGTGAATACGCTGGTGAGGACGCATTCATTCGAACTTTCTGACTGTAAACCAAAGACTTTCAGGTGTGGAAGGATCTCCGGACTACACAAAGTGTCTCTCCAAGAATGAGAAGTGGCTCTTCATAAACGACTATCTCCGTTTCGGGACTGAAAAGCCAGTCTGTGACATTCGCATTGCCAACATGTTCAAGAACTTGCCGTTATTCGAGGCGGTTAGTTTGACAAAATCAAATTCGTCAGTTTCAATCCGTTTTTCAGGCTTCTCATCTCTTTTGGGCACTTTGGGCACTCGTTCAAGCTCAAAACTCAACCATCGACTTCGATTACCTTGAGTACGCTCATTCCCGCTTTCAGCAATACGAAAAACGTCTTCAAAAGTACTCTTCCGGAAGTCGTTGATTGGTTTCTTTCTGTTAACGAAAATGACGGGAGCGCGTCAATCCCGTATAAAACTGTGAAAAAAACAAACCTAGTTGTCTATCCTTCGTTATCTGAAACAAAGTTTTCTCCCAAAGCACTTACTTTAAGCGTTTTGGCTTTTTTACTTTTTGAGTTTCGTACCTGTTGTGTCTGATTGTGAGTAGATACCGATTGTTGGTACATTTTGCCTTTAAGAAGAAATGAAGTTTATGAGAAGTGTCTTTTTTGAGAAACCGTGAAGTATCTATGAAAAATCAGGTCGCTATCTGGAATTTGATAGGCGCAAAGTTCAATTTTGACAATTTGTTCGTTTATTGTGTGAAATTCCCTTGAACGTACTTTTCAGCAGTCCAATTTAGTTTGACATTTCGATATCCTGTCAAAAGTTAGTAAGCACGTGTTCACTTTTTGTGCTAAACTTAGACTTCGTCCTTCTACTGAATCCCAAATGAGTTCTCAAGTGATTCAACGACCAGAAGTGTCCAGCAAAAGGAAAGATTGCAATATCTGTCACGTATCACTGGAATCTATGTATCAGTTTGTCTGTTTAATTCTTAAAACAACTTGAATTTTGAAGTTATTCAATTACAAATTAGACTTCCGACATATACAAGAGATAAGGAGGGAAGGAAGAGTGGTGTAGAAATAGGGAGACAACTAAATAATAAATAAAAGTAACACAAGGACAGGAAAACACTGCTCATTATTATACGCTTTTGGAATTTGAATATAGTGTCACTCAGTTCATTGCAATAAATAAATTCAACTTTTAATTGACCTTAATGAAACAGAACGTCCGTTCCAAACGTTCATACAATTGCTCTTCTCTCCAAATCCCAAATTTGCATATAGATAGTCCCGATAGACGTCATTTGATTATTGTCGACTACCTAATTAACATTTTCGTTTTTTCCTCCTGCTTTTACCCTTTTCCCTAAAAACCGAACGGCCTTGTGGCTTGTTTGCATCCGGCAAAGTGACGAAAGAGAGAGAGAGAGAGATTTCTGGAAAAACAAAGCGTGCAACCGTAAAACGCGTCACTTTCGTACTAGTCCGGAAAGGGAAGAAACAAACTAGAGTAGCCCCCCAAGTTTAAATGAAACGAAGCATTCCTTGATTTCTAAATTTAACTCTGCCGCGTGATGTCCGCAATCTCGTTGGCTGAATTTGCAATGCTGACTGCGTGCGCCGGAAACTGCAGTGGAATCGGCAATGTTTGTGACGTAGTCCTTCCCGAACACCCCGAAGAAAAATAAGAAACGACTTGATCTGAATGCAAAATAGGTCAAACACGAGTCCTCGCCATCGATAAAGGTTGCTCGAGTGACGTGCAAAAGAGCGGATAGGAGTTTTTCGGCGAAAAACGGTTCGACTACAAATTGGACGAGTTGATTGGCAATTATGTAAATGTTCGGGCGTAGTCCATTTCTTTTGCGTACCGAACATTTCTTGTGCGCTGTGAACAAGCAGAGGACATGTTTTGCTGATTGGTGTTTCATCTACGGTGATGAGCTCACAAGTCGCCTGATTTGCATAGAAATCCCTTGCTCGGTGTTCTCGTTGCTACTTTCCATCGAATGTTTGTCTGATTCATGTGTGTCGTCAGAAAAAACCAATCACGAGTGGCCCTCGGAAGGGACTGACTTCATCCGTGCACGTGGGCCATATTTTGCAGCGCCGAAAATCCTCTTTTCCGGTATTCGCAGCTCGCTGTCATACTTTTTGTTGAAAACATCTCTCGGTAATGACACGTTGTAGACGTCAATGTTTTTCACTTTGACGCAAAGATCTGTATTTTAACTCCGACTAATCGGGCTGTTTAGTGACCGGAATGTAATCGGACGGAAATAAGATTTTGACCAGACAGCTCATCGGGTACAAACGGACGAGTCACACGGAAATGGATACAGACAGAGGAAATTGTTGATTCTGACCGATTCCGGGTTTGACTCACTACAATCCGGATAAGTCGGCGACACGAAATATAAGAAAAGATTGCTACGTAGTACATAGTTCTGTTGTTGTTTTGCACTAAACGACACTTGACACCGACGTCATTAGAATTGCACCAACTCTCATTTGCCATTCTTCAGATTTATGTTCGTACTCGGGGGGTTCAAGTCGTTCTGAGGAAATAAGCTTCGGTTAGATGAGAATCCCCCATTTCCTTTGTCCTCTTGAAAAATGCGGTCAATTATACAGCTTCTGATTAGGTTCTCTTCAGCCTATTTTTAATCTCGGGCGTCATCAACGTCGGACGCGGACGGATTATCTCGAAACACGCCAAGAGCCCGTTCTGGATCCTTCTCAAACTTTAGTCGAGTTGTCAAAGAAAAGCGAGGGCCGGAAGGAAGCCGTGTTGCAATCGGCATAAGCCGTTGCCAACAGGATTTACGTTGGTTGGCACACACCAGTGTTCCGGAGACGCAAATAAATGTGGGAAAATTGATGACACACTTGCTTGACATGGCTTTTAGTCTTCTTGTTTGTTCATAGAAAGCGTAGGAGGATTTGAATTTGAGCCGGAACTCTTTAGCTCAAAGGACTCACTGTGAAAGTGCATGACGAGACTCACAGTGTTCGGACTAAACTTGCTAACTTCTTTTTTGGCTTTGGCGTGTATTACCATGAAAAATGATAATGAAATAAAGCGAGTCAAGGATACATATGTATTTCTAATTAGTGGGTTGTTTTTTCCAGGTAAAACAGTTTTCATTGTATGTTTGTTGTCGAGCCCTATTCAATTCAGTAGCCTTCTTGAGAATCTCTGTTCCGAATGTTTTCGCAGGGCTGGAAAACCCAATTATCCTATCTAAAAATAGTGATTTGCTGTCCTGGCAGAGCTGAAACTGAAGAGATACTCCCCAGGAGATGCCAAAAAATGACGTTCGTTTAGCGAGAGGCACGCCAATATTCCGGTCCACGATAATTGTCTCAATTCGCATTTTGGCGGCTTCATGGGTCCCCACGCATCAATGACATGCTGCCTAACTGACAATGACGTCAAATGTCAGCAGCGCGACACTGCTTGCGGCTCCATTAGAGAACGATGAGTCGTAGGTCGTAGACAAGATTTTAGCACATGATATCCTAAAAGGTTTTCGGTGACGAATAAGTCGTATCGTGGAGGGAAAAGAAGGGAGTACGAGGTATCTAACACAATTTCATGTACCATTGACATTACTTTATTCCCCTCTCGGAGCGTTTTCGCGTGTTTTGTTCTTTCAGAACGGCGTGGCGGCCTCCAAGGACCGCGAAAAAGAGACACAACTGCCCTCCGCATTATAAAAAGGAAGGATAGAGTAACCCTGTTTTGGTGCGAATAACGAGTTTAATTGTCGAGAAATGGCGTCATCTCAAAGAGGCTAGTATTTTTGATGAGTGCAAAAACTTATTTTTTATTTAAAAAGTGACACCATCAGTTTTCCACGCATCCACACCCACATAGAACAATGGACGAGTTGACCTGAAACCCGAGAGCATCATTTTTCACTGTTGACTCTCTGGTTCTGCACAAAAAGTGTGGCAGTCTGCGGACGAGGGCAAGTCAGACGAGAACTCCTGTTGCAGTGGTCATCTATACGTTTCCTCGATTTTTGCACGCTTCAAATGCAAAAAATGCAAAATACAGGAGGAAATTATCAAAACGGAAGGAAAGCAACTCGAAGGAAAGGTGGATGATGCTGCTACGAAGCAACGAAGCTTGGTGCATAGAAAATTTTTAGTTTTCCTCCTCACATATCAATTGCTCCACAAGCAACAGTTGTTCACAGAAAACGAATCTGAACTTTGGACGGATTTTTTCCTTCTTTTAAGGGTTGCATCTTGACTTTCGGCTGTAAGAAAGCTTTCAGCACCACCGCTGAGCATAAGGCTGATGTTTTGTAAGGAATCAACACGCGCATCTCAATGATCTATTCCCGAAGATTCCAGATATATACAATGTTTTCAAGGATTGGAAGTTTTAGACAACAGGAAACCTTGCTGTCATTTAAGAATCTGATGTCTGCATTCTCCATAGCGACTATCGGCAGCTCTTCGTTTCCACGTTTCCCTTTCAACTGAGATTTCCTCCATAAAACCAGATGTTGCAAGCCCCATTCAATCAGAGCACCCAGTAAAAGGACACAGTTGAACACCCCGCAAACATTTATTCCTTGTTTATTAGCCACTATGAAAGGAAGCCGAAGCGAGAGACTTCTCAAAACGTGGAGAGCGGGCTTTTCGCAAGACGGCTTGCCTTCGCCGCGAGAGGAGGCGGAGAGCAACGAGCTGAACGGGGCGGAGCCGACCCGAATTCGAGCCCGGTCCCATTCACTTGCTTTTCCACTCCGCCATAAGTTCGCTCATTCGCCCTATCTTCTAACCACAATGCCCTCACAGCACTCTTCCCAACCTCGTAAATCCATCATGGAGCTTGCCGAAGACTCCGGCCTCTTCGACATCAACGCCTCAGACCTTGTCTGCGAGGCATCGGCCAAACGTATCTGCTACTATGACTTTGTCCTCAGCTGCCGCCGTTGCCCGCAAGCGGAAGGCAACGGTACGATGCTGTACTTGGCTAAGTTCGACGAACGTGTCAACCTGGAGGTCTTTGAGACTGCTCACATCCCACAGGAGCTGTTCGAGGATGGCCTCCCGCAACACGACCTCGGACTCATGACGCTAGGAGTGCTCATCTGGAAGCACACCATCGCCAAGTCCCGTCTTCTGTGCCTGGTCCGCAACATGGACGGTGACAACACTCAGCCTCTGGAGGCCTTGAAGCGTGCCACCTACAAGTTCTCGGTCCTCCACCACGTCCAAACAATGGTTCCACGACGTATGTCACTCTCGTCCAACTCCTCGTTCGGCAGCAACCACTCTTACCATTCGGAGGGAATGCGCATGCGGATCCTTCTGTGCCAACTCAGAAGCCAGGTAGACCAGATCCCAGCCCAAGCCGTCCGTGAAACTAAGGCCCTTCTGAACCCCTCGAGCAACCCAATTCTCTGCTTATGCTTCCCCATCGTGTGAATTGTTCCATTGTAGTCTCGTTCTCCGCCGTTTCCTCCCTTAACTTTTCTACTGCAACGATTTTCATTTTTGTGCCACCGGTTCATCCTATCTCTCTTGTAAATTGTTCTTACGATACTATGTGATTCTCACTGGTCATAGGAACCCCTGTAGTGCTCTCCTCTCCCGCCAAACGTTCACATCAGCTGTACCTTTCTGATTAGCTCTTTATGGAACAATCACACCATTATTTTGTAACTATTTGGGTCGAAAAAAACCAATAAATATGTGTATGCAACTACTTTTTGTGTTTTCTCGTGTTATGCAGGCAATGAAAAGCTGAAAGCTGAAAGCAGCAGCAGATATCAATAAAAGAATCAGAAATGGGATTGATGTGGATGTGTGCTGAAAAAACACGCACACATCATCGCCCGTTGGTATGCAGACGTTCCTGTTTCTCCAAGGTTGTTTTCTCCGACATTGGAGATCGAATTAGGCAGAAGCAGTCAACTGGCCGTCTAACAGTTTGTTGACTATTTTCAGAAATGTCATTCAAACCCAATTCTCAAAGACTTCCCCTTGAATGGGTACGCTCCCGCCTGAAATAAAAGGCTTTGGAGGGGGGGGGGGGGTCTGATCGGCATAACTACAGAATCAGACATCTTACCGCCGTTCTCAAACATCACTTTCGAGTAAGCCGTCATTAGAAGTCTGGGTTGTAAATGATTTGCATAATCACAAAGTGTATCAGTCATCAGAGCGGAGAACACGTTAAGTTGGCTGAATAAACAATGGAAGAATATAAATAAAGGAGAAGTTCGCGACTTCCTTTCTGCAAAACGGGAAATTAGAAAAAGGTCACCTGCAGTACGAAGTATTGGAGGATTCGGACGCTTCCCTTTTCTTTCTCTGTCTAAATATCGCATTGAAACTCACTCGAACAAGTTTATTTTTGGCAGCGCCGCAAAAAAGAAGCAGAGCGACAAAAAAGTTGTATAGAAGGGTTGTCGACTGGCACAGGAAATAGTATACCACCCGAAAAAGTAGCAGTTGTGCCGGCTACTCATTGCATTTTCGAGAAGATCATCTCAAAAACATCAGAAACTAAGTCTATTGTTGATCGGTCTGGACTGGTCAAGCAACTTATCAGTTTTCCATTGTTTCCAAACCGAATTAGATATTCATTTCTAAAAACTGAGAACAGGTGAATTCTTGCAAAGTCTTTTTATTTCGCAACTCTTTCTCACTATCTCCCAATTTCATAAGATTTCCTGTAATATGTTGGAAAAGGTTAAGAATAAGTGGAAGGGAGACTTTTCCAAGAATGCGTTCTCATTCCCACCCACACAACATCGTGTTTCACACTCAATTGCAAAAGCACAGAAGAGAGAGAATTAGACGGGGGGGACTCGGCGATGAAGCATGGACTAATCGGCCCGACTGCTCTTAATTCATATGACGTGTTCTTTGAAGAGGAAGTTTTCTGACGACATGTTTTTCTCAGGTGTCCCCTTTTTTCTTTGTTACGTTCACTTTGTGGACCTTGTTTGATAAATGTGTTCCCATTTCGCATAAGGATAGAGCACTTTTGTCTACCACATCCATCTTGTGCCGCATGTTAGTCTCTAAACTTAGATTGTTTTCCAGTGAGTGTATCAATGGTTGAATAGTGAAGTGACGGTTTTGAAGATTACTTTCAGAACACATAAATGTTGCGCTTCCTGTTAGTTTCAAAGGACAAAATTGAGCAGCAGCAGGGACCGGAAGTCTGGGACAGGTGTTCTTTAGAAGGATTGGCTGAATGACGTCTTTGCGTCACACATGTCTGGCTTCAGATTCAGATTCTCACACACGGTCACAATCAATGCGTCACAAGTCTTTTGCGCACTAGCTTTTATTCTTGTTATTATTCATTCGAAGTCAACAAACCAAGAGTTCGCGTGATTTAATTAGGACTCCCAGCTAAAAAAAAGCGACTGGGAAAAAAGTTGGCGTTCGTTGTAGTTTAAAGGCACTAGTATCGGATTTCATAATTGAGCAGGAAGGAAGCCAAAGGAAGATAAGATTCAAACCACACTCCAGCATCAAGCATTGGTCGGTTACATCGTGAAAGCTTTGCATGAGTTTCGCATTCGCTATACAAACTATTCCAAAATTGACAAATCTGTGGTCTTCGCACAAGTTCCGTTAAGAACGCATAATTATTTATTGATACTGTTTGTTTGTCAATTTAATTGACTGGCAGACAATGTTTTGAACACTGATCAGAGAGAAAGAAAACACATTGAATTGCAACAGAACCCATCTTCAAGGTTAGTATTATTAAAGAGAAGTTATTAAAGTTTAGAAGAAAATAGAGTTATCCGGCACGGTGAACAGGACAGCAGATACGGTAGAGACTGTCGTGCGACGGGAAGCAGTCGGCGTTCTCCGGACAACGGCTAGGTGTCCAGATGTCTTGATCGAGGCCGCAAGCAATCACCATATTGGACTGATCTCTGATCGCAGACTCCTTTGAGCAGAATCTCAGAACTGGAAATTAGATTTCACTAAGGGCCTTATAGCTTTTGAGAGGTTCTCTCACAGATTCATTTCTTATTCGGATTAAATGGTACCATATAGACGTCTCGCCATTTTTATCTATTCGCTCCATTAATTCCTGACATTTCCTCTCATTTTTGTCTGATTTTTAAAGCATTGAGATGAGATATATTAGTGAACAGAACATCTTTTTTCATGTTATGTTCCTCATTTGCTGGCCGCGACTATACGAAAACTTCTTCGGACAATAAAGAGCGAGAGAAAATGAGTGGATTAATGGGGCTCAAACCGGATTTGGAGCACAGTTTACTTGACTCACTCGACTCTTTTTTGGCCGGCCGTGGTCGGGGAGTGTGATAGAAGTTGTTGGCGTCGTAGATAGTAGTTGTTGGCCGAGTGGGGGACGACGTGACAACTTCAGGAACCTGTACAATATCGGTTTTCAACATTTCCATGATATTTTTAAATAAAAATCAACGTGTTTCAGTGCCAGTCATATGACCAGATTTGATTGGACAATTTTCAGAGTTCCCAAGGATAATTGTAGGTCGAGAGAGCTAATTGGATGGTTCAAAGTTTGATTCGAGTTCTCAGATCCGGTTACTCGTCATGATGCAATAGAAAATCATAACCTGTCCCAATTCACGCGTGCCTGATTTGTTACTTTGTTGGTGTGTTCTAGAAGCACTCCTTTACAAATAATTGAGACTCTTATTACGTCACACCACACACACACTTATTAAAATTTCTCTTGCAGCATATATGTACGTGCGTGTGTTTACATATAATTCATTTCTTCCAATTATCTCTACATTACAAATGGAATCATTGCACGTACGTTTTGGTGCGTGGGAAGAGGGATTAAACGACTGTTTTTGCGCAAAGCTTTTTGGAAAGGATGGAAGAAGACTAGGAGTGCGGGGGTTAAAAAACAGGATTAGATCCAATTGCAGATTTGGAAAAAATTTTGGCGGATAATCCCACGTGTAGTCCTCACCTGATTGTTCAGCTCGGAATCCTCTTCATCTTGTTCAATGCTCTCGTCTTTCTCTGGAATGTTGTTCTTGTTCGTTTCTGAGGCAGGGGTGTCTGAATTTTGATCAGTTAGGCTGAAATCAGGTCGGAGGAACGAACTCTCATTCGCAGGTGCATCGAATTCTTCGAGATTCGTCATCGAAATAGGCTCCATCATGTCTAGAGCTGCAAGTGACACGTTCAGAAATAGGACAAGAAACATAAGGAGGACTACCGATTGGGAGTCCATTGCGGGGGATATGGGTTTTCGCACCATCTTTTTCAGGAAGAGAGACTTTCTCGGAGAATTGTGCTTCCGCTAAACTGTTACGAACGGGAGCTCGTCGGATGTCGCCGCGACGAGCACTCAACTGAAAAAGAAACACATTTGAGGATTTTCCTTCTAACCCACTTTGCTGATAACGTCTTCCAGATCTTCATCTTCCTGAAACTGAATCTGAGGAGCTTCCTCGGTTGGTTTCTTGCTGTGTGTGGGGGCTGGTTGCTGAAAATTATCAAGTAGGATTCCTAATGATTCTTGTGTCAACTTTAGTGGTCGGCTTCAATGTCTCAAGTTCATCAGTCGGATCATCAAATGGAGACAACTGGGTCTCCTCATCAATGTATCTGGCGTTATCGAGTTGATTGACGCGAGTCTCCGCTACTCGTCTAGTAGCCGGCAGGTCACGACGCGCCGATGGTGTGGTTGTCCTTCCGTGGAATCTGCGCGGCCTACAAAAAATATAGGAGAATAAATAACGGATGTTTTATGATTTGATGCGTACTCGGGAGCTGCAACAACGGCCTCTCGGCGGCCTATTTTCTCATCATCACCAACTCGTTCCATTGAATTGAAAAAAGAGTTTGCATGTCTTCGTGTGGTCGGTTCTGGAGTTGTTGTTGTTGTTGTTGTTGTCGGCAGAGTTCGTGGTCTGGTCGGTCTGGATCTTGGAGTAGTTGTTGTGGTCTTTTCGACTGTGGTCGTCGGAACTTCTGTCGTTGTTGGGGTTTCGGTTGTCGTTCTTGGTCTATACGCTCTAATCACTTTTTTAATAATCTTCTTGACAATCTGTAGAAAGTGCGTTGAAATCATTTCCAACAATCTATAAAGTTTCACCTTTTTTGGTGGTTGTGTCGGTTCGACATGCATTTCAACGGATCCGTTAATTTCTGCCAGGATTTTATCATTTTCCTCATCTTCGTCGGAATCCCAAATGTCCTAAAGAATTCGTGTGTTCCAGGTATTGTTCCACGGATAGAAAAGTACAGTGCGCAGAAACACGTCACGACAAACAGACATTTTCAGAACAAACACACGTGTGACTTTATTACGCGGAACGAGTGCATTTTCGTGTTATTAGACTGGATTGAACAAAATGCAAGAATAAACGTGGAAATGAAATAAATATACAGACATCTACGGTGAAATCAGAAAACTGAATGGTGACCGGACGGAACAAAAGGGAGTACAAAGAAGAAATCATTCGGCAAGCTCATCAAGGCTTACAACGTGTGGTCTGTGTGTCCGGATCGGGGATCGGCGACGTCCTTCCATGTTAACCGGTTGCAAATTCGACATGTCATCCACATCGGCGTGTTTTCTCAGTGGCTGAAACAGAAATACAGATTTACGTTTTCGTCACTTCCTCTACCAAAAGTTCCTTTGAGAATCGTTGCTTTCCTGCTGGTTGCGGGAATTGTTCGCTTTCAAAGTTCACATTCTCCATCTCTTGTGGTGGTCTGGCGGCTGGTGGCCCAGCAGGTTGTGGAAGAACGGCTTCTGCAAGCGAATGTTATTAGCAAATGCAATGATCACTTCCTCTTTCAGTATCCCCCCACCAATTGGTTTTTCGTTGGCGTTCTGCAGAAGTTTGTTCAAAGATTGCTGGAATATCTGCGCCGCTCTTTGTTCGGATTGCGCAGAACCAATTTTCTTGACGATATCCTCAACGAGTTGTTGACTAAATATCGGTGTTTCCTGAGGGAAAGTTGTTTCCTCTTCCGGGACGGATTCGGTCACGGGAAGTTCTGATTCGACCGGAACTTCCTCAGTGGTGCTTGTTGTCGGGGGAATGGTGACGAGGGCAAGGGAAATCTTGACAAAAATATATTGGAGAGAAATTAATGACTGAATCTACCGTCGATGGTCTGGGAGATGTGGCTCGAACTGGTGGGATAACTGGAAGTGGCTGCAGCTCTCCCGCGCTGATATCAGCTGCATCCAGTGGAATTTCCACAAGTGGCAAAGACGGTTCTTGGAACTCGATCACTGGAGCTGCTTCGATCTTTGGTGGTGGTGGGTGCATCGGAACTCTCAACTTAGCGGGAACCTCTGGCATCTTCTGTGTTTTCTGGTTCACAACTTTCCTACAAATAAAAATGACACATGAAGTTTTCATTGAAATGTTATTTACAGTGGATCTGGTTTGTGTTGTTGTGGTTGTGGCTGTTCTGGTTCCGAAGTGGTTGGAGCAACTGTGTTGGCGCGGACTTTCTCATCGGACATAATCAGAGCTGAAAGGTGAAATCCCTCGGGGGCATTGCAAATGTATATCTTTTGTTCCTTGTCGCCAGTTTTCCGACGTCACACCACACACGCACGCGCAAAGTAATAAAAACGAGCAGAGAAACGAGCGGGAGGAGCTTGCAACATATGTTGAACATGTGTCATTTTTTACGAACTCTTCAAAAAATTTTGACATAAAGTTACACTTTCTCTACACTTTTTGCGGGGTCGGAGATACTCAAGAATCAGTACTAACCGGTGGCCCGTGGAGCCAGATCACAGAAGCGGACGACGTAGTTACGATCGGCTACTCTTATGGCGTTGATGAGCTGATTGTCGTGCTCGATGAGTGTGCTTCTGGTCAGACCGATCGGCTTGTTGAATGTCACTTCTTTGCAGTTAAACTCGTCACGAGATCTCAGACGACAGCACATGGTTTGAATTCTGTAATAACACAAATCCGTTGTGTTTTTCTACTTGTTTAACGTCGTACCGGGTGTCGGAAAGTCTGGTGATTCCGGCGAGATATTCCCGTGGAGCGCAAGTGAAAGTCGTGTTCTCATCGAGGATCGGATCAATCATATCGGAATAATGGCAATCTTCTCTTTCGATTTCAGCTACTCCAACAGGGATGTTGATCCATGGGTACAGATCTTCCACGGTTTCGCAGGACAGGTCGAATACAATGTCTTGCCGCTTTTGTCCAACCGATTCTACCATCCTCACTGATAATTCTGTTGCGGCGGCCTGAATAATAGCATTCGAAAAAGAGATTGAAGTAAATGCCACTTACTCGTTTAGGGCATTCTATTCTGAAATTATCAAATGGCGATGAGACGAAGACATTCTTGGAAGCTACTGTAGAAACCAGTGCTAGAAGCAGGAATTGCTTCATCTCTGAAAAATGAGAAAGAATTGACAATGCTGCCATTTGGAACGGTCGATCTTTAAAGGACCGTGAGTGGTGAGAAAAAAGAGCTATACAGGATACGGATGAAGACCGGAGGGACAAGATGGATGGACAGATAACGAAAGAGAAAGGCGGAGTGAGGATGCTGCTGGTGGCCGAGAAAAAGTTGTGCGGGCGCTACTTGCCGGCTGGCTAGTGAAATCTGATGATGTCGTGTCTCGGGAGTGTCCAGAATCGACGCGGATAGTGATAAGGCCTTCCGAAGGCGGTCATTTCGTGCGTTCCGCGCGTAAACACATGATAACCTGCGACGGAATCGAGAAGCAAACCGAACTGAAAGAGTATGAGAAATTCGGAAAAGGAGGAGAAATATCACAATCAAGGAGATAAGATGTCTGGATGAATAATATACAATCACTGTATAGACTTTGTTCACTGAATCATGTGCACTCTTCATTCTCAAATTTATTCTCAAAAACTTTTAAAACGAGGTCTTAACTGAAACCAGTATAACCAATATAAAAGTGAGAAGAATGAATTGTCCGAAGAACCGTTTAACCTGGACATCGCTTCATTGATACCACTTCTAGGTCACACAGTTTTCACGGAAGAATAGCAAAACGGTTCCCAGAGTGATGATAGAGAAAAAATGTGGCCGCAGGTGGATTGGAAAAGAAAGAAAGTTTCATGAAAGCGAAACTTGTCTGATTGACCCGGTTAGGAGACGGCCGCGCGTCGCGTCGAATATACTTTTGTCGGAAGAAAGAGTTCATGCATTCCCCCCTTTCTCAATGCGCTAATCATTAATCAACCCACCGATTAATGCAATCCTTTATTCACAATCAATTCACAACCATTTTAAAGTTCATAGAATAAGACAGACAACCGATGATAAAGTTACTGGGGGAAAATGTTTTTTTAGCTTGAAAAGTACATATTACTCCTGTACAATCTTGTACTTGATGTCTTTGCCGAAGAATGTTCCGTGCGAGTTATTGAAGACGAACTTGTAATCGCCAGTCTCTTCAATTTGGAATGATCCTATTTCTGGGTGAAAATCCGTCAGACATCGGAAAACTGGCCAGACCTGCAAACAAAAAGAGCACCTCTCTTTCCTTTTCCAACTTGCGTGCCGAATAATTCCCCGATAAGAAAGATGATTTTTTTCAAAAACATTTCTGACCGATAAAAAGTTTTGCGGGCAGGCTCTTTCTCACATGCAAATGGGCGATGAAACTTGTTGGATCTAGCTGGGTAAATATGATAAGGAAATTAAAACTGACTACTCGGCCGTCTTTTTCGATGCTGAAGTCGATGTCGCCGCTGCTAACACGGAACAACCAGTGGAACTGCTTCCCGCTCTCGCCATACATTTTGATCTGGAACATGATCAAAAAGATAAAAGATAGTTCATTTAGGGTAACCTCGGTTTTCGATCGAGCCGACACGCTAACTTTAGTGCGATCGCCTTCCAACTTGTGCGAATCGCTGTACCTAGAAAAATGCGACAGATTGCATATTCCCATGTTGTTCACAAGTACGTACCACAACTTTTCCGGAACTTTTCCTCCCATCCGAATATCACCGCATGGATTCTCGGACTTTTTCACTCCTCCCCAGTGCACGAATATGTTCTCTTCCCCAATCTCCTCGATGAGATGGTTCTTCCAATCTTTGTCCAAGAATCGGACCTATCGCATAGAGAAAAAACTAAACTGGACAAGCAAGAAGAAGGACTATTCGGTACCTTGTCACGAGTCTGCGAAGAAAGGCACGGCGAAACCATCGCATACACCGCTGACATCATTGCTGGGCAGTTGATAATGAAGATTCGGCGGGCGAAATCAGGGAAGATGTTCTGGAAAGGTGATAATAAAGACAAGTGCAAGATCAAATTCAAACCTGCAACATGGTCAACAGACTCATGTACACTTTGAGAGTTGGTGTGTACAGCAAGTCCATGCTGAAACCGTCAAGATCCATTATGATGATAACTCCCATCTTCTTGTCCGTTTCCTTTTCAGTCTGACGAATGACCTTGAACGACATTTCCGTTTCGGAAATACAAAGTTGAAAGAGCTGAGATGTTGGTCCGGCTTTGACGAGAGTCTTCGGATGAGCCTGCAATTGACCCTACTCAAAAGTATTCCAATTTCAGATGAGAACCTTGGCCATTGCTTGCATGTACACGACATCTCCTCTTTTGCTCTGGCCCATAATTCCTCCGGGAAAGTACTCGGCCACCGCGGACATTTTCCTGATGTCGCTGTTGATTTGCTCGATGGACTCCGGTTGCTGCTTATTCATTCCAAGATTAACCAAAGTTTCAATAGCATACTTCAGTTTTGGAATGATCGCATCTGAAGACGTCATAGAAAAAGAAGGATAACTGAACCGAACACCAAACTCACCAATCTTGTAATCCCATCCCATGAGCCAGCGAAGAAGAGAGAAATCGGTATCATACTCCGGGTAACTGAAAACAGAAACAGAGAAAACATTCAGAAACAGAGAACAAACTGACGTGGCGAGGATATCTTTTGTTTTGGAACGGAGTTCCGCAATCTTATCCTTCTGGAATGGTGTAAGCTCACTGATATGCGGATAGTGATTCTCGACAACCATTGCTGAAACAATGAAAAAACCGAAATACAAACACGCTTGTTAAATATGGTCAGTACGGAATTGGAATTTTTGATAAAAAATTTCGAAAGTGTGTGCTCGACCAGTTCGTTATCAGACTCATCGGAATGAAACGTCAGGTGGTTTGTGATTTCGATAATTGCTAAATAGATGTTCCGAACTTAAAATAAGAACAAACCCAGGGAATTGGCGCTCATAGTTGGTAGTGAGGAAGAGACCAAAAACACTGCAAAGCTTATATCAATATGACTGAAAATAATAAACAAGCAGTGCGAGTCAAGTTGCGCTAAAAACTGAAAGACGCTTTGCGGTTTTTCGATGTCCGACAATTCTGTGTATCTAGGAAATTGAATGAGAATGTGCTTGTCTTCTGAAAAAGAATAATTAGGCACCAGAATGAAATCACATCATGCAGCCAGGATATGTGTATTCCCCCGATTTCAAATGACGAAACGTGCCACGAAACGCATTGGATGTGTATGTGCGTGATGTGTTTCTAACCTGAAAGATACCAATTTGCATATCAAAGAGCCGATTCCATTTTCCAGAAAAAGATCTCTGGCGTCCTGATCAACTGCCGCCATCTCTCGGCGGGCTCCCACTCATCGAGGCGGAGGGATCTTTATGTTTCGAGCCTCTCTCCTCCACACTATCAATTTTTTAGCTGCTGCCGTTTCTGCAGTGTAAAAATGCCGACGGCGTTTGTCAGTTTCTTTTCACAATCCTTTCTCCTTCCCCCACCGACTTGCGACCCTCACTTCTTCATTGCAGACGATCGAATATGGATTTGCTCACGTCGCCGTCCTTCCACCATATCTCGCCACTTACTCGTTCGAGAAGCGATGTGCGTTCAGCGGCAATGAGAAGGTAAACCGATTGTGTGTGATAAGCGATCAAAAACCAAAAGTGGCGACCGAGTTGCCACTTACACCTTTCTTTTTCAAGTCTAGTATAGTCTTAACACCATTTTTACCTTGCCGAAGTTTGACGAGAAGTAATAAATTCGGAGGGTTTCATGGGCTACACTACTAATGACACGTCGCTTTCCTGGGCGTTGCAAGTCGAAAATGGAGAGGGACCAAATCTTCTTGTGTTTCAGATCAAACTCTTTCTCCGGAGTGACCCGGTCGACTTCAAGTAGCCGATTCTCTCGCCCGGATTACGGATATGGAGGTGGCTACATGTCGCGTTCGATCAACAAATGCGGTAGGCAACCTTATATGAATGAAAGCGCGTTCTCCATCGTTTTCGCCGTTTTCATCGGAGTCATCGGTTTTTTCTTCTGTGTCCTATCCGTCTGACGCTTTTTTCCAACCTGTCCCACCCACTAACTTCTCCTTGTCTCTTCTCCTACTATTTTCTGTTGTACTCGGCCAGATATCTTTTCAAATGCATGTTCTGTAGAGTTGTGTCGGGTTGTTGTCATCGCGAGTAAAGTGATTCAGTATTGTTCCATTGTACTTTTTCCTCTATCCGCACACAAACAGCAGAAAAAGCAAATGAATGAGATAGGATAAAGAGGGGAAAAGAGAGAGAGAGAGAGAATTGCTATTCATTTTTCGCATCTCTTTTCCACTATTTTCTGAGCCAGCTGCTCGATTCACACCCACGCACACTTCCCGATATCTTTTCCAAGAAAACGACGAACAATGTTCGAGAAGCACACGAAATGAATAAAAAATAACGAATGAGAACATGTGTTTCATTTTCAGGAGGCACCCTCTTCGGAAGATCGCTGGCCGCCACTGCTCTCACCAAGACACCGCCGTTCCACAATGTCGGAGTTCAACGTAGCACTCCACATTACACCGACAAGTACGTTTTGAATCACCTTTTCTTGTTTTCTGAACAAACCTTGTTTGAGGTACCCATACGTCAGGTACAGCTACGGAAACACTGACACTTCTCTTGGAATTCTGACGCAATCCGAATCGGTTTGGCAGTTTCTGCTCAACACCATCGTTCAATCCTGTTAATTATAGATCTACTCAAGGCACGCGGGAGTCCGTGACATCGGAACGAAGCGTTGGTTGGAGGGAAAACTCAACGCCTACAACACGTCTCTCTTCACGCGCCCGGACTACCAGAAGCGCGTTGAGAAGCCGTTGGCGTCGACCAGAAGCTACGTGAGATACATGCCAGTAGACGATGCTCTGGACATGTACAAAAAAAGATGCATGACCGTCGGAACTCTCTCCAAGGTATTATAATTGTTTCTCGTACTCTTAATTCATATTCTCTTTCTGTTTTCAGTACTGGCTCTCTCCGGCCACCTGGGCTTCTCGTCGTGAGAAGGAGCTCAATCTGTCTTCTTCTCTCAGCCGTGGAAACTACTCGTATTCAAGCCGGTTCGACAGGTAAATTCCGAGAATCTGGTACTAACAGCTCCTGCTCATCATCATCTTTTCAGACTCGGAGGACGCGTCTACTAAGACCGGACATTGTGCGAACCACTTCTTCATCGCGAAAAAACATTCACGATACGTTCTTTCTAATCGACTCTGAATACGCTTCCGCATTTTGTTTGGTGTATAACAAAAGTGCGATGAGCAGTTCAATTTTTTTGTTGCAACTTTTTACAGAATGATGTTTCTTTTTAATGAACGTAAAAACAAATAATTGCGTGTTTATTGGATTTTACATTATAGCCGCGGAAAATATAACAAAACACCGATTTTGACAGATGGAACTGAAGATTTTGGAAGAGTATACAAATAAAGACATCAAAATTTCACGGGCATTAAGCGAAGCGTCGGTGGTTTCATCATCATTTACAATGGTCCATTCTTGGCCGGAAGTGGCGGCGCCTGTTGGTAAGCGCTGTACGCCGGCGGCTGGGCGCTCTGCTGTGGCTGCTGCTGTTGATACGCCTGATATTGTGGAAGTCCGGCTTGTGGAGCAGCTCCCTGTCCAATGTTGAAGCCAGCCTGCGGAGGTTGTTGTTGTGGGTACTGCGGCTGACCCGGCAACTGCTGTTGAACCGGGTACGCTTGCACATTCTGATATTGAACGGTTCCCACTGGCTGAAATTGTCCCGCTGGGTATGGAGTAGTCTGTCCGATTCCCGGATACGGCGGCGGCATGTCATAGACGTACACGTTTTGAGCTGAAATAATGTAAATAGTAAATTCCATCTGTCTTCAAATGTCGAGTACCTGGCGGGCGCTCCGGGAACACGTTAGTTGGGGCTTGGAATCCTTGGTATTGGCCCTGGACCAAGTAATAGGTTGGTGGAGCCGCGTAGTAAGTAGTGGTCGACTGTTGTTGCATGTTTCCAGTAGCATATGCTGGCGGGGCAGCAAACGGACGCGAACGAGAAGCTGAAAATCAATCGATAGTAAGTTTTGTGATAACTCCGACATCTGACCCATGTCGGCAGCGCGCAGGAGAGCTTCTCCAAACTCGATGCATCCTCCCTTCGGGAAGGAAAGTCTCCATTCCGGACATCCGTCGAAGTTGCCTCCCGGCATCGGAGTGACCCAACCCTGAAAATAACCAAATTCATTCACCACGCCACACATCTGATGGCGCAACAACCGACCTTGAGGTAATTTGGAGTGAGAAGCGGCTGTTCGAGTTTCACATCTCTCACCGAGTGGAAGGGCATCGCGAAAGACTTGAACTCGTCTTTTTTGCTCTCATTCATGAAGATAATCTGAAATTGTCCTTGGAAATGGAGCTAGCTGAAGGCGTGCTTACTCTGTGGGAGGTCAGGTAGAGCGATCCAGACTTCGTCGATTTGAAAGCTGGAATTCCGTACTTTTCGAAGTTCAGTTTCACATTTGTCGTGTAGAGAAGAATCCTGAACAAAAATCACGATTTTTCAACCCAATGATACCACAAAACGCACATTTCTCCGTTGTAAATGAGAATTCCCTGTCCATCGGGGGTGTGCGACGTGTTGAGCGACATTGTTCTGCTGAAAAACAAGAGAAATCGATGGGTTTTCTGAATTTAAAACGAAAAATAATTGCGAAATCTGCGGAATCAACAAAAAATGTTCTCGAAACGGCGTGATGGCAGCGCTTTCATATGACTTTTCCGCGCTGACTCACACACCGCTATCGACCGGCGTGGAGCGTCGTTGTTCTCTGTCCGTCTGCGTCTCTCACTTCTCTCCGATCTCTCATCCGACTGGGCAAAGAGACGCGAGGGACATATCGAGTGTTTGCTGAATGACGAAGGCGAATAGTATCGGTGGCGATAATCGTGAAAATGAAGAATTATGTATATGAATCAGGAACTTTGTGTGCTTGCAATTTATCGGTGCGCTTGAAATTTGAGCCGCTTTGTCATTCAATTCATTTTCGTTACATTTTTTAGAAATGTCACATTACGGGCAAAAGAAATGAATTACAAACACAGAGCAAACCAGAGACTATTGGATAATGAATTTCTAGATATCACATGAAAATGGCAACACGGTTGCTTGGCCATTGAGAGAGAAATAAGACACTGAAAGTTGAAGTTAAAGTGAACCAAGGAGAAAATTTATCCGATAAACTGATGTGGCGATTAGAAAAGTGTCGATGTCAATAAACCGAACAATAAATACAAAATAACTGAATGCGAATCAAAAGAATAAATGCGAGTCGTGGGCAACAGTTGTCATGTTGTCTAGTACAAGACTTTATTAGCCAGTGACGGTGCCGGCTCAACTTTGTGTCCCTTGTTGTGTCGGAGAATTGCGACGAGTGGGTGGATGGTCTCTTGCAGATCCTGAAAAAGGAATTCCTTTACAATTCACTGAAAATCATCAAGATTACTCTGAAAAGGTTCTCGAGTGAAGCAGTTCCGTGGGTCCAGTAAAGGTTGTGTTGGAGTTTCGAGATTCCAGTTGGGAGCGGGGCGAATCCGGAATTGTTGACCTTGTAGTATTCGAGGAAAGAAATGTTGGCCTGGGTGAGACTTTTGATGGCGGTGGGCTGAGGGAGCACTTCCGAGTTGGTGATGATTGGCAGCACGTTGGTCTTCAGGTCATCTCCAAACATTTTCTTGACGTCAGCCAATTCATAGATGAACGGCCACCCGAGCTGGTTTTCGTCATGCTTCAGAACAATGGAAATGGCATCAAGACGGAACGCGCCAGACTCGAGCAGCTCCTAAATTCTTTTTAATAATTTTTCTGTATCAATTTCTAAATGAAAAACCTTCTCAAACCATTGTTTGATGAGCCGCGACACCGTCTTATTTCCCATTCTGTCCTCCACTCCAGGAGTGTCAACAACAGTGACGTTGTACGGGAGAACGGTGTTGTTGAAAACATAGGCGGTGAGGCCAGTGGTTGCGTTCACGTGTTCGTCCAACACAAACCTGTGCAAAAAGAATGATGTGTTAATTAAAAACGTTGGGTAGTACCGGAATGAGTTCTCCTTCTTGACGTCATACAAGAAGTTCATCATGCTGGTCACAGCAGAAGTTTTTCCCGATCCGACCGGTCCGAACAGAAGCAGAGTCTGAATTGTGCGCCTATTTATTTGAATTGTCATGAGTTGTACCTTGTCGTCGTCGCTGGCATGAGCATCTCCTCCAATGATCACCTTGTTGATCTTGTCGTTCTTGGAGAAGTTGTCAACGACATAGTATTGAGGCACAATAAGCTCGTACTTTCCGACGCTGGCAATCTGAATCGAAAACGTTTAGAAACTTTATTTCATTATAACATTTACATGCTCTCCAGAAGCTTTTTGCTTAGCAGCCAATGGGCTCACATGAACTTCTTCCTCCTCGTAAATGCTCGAGTCAACGCTCTCTGAACGAATTTTGCTCTAATTGAATTGCTGAGTTTTCTTACTGGAAGAGTGGCTCGATTTTGGTTGTGGTGAGAGACGGTGCTCGTGTTCGTGGCTGTAGGAGCGCACGTGATGTCCGATCGGCTTGGCTCCTTGTCCGATGTTGTGAACCTTCAAAGAGGCTTCGCGGGCCAGATTAGCGTGAGCAAGACGGTCGTTATCAGAACGCTGACGATCAACTTGATGCGAGAGCTGTGCCTTCTTGACACGGGCGTCATCCACTTGACGTTGGAGGTTTCTCAGCTGCTGAGTTCCTCCAGTGTGGAACGAAGCCTGCGTATGGTTAGAGTAAACGCTTCCCGGAGACTGAAAAATTATAAGTTTTTAGAGCTGCGACAAATATCATTTACGCTGAGTACACGTTCAGATTCTGGGCGTTTGTAAGCGACTTCGTTGTGGTATAGGTTAATCTCCTCTCCATGGTATTTGTCGTGATCGTCATGGACATCGAACTGTCCGAAACGGCTCTCAGGATAAGACGCCAAGCTGTCAATCGTATTGGAACGATCGCGTGCAGCGTAGTCTGTAATCAGCATTTGAGTAGAAAAGTGTTCTTAGTTAATTCCGTAAGACACCCGGTACTTACTCGCATGACTTTTTCTGCTGTAAGAAGAGTGTAACATGACAGAAAGGTGTGAGTATGACTGTTTTCAGTATCGTTCTGCACAACAATTGAGGCAAACTGACCGCACTGACAGAATGAGTCACGCGGTAAGTATGAATGCTCGCCGTGTACGAGGGCGGGAGTTGTGAACAAGAATGCAAACTAAAACTGACTGGTTTTTGTTGGATACTGATGGTGGAGGTTGAAATAATCGCTCTTCTCATCCTCATAGTCCGGTTGCGGCTCATCTCCGTGCGCCTGGTAGACGTGCTGAAACTTACTTTTTCAATACGGCTGTGACGTGGAAACGTTTTCCAAAAAGCGGTAGTGTAATCGTATGTCTTATCAGAAATCAGAAGATTATCAGAAATAAAATCGTACATAGTTTTGAGAAGAAATATTCAAGTCGTCAAATATGTCGTTTGCAATGACGCTAGCTGCTCGGGTGGCGGCTGCTTTCTAAAACGGACCGAACACACCATGGACCCCGGATTACTAACTCACCTTGGCAGTTCCGTTGGTAATGACACTCGACGTGTTTTGCGGGTGGTGCTCGCTTGCGAATTGGCTCTGGCTCCTCTTCGAATTGACGTGGGAGCTGACGTGGCTCGACGGAGCACGGAATGGCGGCTCGCTGACGATGGACTCGTGGTCTTCTCCGTCAAGAGCTTCTTCCAAATGGCGAAGAGCTTCATCGTGTACGTTCAAGTTGACGGTCGGCAAAGTTACGGCCGAGAAGATCTGTGAGCACGTCATAAAGCTAAAAGCATGAGTAAGCATACCGAATCCAGAAGGGGATCTGCAATTGGTTTCGCATCGAAGTAATGCGAAATTGGAGTGGTGTTGAAGGTTGGTACCGGAGCAGTAACAACCGGCGGAGGAGCCGCGTGGGTGATGGTCGTGGTAGTGACTTGGGAGCGGGAAGTAACGACGCTGTTTCCAACCTGAAAAATAATTATTCCATCTGAAATGAGAAGGGAAAACTAACCGGAACCTCTCTCACAGTCGAAACGCTCGAATCGGTTGTCTTACGGCTTCTAACAACCGACTGAAAATGTATTGTTAATCTTTATAGACCCTAAATTCAAAAATTCATTACATCCGAAGATTTCACGTTGGTAGCGGTGGTCAGAGCAGGGAGTCCGCCAAAGACGTCGTCCAAGTTGATGCTGACAGAGCCGACTCGCGACATGTCTAGAAAACAGGACTCTCTACGCGCACTCTTTCCGGCGGAGAGTGATATTTGAGAAGACATAAAACAAAAAGCGAAACGAACGGGCAAAAACTGAGTCATGTGAGTGTTTATGATACCTTTAAAGTAAGTTGAGCTGACTCACAATCAGAAAAAAAACTTTCCAACGCACTTCTACTCCCACCTGCAATCCTGAAAGGAGCCCCGGAATGGTGATTGACCGCGGCGAAAGATCGTTGCAAGAGCAAAAAGTGAAGGAGTTGTAATGGAGTGCAAAGTCGGAAATGGCAAGCAGCAAGATGCCTGGCAAAACCGTGTTCCTTATCAGTGTGTGCCACGCATTACACTTCGCGTCAGGCGCCATACGTATTGTATGCAGCTAACAATCATGTACATACAATCGAGCGGAGGGTATGGGAGAAGGTAAAATCAAAATAATAAAAGAGAGTGAGCGGATGAAAACATTATTGGTCTCACTCGCTAGTCAATGTAATCGAACGCGAGTATTTTCACGTTTTTTTCAGCAATTCATCATTGTGTCATAGGGGTCAAACTGTTTGGTTTACAGGCACCTTTAAAGGTCAGAACGATTCAATTGAGAGAGACTTCGAGAAACACTGAAAGTTTTCCCTCAATTAGCTCGATAAAATCTGAGTGAAAAAAGTTTTCGGAAGAAAGGAAAGTGTACACGTACACAACGACTGTTCGCTATTTTTGGAGGCGTCTCGCATCGTGAAGAATCGTAAAAGCAAGGAAAATTCCTAGACAGTCATGTTTGGACCAATGACATCAGTTTCGTTACCGGCAAACTTGTACAGTCGATGTGGAAATATGTCGAGTTGATAAGCATGGAGAAAGGTAGAGAAAGCGGGAACTTTGCGTGATAAAGGAGACGATCGGGCCTATCGTGGAAGGTTTCAAAATGAAGATGTTTGCTCGTAACATGTGAACACATTATTGCTTTTATTGGGAGACAACTTTACATAAGATTGAATAAAAATGCAGAGATGAAGAAGAATGTGCACTGAACTTGAGAGAAACCCATCACATACATGTCTAGCGGAGGAAACGGGGCGAGAAAATACAAGCAGGAGGGGAAAGTTTAGGAAGATACATTGATGAGGGGAGAGAGAGAGAGTTGGCGGGGGAACGGGAAAAAACATCTCAGAGAAGTAGTACTCGTCAAGATACAATTGAACCTGAAGCTGCCCGCAACACCCATACATCATAATACAGACTATATGGTTGCTACCATGCAGCTCCAGTCCTCATGTCATATGGGAGGCGTGGTTTGATCGGAGATCCGGGTCGTCACCATTTCAATGTTCACAACCTTTCCGTTGCCGTTCCCATTGTTATTCTGGTGTTTTGGAGTTGACCTATTGTTCGAGGCACCACCGTCCCGTGCCCGTCGCTTGCCTTCTCGCTTACGACGAGCCTCTTGGTCCTCGCGCGTCTCTCGGCTTTTCCGTGTGCTTTTCACTCCGCAGAACCTGCAATTGTTGTCATTTTTGTCATCGAACTATCTCTTGTGTTGTGTGTTCCCATGCAAATACTATCAAACGCCTCTTTTCTTCTTCACTCAGACAGGTTTGGGCTGTTATCTAAATTGTTCAAGCACAAATATTTGGCAGTTTTTTTAAAACAGGGAAAGAACGCTCAACACCTTCTTTCTTTCAAACTGAACCTAAAGTGATGCGTATCAAATGCTGTGCACCACGGCTCAAATTCTTATCATCCGGTTCTCTTTCTTTCCCATACACAATGATAATTTGTGACACGTACTTGTGCAAGACGTATCGGAAAGAGTAGATGACAATTTGGCACAGGGAAATGAGCGAGCCGCCAGCCCACAGAGAGAATTGACCTGCAAACATCACATCGAATTGATATTATATGATTATCGCACAAACAATACCTCCTATTTGAGCAATCAAGCTCGAAAGTGGCATAGCGATAACATGCTTAATAACAGTATAATCCAACTGAGAATAATATATGTCCAAAATAATACGCCTCCGCATTTTTTCCCATTCCTCTCTTGATATTAACATTTTACTCTGGAATTTTTTCAAGTATTAGGGCAGGTCGGTTTCAAACTTTTACCGATTCGCTAGGAATGTTTGAGTAGCTGACTTGTTTGTTATAAGACCAGGAATGGCATGGTGCTTTGCATTTTTTCTTGCACGCATCCACTTTTTCTTTCGGAATTCTGCCGTCATCGGTGAACAGATTGGGAAAGAAGCAGTGGTAGAGAAGAGTGGAAGTGCAGATACTGTCCGGATGACCAGGATTGTGAGCAGCGGCCGGTGAGCATTGGCAGAGAGTCTGCGCTTCGGAGGTCAGACAGTCTTCGTAGCAATGGACGCGGCTGTAGTTCTTATGCGGATCTTGCTCGCACTCATATCGCGGAGGATCGTTCATGAACTCGAACTGCGTTCCGAGTAACGGCATTATTGCATGAACACCTTAGAACAAAAAAGATTCACTTTTAGGAATGATTCACTAACCTGAGGGTAGAAATGTAAGATCGTTGTCTATACCCTTGCCACGTTCCGCAAGTTTTATAATCACTCCGCTGTTAATCATTTGATTAATTCCTGGATTGTAGAACTCTTCTGGTAGATCGATGATGTAACGATCACCGTTTCCAAAACCGCTTGCCTCCTTAAAATCAAACAGAAAGTTCAGATAATATTGCTGCAAAGTATTTACCTGTAACGAGCCCTCCAACCTGAAACACTTTCCAGCAGATGTCATCATCTCGGTTATATTATCACATCTTGACATGTCTTGGAAGAAGGCGGTACAATTGAGCGAAGCATTCCGTAGAAACTCCACATAAGTCATGTTCTTTCTTTGAAGGAGATCTTCAAGTTGAAAATCGAGAGTGTCTATCTTTTTGATGATTTCATCTCTTTTTAAGAGCAAATTCTCGAAAGGTAGTTCTAGGGAAGGAAAAGATAGTTCCAGAAATTGAGCCAGTTCGAATGACACGTTATTCGCTTCAAAATAAGAGCGGTTAAAACGATTGTAAGGACAAACAACAACATCCGGTAGCAATATTGCATCTATAAAAATGTCTTAAAAGATGCTACAACATATTCAGACTGACCTGCTTCCTGAATGAAATAAGAGACAACTATCCGTCGCATAGCATACTCGTCCATAATTTGATAGCAGCCTTGGAATGTCATGCAAAGCGCCGACACAACTATTAAAACCCAAATGATCCGGAGACGTCCGGATGAAGAGAGCATGACATCTCGGAGGCCGTGCAATGTGGATGTTTCTCGAAGCAAATACAAACTATCGTCGTTGTCTTCGTCGCTTTCACTGAGGTCCGAGATGTCTGCCGGCTCACATTGTGATCGCGTTGATGTTCTGAAAGTGGAGAGACTTTGAAAGAATCCGCAACATCAAGAATTAGACAAACCTGCTTCTGCCGGACCATCGTCGAGATAGCGTCTTTTTAAGACAGTGATTCTCCTTTTTCAACCTTCGAATTGCGGATTCGGCCGAGTCGCTCAAAGACTGACTTTGCGTCAAAGAATGACTTCTGACCACTGTGGCCTCGGGACGATTTCCATTCATGTACATCACACAGTTGTCCTCATCGAATCGTGCTCGTCGGATCGTAGACTTTGCCTGTTTTCCTAACATGATCGAGAACAAAGTGCAGAAGAGACGGAAACGGGTATTGCAGAATGAAGACAGATTTGGGAGGATAACCACAATTTGGTCAGGGGCTCAGGGTAAGTGAAGTGGCTTCACGCCAATGTTTGTCTTCAATCTCCGTTTGTCAAGTAGAAGCGAAATAACAGAGCAGTCTTCTGGAGGTCAACGCGTGCACGATCTTAGTGGTAGTGAGAAGCGAGAAAGTGGCGGGCTCAATTCACCCGAGCATCATAATTATGCTCTCTCTGACTATTTTGCGGCTCGATAATTATGTTTTCATATGAACTATTGTCGCATTTGCCGGGAAGAAATGAGACATAATTGAAAAAAAGAGAGACGTCATCAAAACTCAGGGTTGTTTGTTATCATCCAGAGAAATGGGGGTTTCAGCTGCACTTTTCTGATAATCTAGTCGGATATCTTTTCACAAGACAAAGATGCTAAAAACGAATGTTATTCTTTGCTCTGTTGCTAACTCATTCCCACTTGATGCATTGGACTCGCGTGCTAACGAAACGTTGACAATTGCAGTCACAACTTGGATGGGCGCGATAATGTGACAAACGTTGGGTCGAAATGTTACAACTGATCGAACCACTTGCAGAAAAAACTGAGTATTTCAGAAGGGGTAAGTGAAAAGTGAAAATCGAAAAGGAAAATGCAATGAATGATCGGTCAAGATGTCTGACCGCTATTATAAACTTCCAGCAGATCCTACTGGATAATGGATGAAATGTTTAGATAAAGTGTTTAAATGAAAGATCATAAAGTGTGTGGTGGAGCCAAATGACTGCGTATTGAAAACAAATTAGAGCCACGACCAAGCGAAAAAAGTGCACTTTGAAGGGTCCCCGCTTTACACTTTACAAAGCGGTAGGTTCAAATGTCTCGTTGGAGGTGAGATGATTTGAGTTTTCGTATATCAGCAGGATTGGAGCGTTCGAGGAAATTGGATATAAGGTGTAAAATGTTGAAAAAGACGCTTTGTGTGGTTTTTTCCTCACTTGCCACTTTTCACGCATTTCTTTTCAAAAAAAAAAGATGAAGAGGAATGTGTAGTGACGTGTATCAAAATTTGAGGAGGAACGAGACAGATACGGAAGAATTTCTAGACGAATTTCGATAAACAAAAAAAAAACCGAAAATTTATGAATTTTTAGAGACATTTACATTATACCAGACAATTTCGTGACTAAGAACATCGCATCGTTTTCGGAAATTCAATCTGTCCGAAACTTGATCTTTTTCATATTTTCATCACTAATGGGAGGTCAAAAAGAAAGACTGACAGCGAAAAAACGGCAGACTTTGCAATCGGAATCTCATCCCGTTATTGAACAGCTGTCATCAAAAGTGTAGAGTGTCGAAGTTTTCCGAATGTTTGAAACAATTTATAGTAGTTTTCATCCGAGTGCAAATAAAGAACTCCTTCTGGATTCCAAAAATTTCGAATGAACTTCTTACGACGCTCAAAAATATTTTAAAACAGACGGGTTTTTTGTGAGAACTACTAGTGTAAACCAGGTTTCGTGAGCGAACAAATCACTTAAGAATTTGAGGTGTGAACCAAGAGGAACAGTTGTGAATAATGAGTGATGGGTGTGTTAAATTCTGATAGTGGTGGGGCAAACTTATCACCTGACGTCAGATTCCTCACTCCCTCTGGCCCACATGATAAATTGTTGGCCCTCGTTTTCGACTGATTGAGCCTCTGATCAGTTTGGAGTGTAAATAACTGATTGGAAGAAGAACGGAATTCGGACAGAAATTAGTTTCAAACTTTTCAACACCAGATTTCAACGCATGCTCTCTTTGTTTTTCGCTCTTTTCAATCTCAGTGAATTAGAAGATTGGAACGAGGATTTGAAAGTTAAAATTGTTTTGCAAAGGAAAATAGCGATATTATCGATTTTTGATTCATTTCAAAACTTTTTCATAATTGAAAGAAGAAAGAAAAAAAAACGTTAAGGAAAACGAGGAAAACGGAGTGGTCGGTCAACGGATTTCTTGAACTACCTCATTAATCACTATTGCTTCCTGATGCCCTCGACAAATTCTTTCAAACAGCTGTATTTCGCTGCTAGAACCACCCCTCAATTAATAGTCAGTGAGTCAGAAGATGCCCCCCAAAAAAGTACTACTCGACGCGGAAGTGTGTACTGCTAGGATTCGCAGGGAAAGTAATTGGATTATTATTGTCAGCAAGTTTGGAGAGCGAAGCAAGTTATGAGAAACCAATTGTGAAAGACTCTGTGACACAATGGTCTACTGGGACCACAAAAAACGTGTTCGCATTTAGAAAAAAGACAAATCGAGGAAGGCTCAAGATTTTGCTGAACAGATTAGGGTCAACGCCCGCTCGGAAAAAAAAGAAGAACGAGGAATTGTTTTCAGCATATCATCCGCGCATTTTTTCTTAGGTTAGCAAACACGCAAATGAGCCGGGCGGCCTCAGTCTTCACTATGGTTGAAAAATATGAAGTGACCGAAGTAGGTGATAAACTGGTCCCCGGGGAAAAATCAGCAGCCCTCTTCGAGCAGGAGACACGAATTTCGACGAAACGGAAAGAACTTGCAAGCACCGCAACATTGTCCGCAATTTTTTGAGCAAAATGTATTGGTGTCGCCCGACTGTTCCGAGGGAATTGAAAGTTTCTCTCTGAAGTGATTTGTTTTTTTTGTGTCGCTTCTGAGGAACAAAACGCCGCCGACGAGTCTATTCCGGGCAAGATGTTTCTTGTAGTGGATCGGTTTTCTCGAAAAAATAGACCAAGTACTCTGCGCATTAGTCAGTCCAGTTCGATAGATCGGTATCAACATTGAACGAATAACCTATAATCGGACACAAAATTCGTAGCCGGGGGTTGCTTCACGTGGGTGAGCGATTTGTCACCTATAGATTTCATTCACAATTGTACCTGATCTCGACAGATCATTTCCAAAGATCATTGTCAGATCGAGGCGACGGACGGATTGACCGATGTGCAAAATCTTCGAAGAACATTTGACCCGCCCTATTTGGACACCGAGTACTCGCTTCATTTTGAATCTCTCACTAACAGTGAGCGCTTCGCTTCAATTCTGACATGACGCACATACTACCGAGAATACTCGGTTTTATACTATTTGTCCTATTGGCAGCAATATTCATGACAGAAATTATGCATTCGTATCGTCACTATATAAAACAATCAGAAATGATTTCAATTTCCCTCCCAGAAGACGACTTTCCAAAAAAAGAGAAACAAATGAAGACCTTCTTCAGTCTTTACAATAACATGGATGAAATTGTTCAACAAAACAATGATGTGAGTTTGATTTTTTGTAATTTCCGTCAGATCTGACCAAGATTTGACTTGTTTCAAGATTGTCCAGCCCCGTGTGCTAAATGGTACTGCCGATATGTTCTGTAACGGTACAGATCATTGCATCCGTCCATTCATCCGTCATGAGACTAGATATAGAGTAAGTGAGGGCAAACACTTTGAACTGAACGGATCACAGACAGTTTTAGGTTGCACCGGATTACAAAATAGCTCACTGTGTGGTTCACAAATCAATGTCAACGGTAATCACGGGAATCATGTGCTATTTGTATAACAGAAATAGTTTTGTGAAAGTTGACAAGCAAATGAACATGTCAGAATGGGATAAAGCGTCGTGAGTAGAAATAGGTTCAGTAAAAATTGACAATCAAAAAATGAAAATTCAGACTTTGCCGTGGGGACAACACGTTCCGGTATCTGCAAAGTCTTCAAAAAAGATACAATGCTTCAAAAATGGACGGCTGGAGTCTGTCGATGATTACACGCGACCCGATTGACAGATTCGTATCAGGCTATGTGGATAGATGCATTAGGTTGGTGGCTCACCCAGCCAACTCACACACTTCCCATTGTCACATTGCAGAGTGGCGGAGGGGCCGAGTCCATGCAATGGGTGCGATAAGAATATGACATGCTTCATTCTCAGCGAGTATGAGAGATTCAAAAAGCAGGCCTCAAAAGGGGTTCTCACAAACACATTTGAGGATCGACACTTTTATCCGCAGAATTGGTGAGAGTCATGAATTATTGAAGCGTGCTGATGGAATCCGGGTCCCGGTCCCGGACCCGGACCACAAATCTTTGGTAATCAAGAACCAAAACAGTTGTTTTCTAGGAGATGCGACATCAAGACAATGAGGGACAAATACGATTTCATCCGCTACTCCAGCGACCCTTCAAAGCAACTTATGGAAGACTTGTTTAAAATAGCTCGCCGTCAAGGGGTGGGTATTTCGCCGTAAAATACCGGCTCATTAAAACGAAGGGAATGGGTGGTTGTTTTGTTTTGATCACAACTATCATGAAGCCAATTTTCTCACTCGTTCGCCACTCCATACGTGCCCACAATAACGTTAAAGTTGGATGGGGTTGAGAGATGGGAATATTTTAAGATGAGCAGCAGTAAGCAGAATAAAAATTGAATCTCTCGTTTGGAAAAATAAAGGGTTCGGTTCTTATTCTAAAATAGAATTTTCCAGGTACCTGAAGTGGAACTGAATTACATCGAAGAAGAGCTAACGAGAAACCGCAAAACTTCGCATACAACGGCGTACTCTCCAGCGCGAGAGTTCTATCAGAAAAGGTATGCAAATCGGGAGCAATAAGTTTACTTAAACTTGTGACCAAGCTTCCGGAAATAAGTGACATCTCAGAAATCATGACATTTCGCCAGTGCGCTACTCTTTTTTCGAAGCGCTTCTCAAAAGCGCAGATGTCCTCCGCGCGCGCGGTAATGGGTGGTACATACGCTGTGTGTGGCGCGTCTTTATGTGAAATTCAAGAATGTGCTCCCAATTTGTTTTTGCAGACTGCGAGCGAACCCTCTGTTAATGGAATACGTGGTGCGAATGTTCTACCATGACTTTGTCATTCTCAATTACCCTTTTCCGGACGGCTTCTAACCGGGAACTAACGACTTTTCGGAATACCTTCTTGTGTCATCAACTCTCTTTTTTTGATTTACGTGTCATTTGGTCCCCTTCAGTGTATGAACTAATTGTTTGCGGTCGATAGTAAAACTTTTTTTTGTTTCACTGTTGTCGTCACACAGATTAACCCCAAATCCTCCGCATTCCGGTACATTGAAAACTTCATCGATTCTCAATTATGTTTTCCGCTCCGTCAACTTTCATGCAATTTGCCAGAATAATCATTTGTCTAGCCGTAATCACCACAATTTACATTATCATGCTGATACCTTGGCCAGTGATCCGAGAAGAACCGAAGTCCATTGTTCCACCAAAGAGTCGGGATGTACGGGCTGAGCAGATTCGAATGTTTGCACTCAATCAAATCGTAAAACAAAATTCACATGTAAGAATTTATTTTGCACAGTTTTCCGTTTAGAAGTTGTTCAGATTCTCCCACCACGCAGCAAAAACATTTCTGCTCAAGAGATGTGCAGAAAAAAGTACACGTGTCCGCCACAACTCCGAAGATATGAGACAATGCTGAGAGTGTCACCGAAATACAAAATGGTGAATTGTGTCGTTCAAAAGTCCATGTCCACTATGATGACGGGTGCAATGTGCTATTTGTACGACGAACAGAAGTTCGAGCGGTCGGGTAGAAAATTTGAATATGAATTTAGCGGAAGGTGGATAATAGCCAGGAATAGCCAAATATTGTAAAATCAGATTCTGCAAAGGAAACAATGAGTTTTCGAGTGTCAATGGAGTGCGAGACGTGTACAATATCTCACTTTTTAAAACTGATTGGAGCTTTTCAATGATCACCCGCAACCCAATCGATCGTTTTGTTTCTGGATACGTGGATAGATGTGTCAGGTTGGGTTGATGGACTTTTCTAGCTTTGCATTTGGTATTCTTCTTGTGTTGTAGAATACTTCAACCAAACGCAACCGAACAATGCAACGGATGTGGTTTGAACATGACTTGTTTCATCGAAAAAGAATACAAACATCTCATGGATATCTCGTTTAGACGAAAAACTCATCGAACTATGGAAGACGCTCACTTTTTTCCACAAATATGGTTTGAAAAGTTCATAAACAGACAGTCATTCTTTTTTCTTTTAGGCATTGCGATTTGAACGATGAATTTGAATTTTTTGAATTCATTCCATATTCCACGGACCCTGAAACAGAACTGATGCCTCATTTTGAAGATTTATTGAAAAGACAAAAAGTGAGACAACTAATGTTGTTGATTTCTTATTCGATTTACCTTCCAGGTTCCTAGAAGCTCTATCGAATTTATCAGAAACGAGTTTGCTACTAGAAAGCCTAACCACGCTACAACTGGCACTCCAGCCCAAAGATTCTATTACTCCAGGTGTGGAAATCGAAAACGTCTTGAGTTTATTTTATTTTATGTTTCAGGCTCACAAACTCTCCGTATCTTCTGGAGTTCATTGTCAAAATGTTCTACTTCGACTTTGTTCAGTTCCATTACGAATTTCCCCCTGGATTCTGATCAGAAAAGACAAAATCACTCCCTACTAATTTATTTAATAGTTGTTTTAAATACTGAGAAACGGGATAAGATTGAAACCGAAGGGCAATAAAAAGATTTTTGTTTCGTTCCGGGTTCAGTGACATCGGAGGAAATTCACTTGTCATTCTATGTAAGCGTTGATGATTGGCATATCCGGCGCTCCAAAAAGAGACGTTTGCTTTATTACTTTATTCCAGTTGTGAGAAGTGAAATAAATTGCAAATCGAGAGAATAAAATCAGTTAAAAGAGAGAAAGGGAAGGAAATGAAGTAAAATTTAGTGTTTTCGAATCGAAATAGAAAAATGATGTAAAGGAGTTTGAGTTGACCGATGTCTAGTAGCAAATCGCCTATTGCCTATCAGAGATCTCGCAATTCCGATAAACTCTCACTCCAGTAATTACGATTTCCGCAGTCTCTTGGGGGTATGAACACAAATAGAAAAGAAGTTGTGAAGCATCGAGTGAGTTAGGCTTCGGTTTTCGGGCGACAGGTGATCCACGACTTGATCGAGTCGATCGCGGCGATTTTCTCAACGAACTCGAGCAGTTTTGGGTACTTGCGGAGAGCTCCGGGAAGGATCTTAGTGTTCATGAACCAGAAGATGTGGAAGATCGCGAGATCCGCGTACGAGATCTAGAAAGGAATGAAAACAGGTTGATTGGAGACTATTACAGTACAAACCTTGTCCCCCACAAAGTATCCAGTCCCGTTGGTGACCAGAGTGGTTTCAAAAGCCGTGATGAATGGGATGATAGTGCTTTCGATGAGTTTTTTGAAAATTTCCACCTAAACAAATTTTAACTATTTCTCTTCTCTGCTCATTGTTTCCCACCTTTTTGGCGTTGTCTTGCTCTTTGAACCACGGTTGAATCTCAATGAGGAAATCCTCAACGCACGCCACGAGCTCATCCATCTTGGCCGTCTCCCAATCATTTTCCCCAGCGAGTCCTAAAAGTAAAGTAATCGAGGGAACCGCAATCGCGCAATCCGAAAAGTTCTTTTTTTGCTTTCTTCCTAATCCTAATTGCTTTTTCCCGACTTTCCCTAATGGGCTCCTCAAAAACGTTTCCAGCAACATCAGACATGCATGGCAGCTGTCTTTCCCAGGACCAACGAACGCCAGACAAGTTCCGTACTTGCGCCTCCCTCTCACATCAATTATTTCGGTTTGCCCTTCCACTCACCAAACACCTTTGCCAGATAGCGTTCGATGACTCGGCTCTGGGCCAGTTGCTTTCCGTCGACGTACAGGACCGGCAACTGTCCGTGCGGAGTGGCTGCAATGAAATTTTTCGTGTAGCAGGCAAGGAGATGACAGAGAGACAAGCTGTCTATTTCCTAGAGACGTACTTGGTTTAATTTCCGGCCACGCGGACTTCTCCACTCGTTCGTCCTTGTACTGGGCGCCCGCGTAAGCGAAAATGAGTCGCGCCGGCTCGGCGCGTCCCATCATGTTGAAGTATTGAAGCTTGTACTCCGTCATCGCTCTGAAAGTGAAACAAAGGACAATGGGAAGAGAGAAGGCGAGAAAGAAAAGATTTCAGATAAAGAAAGGAGAGGAGAAAAGGAGAATGAGGCCCCAGGCGGCTTGAAGCACAATCAATTAGGTTTTTGGTGGTTTTGTAAAGGACAATCAGCTGCGTTCAGTGCCCTAATGAACCGATTTGCCCTTTTACATGCGTTTTCCCGGGCGCTCGACTGTTGAACGTGATTCACAACACTCTGGAGAATTCCAAACTTGAAATGATGACAGGAAACTGCAAAAGTGCAAGTGACATATCGACATCGAGCAGATATGCTCAGAATTCATACTTTCTCAAGTATGCGAGAGAAGGGTTGGGTAGCAGATTCTCACATTGTTCTGTGGACCCCTTCAGAAGAGCGGGCAAAAAGTTGTGGGCGGCGGTGAGTGCTCACCTCAATGAATGGGAAGGAGGTTTTTGGATAGAAAGAGCCGTGAGGAGGGGTTAGATGCAATTTTAAGTGCTGAAATGATTTCGGCAGGCGCCGGAGCGAAATTCAATTAAATGCGGCTGCGCGTCTGAACGAGAGTAGACCGGGCGGGTCTCCAATCTAACGTGTTTCTGCGCGAGAGCTCAGGCGCCACCCCTTTTCACACTGAGAAGGACCCACCTCTTCAGGCACAAAAATTTGGAAATGATCATTGAGAAAGTGGATGCATCTCACAAAGAACGTCCAGAATCACAGTTTCAAGGCACAACAACGCCAAATCCGCAAATTTTTTCTAGAGAATAATAGAGAAAAAGAAGAATTGCAAGCCAAACTAGGCGTCTCACAGCGTCTCGCAAAAAGAGGGCTCCCAAAAAAACATGCGCGCCGCATTGCTTGGTTTTTTGTTGGTGCAGCGTCTTTGTTCGTTCGAGAGAAGTGCATAACTGGCCAAAAACGAAAAAAAAGGAGAAAGTGTTGGAGAACAACCGCTGAAAATGGGATAGAGACACGAATAGCAGCTGCTGGCCTTTCGGTCTCGTTGCTAGCAAACCAATAAACAGCCTGATTAGAATAGAACCTGCCTATTGACAGGCGGTCACATCGCATTGCACACGGAAATTAGAAATATATGTGTAGCTTTTTTTGGGCGCGAGTAATGACGTCTGCTCTGGCGTTTTTGCAGCTCGCGCCTAAAACGTTCAAATGTTATTTCGGTGGGAGTGTCGTTTCGAGTGACTTTGAATGCCGCACATACCGACCGACTAACTCCCCCTCAGAGCTTCAAACAGAATCATTCTGGGAGCCTTCTAGCATAAACAAAGTGGCTTCATTTTGAGAATGTTTTGGCCGGCTTGAGGGGCCTTTTTAACTTTTTAAAACTGGGCCCGCTGTGCGGTCAGAGCTGACGAGCTGATAAACAAGCAAACAAACAAACACAATATGAATATTCATTCTCAGAACCGTTAGAAAGTTTACGTGTTCATTTCTTGATTTCTCCGTTACAACTTTTTCCGCTTTAAAAATAAAAAAGTGTCCGGACAAATGGAGAAAAAAAGAAAGAAAGAAAGAAAGAAGAGAATAACAACGTCACAAAGTTGTAAGAAAGTCCTGGCTAACTATTCGTATTTCCCTTTCGCTGACAATTTTTCAACGTTTTCTTTTACCGATAAGAGCATTCCTGCGGTGGATGATTCTCGCACTGTCGTTGATGTAAAATTGAATGATAGTGTGGCGAAAAGCTTGTTACGAGAAATTCGGAAGAGTGTACATAAATGTGCATGAAATTCCATGTTTCGCTAATACTCTAATATTTCGGTTCGCAAAAACTGTTGCACCGGATTATCGAAACAATTTGTTACGGAATATTTATGACTTTCTTCCCCCTCAATATTTCATCTTCAGTATAGAAGTTAACATCAAAAACACTGCATATTTCCGTCAGACTATAGTGAAATTGGTTGTTGTTGAAAAAAGCCGGAATATTCATCCTCTGTGCCTCTGTTAATCCCAGATTTGCCTCCTCCTCCTACTAGATACTAGCAATCGTATCGGGGGTTGGCCATTCGGTCAAATGTGTCACTTCGCTTAGATTGCACCATAAATTTCTGCAGAACCGATGCCGTCATCTTTTCGCTGATTGACTAGCCAAACTATCGTTTGACGATTTTCGCGAAATATCTGATAATCACGCCCACTCCTCTTCATTCCTTATCTTCTTCGCTCACCCCACCATTCTCGCCCGTAACATTCTATCAACGCTGCCGCTTCGAATTCCAATCTCTATCTCTCTGTTTCGTTCTTGTTGACTGTCTATATTGGTCACGGGCCGTTTGACCGAAGGTACGTTTTGGTCGGCTGCACGTGGAGCCACTTTCTCAGCCGATCAGGTCCCAAACTAAAGTGGTCCTCGGTGAGAAACTGGCTTCTCGTCACGCTAACCAGTTTTATGACCGTTTTTTATAAGGACACGTATACATACATAGATTGCAGATAGGGTCGGGCGATAGAGGTGAAACGACGGGAAAACGTCATAAAAAACTATTTCCAATTTCCAATTTACGTCACCCAAACACGAACGAGATCTTCCATCCGAAGGATTCATTTAGATCCCATCAGGTCTGCGAGAGAAACGCAATTCCTCGTTTCCTTGTCGGCAGAGACGAGGAACACTCAAGTATTCAGTCGGGAATGCACTTTTGCATATTAGCCCTGCATGGGTGATGAGAAAAAGGGAAAAAGATTGAATGGAACTTTGAAATAAGGAATGAGACGAGCAACATGATCAGATTGACTGGGTTCACTGGATGAAAAAGGCGCGAAAGGGACGAAACTATGAGAGTGTTTTGAAAAAAATGCGGTGAAAGAAAAAACGAAAGAAAAAGGAAGAGGGGCAAGAAAGGCGATGCGTAAGTGTGTATTCTTCTTTTCTCAAAAACATACTTGACTGGCAAGCTCACAGATTCAACGACTCGTCAAAAGTTTAACGAAAAAAGTGAGGGCACCAGCCTAGTTATTCATTCGAGACCAAAAGTTCTTCTTTTATTCAGAGGATATTGAATGGCGAAGCGAAGTAAATTTCAGAGCATGATTCCTTGGAGCTGCATTTTTTCGGCTGCAAAGTTTATGGAGAAAGGAAGTTAAAATACAAGAAAGGAGTACAGAACAAAATAGAGAAAAACGAATGAAACAGAATACGCGACCGCCGAAAGGACGGATAGACAGGAAGAAACGGGGTTGACTTGGCTCTTTGAACGACAGGGGAAATGTGATATCGACAAGAGCGCTCAATTTGGAATAATTCAGTGAGCCCTGGGACAAGGTTTCCGAGAGAAGGAAACGGCCCCTCTGCCACAATGACATCAAGGAGTGTGTGTGTGTATGTGCTCTGCTTGTGCGCATTTATTCAGGACACCGCCCCTCCTAGCCCGTTTTTTCATTCAACCAAACACAGGCTGTTCAGTTCAGCTCATAACAGGATGATTAGTAGCAAAGAGACCCTTTTAAAAAATTCATAAGGCTGATGACGTTGGTAACCAGGAATACACGCACTTTTCAGAAAAGTCCCGAACTGACAGAGAAACAAAAACACATTTATCACTAATACGAATTTGAAACCAAAGTTTGTTTGTTTCGCGCAAACCTCAAGAATAATTTATTTTAGATTTTCATTAACGTGTTTGTTTTTGTTTGCCGTCAACGAGGAAGAAGAAACTGAAGGGCTAAACTCCAGATGCAAACGAAGACTTCTGAGAGCTGAGTCAGAAGCATTCTCTGGAGTCTCCACTCTCCAACAAATATTCTATCAATAACTACAGAGAGAGAGAGAGAGAGAGAGAGAGAGAAATATGAAAACAGGTGAAATTAGGATAGAACATGTTCTAAAAATAGTAGGGGTTTTGAGAAGTTGAGCAACTAGAAAAGAGAGAAGAAGAAGAAGAAAAAACAGAATGAATGACGAAAGGCAAGGGGCGAGTTTTCAAACATATAATATTTAGAGTCCTTCGCTGGAAATGAATTCCTCTAGTTGATAGTGGCTCAGGAAATGAGCCCAATCGACGTCTTTTGCACTGAAAACAAAAACATTGAATGTTGGCATGCACGTAGTTTCAACTTTACATTTGCAATTTGGACACGGTGCTCTGTGTGCAGAAAGCATCAGTTTTGTAGTGGCATGACTTGTGACACACCATTTTGCAGTCTGAAAATATGAATTTAAGACTTGGTCCGTGGACAGAATGAGAGTGGGACCTCTGCATTGATAAGCTTGTTTTGAGAAGCTGCTTCGGATCCTCTGCTGGCACACATTGCACGCCGCACCGCTGCAACTAACATTAGTATCGTGTCTTTGGAACGAACACAGATGGAAAAGACATGGGACAGGACAGAAGGGGAGAAAAAGACAGACAAGAACCGACAAAAACTAGTACCCTTTCACTTTAACGGCGACAAATGTGTGATCGTTGTAGATGTGAAGTTTCTTTCCCTTTCTCATCAGACGAGACGCGGCTGGCTCGGTGAGCATTGCTGGTGGAATCAAGAAATATCTGAAATATCGAAAATTGGATTATAATTCAAAAGTAAATAAACCGTACTTGGCTTGTTTGTCCTGTTCCAACTCGAGAATGAGAGTGCTGTGCTGGTACAAGCTCTTCGATGACTCGCCACTTCGGCCTCCAACTGAATGTGTTTCCCTATACTTGTCATTGGACGACACTAAACTAGCATATACAACACTAGATGGATAAAGTATTCTAACCTGCATGGCGTGTCCTACTAGGATCACGAGATGGCGGGAGGGAAACTGCTTCTTCCAGAGTGTGATTCTCCAGATCGACTGACTTTGATCTTTTCTGGCTCCTGCCTCGTCGCCCACTAAGTCTGTCTCTGAGTTCACCAAAGAAAGATCGATCTCTTTTCTCAGCTGGTGCCTTCTTAGTTTTATCTCTGCTATGTCTGACCTCAAAGTCCTCATGGAACTCCAGTGGAGCTGATTGATCTCGATAGTGTTGGCCGTTGCTACCATTCTTGTTCGGCCTCTCAAGAGTGTTCGATGCAGACATACTCTGAGAAACAGACTGGAGTTTGGCCTCCAACTCCCGAGTTTTCGGATCATTGTGGTTTCTGAATTGTTGATCCAGAATTCTCTGTGTGGCTGGATCAACAGCGTTCTCCAATGATCCATGCACTGATTGAATAGTCGGTTTCTCCTTGAGAGTCTGAAACAGGATAGCTTTGAAACAAATGACGAATATGCTCACTAGTTACCTGTGACACAGTTTTCACGGTTACTGTAGTCGTTTTCGATGGCACTATTGGTTCATGTCCGTCGAAGTTGTCTCAAAAACCAAAGTTGTTCAAATATACTATTATCAACTTGAAATGAATTAATATTGACAAACTGAATAGAAAATAGTCATGTTTGCTCGGTTTTTATCTACATGTTTTGTGCTTTACCATGGGGATCATATATTGGTCTTCTGTGAGTGGTGAGAGTTTCGCGGAACTCGGATCCATTCGGGTTAGTCACTTTCACAGTGTCAGTCAGTTTGCCAGCAGTCAAAGTATTCGGATCGTAAAAGAAATCGAACTGAAAACAATAGGATTGTGGAGAACATGGAAGGTCTAAATGGCTACCTGAACTGTAAGATCACCCGAGATGGCATCCTTGCGGTACGGTCTTCCCTGGAGCTTCAACGAATGAATGGTCTCCCCACTTCTTCGGATCTCCTCGAAATTCACAATTGCCAGTCCGAGGAAGCCTTCGTCGTCATTCACATGGAGTTTATCGTTTCCTTCGTAGATCTCGAATAGAATTTCTTCCGTAGCTGGAGTCAGATCGCTGCAGCAAACCAGAACCTTATTTTGTTACCAAACTAAAGTTATCTTACAAATCAAAAGTTTCCTCCCAATACGGATTTGCGTTTATTCCCTTGGAAGTTGAGTATTTCTGAGCTGGCTCATCCATTTCTACGTTCACGAACGGCTGCGAAACTTCTTTGCCCAGACGGTTTGCCTTGATCACCTTGATTCTCATTTTGTTTGGGATGGAATTGGTGTTGTAGGATGGACTGATCAACTGAAAACATGAAACTTTAGATGTCAATTATTATTTATCTGCCTCCAACTCACATGAGATTCGTTCAATTTTTTGAACATTTCAGGGACTTCGGCCGGGCTGTTGCTTCTGTGAGATGAGTGGGTTCCATAAGGATCAACGTGGAGGTTGGAGTCGTAGGCGTTGTACGAGTTACGCATGGTACCGGAAGGAGAATGAGTCTGTTAACAATCAACATTTTAAAACGTTTTATTAGTTAGCGCACCGGTGGATTATAGATGGTTCTGCTGAAAGTGTCTGCAAAAGTGTTTCTCTCCTCTGGAAGTTCTTCCGACAAGTTAATGTTGGTAACTGCCGACAAAAGACATCTTCTGATGCTTTCCTCAACCATTGGCATAGACACCTGATACTGAGCATTCGGATCTGTGTTCTTAAGTTCGATGTCCATTTCCGGTCTCCCGCTGAAGCAACCCATCAGATAAAGCTGGTTGGCTATGCACGCCATACGACATTCCACCTCAAATGACACTTTCATTGCTTTTCTGCAAAAGCTCTCAAAGCGCTCACTTCTCCTCGCAAATCCACAATCGAAACGTCGTAATTCGAGACAATCATTCTCTCGGCAGTTCGTTGCGACGACACTAGACGCAGTTTAACACACGGCAGATGAATATTCGAGCGGACCGTCTTCAATTAAATTTGTGCGAACAAAAACCGAGTTCTCAATACTAACCAGATGATCTCGAGGCCCGTGTTCAACACGAACATTACTAATCTTCGGTGGTTGTAACACATCGGTGTGATCTCCGAATCCTTCGAAAAGCACCTCACACTTCGTCTGCAATATGAGAACCTACATTGACGACCACATGCTATTGTTACACGCACCGGGGAAGTGACTTTCTTCGCCGCTTCATTCAACGACTTGATCCATGCGTCCATGGGAGCGGGCACTTTGTGAAAGTTCGAGTAGAGCCATGATACTATTTCGTTCGACCATTCGCCGCTTGAGCCTTGGGTGCTGCCGTTCGCATTGACCTTTCTGAAATCTTCCGTACTATGGACTTTCTTGATCTTGAACGCGAACCGAACCATAGAGCAAAACATGTTCAAAAAGGTGAGACGGTGAAGTACGCGCTGCTCGCCTCACCCTAATATTTGAACAACGAGCTCGAGCTCGCACTAAATCCCGATGCTCGAGCGCGGCGGTAAAGCCGGAGAGCAAGACTGTTTCAAGGTAGCACTTGCACTCACCCGGCATTCAATCCGCCGAAAGTCGAAGAGGTGTGTGCGGTGTCGCCGGTGGAAGTGGAACCAAGATGGTTGAGGGCGAAATAGCAGATGACTGCGACGAGACCCCACGAAAGGATCACCCACAGCATCTCTCCGAACAGCCAACCCAAAACTGTAATGAACAGGGTTATAAGAATGAAACAAAATTGATTCATAACGGAAGAGTAGAAGAAAAATGACAAAACCTTGGAGGAACCTGGTATAATAGAGTATTTTCCATACCACACTGCAGAGTAGGATAGTGAGTAAAACAGAAACTAATACAGCCACTGGCAAGATAAATTGGCCGTAAGTAGCAAAAGTCTCTGATTCGATAGCGTCGGTATACTTTTGAATAGCATAATAATAGGCGTTGACAGCTCTGTCTTGCGCTTGTCTGACAAGTCGCTTGAATTCCTTCAGCAACGACTCCAATCGCTCTTCTGACAGCATCTTAGAGAGTGCGGTCTCTGGGAGGTAAGAGCGAGCCAATAAGTGATTTCAACCTCCGCCAACCTCAAGCTTTCGAGAGGCTACCGATGTGCAAATAAAACTATGAGATCTTTCTACACATTTAAATCTAATCACATCTCGTCTCGCAACTACATGCAAAAAGTGGGGTATCTCAGTGTCTCCCGGGAGGGTGCGAGGCAACAAAAAAAGCTTTGTTTGTGGTCGAAAATCTCGGGAATCTGCAGCAAGAAAATCAATTGAGTCAATACTTTGTTTAGAATTGAAAGATGAATGAAGATTTTAGTGGTGGTGTTCGGTAATACGAGATCACAGTCACAGTATAGTTGCGAGAAGCTGTAATTGAATACTTTCACAACAATATCTCAACCGTTCCTTTTGCAAAACAGCAAGCTATGATGTTTTGTTTAAGAATTTAAAAAAAAGGTATGTATAACATGAAAAGTGAAAAAGACAGGGTGGAAATGAAGAGGAGTCGAGCACCGGCGGGATGCACACACCTGGCATCCTCAAATCATTGGCAGGTTGTGCCGAAACAATAAATGAGGACGGGATGCAAGGAGAGAGAGAGAGTTTGGAGAGAGACAAAAAGGTTAGTCGCGTTTTCATCTGAACAGAGCCCACGGGAGCAGTGGGCTCGGCAGAGGCTGAAGCTCGTCGAGTGTGACGGAAAGACGGAGAAGAAGCATTGGCGGGCGTGCGTGTGTTGTAATAGTTTGTGTTCTCACTGCAGCTCCTGCCAAACGTTTCGATCAGAACAACAACTCGGGACCTACTCTCTTTCTCACCCAAATATCTCGCTGACAAGTAAAAAATGGCAGATGAAAGTGATGAGAAGCGTCGAAACATACATCTTTATTGTTATTTCACGAGTGTAGTGCGAGAAGAATGGAATATTAATATGTTTGGATGGGAAAAAGTAGAAAAAAGAGACTGGATACTTACAGGAAAAGAATTACTATAAAGCTAAGTGCGTGTTGAAACCCAAAACTAGAGATTATGGGCGGTTTTGGAATCGAGGCAACAGTATGAAAAATGGATGCAATAAAAAAAGAAAGGCAGAACATACAAAGGGCGAACAATGCCCACGTTTTACATGTTTTTATCACGGAAGTGAAGTCGGGAAGAGAAGTTCTCAGCTTGAAGTGCCCTGACCTTGGCCGCTCTTCTTGTGTTTCTTTGCTTGCTGAAATTGTTTAGATTTTTGCTTGTACGTAATCTCAAATCTAAAAACTAACCTTCTTCAAATCACTGTAACGCATTTTCTGAGTCAGACCGTCGAATCGTTTGTACGTGAAATCAACAAACTCTCCGCGTCTTCCGGGCTGTTCCTCCGGACGAATCAGAGTGGAAGTGGCTGCAAAGTTATTAATGAGCTAAAAGTCACATCAAAGACGCGTACGCCAAGTAAGATCCTCATCAGGAAAATCATCAAAGTTCGAAGTGTCGTCAATGCTTTTGACAGTAACCCGGATCGGCGGCGGTCGCTCGCGAATGTGGTTCCAGTCGATACGACGGAAGAATGGACACTGTTTGATCTCGTCGAGTCCTCCGTGATTTCCGAGACGGCGCTCTGCTTCACAACAGAATCGTTTGATAGTCTATAATTGAAAATATTTAGTGGCAATAAAGGTTTATATGCTTACAGCTTTCGCCTCAATGCTAATGGGAACGTCAGACGGGAAGACTAGAGTTTGCTGCCAGTTTATCACCTTCCGGTAAGTTTCCTGAGGAAGTTCAGAGCAGAACGGCGGATAACCGATGAGCATCTCGTACATGATGACTCCAAGACTCCACCAGTCACAGCTTTTTGTGTATCCATTTGGCTGAAACACCTCAGGAGCAATGTAATCGGGAGTTCCGACTGTCGAGTACGCCTGCAAACCCTCATTCTGTTTTGTCAGTCTACCTTCTTTCTTTCTTACGTATGCACGTCGGTTTCTCTTCCAAGTCTCCGCTTTTCTTTTCGATTCAAACGGTTTCGAGATAAAATCCGGCGGAAGAGTGGACGGCCAGTTGCGATAGTGATCGGTACGGTGGAACTTTTTCAGTCCAGTACACAGGCCGAAATCCGACAGCTTGACATGACCCTAAAAGTTCGCGATTTAGGTCAGAGGAGAAATGTAACACTGACTCTGGCATCAAGAAGCAAGTTGTCTGGTTTGATGTCTCTGTGAATGAATCCGAGGTTGTGGATGAATTGGATGGCAAGGGCTGCCTCGGCAATGTAGAACTGAGTGGCGTCCTCGGTCAGAGTATCCTTTTTAATAAGAAGAGTCATCATATCACCTGAAACGAGTCATTTCCCTTCAATCCATTCGGTCTGTCCACACCTCCCGGCAGAAACTCCATGACCAAATAGAGATTAGAGTAATCTTGGAACGAGTAGTACATCTTGACGACCCAATCACAATCCGCCTCCGACAGAATATCCCGTTCGGCACGCACGTGCGCTGTCTGCTCCTTCTCGACCATTTCACTCTTTCGAAGAATCTTCATCGCATAGATGTGACCCGTGTCGTGCTTTTGGACAAGACGGACCTGAATACAAAAGAAACGCATGAAAAAAGATTTGGGAGTGGTCACGACAAACCTCTCCGAACGCTCCTCTTCCTATCACTTTCAGACTTTCAAAGTCGTTCACGGTCAGACGAGTCCTTTTGAGACGAAGATAATCGGTTTCCTTCGAGTAATGAACCTTTCGTTTTTCTTCCTTTTCGTCGTCACTCAGACCTGAATGCCTGTTGTTTTCTACCTTTTTCTTGTAGTCTGCTCACCTCTTGCTGACATGTCCTCCTCCAGTTTCTTGACACGATTCTCTCGTTCCGAACATTGTGTGACCTGCTTTGAATAGTAGGATTCAATAGAAATTCGCGTACGGCTGGCCTGTAAAACACAATAAATCGATAGCTGTTCCACGTGTTCAACTCACTTTATCTCTTGTGTACTGCGATATTTCATTTTCCGGTACAACTTCTCCCATTTCTTGAGAACGGACGTATCTGCAAATCAAATCGATCGATGATGTTTTGAAACAAGCCGACAGAGTACAAGCGAGACGGCACAGACTTGGGCAAATATTTGGGCGTCTACACTACACTTTAAGCTATAAAATACTGAAATGACTATGAATTCCTTGAAAAAGCTTTATGTCAGCTAAAAATGAGACACTTTTCAGTTTTTAATCAATGATGGGTTAAAAGTTCAGTCAGAGTAGGCTAGCGTATAACTTAAGTTTGTTTTTCTGTCGAAAAAAGATGTATGAAAGGTGAACTAACAATATAACTAACGGAAAAGACTGAGAGCCTGCAATCAATTGGAAACTGGCCGTTCTTGACAAGGAATTTTGACTAAATCTTGAGAAAATCGATAATCAACGCCAAAAAAATCAAGAAACAACGGAATGTGAGACAACTTTTGCTCAAAAATCACACAGTCGGAACAAGCTAACAAAATCAAATATCAATTGGAAATAAATAAGCACTCTGGCGTGCACATGTGAGGAGACGACACCGATGCGGACTAGGCATCACATTTGACGACACTTCCTCTTCGGGGCCACCAGAGGAGACAACGCAGTGTTAGAAGAAAGGGAGGAATAGACTGAACAAATAAAATAAGGAGAAATGGGATATTTGAATAAAGTAATTGGTGGGACCGTATATTAGTTATAGTAGTACCTGCAACAAAATAAATAAAAACATTATTACCTCTCCTTCAAAGATTCCAGTTTGCGACCGGCCAACTATCAACTTCAATGTCATTCAGCCTACCAGAATCAGATCATTTCTCATTTTGATACCAAAAGAAGAACTGTTTTCTTTTCGACGGTCAACAAAACAAAACGTAAATAGGAAGTGACTGAGTCATTACTTTTCCGTGCGCGCATTCCCTTCATTGTTCACCCAGTTCGACCTTGCCTTCCACCACACCCACGCATATGACTGTTAGCATGTTCAATGGAAACATATCCTTAATCTTAATCCAGAACGATTCTCAATAGACTTTGTAGGTGAAAAGAAACTTCCGAGAAAGATAGAGACATTGTCAAAATTCCTGTTTCCGTGTCTCTACTATTCTTTTCATCTGCCGATGTATACGTTTTTGGGCGTTTTTCTGTTTTTCGCAAAAATTTTTACAGAAAAATACGTACAACTCAACTGAAATTCTGTAGTGAGTTCTATTTTCCACAAAATTCTCCGATTCCCATTTGATCTTATTGTGAATTTGTCAAACTTGGCTCTTATTTGACCGCAATAGAACCGGTTTTCTGTATTTGCATGCTTTCCTCGGTGAAATTGCGGTGCGGAACTGTTTCGCTACTCATTCGCACTTTTGCCATTCGTTTTTGTGCATAAAAGTACACCTTTTTCAGGTTAATACCAATGGATAATGCTCTGAAAGAAGCCGTCGACGAACACTTTTGTGGAATCACAGCTGTTTTTGAGGAGAACAGGAGTATACTTTCAATCCTTCATCAAGCAGTCATGGAAGGTTCCGGCTTGATGCTTCCGGTATGTACTTCTTGAATTGTTTATCTAATTTTTATCTAATTATTACACTTTACAGTCAATCTATGACTATCAGGATGACGATGAGAATGACAGTAGTGGTGAGGAAGCGAAGCATAACACGGAAATCCAGAGACAGAAAAAAGAGAAGGAAATTGAGATTGTTGATGAAATAGGTAAAATTTTTTAACTCAGTCCGTTACGCGGCAGAGATTTATTATAAAGCAAAAAATATTGAACAAAGTGAAAAATGAGCGTTTTTGCAGTGGAAAAGGCAACAGTCAAATCAATTGTCCTTTTGATGCATTCGGATGGATGGTTTGAAGAAGAAGAAGACGAAGACGAAAACGGAGACGATTAGAAAAGCACTTTTCTTCCTCTCAACTACGCTTTTCCAATTTCCAAGCCCTTACATGATCTTTCACACCCTATCCCTTTCGCTTTACCATCCATTTCTCATCGAATGTCTCAATCACAGTCAGTGCTTTTCGCTATCAACAGATTCTCCCTCATAAATTTTGGTATATTCTTAAATGCAAGGAAAAACAGTTTGGGGCTAGTCATTAATCTCATTTAGCACGCTATTTGAACAATTAATCATCGGATACCAGTTTCGGCCTTGATAACATGGGACATCATAAAAATGACAAGCAACAAGTGCTTACAAATCGAGGTTGGGGCCGGTTGAGTTTAAAGACAATCACCGATATTAGAAGCTGTTATCATCAAGATTACAAACTGATTGCAAGATATTACAAAAAACGGATAAGAGCGGTGATATTACACCGATACCGGCTAATTCGAGATCTCCAAATGTGGCTGATACCCTGTGTAAGATGCCAAACGAGACGTCTTTGAACTGCCAAAGTTCGAGAGATCGGGGAAGAAAGTGAAAAGAACTCGATCCCTTAGTGGTACCGGAAACAAGTCTGTGCAAAGCAGGAAGTTATCAAAATAATAAGACATTGGAGCTGGATCAGAATGTTCAAATATTCGAGTTTGTTTTTAAGTAACTTATCAAAATGTCAAAATACCCTCTCTTTGTTCTTGTTTTTGCCTTCAATGATATTGTCCGAACCTTTTCTCCAAATTTTGTCAAACCGTGATGACATCATCGCTAATTCGGCATTGTCATGTTCCCAATCAAACGTGCAAAGTGTCTGAATCACATCCTCCTCCAGTGCAGTAGCTAACGATTTGCCTCATCCCACATTTTCGCAGATGAGGAGGAAAACAATATCAATCACCAGAAGGAGGGAGACAGTGTGACAGATCAACGGCGGTTTCTGAAAGATGAGAGACAAACGTTCAGAGACCGTCAGGTCATGACGTATGCCCTCCCTTCGCTCATATTTTCCTCTAATTAGTCCAGTTTACAAAACTCGTCTATAAATACCAAGCAAATTAGGCCGAGATTCTCATTCGCGCCATGTCTTCCGCAGTCTTTTACCTCATAATGCTTTTTCTGATTAAAGGTAGCAAAAAAGACATGAGAATTCATATCTGACTTGTTCTTTTTCTTGCAGATGCATTCAGTTTATCACTCTCAAATGTTTATACTCGATACATCAATCGACAGACTATTGATCAGTCAGACACTTTCGGATTCCATGTACAGAAGCCCATTGGTTATAAAGGAGACGTACCGGTAATTTTTCACAATTTTTCAAACATTGTACACCAAAAACATTTGAGATTTGGCCAAGGAGTTACGGATATTCCGCTGAAATGTTTTTCGATGAGAACGGTGCGGCATTTCCAGTGCGACCAAGAAAGAAGCTCGGAAGCATTATTCGACCTCTTCAAACTGGAGTCCAGAGTTATGATGACGACGCCTACGACGAGAGAAGAGCTCTTCGAGAATTCTACCGGCGGTTCCGAAACAGCTAAATATATTAGCAATTATCGAGATTCGCGTAGATCTCATATCATCGGAAGCTTTAAAATACGCGTGACTCTGAATCTTATTGTTCTCCGTTTTTCGAATGAATATTATTTTTCCTCTCTATAAGTACCAAGACATTTTGTTCATGCCCTTTGGACATTAGGCTGGTTCACATGCAAACGATGAAAACACAATAGGCTGCTTGAGCCAACGACTCGCAGAGGTGTTTGAGTAATACTTCCTACCTAGTCACGCAAAAACAGGGTATAATTCGGTAATCTAATCCACTTTATTCTCGCGCGTCAGCTCAGACACTCGGTTAGTTCTTTTTTTCAGATTTGTTTCCATTCGACAACTTCAAAACTTCGGTACTCTTTCAGTTTAGAGTGGTTCCGTGCATTAAGTTCAAGCAAACACGTCCACCCGAAACGGGCATATAGGAAAAGATGCTACGGAGAAAACATCTGCTCGAAACCGTTGAAAATGATATATCATTTTGAAAATTGCAGACAACATAATTATGAACGCTAAGAATGCTTATTTTCCGAGCCTAATAACTTATAAAAAGTAATGAAACTAACGTCAATAAAAAATTTCTGGCTACTTGATTTCTTGAAATCTGGAAGTACAGTTTTGTCTTGTAACTATTGGCACTTTTTCACATACCAACCCAGTTGTCACACACATGCCAAAAAACGTATGTATTGCAAATTTCCCTCGAAACAAGATAGAGAAAGGCCCTGCTCAGGTTGACCCCTCTTCCCACACTCAATTGTGAAATCGTAATAGTGCGTTCTCAAAACATTAATGCCTGGGTTCGATTTGTTTTTTTATGATTCACATGATCTTCTGAGAAATTGCAATATTTGGCTGTTTTTTCGTGATGTAAAAATAACAAAGTGATTCATGACTATAAAACAATCTGTTGTTTCTTTGCAACCGCTTGTTTGCCTGTTCTCCGTTGTACAGCTACATGAACAATTGATTTCACATGTGCTTCGTTTCCATAACAAAAGTTTCGCATTTCTCCCAGTGTTCCTTTCAAAGATGTCGAAAAGTGTCTTAAAAACAGATTACAATCTTCATCTTTTAAATCGACATTGAAAATAGAAGGCGTCAAGTGCTACATACACCTTCGTTTTTGAACATTTCAATCATTTCCTTCTTGTCCATCTTTTCTTTGATATATGTTCGTAACTAAGACTGCCAATTCACCCACACAAATTCTATGATTGTTACTAACACTGGCTGATAAATTCTTCTAATTTTGTCTGGAAAGGCTCTGTTTTTTGCCAGATCCGTATTCGGATCCTCCCTTTTGTCTGCCGACACCTCTTCTCCTGTCGGAAAACCTCCTTTGCCGCTCCATTTGATCACAAGGTGACGTTTTTATGGGGATGCCTAACGGTTCTCCTTGTCTGCCGTTCAACATCGCACATTGCTATTTCTAACGATTTCGTTTCCTTTCTTTGTATTCCACATCTCTCTCCATTTCATCTTAATTTCCGCTCACTTGTTGAAAAAAGGAGAAAGCTATTCTTGCTATTTTCAGGATGTCGGATAAGAATAATCAGAACGCCAAAAGCAACTCGAGCAGCAACACAGGGCAATCCGCGTTTCCTTTCGGGTTTGAGTTTCCGGAGGAAATGGGAATCCGAAGCATGGAGCAGCTTATGGCCATGAGTCCATTGCCGGGAATGGAGCGTGATTTCCGAATGGCTGTGGATACCATCCGTAGTATCGCAGAAACCGACTTCTCCGTGCACATCGACCTAAACAATGTTTGCGGACACGCAGCTCCGGGCGTTGAGATGAAGTGAGGAACTTTAACAGGGGAAACTGAAACTGAAATTTCTTTAGGGAAGGCTTCTGTCCAGCATGTTACGAGTCGGAGAACATCGCCGAGCTTGTTAATCTTCTTGATATGATCGAGTAAGGAAAATCACTTGTTGGATGGCTTTAAAGTTAAAATTTTTCAGTAAATTCGACGACAAAGATATTTCCGAAACAAAGAAGCCGTCGACTTCTTCCGATGGACAAGGAGCCAGCTCTTCTAGAGCTTCATCATCTTTGGTCCCTTCCATGGGAACAGAGGGCGATGCTCCCCCTCCAAAGAAGGCCAAGATTGACAAGGAAGAGCCCAAGAAGGTCGAGAAGACGAAAACGTCGGAATCTTCCACGCAGAAGAACTAAGCAGTGAAATTGTTTCTTTTTTTTTACATCGGACTGGGCGAATGGCCGGACTTTGAAGACATGAGCTTTTGCCCTATTTTAATTTTCCTTTCAAACCTAACGCTTCGGGCTTCTCAGGTTTGATTGAAGTATGCGTTATTCTGAAGATTTGTGGATGGGAAGCCGAAACGGCTGCACTTTAAGCTGAAATTCGAAAATGAACATCCAATTAGTCCAAAATGTTTAATCATAGTCCTTAGTCTGCAAGTTTGAGTTTGATCAAGTTAGTAAGACTCTCGAAAAGCTTGGGCCGGTCATTTGTCCAGAACGGATTTTAAACAGTTTGTGTCTTCACTACAAAATGTTCACTGCTTCTTCATCTATTGTATGTAACTTTTTAGTAATTTTTATTTTATCTCGACAAAAATTTGAAAAAAACCATACGTATACTGTTGATCGACTAAGAAGGTCACTTTCAATCAATCAGAAGTTTTTTCGTCCTTTTCATCCTTACACTGAAAAAGTGTACACGGCGTGTTTCGTCGTCGAGGAGGAGTAATGCCAAAAAAGCACTCGTGCCTGTCACCACCGTTTCCCAACCCTGTTCAGTTTTCCTTCGTCTCTTGATTTCGCTGATAAGAGGTACGTCGAGAAGCCAAGAGACGCAGACAAACCGAGCCATTGGACGCCTATAAAACTGCTGGACGGCAGTTCATTTCTTCACTTCTTTGTTTGCCCTGCCGACGAACTTCTCATGTCAAAAAGAAAGAGATCAAAAAAGGCGGCAGCCAAATCAGCCTCGCCGTCGCCAGTGCCCGCTTTTGAGAAGATGGTATCGACAGGTGCGTGTGTTCTTCTTTTTATTTTTTGTCTGGCCACCCGAATAAGGACGCGTGGGTGGCATTGAGACCAGGTGTACTATCTGTCGCAGCAATAAAATAACGATTTTCGGAAAAGTGCATTCGCTCGTACTCTCTGCGTTCTTTCTAAATAAAAATGAAACGATTCAGAACCAAAAGAACCACCGTCGCGGAGGGAAATAATGCTTCGGGAGCTCATGATGATGAGTTGTGACATCATGACAGTAGCAACTCGAAGCTTCCAAATTAGTGAAGAGGAAGACACGGACTTCTTCACTCTGGTCGTTCACAAACTTTTCGATCTGATAGAAGTAAGAGACAAGACTCTGGGGGCTGGAAAAAGGGTATTCACAGGGATGGGTTCAAGACGGTCGAAAAGAAGAAGAGGCTCGCGACTTCACACTTCTGTGGAAGAATGTCAAGTGGACTACCAAAATGTCATTCCGGTAAATGCAATAATCGCATAGCAAACAAACTGGGAAAATGTTTTTAGCACTGGCGACTCGAACGGAATGGTCCCGGGAACCAGCACTGACGACACCAATCCAAGCATCATGAAGTTCTCCTTGAACTATCTCAAATCAGAATTGGGACCACTGCACATGAGAATGATTGAGGACGAGAACTCGCGGAAGCACGTTCACTGCGCTCACATGTGCCAGCACATGCACCATAGGCACAGACATGTCCACAACCACCCTAACTACAATCCGAGGTTCTTTTGTTCGAAATTGTCAAATTTCACGTGCAATTTACAGACCAAATACACGCAACGTTCACGACGAGAAACGAGAGGCAAAAGCTCTACAACTTTTCGAGACCCTGTAATATTATTTCTGAATATTATTCCCATTTATCAGAACCTTTTCAGTGTCCGTCGTAACAAACTTCGTGAGGAAGAAGAAGCAATGAAAAAACTGCTGTCAGAGCCATCCACATCAAAGGAATCCACGTCGCACGCATACACATCGAAGGCCTCCGCACCGGAAAAGTCTCTGCCGGAAAACACACCGAGAAAGTCAAAATCAAAAAAGTCAAAGTCGAAAAAGTCAAAATCCAAAAAGAAATAAAACTTATATCTTACACTCCGATCATCTGATGAGCTTCTTTGTATCCTTTTGTATACCCATTACTTAACATTTCTACTTCAGTACCGTCTTCCTCAGTACTCAAATAAATGTTTTACACCTTGAAAATTCGTTGAAACAGGCTGATCAAAGAACCAGCAAACATATTTCTAAAAACAACTACCGTATCTCTGTCGGTCTTCCTGTATTTCCCACCCAAATTCCTTCTCAATCATATCATAAAAGGCAATCTCTCCTCTCTTCAATGATCTCTTTTCTTCCAGTTTGGTGTCAGCTACAGTCCGTTCATCACGTATCTCAGAAAGTTTTTGTGAAATGAGTAGATAGATGGTCGTTGTTCCTTCTTCTCATAGTCTCCGTTTCTCATCTACCGTAATAAAGTGATGACTATGGAAGAAGTGAAACCGGTTTCCTGGTAAGTCTTCGCTGCCCTTTTTGTCGTCGACAGGAAAAGAACCGTAAAGATAAGAAGAGAAGAGCGCGATAACAAATCACCCACACTGTGTGCAAGGAGAAAAAAAAAGTCATATGAACCTCCGATTTGGCGACGTGGATTCTTCTCGCCGCGGTGATATGGAAAGGTGGGGGAAAAGCGTCGGCCGTTGCTATAAATGATATAAATATAAATGCTATAATAAAATTGCTATAAACCTTTGATTAATGATCATATCACACAGAAAGGAAATTCAAATGTGTTTGTCGAAAGTGAATCATTGTAGGGGCCATCGAACAACCAACGCCGTCAGACTTTCCTCCTCCAATCATCCGTACCAACTGCCGTCATGTGACCCTCAAGTGTGTCAATGCCGTCGTGCGAGAACGCTTGGCAAATGAACGGAGAAACCTCTTGCGGAGAGGACGAACGCCATCCGCGCGGGGCGAGCACAGCCCTCCTAGCCCGTATTGTCGACCACGCACTGCTTTGCCGGCCGCGGTTTTCTTTTCGTCTGCATGATATATCGACTGCTTTGAACACCGCTCTGTCACTTACTACTTAGCCGACTCATTTTTCAGTAAAGAAATTGTGACCGCCGCATGCAGAATTACTAAATGACTCGAAGACCTTTTAGTGTTATGGGATAGGCAATTGACGGGCAAAAAAGATTAGACGGTTAATATATAAACGTTTGGCATAACTACTTTTCTACTGTTTGGCAGAGTTAACTTTCTTTCAAACATTGTTTATTTCAGAATGGTGAGTCCGAAACCAGTCGAACCGGAGGAGGAGAAACGACCAAAAATGACTGTGAAGAAGGAGCGGAAGAAGAAGCGAGGCGAGACGGTGGCCGATCGACTGCTCGCGTCCGCCAGGCTAATGGAGCAGATGAGAATCGCTGAAGCGGCGGCTACAGCTAAGAAACAGAAAAAACCATCGGAAACTGTGAAAGAGCAGTCGACGGAGCCGGCGGAGGGACCGAAGAAACTGACGATGTCGGAAAAAGTGGGGAAAGGTGAGCATCTCGTGGTATAAACCATAGTTGAACCATAGTTGGCCCGGCTATTACTGATTATGTGTAGGAAAATGTTTCAAAGAAAACCTCCTGTAAAATTAGAAGATTTTTGAGCAGAATTGGTCTTTTCTGGAACATAAAAACAAAGAAACGCCCTTTTCCAATAATAGTTAACGAAATATGAGCCGACGGAAATGTTCCCAAGAAACTATGGTTTAAACAAACGATCGAAACAGTCAATTTTAAGCAACTCATGAAATCGACGATTTATCCGCGCTGGAGTGGGAAACATCCTCCGAACAAAGCGGTCTCTGAGCACAATCGATTTCACTGTACATATATAATTGATTCGCCTGAATTCTGTTCGAATACCATTTTGTGTTTGAAAACTCTTATGTATCAATCACGTCAAAATGTAATAAAGTTCTTCTGGTTATTCATAATTGTCGTTAGAAGCAAAGCAACTTTTATTCTACAGAATCGCAAAACATAATAATGAAAATGTGTACATACACGAAAATTGGCGGTGGTTGAGTTTTTGAATGGACATTCAGGGTAATTTTGTGGGGCGAGTGGACGGCGGAGAAAATAGCCCCCGAGTGTGCGGTCAGATCCACGAGACTGGAATAAAAGAGCTGTCAACTACTTTTTGAACACTCGCCTCGGCATCCAACTTTTGGCTGGTCACTACTAAAAGTAGTCGTTGCCTTCAGGTAGTCATTTCTGGACACTATCATGACAGTAATATGCAAATATCAAATGTAACCCTGACATCTACATACTAGCAGTTGCATTTGTGGATCTAAAAACGCAAGTTTTCTGCCTGGTTTCCTGTCATGCCACCAGAAGAAATTGTTCTCATTCTCTTCGTCCATGCTCCAAAATACTTCACGTATATATGTATACTTGTTCCGGAAGTTGCAGACTTTTCTGATTCATGTCTTATTTTTTCTCTCGCTGGTGTTGTGCTCACCGCCCCCATCTACTATACTAACTCTGTGAGATCGAGACTTCCGGCGAAAAACTGTGGCCTGAATAAATTTGTTACCTAGAAAAGTTATATGGAGAGGTCAGCAGCAAGCTTTTGGAGGATAGACTGAGTAGTGGTCAGCTGCAGGGTCCAGAAAACGGAAGAACATAAAAGGTGCACCTCTGTGGGAGAGAAAGCCAAAGACTCGTGCGGTCATCAATTCTTCTGCTGCCCACTTACCCAAACTATACTTTTTTGGGGCCCACGCTACTGCTTAGTGTTATCTCTACGTTAATCATGCTCTACTGGTCACTTTGTCTTTGTAGCTTGTTTCAAGTACACTACCCTTTCTTTACTATTCAGTGCGTTACTCGTAACGTTTTTGTTCTGAATGTTGTGTTTACAACTTTTTTTTTGACTAGGCTAAACCCGAATTTCATAAAAAGTATTTCGCAATTCATAATGCACATAGCTCCATTCGCAAACTTGTTCTGCACGAGAAAAAGCTCGGCAAGATTGATGGAAAATGATCGGAAACAAAAGGTCCCAGTGTCCAGCCGTATCTGAGCTTCTTGTTTCGACATTTTTCTCTCTCTCTCTCTCTCTTTCTTTTTATCCCGACTATAGTTACTGACGCATTCCAAAAGGGCTATTATTGTCTATGTAATGGACACAGCTACCAATTGTTCCAATGTGCACTTTAATCGCTCCTTATACTTTTCCTGTCCTGTCGTATTTCCTCTCAATCATGTTAGATGTGTGCTCATTGTATACATTCTTTTTGAACATTATTCGTGTCGAACTTCTTCTTCTTTTTTCAGACCACGCCTTAACAAAGGTGACAATCGTTGAATGAGTGAGACATTCTGATGTTGTCTGCTCAAAAACACACATGTAACAAGCTCCAGTCTTTCCATGCTGACCGTCTTTCTATATTTGGTCGTCTTTCCAATTTTTGCTTCTTCGCAGTTTTTATCTTATGATGGTAAGCTTGGTTTAGCAATGCAATTATTCAACAACGACGAGTTTTAAAGCGATTCGAATGAGGGTACCAGGACGTTGTATGCCGGGTGACTATGATTGCGGGTTAGGTCAGTGTGTTCCGATTGCACAGTTTCGAGACGGAAAACCTGACTGCATGGATGGTAGCGATGAATGTAACAGAATAAAGAAATTCAAACAGAGCATAATATGTTCTTGTAGGGTGTTTCATCGGTCAAGTTAGTTGTGGTCCAGTATATTGTGCAGATTATAAAGACGCGCTACCGTGTATAGTATACCCTAAATGCGATGGATCTTCAAAACAACTGCCTTGGTGTTCAGCTTCCAGTAATATTTTCATAGGTTTTCAGTTAATTCTGGTTGTTTTCAGAAGAAAAACTATGCGCGGACAAAAGATCGTTTCCCTGTAAAGGTTACGGAGAATGTGTTCTGTGGGAATGGTTACTTGACGGCAAGAAAGATTGTATCGATGGCAGTGACGAAGGTAAGGATAAGAAATGAATCCAAATAGAATACTGATTTTGATTGTCGGATTCCAGATGAGAACTATGTCATGCCTCTGGAACATGCCTATCGATGTGCTCGAAACCAAACCGGGTTATATCTCCCAAAACCGATCCCGCCACCCCCGGAAGATCATCCATCTTTGTATGTGGAAGGCTGCTCCCTTTGTCCTAACAGTATGAAGCCTCCGCCTCCCGTGATATCCCTCCCAACTGAAACCGTTGTGGATCATACCACTCCTAAATATCCATTCATCGCATCTTCTCCTTTCCCTAACACACAAGCGCCGCTCAGTAACTTTCCATTGTTTCCAACCGAAGGTTCTACAAAACCCGGTGACTTTTTCCCTCCAGGAGTTGAAATATCACGAGTGACGCAAGGACAAAAACCATCGTCTACCCTGCCAAACGAACCGATCGGTGACTTTTTCCCCTCCCATTCCACGGCAATTTCACCAACTGAAAGTGCCACGCAGTCCTACACCTTCCGTGTCATCACAATTCCATCTATTGGCCAAACCCAAATGCCTCGAGCACCTCTTATATTCCCAATGCGTCCAGACTTGGCACCCATCACCGTCCCTTCTCCACTAAACAACTGGCCCATTCCAATTGCGACCACCACACCGGAATCACATCATCAGGGCTCACTTCCGCCGATTACCTACCCCACCAACCAGCAGGGTTCCGAAAAAATTCCTCCCATTCGGCCGGGAATTATAATCAGTCGACCTGTAACATCCATTAGGCCCAATGTACCCTCGGACTATGAATCAGGGAACTCGCCTTATGACGTGAATCCGTTTGAAACACTTCATGTTACCACAAGTTCATATGAAGGTGATTTCGCAACAGCTGCACCAGCAGGCTTCCGTCCCGTCACAAGACCCACCGGCACTAGTTTTGGTAGTTGGAAATACGGAGGTAATTCAGAAGTGGAGGATCTCGGAAAACCGAAACCGGCAGTAGACACTCTGATACCACTCGTTCCTGGTCATGTTTTACCAAGTCTACCGACCAGAAGACCGTGGACCATCTCAAGTTTTTTTACACCGTTCACGACTCCATCCTATCCTAGTGGTTCATTTGTTACCGCCCAGCCGAAACCTATCGATCATGGACGGTTGCCAACACTAATTCCCGATTCTGAGATTGGCAATTACGTGCAGCCAACAGAAATGCCGACAACATCGTTCACTGTCGCTCCTGCCGCTCAACTCGTAACTCATGGAAACAGAAAAACGACACCGCACGAAGGTTTTATTGAGGAGAAAACATTGTCAACAGCTTCTGCAAACAATCATGAGACTCCTCAGACGGAGCGCTCAACAGAGAGCTCTACGCCGGAAACAACTACTTTACAACATTCTAAGACTACGACTCGTTCAAAGATCATTCATGTTGGACCCAACGGAGTTGTCGAAAAAGTAGACGAAAGTGAGCAACAAAGGCCAGAGGAGAAAGAGCAAGGAGAAGAAGAAGAAGGTGGAAATGGGCATGGAGAGCATGCTGGAACTGGTAGTGTGATGGTAACTGATACAGGATCAGACAAGATTATTCATATTGGTTCTACGGTGGAAACTTCTCACTCTTCTACTTTTTCAACGACATTTGACCTCACTCCCAGCACGGAAATCACTGCTACCACGGAAACTACCAAAAGGACAACACATACTGTCGGCAATCCGGAAGTCGATGACTGTCTCCAAAGAATGGGAGCAGGAAATGGAGGAGAGGTGGTCGTTTGTGACTGTCCTAATGGACAGTTCAAAAACGACGCAAACGGGCAATGCGAAGGTGCTGTAAATTTGTGATTTTCTATATAATGTCATAATTTTCAGAGACTCTATCTCTTATGAATGTAAAGGTTCACGTTAACTCAATCTGCAACTCGGATCGTACATCTTTCGAACAAAAACAAAGAATATTACGTCAAAAGGTAAAACAGAACGCTATTATGGACATTTTCTATGCAATATTTCAGATCGGCTCATCATACAGATCCTGCATTCGCCCCGCTCTCCATGGAACTTCTCTTGTTGCAACAATTAGATGTGAACAGTGCTCTATCACGGAGGTAAACCATCTTCTGAACACCAGATCTTTTGGAGAACCCGGAAGTCTGAACGTGACAACGGAAGGTATACAACATTCTTAGTTGCTAATCATTCTCCAAATGTATGTTCAGCTTTTGGTGCAGAGCTATGCTCTGATTCTGCTTTAAATCATTGTCACGTTTATTCGGAATGTCTTGTGGATGCTGAAGGACTACGCTACGCCTGTAGATGTAAGGACGGAACTACAGATGCATCTGATGGTTATGGAAGGCAATGTGAAGGGTTTCCTGCTGAATCTGAGTGAGTTGTGAGATACATCAGCTTGATGACTGCCAGCGCATTTCAGTTGTATCATGGTATTCGGTATCTGCCTCATTGTCTGGTTACTGTTTCTTCTCGGAGCATTCATGCTGTCGTTACTAGGTTGCCTAGCCTGTTATTCTCTTTGTCAATACCGTTGTTGCCGACAAATTGCAATACATCCAGCAGATGCGGATGGTCTCCAAACTGTGGTATTTCTTGCAGTAATCTTAATTATTTCTCAGTCCAAAACTTTAGGTTATTGGTCCGAAAGCTGCAAAGAGTCTGGATCCTAATAGAGAACGGCTACCCCACATGAAAGCCATCTTTGCTGATAGTCTGAAATACAGTGCAAAGGGTTCCACATCGGTTGCCAGTGCTTTTGCGTTAGCAGATTTCAGAAGGAAGAAAGTATCGAGACCACCTGAAATGAGTAAAGTGCCAGAAGAAGTTGGCGAGGTAAGATATTATCATAACCATTAATGCTTTTCCTTAACCCATTTGTTGTAGGTCGCAACCCCCACTGCTGAACCAGAACCTTTGCCGAAGAGTAGTAGTCTCGCCAAAATCTCAACCCACACATCGATCTCTGAGCCTCCGACGCCCGTGGGTATTATCGAAACGCCCATACTTGAAAAGGTACGTTTTTGCACTTGAAGTGAGATGTATATTACGAAATCGTATCTTTCAAGAATTCGAGTTCTGTTTCGCTCGTCTCCGCAAACGACAACGCACCGCAACTTCCCAGTTTACCGCTGCCTCTTCCCGTGCCAATTACAACGAGCACATCAACAATAGAGGAGAAAACGGAAAAAGAGAAAGAGCGAGAGACAAGTAGCGCTTCTCAGGAACCACAAGTGAGAGAGCACAATTGTTTTGGTGTAGCAAAGATATTTAGAAGGTGGCGGAAACGGAAAGACCTGCGTCGTCGCATTCAATCGGTGTGCAGCCGACCATTTGGGAAACGTATCGCGTGCTTGGGCAGCAGTACTCAAAATCTGATTTGACTGGTGAATCATACTAACTCTAGACCGGAAATAAGTTAAAAATTTTCAGAGCGGAAACCGAGTGTTGACTCTTTAGAGCAAATGTTTGAAGCGCGCTTGGCTGAAACTTCAAGAACAACCAAAACCATTCCAACCGTGAGAACAGACAAATCGGATAGTTCAGCTATTATGTTCACTGCAAAACCATATAAGGAAGAGAAAGAACCCGAGTAAGAAGTGCTTCGCTCATTTTTTAAATCTTGAGCTCTTCAGGAAACCTCCCTTGATCGTTGAAGAGAAAGTTGAAACAGTAGTAGATAATGTAACTGAAGATCCTAAACAAGACGCTGAGGACATCCAGAAAAACGTCGATGAAGCTAAAGAGACGCAACTGTATTATTTTCATATTATTATCTGAAATCCATATAATCTGTTGATTTTTCCAGAAAAGAGACCGACTCGAAACTAGCTGATATGATTGGAGTGACATCATTCCATTCGTCTCAAGTCCCCACTCCGACCAGACCCCAATCTCCCGAAGGTGTTTCAAAAGAGGGTCCTGCCGAAAACGAGAGTGGAAGTTTGTCGCCGTCTCTCGAGAGGTCACTCGAAGCAGCGTTGTTGATTGAAATGGCGAAAAGAGGAATCGAACTTCCGCTGTCTCCCAAGACACCTGTACCGACTGCTGGAGAACTTGAGAAGATTGTCGCGCAGAAAAAGATCCTAACAGACAGTGAGGAGGATTCTGACATTAGACCAGTAAAACCGAGAGAACCTAAAACTGAGCCCCCTTCGACTAAGTCAGAAAGTCGCAAATCCTCCGCAAAATCCATTGTGTCATCTCGAAAATCGAGAATTCCGAGCGCGTCTCAATCTCGTGCAAATAGTGCAAAGCAACGAATTTCTGAGATTGATGAGCAGGATAATGAGCAGGAAGTGTTTGTTCCACAGGGAGTCAAGACAATTCACGAGAAGAACAAATTGATGAGACGTAGTGGCGCCAGTGAATTAGTTCCGTCGACAGATGAGAGTGATCCTGAAGTCGCGTTCTTCAAGAGACTGGATAAAATGAGGCGGGAGACTTCGGATCGATATGCCCCTGTACACCCGGGCAGAAAGTATTCCAGACGGCGGAAACCTGAAAGAACTCTGTCCAGTATCTCAGAGAAAAGCGCCGAGATTGCAGCTGAAGCGGCCCTCGAATACCCTGTCGACACTTCCATTTCCTGCCCTCCTACAACTCGGTAACTCGTTTTTTCCTCATAAGTTTAAAAGCCATCACGCTCATTAATCTTTCAGTTCTTTCCTCGAACCACGTGCTCCACCGGTGCCTCGATATGTATTCAAACGTAAAGTTATCGAAGCGACAGATGAAACATCAGATGTCGACATCCCCAAGCTTTCACCTGCGAAGCACTCACAGCCAGTAGTTAGCTCACCCGAAATACCCGATGTGACTTTTCAACGATCAATGGAAAATTTGCACAATTCAGAGTTTGATAGCAAACCGGAGACATTAACACATGGCGGCACTGCCAAAAAGAGCAATCTGATGAAGAAAAAACCCGTTAAGGTAAGAAACATGACAGTAGGACAATAAGTAATCGGAAAGATTCAGAGCAGCGTTGCCGGACCATCATCAAGTGTGCAGAGCAGCAGGCCAAGCAGCAAGTTCGGATCAAAAACTACGAGCCCACGGAATGGAGACGAGACCCCTGCATCGCACACTTCTCGAAGCACCCGACATTCTTTGATCAGCCGGAAAATTGCGATTCGACGACAGGAACTGAAAGCAGTCTCTGGTTCTGCGCATGATCTTTCTGACCGACGGACTGGTCGAGCCACTGCCGCCCACACAATCAGAGGTGTGTTGATGTTTTTGTATAGTTTCTTTCTATTGAGATACTGAGAAAAAGATCAGGGCTGTCATTGTTTTTGAAAACAACGTGTTTTAGGTGCAAAATCTGTCGGTGACCTCACGAAACGTCGCCCACACTGGGATATCAGTCCGTACCGAGATCAACCGGGTCCATCAAACTTCCTGCCGCCAATCACACCGTCGAGGAACGTTCGGACAGCCGCAAACTCACCTCAGCCCAGACATCGAAGGAGTGACAGTCATTTCTCAATGACATCCTTGCCAATGATAGCCCACTCACCCACTTCTTTCTGGAGTTCCCCTCATTTTAACCCATCGGAAGACTCCCGAAAACCGCCAAAAGAAGATTTGTGGTGGAACCTTAGTAAACGTATGTGACTTCTTTATAACTGTCGTTCAATTGTTCTTTACAATTTTCGTTTCTTTCAACTACTTTCTTTCAATTCTATGCCTTTCAAAAAAAACACGCAGACACAATGTCTTTCTTCATTCAGGAAGTGCTTTCTCCCTTTTTTGCAAGCCCAGTGAAAGATTCAGTCACAATACGCGTGTAATGAACAAACTTGTTAAGTTCAGCCTCATACGATAACCCCTTCTCATACTTTGTCCTTCAACTGTTTTTTCTTTCATTCGATTCATAATATTTTTCATTTTTACTGCGAACTTTCATAAAGCTGAAGCAACTTTTTGTCACAACATAAAAATAAGATGAAAAAACAAGGGGGGAGGAGGGAGCACAATGTGAAATGCACTACACACCTGGACATAATTATAAAGCCACACTAATTTGCGTTGTTCTCCAGAACCAAGAGTGATACCGACATGGGTCTTTCAGACAGTAATCCATGCTAGGAACCCCACAAAATCATAGAAAAAACAGGACAGTGCAGTTAAAACAGTGCCGAAAATGAAGTTTTGAAATCCGGAAGAAAAAATTTTACGGAACACGGAAAACGGAAGACGGAAGAAAATTTTTCTCCTGGAAGACGGCAGACGGAAGACGGAAGATAACTTTTTTCCCTGAAGACGGCTGACGGAAGACGGAACAAAAAAATCGTCAATGCAGAACTCCACCATTTTCTAATATTTTACGCGGCCACCATTTTTTTAAAACCACCATTTTCCAATATCTTACGAAATTCGAGTCTTTCGAACTTTTTCCACAATACACATCTGACGCCATTGTCTGAGCACCTTTACTTTTAACTCTTTCTTATCAACAGTAAGTATAATCAACAGGTTTATTAGTAGGACAAAAAGAGTGACCAAGACAGCAAGAAGAAGGGGGGGGGGTAATGGCGGCATGTGGAAAAAAGTATTGGAATTAAATGTGGAAAGGGGAGAACGGTGATGTTGTTGTTTTGTGTGTTGGTTGGTTGCCATGGCTGAAATATCAGCAATCATCATCCAGATTTCCCGGTGTGGCTCACTTTATTGAATGGAAAAGTTATACGGTCTCACAGTGCGGTGATGTATATATAGGTAGCGTGTTGGGGGTCTCGGAGGGGTATTCAGTTCAAGGCGGCATCTGGAAAACTGGAACTAGTTTTCAGGTTGAAACTATCGGGCCACGTACCGTTCTTAGCGTTGACGAGACGGTCGCGGAGCCAAGACATGCTCACGCAGTCTGAATTGGCGATCAGCGCGTCGTCTTCGATAGCTCGGATGAGCAGCTCCATCATGTGGAGTTCTCTGGCCTTCTGAACAAACCAAATCAACTACTAATATCTCTGAAATAATCCCTTACAGCCTCATCCAGCATTGGTGGAGCCTGGTCGAGGATTGCATGAGCTCCGGATCGTTTGAGCATGATTCCACGGCAAGCCGGGGCGAACGAGAACTTTCTAAAAAACAGTCTCTTCCCACATGAAAAAATCCAGCACAAACCTGCAGTCCAGAGAGTAGTAAAGCGGCACGAGAGCCAGAAGAACAAGGAGGAGCGGGGTGAAGCGAGCCATTCTTCAAGTGTCGAAGCGAGGCTGATGAAGAGTGAGGTCCGTGTGCCCGATAGCCCCTTTTATCCACCGACTTTCTAACTCCGCCCCCTTATTTTCAGTGGCTCTCTTCTCAGCTGAACAACTTTGGCGCCTCCCCCTTTTCGGTAGCAACTGACAAAGAATATAGCTGATACGAGAGGCTGAAGTCATTCGAGTGAATCGAAGTTGATATATTGTTTACAGGAACTGATGACATGAAGGAAGACTACAGCAAACTTGCCCGTGACGATGACGAAAATAGACGTACGCACGGAGTTCATTGAAGCAGTGAAGCTGAAAACCCAAATGGAAAAGGAAAACTAAAGGTTGATGGGACTATCGGATGTTGTTCAAGGATTTAATGGAGAGATGTGTCATTTCACTCTGTCATGGTGTTTCGCACATTTCAAGTGCGTTCAAGCATTGTTTCTGGCTGGATTCGCCAAATCCCCGGACGCACTACTCTATTGTTCACTTGACCGGAACTAAACGGATTTGATATTTACTCACTTCTTTCTATGATCTTCTTTTTGAAACTGATTTACAATAGGCATACAAATCTTCAAAGTCAAACCTTCAATTTCTCAAAAGCAACCTCTATACTACACATTTCCTTGTGCTTTACTCTACCTTTCTTGCTATTCTTGGAAATATGTGCATATTAAAACGTTTCACTCTTCATTAATTGGATAGCAGGGAGGCGAGGAATTCAATGAGCTTTTGCTCTTCCTTCCGCCCAACAGGAGCATGTCCCTAATGCGGTAGTATAATACTTATTGTTGCCCGAGGTCAAACATGGTGCAGAAGCTGCATTCTTCATCAGCTCTTCTTGCTTTTTACAAACTCCAACTTCCGCAAAAATTTTCAAAGCGTGGACAAAAGTTACCCTCTCGTGCATGTCACGTACCGATCAGATTAGGGCTGATGAATAGCGGAAACCTAGATGACTTTTGCGCAATAACGTTATTACAGAAGCTTCTAGACCTGAAGTGTCCGAACCGCCGCGGGCGACTTGTCTTGTGATTATACTTGACGCATCCCCAGAATGTATCGACACGCATATACTCGGAAATTTCATTAAACACATATATACACAATATTAAGGGCCCATGTTCACTGACAGCAATGAGCAGTCCACTTGCCTTGAACGCAGGTCGAACCGGTTGGGCAGAAACTAAAAAATTAAATGACGAATAGAAATTTTGCTTTTGCACAATTCAGCTGCACTCACTTATGAGAACAACTTCTGCCAATTAACGGCGTTTTCCCAAACCACTGGGTGAACTGAACCGCCTCTCCTTTCACACATTTCGGTGTGTGCTCTTTGTTCCACTCATCTGAAATGAGATCAAGTGGAAAATAAGGGCAGACTGGAAGCGACGCGAAAAATCGCCAAAGTTTTTAGGTGGCATGTCATTAGAATGACGCATGTATGCGAAAAATTCCAATTTTAGAAACAATGTTTTCTTGAACTTTTTTGTGGGCTCAAACCTTGAATTTTCTTTTCACAACAGAAACCGACGGTTCCTCCCATTACGCAGACAGTCGATTTCTTACAACCTTGATCTTGTGGGGAAAAGCAGACTCCATCGGCGTCCGTATTGCCACCGCAGGAGAATTGGTCAGCTGAAAACATAATTTAGGTATTTCCGGGATATTGAACGAGCTCTGATCACCAGAATAGGGGCGGGTTAACGAGTCTGGACATTTGGACCGTTACCTGGTTTGCATAGTTCCAGACACTGGTCTTGAGACGCAAAGGAATTCGGTCCTTCATCACATCCAAGGAACTGGTATGGGTAACAGAATGTCAATCTAGAATCATAATACCACTAAAAATAGTATGATTAGACGAATGAATACTGCCGGATACCTTTGTGGAAGTTTTGTTCTGCAGACACGATTTCCCAAAACTCAACTCATTGGCACAACCAAACTGAGTTGCTGCCGGAAAAATAAAAATTTGAATCAATAGTAAGAACAGCAACATTTTGTGTCAAGTAATTGATGGCAAGACCGCCTGCCCGTTTTATAGGCGAAACAAACCTTGAGACAGTACTAAAGATGACCAACGCAAGTTTAATGTGACCCTTCTTCTCTTTGTTTTGTAATTCGCAATTCGCAATTCGCAAACTGAACGATAATGGTTTTTTGAATCAAAAGTTTCGAAACCCCCGTATATCTTCTGACTCATCAGTCAGAAAGTTTGGCGAGCAAGAAAACATGCGTGGGTGTGCAAGAAGAACGCAATTTCCGGTAGAACATACTTAATTACAGAAAATGCAGACGGACAACAAAAAGATAATTATGTTTTTTGTTTCTTTTTTACAATGATGGAGTGAAGTGGGAACGTAGGGTTTTGATTGGGAAATAAAACTAGAATTTGTAGCACTGAATTTACAGACATGATTATGAAACAATGTTTTCGCAATCATAGGAAAGAAGAGTTCGATATTTGACAATGAATTTCAGTTTAATTACAAAAAGAAAGGAGAAAGAAATACATGAAAATAGACCAATTATGTGGTTTTGTTTTGTTGGTCTGCCGGAAGTGGGTAAGTGAATTGAGTCGGCCATCCCGTGAAAAGCGCGTGAAGGTTCGGGACGGCTGGAGCAGGAGGCAAGTACGGGGACGGAGTGCGATCGGAGGTTTTGATTGTGATTCCCTTGCGAAGCGGAGAATTGCATCTGGGAATCGAACAAGTTACCCACTGATTCTTGCACTTTCACACCAATACCTTCTCTTCTTGGTCCGGCGGTTCTGGAACCACGTCTTCACCTGACACTCAGTCAGATCAATGATCTGCGCCAACTCTCCTCTGCGATCTTTGCAGATGTACTCGTTTTTCGCAAACTCCAATTCCAGCAGTGTGACCTTCAGACAAGAAAAAGTTGGTTTAGAATAATTGAAACGGTTGAGTTGGTTATCACCTGCTCAGGCGTGAAGGTAGTCCGTTTCGTTGGGCGATTGCTCCGTTTTGGTGGTGGTTTCATGTTGGGGGTTTGCTGAGACATCTGAAAAAGTGTAACAAGCAAAAAGTATCGAATGAAAACTGACAGAGTCTTCAGTACCATTCCAGAGATTGAAATCGTAGTTATGAGTCATTGGATTTGTGGAAACAGTCTGCAAAACAGAGGAAATGAATAGAGGATTATGTAAAACTCACAGAATTGGAAGCCATTGTGACAGAAAGATACGTAGATGGGAATGGCAGCGCAGAGCAAGTGGGAAATTAATCGAAGACGTTGACTTTATGACTTTTCACGATGAGCGATACATCGAAAAGAGCTGCTAAATTAGCGTAATGCCCGTCGTTCCCTGAAAACACGTCGTTAATTGGAAGCCGTGGGCGTAAAAGTGGTAATACAAGATCAAACAATTATATTATACACATGACGGATACAAATGGTTCACTTTATTCGGTTTCGAACCCATTCGGAACCATTTGACCGGGAATTTTCTTCGGTTCCCTGTCGGTCATGAGTCATCAACTGGAACTTTCTAGATGATTGTGATGAAAGTGCCTGAAATTCAATAGAAACAGAGAAGAACTAATAACTGACGGCTTCCCGGTCAGTTAGTCACGACCTAATTGCTATTTTTGGAAAAAAAGAACAAAAGCAGAAAACTGTATGACAAATACAATGAAACCAATGGCAAAATTGATGAGTTAGAGAAGCTGTTGAAATGGGAAAACACAATTCTGAGATCATGTGTACAAAAAAGAACAGTTTTTGGAGAAAATATAAGCCATTGGTCATACAGAAGAGAAGGGATACAGAAAAGATTACATGATAGAGCAATTATTTCTGACGGTATCAATTAGAGATGTCTTTTGGTTCTTGATAGCTGGTGGCGCAGACTCCGTCTCCCACCACGGACGCTGCTTTTCTCCCTTCACTTTCATATCGATATCGTCCTCGTCGTCGTCATATTCACCACCCATGTTGAATGGCTCGAGGGTTCTCTGAAAAGCGAAATGAGTAGAAAGTTGAAGTTCACAATATTCAACTTACATTCTGATAGCTCAATCTGCGAATGTCGTCGACCGCGAGTCCATGCCGACCAGCTCCGGTCGCAACATTTCTACGGATACTTCCGAATCTGCGAGGACGACGGTCCTCCTCGTCGTAGCTCGCGACACGCTTGATTGGAATCTTCTTCTCCGGGGGTACGTATTCCTCATCATCATCGGTCCAATCAAACGGACGGTCAATGTCAAAATCCTCTTCTTTTTCCTTAGCAGCGGCAGAAGTAGCAATATCAGCCAGAAGGCCAAGCGGGTTCGTTTCGGAAAGAGGCTTAGTGAGCAACATCTGAGTCAACGCATGCTCAGTGGCAGCTTTCTTTGATACTGAGCCTCCGTCTTCGATATCTCGCATGGTGACAGTTTCTGAAAACCGAAGATTAATAGAGATAACTGATTTCCTTAACGTACTGCGCTTGCGGTTACCCATTCGAGGAGAGGTAGTCCACTGACCACGCAAAAAGTCGCTCTCGTCAAGTTTTGGAAGAGGTTTCCGTCTTGAGAACACACGGTTCACTTGGGAAGTCACATCAGTCGAGACCATATGTCGCAAACGGTCACGGTTCCGGCGCCAGAACCCTCGACTGGAAGAGCTAAGATTGTGTAAACTTTTTTATAACTAGACTCACTCGAAAACAAGAGTTTTCTGTTTGAAGCTCTCTTTGCGAAGGGTATTTCGGAGAGTTTTTGCATTCTCGATGGCCGCAACAATCTCATCGTACCACTCGGTGACACCGCCGAGTGAGTAAGCAGTCAGGTCGATGCCAACTTCTCCACAGCGAATCTGAAAAGGTAATTCTTAGCGTACACATGTTATCCAGTTCAACTAACAAATATACATCCGCCAATTGAATCCAGCTTGACAGTGCAGTGGCGGAGAGATAAAATGGCTGACGGATCGTATTTGCACGGCGTGATCACGGCGAGCTTCTTGTTTCCGTAGAGCAGAATGTCATTGAAGAGGAATACCACAGTCTCCTGGTAGTTGGAAGCTCCGTTGATTTCTCTCTAGAATTGGACCAATCATACTCTTCTCTTATCCTCTCTTTTTCTTTTTTTTCTTACCTTGTACAGCATTCCTTCTTTCAGTAGAACACGTCCAGGCTCGAGAATATGCGAATCTAAGCCGAAGCTTAACTGAATCGTCAGGAGTCGCTCTCCGTTTTCGTAGGCGGTCATGCACGACTGTATTTGTTCCGATAGTCCTTGCATACCGGACAACGCTTCTGAGATTAAAATTTAGTTTGTTGGCTGGAATGCACGGTTCCTCACTGAAGAGATTTGTGATATCCTGCTGGTTGGTGCTGTAGCTCATAAGATTATCAATGAGCATAATATAGCGAGGAATGCGTTGGATCGGCATTATTAGATAGGCTTGCAAGTTCTTCATCTCGCATCGCGGATCAAGCTCAATTCGAGTGAGTGCCTTCCGGAAATCAGTTCGACCCATCAGCTTCTGAAAATAAATCAGTTTTTGTCTGGTTATTCTCTGGAACTCCTTACCGCAAACGTTTTCAAAGCATTTGGGTAGTGCGATGCGTATCCGGTGTACAGTTTGAGGAAAGGAATGAACTTAGTGAAGACTTCACTGATTGGCTTGCTTCGAAGGGATTCTAGGAGGATTTGGTGCGTCTTACAGATGGCTGAGATCTCTCCAAACACCGATCGGAACACTTTTGTCGATTTGGGACAAGCTAACGACAATTGATGAACAAAAACCTGCAAAAACGTTGATATGGAACATCTAAGAACGTTGCCGGGCTACCTCGTCGATGACTGTCAGAGACTTGACGTAGGCCCTTTCGGTGTCATATATCTCTTGCAGAATGTTGACTGTTTCGGTTGGTTCATCCGGGTACAGCGTTTTCATATCGAACGGAATGTAGCTCTCTGTCTTTTGCTGATAGCAGTCGGCGGCCTCTGGTTGCTTCGGAAGGCTCCCATACATTGAATTGGTCCTGTAGCCGAAGTAATTGAATTCTTTGCCGGCATTCATCGTCTGCAAAAAGAGAAAATGAAAGCGTGTACGTGAGTAAGGTGTTTATCAAAAAATACGAAGAAATGGATATGAAAAATGACACATGAGCTTCGGGGGACAATTGAAAACGAATGTTTTGTCAAAAAACTACTGAAAGGAAAAACGTCACGGGCTCTAATCTGAGATTAACCGAAACGCCTTTAATTTCGCGGGTGTTTCGCTGGAGCGCACCTGCACACCCTCCTCCTCATCTTTGTTCTCATCGCATTGATCGTCTTGGGAGGGCCGCTGTGCATGCACGTCCTCGAGGCGAGCGAACAAGAGAACGAGGAAAAACGAGGAGGGAGGACAGAGACAAGGACGTCCACAAGACAAATGACAGAGTGCCGTGCGATATGCCACTGTTCTGTTTTGACGCAACAAGGCGAAGAGGAGGCAAGAAGACGTTTCCCCACAACCGTTTGTAGGCCGTGTTTTGGGTCAAAGTGAAAGGAAAGAATGAGTTTGACGTGTTTATGTTGTGACAGAAGGACAAAAAAATGCAGCTGAAAACTGAAAAGTGGTGAGTCTCTTGATTTAAGTACTTAACACAAAATCACATGCTTTCTTTCCATCCAAAAATCAGAAAGAAATTATCAGTACGAAAAATGGAGTAATAAACGATGATTTTAGGAAGAGAGAAAGAAATGAAGTGCCTATCTTCGCATGTGATGATGATTCCCTATAGTTAGACTATACAAAGACATGTTTTTGCAAACAGTTCCTAGACACAGAGAAAAAAAGTTTTAACTATCAACAGAAGAAGTGGAAAAGATGGAACTAGAATATAAGCCGTTCCAAGTTGTCTGATGATGTGTCCGGGGCGATATATTGAGAAAGGAAGGATTTGGATGAAGAAAGGATTCCCAGTTGTTGTCATGCGACCGCTTTGTTATATATATATAAATCTCGTTGGCATTTTCAGATTGTGCGGGGATGAGCATGATTAGAAAAATATTGAGAATATATAGTGAGTGGGCTGATGTCTGAGACACAAATCTTCAAGATATCACATGTGTCTTTGGTTTACAGGGAACTCTCATCACTAATCAACCAAAGGTTCACAACATTTGCTCTGTCCCTATCCTTCCGCCGTGCTTCCACCTCTAAAATGGTTTGTGTCTGCTAGTGCCAACATTATTTCTCTTCGCCGTTCGCGACTTGTTTGTTCAGTACGCGCGAGAGAGAAAGAGAGATGATGCATAGAAGGGTCAGGAAAGTGTTTGCCAGGTAGATGCTCTACTCGTTTGCGTGTGCCCGCGTTGCCAACGGTCAGCTGTGATTTCAATTTATCAGTTGGCAGTGCGGTCCTGCCGTCGAGTGTTTCAAACGGCAATTGGACTCTATTCTCGCGATTTGCCGCCCGGCCGCTTCCGGCACAGTTTAAAGTTGTATTAGTCCTTGATTTATCCTGGAATATTTGTCCGCAGAACCAGAACCAAGTTTCCCAATTCATTTGAAAGAAGGAAACTTGTCAAATTCATACGTGCGTGTTTGTGTACTTTCAAACGCATCTGTTAAACATTATTGAACTTGCTTAGTCGCGTTTGCTCTGAATATCTTGTGTCTTTCTTTTCATCGCTTTCAAATCATGCCGAACTACGACTTAGTACGCAAATTAATAGAATTTACACTGATAAAAACACTTTCTTTGCACTTGAAATAATTGTTTATCAAGTGAGGCTTTTAAAATTTGCAGTTTTTCGACCACTCGGTTAATGTAAAAATGTTTTTCCCTCCACAACTTGAAAATTTATCACTAAACATCTCATTCTATTTACAGCGAGTGCATGGCGACGGAACGAGACGGCGGCGGATGCCTCCGAGTGGCCGTTTCCATATTTTCTGTGTATTACTGGGTAGTTTTTGTACACAAACCAAGTGTGCAAAACCCAAAGAAATGCATTCCAGGTTTCTGCACTCGGACACATTTTCCTTGGACTCTGGATGCTTCTCGACCCGAAAAGAAACTACATATTGGATCTAGTTCACTTCTCCGAAAATGACCCACTGCTGGTTGGTAAAAAAAAAAGTTTATTCAGACCCAGAAATAAGGTTTACAGAAAGCGTCTGCATACGTGTCTCTTGTGGCTGGATCCGCCCAACTTCTCGTCGGATTTCTCGGACTATGCGGGGCAGTCAATAGAAGCAGATTCTTGTTGATAATGGCAAGCGAAACAGTTTTTCAAATTCAAAACACCATACTTTCTCAGTTCATCATGTTCCTGGTGTGCACTTTCCTTGCTGACGTGGCAATGGGAACTCTATCACTTTTCTACAAAGACAAGGTTAGTGATTTGGATGCTTTTTGTTGGTTGTTGTGGTTTCTGTTTATTTGATGCGAAGGAGAATAGCAGATGCATCAAACAGATGGTAACGGCCGGCACAAAATGAACAACATCTGGTTGCGACAGGACTGTTTTGTTTTCAATTCGAAATTGGTTCAATGCGGGGATTCCACCACAAGACATTCGAAAATTCAATTAACACGGTAACCGGCTAACGGTAACTTTGCAGTTCTCTAACAACTACATGGAAGTGTACTTGAAAAACCTAACATTCAACCGTTATTCACGTGATCGTTGGGTGTTGCCGTTGATGGATACCATCCAGTTCTATGTGAGTTTTTCCCCATGTGTCTGTGGGTGTGTGTGTGTGTGTGAGATTGAGTGACTATCTGTCACAAGTCAGAGAATTCAGGCGTTTTCGGTGAAAGAGAATGTGCGCGAGATAGTCAAAACTAAGTATGGCGTGAATTTGGATGAACCTGAAAACAAGATGGTGACAGAGTTCATTGATAAACTTCAGTTTTATGTAAGAACCGGATTTTCCACTCAATCATCCATAAAGAATGATTGAACAGGAAAAGTGTTGTGGATCCCTAGGCCCTTCCGATTACATTGGCAGCCGTTGGTCTCAATCGACGAACCTTGACTCGGAAGAAATAGAAGCACCCCTATTTCCAGTGTCCTGTTGTACACAAATAATGGGCGCCTCTGCATTAAACCCGCTCGCTAAAAGTTATGCTCGTTGTCAGCAATTCGGTGCCAATAGACAATGGAGACACTCATTGGTGAGGCCGCCGCGAGGGCAACGTGTGTCCGATTTGCCCCCCCGATTTTTGATGTAATAGCTCGCGTTCCCAACTCCCCAACTAATGAGTGATTCTTGCTGAGTGTAAAATGAAGAGTGAATGACAGACAGAGTGGTGTGAAACTAACAAATGAGATGTTTAGCACCAATGTTGCGGAGGAGAAGGACCCATGGACTACAAGGACTCGTTCTGGTACATCACCAACACCTTAAGAGGAACCAGATCGTTCGTGCCGCCATCTTGCTGCAAACAGGCTCAGATCGGTAGAGCATGGGCTCCCGTTCCCATCGATCCGATGTGTACTACATATGGTTACCTATCCAAAGCATTTGACTCTTCAGTAAACAATGTTGTGAGTGTGGAGTGTCGTGTTGCCGTGCCGTGTATAGGGAACAAGAAAACACTAACGTCTTACAGGGATGTAGCGACCGCTTGCAATCATGGTTCAATGAGCAGATTTGGATTTTCGTAGGCTTTGGTTTTGGCTCTGCTCTCACTATGGTACATTGACAACGGAACATTTTAAAAACTGAAAATCCGGTTTCAGATGCTGGGTATCTGTCTCACGTGCTGCCTCATCTCGCGCATCCGCATCTACCATGTCATCAGAGATGATTACTAGGCTGGACCTCGAATCTGGACCAAACAGGGTACATACCACTGCATTCGGCTTTTCTCATATGACGATAATCTCATATCTCTCTTCTTTTCTTGTTGTCCATCGAATTTCCCTTGAAAAACAATTACCTTTCTTGCCCAATCAGTCAATTAATTCTCACATCAATTTCCCGTGCAATAAAGATCGAATTGTGAAACAAAAATCTCATTGCAAGCACTGACAAACGTCATAGCGATAGCAAAACTGAAGGGGTAATATGCCATGATCTGTAGAGCGCAAGAAATATACAGGTAAGTGGATTCGAGGGATTGGGTAATATACTAATGAGAACATATCAATTATTAAAATTTCCATGCTGGTCGTTTTTCGGAGCTTTCCTTCTTCGTTCGACTGAACAGCGGCCGAGACGGGGAACTGCGCTCCATTCGTTTTTCTGCGTCGAATGGCGACAACAGATTTCTGAAAGTGAATTGAATTTGAGAAAGAAACAGTACAATACAATAGTAATTACCTGCTAGAGGTAGAAGGAGTTGTTTCAAGATTCGGAGACTTTGATTTCGCAGGACTACGATCTCGGAGTCTTGTGAGAATTGAGGGAGACTTGGCGCGAGCTGGCGACTTCTCGCGTGCGATTCTGAAAACGAAGATTTCAGATAATTCCAAGAGTACATCCAATAACTTACTCTTTGGCGGCTTCTTTGGCAGCAGCTTTCTCGGCCTTCTCCTTCTCCTTTTCTGCTTTCTTTTCAGCCTCTTTTCGCGTGCGTTTCTCGCTAGCCTCTTCTCGTTTGTCTTTCATTTGACTGACAAAGTTTTGGAATACACCATGGGAAGTGATGCTCATTCTTTTCTTAGATTGACCCTCAGAACTCGATTCATCGGTCAGCCTCTCTTGCAACTGTTGAATCAGTTCGTTTTTTCTCTGAAACAAACTCGACTTATTGGTATCTTCTATGTTTCATTTACCTGAAGAGCACTTTCCAAATCTTCCACCCTCTCCTTCCACTCTGTTTCAGAATCAACTTCTGAGTGGAATATGGTATCGACTTCTTCTTCGATGCGTGACTGTTCCGCCTTTTCAGCCTCCAACTGTTCTTTTTCAGATCTTAACTCTATCAGAAGTCTGTCTTTCTCCTGGATGGTTTTCTCGGCGCTCCGCTTCTGCTCATCTATTTCTTCTTGCAGTTTGGAGAGCTCAGTGTCCTTGCACTCCAGTTTTTCAGTCATTTCATAAATGGTCAGGTCTTTTTCATTCAATTTCTCTTGGATCGTGTTGTCAAAAAGAACAACAGTAGTTTCTTCGTTCAGCTGTTGAGTCTAAACTTTTCAATGTTTTGAGCAGGATTGATCCCACTTACCAGTTCGTCGAGCTTGGACTTCATGTCATTCAATTCAATCTCTCTTTCTTTCAAGAAGGTTTCCAACTCGTTGATTCTCTTTTTCTTGTCCTGAACGTCCCCATCTTTCTCTTCAATAGCATCTTTGTATTTCTTCAGTTCTTGCTCGTGTTCTTCCTTAATCGTGGCAAGTTTGTTCTCAGTAACGGTTGTTTGTAAAGTGTTTGTTCTGGAAAAGGAATTTACTTTTTGAAAAGAGTTTTCTGCTTACTCCAAAAGTTGAGAAGACTTTGCAGTTATTTGCTTGATCTCTTCGTTCTTTTTCACGAGCTCTTCCTTGATACTTCCAACCTGCTCGAACATGTCGTTGACTCTAAACCGAATAAGTTTTGAGTGAGTGAATACAAATTTTTAAACCTCAAGTGCAGTTTCTCGATCTGATCTGTCTTTGAGCTATTGTCACTCTCCAGCTCGGCGATCGTCTTCTCAAGTTTATCTGACTTAACCTTGTTGGCTTGCTGAGCTGCCATCTTCTCATTGAGTTCGGAAACCTGATTCTCCAAGTCTTGAATGTTCTTGTTCTTGGTCTCAATCTCCTTTATCAACTCCTCGCTGTCATTCAATTGGGCCACTGTAGTCTCTTCCTTGACCTTTTCGAGCTGATAAACCAAATTTTCGTTTTGTGCTTCCAGTTCTTTGATCTTCTGCGCTTTTTCTTTTCCAAACTCCTGCTCATTCTCCAATGCACTTTTGAACTGATCAATCTGTAAATCAGGATGCTCATGACTTGTTTGTCTTGCCTTTAACACTGTACCTCTGCCCGAAGAACTCGGACAGTCTTCGAATGAGACTCCTTGTGCTCTTCAAGTTCTTTCTGCGTGTTCTCTTGCAACATTCGGTTCCTATCCTCAGTATGAGTGAGTTCTTGCTCTAGTTGCTTACGGAGAGTCATGATTTCAGCGTCTAAAAGTGTAATGAACTATTGTAAACCTGACAACAACGTACCTTTTCCTGTTATTCGTTCCCTGTACTCTTCAAGAGTACGAGTCAACTGAGTAGTGTCTTCGACAATCTTCGCCAACTGCTCGGTGATGTCATCTTGTTCTTCATCTTCAATCTTCTGCGTCAAGACTCTGATTTCAGCGGACAGAATGCTTTTCTCAGTTCGAAGAGCTTGGATTTCTATCTGAGACGATTCGCGGAGTTCGTCCTTGTCGAGACGGGCTGACTCTTCCAGTTCCTCTTTGAGACTCGTGTATTGCTCCTCCAGCTCATTCAATTTGCAGCTGAACTCCTTCTTCATAGCATGCTCCCGGAGTTCGGCCTGTTGTCTTTCTTTGAGAAGAAGACTTTCGTAGTGTTCCTTCGTAGTCTCCTTTTCTTTTGTGACACTATCCAAGACTGCTTCCAGGGCATTCACTTGAGAACTTTGCAGCTGAGTCTGGCTCTCACTCTGACTCTGCAGATTGTATCGTTCTTTCTCCAGGAACTCCACTTTGTTCTTCAATGCTTTCACTTCAATCTGCAGGTCAGATATTACCGACTCAAGTTTTTCTTTTGCTGCTTCCACGACTGAGAGCAATCCTGAAAGCTACCCATGTTCCAGTTCGGAATTCGGTTACTTACGAGCTTTTCGTCTTAATTCTTCCTCCTGCTGCTGGAATTTCAGTTTACACTCCGAAAACTCAGAAGTGACAGCAGTCAAGCGTCGGATATTATCACTTGTTTCAGTTTTTACTTGGTCCAGCTGCAACATCGTATTGTATAAATAGGATTATTTGATTACTCAAACCTCTTTTGTTAATGCCTGTACTTCTTTTTCTTTGTTCTGAAGCTTCTTTTCGAGAGCAGTCACTTCGTTTTTGCAAGAAACCAAATCTTCTCGGCTTCTTTTCGATTGCAGTTGCAGTTCTTGAAGGCGATCATGGAACTCGTCTTGTCTGTAATTTCAGAAAACATAAAATGCCTTGTCTATAAACTTACCGGGCTAGAAGTTCTTCCTTTAGCGCTTCTTCGTGGTCTCTCAAGGCTTCCAACTCTTTTGTGTACAACATTTTCGCAGCAGTCAGCTCGGTTTCGTACAGAGACTGAGCTCTCCGTAACTTCATTTCGAACGTTTCTCCGAGACGTTCTTTCTCAGCTCGCAATGACTTTCTTTCTTCCTCGAGTCGTTGAATTTCAAGAATGTATCTGTGAACGAACAGTTCAACAAAGAAGACAACACCGAACTCACTTCTGCTCCAAGTTCAACAGCTGCGTATCCGAGAATCTCTGCTCTAGAACTTGAATCTCCTTCTGATGCTCTTTTCGCAACTTCTCTAAAGCCTGCTCCTTTTCTCGTTCAAACTTGTCTTGCAAAGCTTGGAAACTTTTCATTCTCGCTTCAAAATCCTTTTTGGCGCCGAGAACTTCTTCCGACAACGCTATTATCTTGCTAGAGTACTCAGCCTCCAGTTTCCGTTCTCGTTCAGCAACTCTTTCTCTTAAATATTTTGGCTTTCAGCGATTTATGTATTTTGAGTAAACCCCCACCTGTATTCACTAAATGTTCCCATCACATTGTACTTTTGTCGTTCGTATTCAGCAACGGTCTCCTCGAGTGTTTGAATCTTCCGTTTCAATTCCGTCTCCCGTCCGGCTGGCTGAGCTAAAATCACTTTTTTATAGTTGGCGTTTACATCTTCAAGCTCACGTGAATTATTTCTAGAAGTATTTCTGGACGACTCCCTAGCTACGTGGGCAAGTTTGAGAACAGAAAGGAGAGTCGCAGAATTGTCGATATCATGTTTAGAGCTTGTTCGTGAGTGCTGGCTGATTGGCGAAATCGGTGAAGGTGACAGAGGACCACTTGGTTGTCTACGGAGCACCGGCGAAGGCGGCGCAGGTCCCACAGTTGGTGTTCTGTTTTATGTGCGTGTAATATATTATTTTCTGTTTTCAATGTACCTAACGTTTCCTGAAAGACAACTCAGTTGGTGTGCAGTCGGTGGAGCTGGCCACGCGGCAATTTCCGGATGTGATTGTCTCACGAACGGGCGAGTAACTCCTATTGCTAATTCACTGGAATATGATCCAAAGGATGAAGTTGACGCAAGAGTTTAGAAAATATCAAGTTACTTTCTCCCTTCTAGTAGAAACAGATTAACCGGTCGGTAACTTACTGCGAGCCATGCGGCCTTGGCGATCTACTCATTCTCCTTGGCGATCGACTCCCGGCTGGCGACACTGATCGTAGACTCCCATCAAACTCTTCGGACAGCAAACCTAGCTAGAACATGACATGAAAATGTAATTTGGGACTGATCAGGTGTAAACTTACTCTTTCTCGAAGTCTTTCTGACATTGATTAAAGGGCTGAGAACAGCCCTCTCGCACTGACTACCTATTGTATAGTGTTCCGGTGCACTGAAATGAATATGGTCGTCTTCGTCATACAATTATAACAAAAGGAATTTAGGGCTAGCGAAAAGAGTACTGCAAAACTGTTTCAATAGGACATTTGAATGAAAATTTCAGCTTCTTGTAGGTAAAGACGTACTAAAAACGTAGAGCTCAAAATAATGAAAAGGGAAGTGATTCACAGAGATATAGGAGTGACTGGGCATCCAATGAGCAACTGTTCGGTCTTTAGAGAGAAAGAGAGAGAGAGGGAGGGAGAGGACCAACTGTTGCGCCTTGTAGCCGACATGATACTACTCGGCGGCGGCGGGTACGAATGGACGTTGTGCTGCTGTCGCCGCTCACGAGGAAACATCCACTGTGATATCAGATAATGAAGACGCAAACTCTTGGTGCACATATGATACGTCGACAAGAAGATGAATGTCACTAAGGGCAAGACGGATGCTTAGTGTACGAGGGACCAACTCATCATTGTCTAGACTTGTTGAAGCAATTGACCTGAATTCTTGCAAAACACGCAACACATGGCAAAATTTATAACATTATAAATTTATAAGTACACTGCCGGTCATAATTATAGGTTCACTTCAGTTTTTCGAATATTTCGAAAACTAGGCGCTGTATCCAAAAAAGTTCTTAAGGGGATTTTCGGTCGCCCAAGGTACCACAAATGTAATAACTTAACCATTAGATTTCAGTGAGAAATTTTCCAAAAATCGAGATTTCTCGAAAAAGTGACTTTAGCGCTTGGTCATAATTATAGGTTCATCACTGAAATTAGCCAGAGGATCAACTGAATAATTTTTAATTTCAGCCATAACGTCTTCTAAGACTGATTATGAACGTTTTACATCGATTTCCGACAAGCCTCTCGGCTCCCAGATTTTTTGAACCAACTTTCATTGAGTTTTGGGTCAATCATAACTCTTCGTCTTAAAATAGAACCTAACTTCGGATTTTTGGCCAGACGACAACAGGATCATTCTGGAATGAGTATTTAGTGAGGTTTTGTGAAGTTCCATTGAGAATTTACGAGAATTTGATATCTTTCTCTAATGTTGAAGTGCTTTGGTCGACTAGTCCCAAGAAAGTTTACATCTGCTTTTTGCTTAAATTTGGAGCAATCTTTAAGAGACTTGACGGCAATATGAAGGACCCAACCATCCACCAATGCACTTGCCAAGTTTGGTACGAATCCGATCATTCTGACCAAGCTTCGGAGACGTCAGTTTCGATCCTTCAAAAAATGCAGAAAAACTTCATGCTCCGCTTTTGCTCGGGACTAGTGGGGAATGAAAGGTCCCATGAAGGTAAAAAGCGCGTAAAAGGTTTCATCTCTGTTTTGGTGTTTTAGCCGAGATATGATCAAAAGTATGCAAAAACGGTACGTCTTTTTCGAAAAGTTGCGTCTCCGTCAGTTTTTGAGTAAAACACTCGGTAAAAAAAGGAAAATGTAGCTAATGAGATGGTCTTCAAGCATGCAATTGATTATCCTTGACAAAACAAGTTCTCAAAAGAGATATTCAACAAAATATGAAAACGTTTGTACTTATGTACACCATTTTACGAATACACTGCCGGTCATAATTATAGGTTTACTTCAATTTTTCGAATATTTCGAAAACTACACTGCATAATTATAGGTTCACTTCGAGGATCAACTGAATAATTTTTAATTTCAGCCCTAACGTCTTCTAAGACTGATTATGACCATTTTTTTTTTGCAACGCCAAAGTTAAGCAGCACTAAAATTTACGCAGCACTAAACGATAAACAACGCCAAAGTTACGCAGCACTAAAATTTAGGCAGCACCAAAAGTTAAGCAGCTCTGAAATTTACGCAGCACTGAACTATAAGCAACGCCAAAGTTAAGCAGCACTAAAATTTACGCAGCACTAAAATTAAGGAAGCACCAAAAGTTAAGTAACACTGAAATTTACGCAGCACTAAACTATAAACAACGCCAAAGTTAAGCAGCACTAAAAATTACGCAGAACTAAAATTTAGGCAGCACCAAAAGTTAAGCAGCACTGAAATTTACGCAGCACTAAACTATAAGCAACGCCAAAGTAAGGCATCACTAAAAGTTACGCAAAATTGCATGCTTTTTAAACTTACATACATGCAATACTTGTAAAAAGGGGCGACTCAGGTATTACGGTGTGAAGACCACAGGATCGAGCTTTCTTTCTCTCAAACTCACTCTAGAATTCTTTCTTCAACCTTCCGACCACAATCCTTCTTTCTGTCGTCCGTCTTACCTTTGGGTTTGAACCGTTTACACACTTCCGGAGTCGCCACGTCCTTCAGTCAGGTCTGAAAGGCGTCACGATCAGTGTCTAACCAAGGCAAATTTCATTGCACTCGGCGGGGCTCGAACCTGCGGTCTTCGGATTGCTAAGCACAAGCTTAACCGCCTACACCACCCTGGCCACGCGGCTCAATCGTCCATAGGGTGTATATATAATGGCGACGGACGCCGTTGGACGCTGTGGTGTCCGTGATATCTCGAGAACGGATGGAGCTATCGAGAAGCATCCAAGAGCAAAAATGCTCAGAAAAATGTGCTCCGTTCATCTAAATACATATCAAAAAGATTCAGAAGTAATTTGAGGATTCAGATGACACCGAAAAAAAATTATCCAAAATATGACTTGATGTATATCAAATGAATGACGAAAACACGAAGATTCAAACTAACGTCGTCAATATTAAGAGGCGCTCTCTTAGAAAATCGTCATAGTCACTACTGGTCATGGCACAAAAAATTCAGATTGATCCTATTTGTCCTATATTAAAACCATGAGGTTCTCTCATGACACTGACACCCAAGAATAATATTTGGTCCGGCTCCGCAAGCCCTGGTCGGAGCATTGGCTCTAAGTACCTCTAAACTGTAACTTTTTTCAAAAAAATCTTATTGACTCAGGCTTAACGCCATTCGATTCCTCGCATCTTTTTGAGCATATTTCACTTTGCGACCAAAAATTTAGCACCCCTCATTCACAGCGAAAAAAATTGATTTGCGGTCGTTTTCAAAAATTTTATTAAAAAAACTCGATTTTCTGGAAAAGATTTGTACTTTTTTCAAAAAAAAAGAATGTTGAATTCGGATTCTACAGACAATTTTACACCCGCTTGACTAGTTTTCAAACAAAAATAGGGTTGACTCCGGGGTGTTTCCGGGGTCATAAATCTCCACCATTTTTATAAATCTCCACCATTTTTATAAATCTCCACCATTTTTTTATAAATCTCCACCATTTTTTTATAAATCTCCACCATTTTTTTAGATCTCCACCATTTTTTTAAATCTCCACCATTTTTTTATAAATCTCCACCATTTTTTTATAAATCTCCACCATTTTTTTATAAATCTCCATTATTTTCTTAAAATCTCCACCATTTTTTTAAAAAAATCTCCACCATTTTTTTAAATCTCCACCATTTTTTTAAATCTCCACCATTTTTTTAAATCTCCACCATTTTTTAAAATTTCCACCATTTTTTTAAATCTCCACCCTCTCAAACAAACTAGAGTCTCCCATCAGATTTTTCAGCAGAAGAGTCTTCCAAATATGCAATATGCGATTCTCCTCATATAGCGACCGTCTAAGCCAATCTAATCTGAAATCGATACTCCATAGACGGGTACTCCTTATCCTCAGAACATTCCACAATATAATCACGCACTGTTGGCCACTTCCCCTCCCTAAATTTTTTCCTCAAACCCGGCGTCTCCCCACGTTACCCGTATCTTCTCTCCTCTCTAGGCCTACCCCATGACTCTTTTTTGCATACACATCTTGCCTTATGGAACCGAGTGGCCAAAATGTTTCCCGAAAGACTGTCTCCTGAGGCTTTTGCGACGCGCACAATGGCGTTGAGTCTGAGACGATAGCATTTTTTTAAAATGAGTTACAGTTTTGACCTATTTTGGGATCGTGATCGGACTAGGGACCACGGAGCCGGACCAAAACTTGTCTGATGTATCGCTGTTCTGTAGATATCCATTGGGTATGGGACAAATTGAAGCATTCTGAATTTTTAGTGACCTGGTGTACATAATTAACGAATTTCGAGGTTTTCAGACATCGACTTATAAATTCATAAGTATAACATTTGAATCAGTTAGTAATCACAGGGTGGATTGATGTTGAGATCGGCTCACAGAATCGAAATAGTTAATGTGGAGGAGTAAAAATAATATGGGAGCAATTTTGGATTAGAGAAAGGAAAGAAAAACTTCCTCAAAATGGATGAAACGGTTGTTGTCTGTCAATAACAAACTATTCAGGCAGCACAGATCAGAAATGAAAACAACAGGGAGGTATTCGGAAAGAGTGTGGTAGATGAGATAGCGGGTCCGGATCTGCTTCTCCTGAAAAAAGTACTTTGTCAACAGCGGATCACGACAGTATTACCTTCTCATGCGTCTCTAGGCGCTTCTTGACAAAGGCTACGGCCATGTACACATCGTCGTCGGAGAAGCCGGCTGTCTTTTTGTAGTCTGCTATGGTCCTCAGATACTCGGTTCTGGCCGTGTCTGAAAAACAGCTCAGATAAAAAATAAAACGAAAAATTTGTTACTCACTCAATTCGGTATTGTGCTCGTTCTGGCTCAGCTCACGACCAAAGCGCTGAACAAAGAGGGCCCGTTCTGCGACCAACTCCCAAATGAATCTCTTGTGGAATGAGATGCGATCCAATTGGGGAGTTGTCGTCGAGACATGGACTGCGACATGATCGCCGTAAGCATTCTCTAAAAAAAATTGAAAAAAAATTCTCATACGGATCAATAAAGTAACTCACCGTTTGTCCGCACAAAGACCGGAGCGGTCAAATGTGTCCATTCTCCGCACTTGACAGTTTCCAGTAGCTGTTCGTCGGTCATTCCGGACACGGAAACCCGTCGAACATCGAGCTGGCTTCCACTTACTTCCTGCTCCCGGTTGAGACGAAAGCTTCGTCGACTGATTAGCATCTGCTTCATCTCAGCAACATGTCCGATCTTTCGCTTTTCAGCTGCTTCGTTCATATACCGGACGATTTCTTCAGTTTCCTGACATTCTGTCAGACGCTTGTTCTCCAACAACGCCTGCTCCAGAATGAAATCGTCGGTCTCCAACTTCTTCGCATTTTCCTTCTCCAAAAGTCGTTTCTCTCTCTTCGATAGTTTCTGTTTGCGAACAGCTGATTGCTTCTGTTGAGGTTGCGGCTGCAGTTCCAGTACAGAATTCTGCTGTCGCTCCGGCTCAGATTCCTGTTCCGGCTCTGCATCCGATTCCAGTTCCGGCTCCGACACTTCCACGGACGAATTTGATGAAGATCGACTTCTTCTAACTTCTCCGTCAACCTTCAAACTGATCATTCTTAGGTCGTCCGAGAGCTCGTCGCAGATCTTCTCATCGGAATCGTTGACCACGCAGCCGTCCGAACCCTCCCCGCTGCACTCGTCGTCACCGTCAGCACTGAAGCTGGCGAGGACCGATTCCAACACCCGCTCCGAATCTTCCTCGTTGTAATCACTGCCGTTGCCTTCGAAGATCTGTTCGTATCGTTCGGTATAGTCCTGGGGGAATTTTTCAGAGTTTTCCTGGATTAGCATCCTCGAATTTTCCTGGACATCTCCTTCCTGATACTGCTCGGCGGCATCGTCAGCGTACTCCCGATAAAAGTCCTCAGAATCGCCCTGAATACACAATTTACTGGAGCCCTGCTCGGATCATTCAAAGCTTACCTGCACATGCCTCTTGGCGTTTGCTTCGACTTCTTTTTCAAATTTCACGGTAACTTGGCACAATTCCAGGTACTCATCTCCTTCAATAACATCTTCTTTGATGCATCGTTGGTCCTTCGAGTCCCACTTTTCCTCCATGCATCTCAGAGCATTCGTTCCATTACATGGTTCCTGAGGCCATTGCTCATTCAACGCCTCGTGATCACATCTCTGCTCCTCCATGAGAACGTCGTCCGCTTCGCTACGCGCACTTTCGACTTCATCCTCATCCACACTGTGACTTGAATTCTGATGTTGGTCCTCATTGGGTTGTATAGGTGTTGATGCTGAATCAGCAGGACCGTCCGATGCGGCAGCCGAATCCACACGAATAGTCGACGTCACTTGCATTCGATGGTCAGAACGTCCTTCTTTAGACGTCGAGTCGGACGGCCAATCGCCAGCGGGACAAGTAGACGTCTTCGAGTGCGCTTCTCCAATTGAGGAAGAGCGACATCCACTTCCGGTTGAGTTTGTGTTCACCTTTCTTCGGATGACGGTCGGAGGAAGCAGCGGAACGTAGACGACACCTCTCTGATGCGCCGGTCCTCCCCTGGATTGCTCCATCGGCATAACTGCGGGTCTGAACATTTGCATCGGAGTGACCATGTTCCTTTGTAGAGGGTATCCGAGTGGCACCGCAGCACGCATTCCACTCAAAAACATGTGTGGCAGATATGGCATCGAGGGCGGGACAGCCATCGACTGATTGGCCGTCGGAGGAGCAATCATGGATTGATTTCCCAATGACTGCATGATCATCGACTGGTTTCCTGTCGGCGGGAAACACATTGACTGGCTGGCCATTGACGGTTGACACATGGACTGGTCCGTCGTCGTCGATGGTTCGTACACGGATTGGTTGTGAGCTCCCTGTTGGCGAATAGGATGAAAACCTTGATGGAACGGAGCGTGTGCGACCGGGACTACTCCTTGAGGTTGCAACGAAGCGATTAGCGCTGAGTAGGCCATTGGGTTACTCTGACGATGGTTGCTCATCAATTGTGGTCCAATCGATGGCAATCCTGGCAGATTGATTGGAACCCCCGGCGGGTACATTGACAACATGGACGAGCCATTTGGATGCAATGGCAGACCAGCCATCGATGGAACCAGGTTACTGCTCTGTTGACTTGATGGATTCCCGTTCGGAGCCATTCCCAGACCTTGCGTGAACATCGACGGATTGAGCATTGGTTGAGGCGGCTCTTGCTGTGGAACACCCTGAAAAAGGCAACAATGATGCCGATGTCATAGGTTTCATGGCGCACACAGGGAAACCCATATTAACACGTCAGTGAGCTTTTCTAGCTACCGGTCAACAAGCGGAAAACGCAGTGGTTTGACAGTCAAAGTCAATGAACCGCGTGAGAGAGATGAACAAGTGAACCGGACTCTATTCTACATGAACTTCCGTACATGTGTGAGTGAAGTGTTGGGGTCAATCATGCGAAAAAGTTTGTTCTTTCTTTTGGAAACAAAATTCTTCTCATCTTTTCTTCTCCAAATGGTATCTGCACTGAATCAAGAAAGACAATTTATTTATCAGGAGGCGCTCAATTTCCGACGACTGCAGATAACTAACCCGATAAGAGGGATCTAGAATGCTGTTCTGCCCGTAGAAGTGACCGTCCGGTGGTGGTGTCTCAAAGGATTCTTGTTCTTGTCCGCTCGAGATTGATGAGCTCTCTCGTTCCAATATCTGAAACGTGTACATTTGTTGGAAAAATTCTGAAGTGAAACTGACATCAATCTCTTCGGACTCAAGAAATAACCCGTTTTCGAGGTTCCATAATTGGAGAGGATCGTCTGCCTCAAAGGCGTCCTTAACGATCTGTTTGTAGTGCGACGGGAGACGATTAAGATTTCGGTACGCAAAGCTAATCTGAACGTTTTTAATATTGAAAAGTCTTTGGAGTGCTCCGACAAAATGTTACCTTCTGAATTTGGTTGAGGCGAATCACACATTGCTCCTGGAGGGCATCGAAGACTGGTCCGGGTAGCGGTGGGGGCAGTTCTGCATGGTTCGACTCGCTGCTCATCTCTACAAGCAACAAAATGAATGTGTTTAATACAAATGAGCATGCCAATATTTCGATGTCGAAAATATTGATGACGTGTTCAACACACTCTTCGGAAAAAAAGGACGACGACTACATTCACGGAAAAAAGAGATGACTAGTGTGCGTAACGTTCTAAATAATGTGGCATGAGTGAAGGAAAGCAATTTTTGAACCCGGCTATCCTATTTCAATACTCGGGTTTCGCCCTATTGGGTATTCTGAGAAAGTGTGCTTGCTGTCAGTCATCATATTGATCGATATGCATAATATGCATCAATCCAAATATCAAATCGAAGGAGCCACATGAACGCGAAAGGTCAAACGATAGTAAAATAAATAAAATAGTAACAATACACGGATGGGCAATTGGTCGGCCAGGGCTTTTGGACCACTTGCAATATTCCGATCGGACCCAAACTGCTAAGCCCGGGCTTTTCGGCCAAAATCGGCCTTCGGTCGCTATATCTCAAGAGTAAATTATCCGGTTGGTTTGTAACTTGGCCCAAAAATACTTCAATTCAAGTCCAATAAGCCTGAAAAGTTTGGGTCCCATGGGAATATCGCAAGTGGTTTAAACGTCCTATCCGGCCATTTGCCTAGCCCTGAATACAACCGATTAACCGATGATTATGACGGGTGATAAGCTGAAATGTTTCGGCGAAAGCGATATAAAGGGGAACAATAGATGTGTGATTAAACTCGTTCATCACGTTAAAAACGAAAAAAAGGATGCGGAAGCGGATGGCGATGCGGAAGATTGCGATTGGCGAAAGAGAAGAGAAATAGAGCGCAAAGAACGGACGGGACAGCAGGTTGAGATAGCCGTCAGCCGGGTCAGGAGAAGTAGGACGACGCGGAGGACGTTGTTCGCAAGGGCAAATGAGTGGACGGGCCGCGGCCTGCCTGCCAGCTGAGAGGGTCCTTCGCACACACGCTCACCCTTTTGCGCGCCCTCCCGCCCGTCTGTCCGTCCACGCGCACGCACACACAACGCTCACACACAAACACACGCACACACGCACACGCTGAGCCACCCGAACCAACTGCTCACATTTTGAAGGGTTCCTGCAGATGATTTCCGACGCGCTAGACTAACAAGCTGGTCGCAAGCCAGTGCTTGAATGTATGGTGACGCTCCCATGAGGCCTTTGCCCGCCCGTCCGCCAACGGAGCGTTACACCCGCACCTGGTTATGTTGTCACAAGGTCACCAGGAACAATACACCTTGACGCACTTGACAATTATTTCTGTGGCGAGGTGGAAGAACACGCGAATGTTTGACGCGTGTATGAAGAATGGAGAAATCTGTTTCACGTACACAACAAGAGAGAGGGGGCAAAGAAGAAAAAAAAAAGCGAGCGAATCACCTTTCATGTGATAATCATCTATCTTTTCTTGCCGATCTTTTCTCTTCTCTCCGAATCGTCGAAAAATTCGGTCTTTTATGTCCCGTAAAGTTGGTTCGCGCTGGAAACCCGAATGTGGTTAACAAAAAAAAGAAAGTGAGAAACTTTCATCTGACGTATCGCAACAAAAAATTGAGGAAGAGGGGAAATATTGTACAACGGGAAACATGATTAACAGCGAGATGAATCAGAAGCGGACGAGATTCCCAAAGCAATCGATTGAAAACATCAGAGAGTAACGAAATTTTGCGTCAAGGGAACGTCTTTTCAGGTGGCGTTAAATAAAAGAGGAGAAGAACGGATGGGCCGCTGAGAACAAATGAATTGGAAGGGGGGAAAAGCCGATGAAATGGAAATAATTCATTTCTGGTTTCTGACAGGGTTCTGTAAAATCCGGGAACAATTTTCAGAACATTTGCAGAAGATACTATTTGGGCTTAACTGGACTCTCCGAAATGTCTTCAAATTGGAATGACGCCAGAAACCTTTCTTCGAATTCTTTCTGCTCTTCTCCGTGCAGGGTGCTAAAGTACGCGAAATGCGGAGCAAGCACTATATCATAACACCTTTGTATCGGACCGTATTGGATGGGATTCTGAAAAACAGCTAAAAATAAAAACATATTACGGGCCGGCACGAACAAATAACATTTTTGAATCAAGGAAGTCAAGTGCTGTTCGCCACATTTCTGAAAATGTGATAGGTATAAACATCAAACAACATTTTGCACACCTTTAAAGCTGCAAAAATCTTTTTCAATATATTTCTTGACTTCTCGATCGATGTCGTGAGAAGTATCTGAAACAGAGAATTAGTGTCTGATATTTAAAAGGATCTTACTTTCCAAGCCCTTATCTTTTATCTCTTCTATTCGGAGATGCACCAAATCTTCGGACGACAACTCAGCAAGTTGTTTATCGTATTCAGCTGCAATCAGATCATTTTAAAACATTACTTTGCTAAGCATTTGCTTCAACTGACTCATAACATTCTTTGCCTGTTCCACAGTATCGTGACTGTCCTTGATTAATTCTTCGAACCACTTTGCCGTCGCCTCCGCCTCCTCCTTCTTCATGGCTTCTTGAACTGCAATATTATCCGCCACTGCTTGGTTCATAATCCTCTCGTCTTCCTCGTCCTTTTTTCGTTTTGCCTCTTTCTTTGCCATTGTTTTTAGATACTTCTGTTCTTTTCTCAAAGCGAGCTCAATTACTTTCTGCTCCTTTTTTAAGGCGTTTTTTGATTTTGCTGAACACGACGGTCCCGCCACTCCAACTTCGGGAGCCGCTGCCTCCGACAGATGGGAGGAATCGGAAGAGCGAATCTCCTGATGTGAGATGAAACATAAAACACTTTATATCATTTCAAGATTACCTCCGAATTGCTGGTTCTATCCACCACGAATATTTCAGAAGGCACTGGATTCAGAAGACATGCCGGCGTGCTTCCCTCAGACGCACATGTGCTCGGAGAAGTATGAGAAATCTGCAAGTTTCTGGATTGAAAAGTGTTTCTCTACGGAAAACTAACCTGACGAGGATCAGTTGGTGGTCTACCATACTCCGACCCGGCAACGCAGCTTCCGAGATTGCTATCAAAGAGGTTTACATCTTCCTGTTCCTGATTTCCTTGCATTTGAACGGGGTTGCTGAAGGAAGGAGGACCCTTGGGTTCATCGATCGGAGCTGGTCCTTGACGGTTTGGAATGAATTGGGAAAATTGCTGAATTGAGTTCGCTGTGTTAGGGAAAGACTACATTCGTGAAATAAAAAAAGTAAAATTGTGAAAATATGTATGTTTTAAGTAATACAACTAACTGGATAGGCAGTGGGAGGTGGATATTGGAGCTCGTTGTGAAATATAGGCTGGCTTGTGTTCAACACCATATGCTGCTGATAATTCTGTCTCTGGGAGAGAAAACCCGCGTTACTTCCATTTTGCCCGTACATTGGATTGGCGTTTCCCTGATTCAAAAATCCTCCAAATCCAAGCGGAACCTGAGAAGAGATTATCTGGAAAAATGTGTAATGTTAGTTGGCAAGTGTTTTTCGGATGAACTTGTTTTTGGAATCCTTCAAATCCAGGCGGAATCGCAGTAATCGGATGATACGGAATAGGATACTGTTGATTTGTGACGTTGTACATCTGACCGTTTGTAGAGGGAGCTGCAGTCGGGTGCGGATTTCCGAAAACATCTGGTTGTTGGTTCGCAGCCGCATTGACATGTCCCGTACCCGCAGAAATCTAGAATTTCAAAAACTTATTCAATCTGAAGAGATTCGCATACTAGTTGCTGACTGCTGCAAGAACTGTGCGGCGTGCCCGACCTCGATGGAAGATTTTTACTCAAAACGGCTGCCGCAATCTCGTCACAACAGCACCTTCCGCACGCACAACGACAAGCACAATTTTTAGATATTGAGGGATAAAATGTTGTGCCTGACACTTCTGTAGCCTCCGATATCTAAAACGGAGTTGTCAGAGTTTTTGTTGGAGAGCGTAGTTGTTACGTTGCGGCAGATGAGCGCCGTTGTGAAAGCTGTTGGTGGCGGCGTCTTTTCTCGATCCATATTTAGTGGCTCGTCTGAAATAATAAAACAAGTTTCCAATCACGATACACCACCAACTTTCTGATTGTGAATCGAATGACATTGCTACCCGTGTTTTCGGCAGTACCTGGAAAGAACATGCATTGTGAGAGAGGATCTTCAATGTATCCCTAATATGTCGCAGACTTAATTTGGAAAAATGGGTGAGAATTGAACGATAAGAAAAATAAAGAAAAACGATCAAGAGAGTAGCCAGAGAAGGGCTGCGACGAAACAAAGAAGAATGATAAATTCGGCTCTCTGCCTGTGACCTCTCCGGTGTACCCGTTCTCTCGCTGCAATGCATGGAGTCATGATAGGGCGACTATCGGAGATGCGAGGCGCGGTGGCACAAGTCCGGCATTCGATCGATAAGGCAGTCGCATTGGCCGGCGATGAAACTGTTGAGATGAGGGGAGAAGTATTGTGCGCCAGTGTTGAGCGGAATTCCGTCTGCCGTCTTTCGGGAAAAAAGTTTTCTTCCGTCTTCCGGGATTTGGTCTTCTTACCGTAAAAGAGTACATTTTCTACAAAGAAACTGAAATGAGCGAGAAAGAAGTGAAAAAGAAGATGAGAAAGAACAAGATCCTGTTCACTCAGACGATCATTCAAGATGTCTGCTATCTCATTGAAATACCCAAAAAAGGGAAATATATTCTGTGGGAAAGGAAACACACACAACTAACCCTGTAGTGCCGCGAAAAATCATTGTCAACAAGCGGCTTACTACCAAAGAAGATCGATAAGTGTCGAATCCACTAACCAACACTTTTTCTTTGGTTTTGAGCATCTGTATCTCACTAGAGAAGTCCTTCTAGAAAACAGTTGAAAAATGCCTTAAAACATAATGAACCATGAAAAAATGTTTGGCGTTGTCGAAACCTTATCTCATCTCATATACATGTTCAAAGTCAATTCCTGTAGTACAAAAATGTACACGCTAAAGTTATTTTCTATCCAGTTCTTTTTTGTACTGCAAAAATCATATGAAATCATTGAACAGATTCCGAATTTTTGTAAGTGCTTATTAAAATAATTTCCCTGTTGATTAAGTTCTTTAATGTTCTTGATGTTATTCCACGACACATTTTTTCGAAGTTCATGACTCAATTGATAGACTTCATCCTCGAGAAACTCTGGGCGATCTGTCAAATTGGACGCAAACAGTGCAAAGTTGGGTACACAATAGTTTAGTTTCGAAGACTATTCGAGTATTTTGTTCTGTCTTCAAATTTTGAAACCGTATTTCCATGCGACGAGCTGCCGGAGCACATGTCCGCAACAATCGGCAAAAGCTTGCACTGCTTCAGAGAACAACACTAGATGATAAACGAATTGCGCCGTCTTTGAGGTTTTTTATTTTACTACTAAATTATTCTTTTTGTTTTCAGGTCCAAGTATGTGAAGTCGATTCTTGACAAACGAGCGCAAGAGCAGAAGCCAACGTTTGAAAGCCATCTTGCGCAACCGCGGTACAGCTTAGTCGTTGATCGTCCTCCCGTGACTCGTCATACTCCGCGGTAATTGCTTTCATGTTTTCCAGCGTGATAGCATTCTCAAGTGGTTGCTGACTGACTGACTCATCACGTGTTCTATTCTTTTCACACTAAAAAAGGAATTCGTAAACAATAATTTCTTTGATAATAACTACTTACACAACTATGTCTGCTCGCACCCCAATATCTGCTAGACACAACCTGCTATTCCAAGATGAATGCGCATGGCGTGCGAATATCTTTTCGGTTTTTCTCTTACACGCAACAATGAGTGACATTTGCAAGACGAGAGCGCCCGGCTAATGATGATGGCGCCCGCCGTCAAGTAGATAACCGCTCTGCACCGAGATTGCCGGCGTGCTTCCGTAGCGCAGTAGGCAGCGCGTCAGTCTCATAATCTGAAGGTCGTGAGTTCGAGCCTCACCGGGAGCAATCTTTTTTTGTTATTTGTTTTGTTTTGCTGACTGCGCTTTTAAAAATAAGTATCGAAACAAAACGATTAATCAAAGAAAGATTATGCATTGAATCGTATGCAGATACAACACTATGACGAGCTCGGGCGTTGTTAGTTGCTGGAAACTGCTAATGAGCTTTGCCGTTTCCATCTCGCCCACCTTTTCCGCAGCCATCTTGCCTTCCTTTTTCTTTCAAACTGTTCTCGCTAATACGCCGCCGATATGTATTTCTCCGCATTGAGGAAGTCACGTCGACGGTTACTCGCAGTAGATTTACGTCAAAATCGCTTAATGATGGCGTGCAGAAGAACCGGAAGATATTTGCGATATCTGTGCATGTGTCCTTTGACGAATACTCGTATGATGCGATCATCACGTCAGAAATAGGCATGTCCAGAAGGAAAAGATGCGAGAAAGAGAGGGAGAGCCCGAGTTGTGATATTTCTCCAATCATACTTGACGCCTAGGGTGTGCAACGAAGTCAGAGAGTCTCCCTATTGGTCATTTCTCACTTCTTCTCTTGGCCCCGATTAAAAGGAATCAGCGGTGCGGCGGCTACTGGAAATAATCCAGGGTTGTCTTTCCGTACTTTGCTGCTTTTTTGTTTTAAAACACAAAGTGCATTGAACTCGTTTCTTTTTTTTTCGCTCATTTCTCTCAATGGGAATTTCAGTCCGAGAGAAGTGGCAGCGGATCCGTTAAGAAAAAGTCACAAGTGAACCCATTTTCATTTTGCGTGCGCCCAATACGCCCATTTGTTGGCTGTTCTAACGACCCAATCAACCGCTTTCCGACAAGAATATTTGGAGACGGCACAACGTCGTCAACTGTCACACGTGATGGCTGCAAATGCACCAGCTACTCACAAAACTTCGATTTGTCTTACTGTCGAAGAGATAACAGAGCCTTTTCGGTAAGAACTTGTCGAGTTGGCGTAATATAAGTCAGAAAAAAAGTTATCAAAGCATTTGAGCTCACCGTGCTCACCGTGCCGTGATTTCGCATGAATTTATCATTTTTAACGTTTTTGGCTAGGAATTTGCAAGTAAGCACACCATAGAGAACAGCCACGTGCACAAAATGTTTGTCTTTTATTCTATTCTAACATTACATACATTCAGTCGTCGATCGTTCCCAAAAGAAGAAAGTCCTCGGAGCGGATTGAAGCCTCATGACACACTTGGCGCCGACGATCGGCGCCAGTCTGCATGCAGTATTGCTGAGCGGAGATTAGAAGAGCACAGGTGTGTTTATAAGATCATCGGGGGGATTGGGGAAGATCGTTTACATGTTGTTGCATGTTATCCGTACTTAACTTGAACATAAATTGGTTTTTTTTTCATTTTCACTCTGAGAAGTTAAAGTTGGGGGAGTAATTATGCCGTCTAAAGATCAAGAAACTTTTGTTGCAGAAAGTACAGCTCATACGGTGTTGAAGCGCCCATTCCGATAGGGATCTCTGATGCGGAGACTTCTCACGACGAAAGATCTCCTTCCATCTCCTTCACACGGCAACCTGTACGCAGCTTGTCTGCAGGATGGAAAGACTCATTCCGGGTGCGAACAAGCGCATATCGCATTTCTTTATTTAAAACTTTAAAGCGGAAGTTGAACATTTTCCGGAGGCCCAGTCCGTCATCTCTCAGTTCTCGGTCGACACAACAGTTTCTGATGCCGAGTCCGGAGATAGCGGCGAAAGCAAATCAGGAGCCATTGAAAGTGAGTTACTTTCGAATATGAGAACGAATGAAGGGATGTGTGTATTATTTGCAGATGAAAAAGTCGATCTCGTTCAGTGAAACCACTCGCAACGCACTTCGGCGATCATTCCGTCACAAAGTGAGTTGTTTGTTGACTCTCTTTCGCACTTCCAGGACATATTAGCTACTCATCCCACTCATCCCATTCCAACCTCACTTTTCGCATGTTTCATAGCACTAATAGTTCGTTTTGTTGCACAAACTTTTGGCTATTCTTAGCCGTTTCTTGCTCGCGTTTTTGAAAGCCCCATACAAATCGACAACATTTCTATTTGCCAACTTGTTACCCAATTGACCTCGGAATACCTGCGTAGGTGGCAGGCTGGTGCTCGGGACCCACCAAACTTTTTCGCTCTGCCTGATCAACTGCCGTTACGGCGTTTTTTTTTCCATTCTAGCCGACCACATTGCAGCTGTTTCGCCGCGATCGGCGGGCCACCAATCCATTCACATATTTCATATTTTTATTTTTGAGTCACTCTCCTTCATGATCTTATTTCTGTCGGCGTGGTTGACTTACTTCTCTTTCTAGCTCTATCCTAAGGAATGGGAAGATCAAAAACCAGCCAAGGTCTTGACGCAAATAGGTCAATCACGGGGTTTGGTGAGTTGGGTTATCATTGAACTCATCGAACCGTTCTTCTTTATCTCTCAATTGTTATCATTTAAACCTAAATAACTCAGAATTTGCTCGTTCTAGTTCGATCTAGAATGTAACTGAACGTGTTGTCTATGAAAGTCGCAAATTCGAAGGGCTAATTTTCTCGAGTCATTATCTATTTCTCGCTCTTGACGTTTTGTTATTTGAAGTCGAATGTTTTCTTGGCACGCAAAAGGGAACATAATCAAGGCGGAGCGCCAGTCGATGTTGGCCTTTGTTTCTCCCGTCGTCGGTACTGTGAAGTGGTCTACACAAAACTCAACGGCTCTCAATCTCACAAGTTAGCTGAACTGTTTAAACAACCATCATTCGATTTTCGACTTATTATAACTTCCTACTGATCTTTCAGCGGTAAGGGTTCCCTTACTCCCATCAAAGTCGTAGGAGATTCTGTATAAATGTTAGTAAACAACCTTTGAATCTGAAAAAGCTATCCAATTACTTGGGCGGGTTGGAATGTGAGATTTGGTCACAGGGATATGAAATTTCGGAACAAATTAGCTATTTTTTTGTGACTGTCATTCAAGATTAAATGACAAGTCTTTAGTCTTTTCGATTAAATTTTGTGAATTAAAATGGAATTATATGCACATCTCATTTAGAAAAGGTTGATCTTCAACACAAAATGCTAAGTAGGTCGCCACGTTGTGATGCGTCTTGCCATTCCCAATTCTTCTCATTTCTTCTATTTTGAGCTTCTTTCTGCTCACTCAAGAACACTGAAGAGTGCAAGTTCTTTGAACTTCTCAAAGTCTCGAGTTATTACTTCTCACATCCTTTATTATTCTATCGCTTCGCACGCGGGAGCGCTCCGTTTGTTGGAGAATGAGAAGTGAGACCAGGTCTTAAAACATGTGAGAATCTCTTTTTCCGTCTTTTCTCTTTTTACCGTGACCTTCACTTGAATAGATTTGAACCAGGCAGGAATATCTTATTCTGGACGTGTACAAAAGCTCACCAAGAGCTGAAGCCGGTGCATTCACTCTTTCTTCTGTGCATGTCAACCGTGATTTGTCGCCGGAATGCGCGAAGACGCTCTTATTTCTGGCTTTATTGAATCAACACGCTTCGCATCATTCGAATACCCTCCAGAAAGGAGATGCTCCAGTATCCCGTCCATCTCCTCTTTGTTTTTTAACCGTTATTAGTTCCTATTCCAATTGGAACCAAACCAAAAGTGAAACTTTTCAAAAATCCGAAAAAAAAAGTTTAAGGAAGTGCTGTTTTGATCGAAATAAAATTTATTCTTCAAAGTTTCTTCGTATTCATCACTCGGTCAGATCTCTGTGTTTATTTCTCTCCGACCACATCATCTTGTGACCATTCTCCATGGCGATAATTGACTTGGAGCTCCCCGTCGAGTGCTCGGCCCATTTACGCCGTCATTTCAAACGTTTCAAAGCTCATCGAAACGACGGCGGGCAGCAGTGCCTAAAAATGTTCAAAACAAGCCGCGCATCGAAATGAAATAATATCCGCGTATTCCATTTCATCGTAGTCGTCGCGGCGGCGGCGGCGGTCTTCTTGTTTCGAATGCGTGTGCCGCTTCTTCCAAAAACTTTTCTCATCTTCCATCAAATGCTCCCTTGAGCCAAAAATTGTGCTGTCATGCACCTATACGTCTTCCATTCTTTGGTACAACTATGCTACGTCAAGAGTGTGCACCGAATATGTTCCTATCTTTTCTCATTTTGTTCCTATTTCTTCTAAATTTAAGACTTCCTTCCTGTTTCTCACGTATGATTGCATTCTGCGAAAACAGTAGTGGCACAACGAATGCTTCCTCGTTTCTTTTTTCCAATTTAGCCGTAAGTTTTTCCACAAGCGTGTTGCGTCACTACCAAAACGACTAATAACACTCCTAAGCAAACAAATCCCGGAGGGTATCCTTTTCTCTCCCTCTTACTCTCCAAATGAACTTTTTTCTGAAGGAGGACCTCAACGTGTAGTTTTAAATGTGGTGTTCTCTGTTGATAGTGATATGTGTGCTGTGTTAGTGTCAATGTCAAAACGAAAAGGGAGGAGCCGCGGGCCGGCGGGAAGCGATCGCCTGCCGCCGCTACTGCTTGCCTCCTGCCTCATCCTGCTCCCGCCGACCCATTTCATCTATTCTTCTCGCTCCCGGCCCTTTCTCTCCCTCCCCCATTATTTTGGCTGCTCATCACCATCCGCTATCACGCCACGGTCATGGAGACGCTCGGACGTGTTTGGAGTCGGCTCTCGATCCGACGGCCGACCATGGCTGTGCCGGAGCCCACTGTAGAAGAAGATGACGATTTGTCGCCCGAGAAGACCAGAGAGGTCTTTCAAATGTTCAATGGAACGCCGACGCGGAGGAAAAGTGAAACTCCGAATCATAGCAGAATGGTTCTGAATCAATTACAAAACCACACACCAAGAAATGCAACCCAAAGCCCTCATCGTCAGTCGAGAACATCGGAAAGTTCAGTGGACGTTCCCAGGAACGCCCTCCGAAGGAACTCGACGGAAAGTCATGTGCACGCGCACAAACCTCATCAGCACCAAGATATTGTAAGCATTCCGTGCATAACCTGTGTCCTAACTTTGTCACGTATTCTCACAAACATCTCGAAAAGAATTACTCGACTCCAAGGTTATTCCAAGGAAAAATTGGTTTGTTGCCCAAAATTAGGAGGAAGAGCTCCCTCTCTTCAAACTGTTCTTTAAGCTTTCTGTTATTTTTAGTCCCTCGCTCCTCCCTTCCATTTTAAAAAGTCTGAAGGGATTACCAAAAGTGCCAGTGGCTCTCAGGCGAAACTTTTGCGCTGCCAGAAATATTTCAATCACATGGAACACTGGCACATGTCTCTAGTGGCCCATTTCGGCCAGACCGCTGCCTTTTTGGGTTCATCTCCGTGTCGGCGCTTTGCCGTTACGGCCTTATTCATGAGCCAAGAAAAAAGGAAGAACATGCCCGCAGGACTTCTTTTCTCGCCTTTTCTTTACTGAAAGCATAATTGAGTGATGTCACCGCTCAGCCAGAACTTTTTTCCGTGAGTCGGAGTCGGAAAGACAAATCATATCCATCTAGTCTGATTTTCGTTGTTCAACTTACTTACAAACTTTAAAAAAATGTTTTTCCTTGTGTCCGTAAACATATTTTTGTGTCTTTTTTATTGCTCTTCTGCCCTATCTCTCAAGTGTTTTCAGTGACTCTGTCAAGTTCAAAACTGATATTGTCATATGATTCGGGCGGCGCCGCTCTCAAGTAGAAGAAAGCGTGTGAAACGGGAGACTTGAGAACAGAATACAAACATACTGTAAGCGGAGAATGTGGGAATTCGGAGGAAGAAGCAAAGTGCGCACCACTTTGTTATGGTACTTGATTTCCGAGATATTCTATGTCTTTTTTTCGTTCCGATAACACACCGTGAGAATGTGGATGATGAATGAACACGTAGGATTCCAGAAGAGTCTATGTTTTTGCGTGTTTTGCGCGCTCGCTTCTCACAGACCCTTCTTGGAAGAATCACGTGTTTCCCTATTTTCCCGGAGCTCATAGATTTGCGTAGACGCAATTATAAAAGTTCAACAGATTCCAAAGTGCTCTGAAAGAGAATCCACATATTGAGTCATTCAAGCGTTTCGACAACTCCCCCTCCCACTTGTTCCAATTCAATCACTTCAAAGGCCCCTAGAGACCTAGTTTACATCATCCATAAACGTCGGTGACTGGCTCTCAGTCAGTCAAAACACGGGTCTGAGTGGGTGCACTGCCACGCGGGTCACTCGATGAAAGAGAAGAAGAGGAGGGAATCCAAAACTACTTGTGAAGATTGCGCACCAGACTCTAATTCGAGAGCTGCCGCCCCGAGTTTTTTGTCCCATTCTAAATTGCTTCTCCTTTTTTACTACGTGCGCCGTGTCGCGTGACTGACTGAACGATAAATTTACAGAATGTGCCAGCTTGTTCAACCGGAGAAGAACACGTGAGTAATACGCGAAGAAACAGTCTGTTCGTTAAACGAGGTTCTGTCACGATGGAGCCGATCAAGAAAGTCGACCTCGAGGAGGTGTACACTGTGAACAAACAAGTGAATTCTTAAAGCAATCAATTCATTCCTTGAAATCATTTTCTTCAGCTCGGAACCGGCCGCTTCGGCTACATCAAACTCGCAGAGCACAAGCAATCAAAGCAGCGTATTGCTATTAAGTTTTTCCCAAGGCCACAAACCAAACAGGTAGACTGGCAACCATCCGTGAATTCCAAGACCTCAAAGTTCCCAGGCGGATTTCGTGCGCGAGTACAACTACTCGTTCTTCCTCTCGCCGCACCAGAACATCATTGACACGTACGAGGGAATGTTCCAGTCATCCGACGACACCGCCTTCTTTTTCGTTCAGGAGTTCTGCCCGCGGGCGTCACTCCGAGAGGCAGTCGAGGCCACAAACCAAACAGGTCAGTGCCGGCGGAAAAAGCGCAAATCGACTCTTTTTGTGATGGGAAACGGATGGGATGGGGGAAGAGTATGTTTTAATCGGACATGATGCTCATCTGTCGGAGGCTTCTGAAGATTTATGTGCTTCTGGCTGACATTACACCTCGAACTTCAGCAGAGTTAATGGGGAAGAAGGTTGACCTTGTGCCTGGGATTTATTAGAAAAATATGCGCTGCTGATCTGCTCTTCGGAAGTTTGGCGGGCAAAACATAGGAAAATAGAAAAGACGAGAGGGTCCTTCAATTACATGACATGAGGTCGCAATTTTCTGTCTGAGAGTGTGTGGTGGGAGTGAGATGGGGGATCAAAAATCTGATTGTTTTGAGTCAACACTTAACGTCTTCTTCTTCTTCTTTTTCTTCGTCTTTCTCATCTTCATGATTTGATTCAGGAATCGGCGAGGCGAATACGAAGAAAGTGTTTGCGGCGGTTCTATCAGCAATTGAGTTTATGCATGATGAGAACCTGGTTCATCGGAATCTCAAAGCCGAGAATATCCTCATTTTCGATGCTCATGACTACTCAAAGGTTTGTTTCACGGCCGAGTTGCGAGAAAAGTCGCATGGCTGGAAAACAGAAAAAGAGAGAGAGAGAGAAAGAGTACGGATGGAATATTCACGCGCCACAAAGAACAAAAGAGTTGAAAGTTCTTCTTTTCCCTACTATCCTGAAATTGACTTTTCCTCCCGGTGACGTCATACAAGAGAGAAAAACCTGGAAACCTGATCGTTTCTCATTTCTTATTGTGCACGTAATGTTTTCAGGTAAAGGTCACAGATTTCGGATTGACTCGCAAAGTTGACACCACCGTCAAATATTTGGAATACGTCAACAACTACCACGCTGCCGAACTGTGCGATACGGTCGTCAACGAGAAGCTTGTGGTTAACAAAAGCACCGACATATGGGCTCTCGGTAAGTTCTGAGATTGACATCACTTTTGAACAAGTAGCGGGCGGACACGAGTTGCTCCTCTTGGCGGTTCGGGATCAAAAGACGTATTGACTCTTTGCAATTCGGTGCAAGTTGTCTAGCTGTCACGTAAGGGGACAAACAAAACGTTTTTCAAGTGATGAACATGTTTACACAGTTCAATGTTCCATCTCTTTCTGCAGATCCACTCGATAAAGAGAAATCCATTGCATCATGATTTGTGTGGTGTGGTTTGCTCGAGATTCTAAGAATAACGGATTTCATCTTTATTGTGTTTGAGAGGGGAACAAATTTTTTAATTGTCATGATTTCTGATCATCCTTCCGTGGTTGGATATCTCTTATCGTCATCAAACCACACATACACACTTTTGCCCACCATCGACCATGTGGTTGAAAAATCAGAGAAAAAACAAGCTGTCATTTCTATTTCTATTTCTATTTCTCCCTTTCCGTTTCTCCTCATTTCTTTCGGCGATAAAAAAGAAGAAAGAGGCGACAGAAATAAGACACAGACATGTGTTCCTCTGCATGACCTATGCACCTACCAGGAGCCCGCCATTGACGTCATAGCGCCGCCTGCTGGCTCCGCTTTCCCTCCGATATTGATGGCCGTACGTAAAATAGTTACAGCTGCAACTAATAATAGACGCTTTGCATCTTTTCTGGGGGGGCCCTTCTCCCGGGGGAGGATAAATGATGGGATCTGACTTGAGAAGATACTTGAGGGCTGAGGCTGAGCAACAATTGTTACGAAAAAAAGTGGAAAAATAGCTGGCGATATGTTTCAGGCATCATCTTCTTTTACTGTATGAAAGGGAAGTTTCCGTGGCAGAAGGCCTCGATTATGTGCAAACCATATTGGGAATGGGAACAGTGGCTCAAGAGGAAGAATCCGGCGCTGCCGAAGAAGTTCGCACCCTTCTCAGAGAAGGCATTGAAGCTATACAAAAAGTGAGAGCAAGAGCAATTATAAGCAAACTTTAATGGATCTACTTTTTAGATCGCTAACCCCACGATTCAAGGACCGGTGGACTGCAAAAGACATGCGCAAATGTCTTGCAAAGGAGAAACTCTTGAAATCTGTTAAGGTAGCGGTGCCATACTATTGATAATCGTCGTGTTGTCATCATTTCTGTTCACTCAAATTCCAGAGCACTATTCAATCCTTCCCCCATACCAGCAAATTTCCTTTTTCCCCCAAAACTGAATACCCTTCCTCTTCTGTAATTTGGTTAGTAATGATCATTGCACATCGGTCTTTTGTATAAACAAATGCAAAAACAAGTTGCTGCCCATATACACTACCAGAAGGAATATCTGATCTGCACACTTTCTTTATGAGGTACTAGTGTGTTTTCATTTTCGAATGAATTTATATTTTTTGCAAATCAGTAACCGTGAGCATTCTAATTCATATAAAACGTGTGAAAGTGTGATCTCTCTTCTAACCATCTCTGCTTTTTTTCTTTCTTAATATATTTAAGTTTCAGTTCAAATACTAATGAATTCAGTATTACTCGCGCATAAATGAATATTTTTCAGAAATCTGATGATGAGTACTTCGTGATGATTGACACTGCCACAAAGCCTCGACCGTCGGCAACCTCGAGTTCGGGAGAGAGGGAAGATGGAGCAGCGGGAGAACAAGGAAAACGGAAGTCGACTCTACAACAGTGGATCAGCACAACACTGACTGCGATGGCTGAAATCAGTGAACAAGTCGTTTCAGCAAGGGATGACTAACTGTACTTCAACTTCAACTTCCCTTTTTTCACTTTCCGACAGCTCCAATTAACCTTAGATTGTATTGTACGAGTGATACAATATGTAGAACAAACAATTTCCGGTTCCGACAATTTTTCTTCTGAATCCCCCTTTTCTGATTGTATTTGTACACAGTATGACTGAACACTCTCCCGACACCTTGTTTCTTTGTTTTCAAACCCCTCTTCCCAATTTATTCGCACTTATCCCATATCTTTGTAAATTTTCCACCATCTCCAACCATGAACTACGTAATTTTCTTTCCATAAATTGTTTTTTCGAAAAAAGTTGAGAGATCTTGGAGCAGAAACATGAGGTCCCTTTTTTAATTGCCTGCGGAATGAGTAACACACATTCATTCATCTCAAAATTTTATGAGATGATTCATTTTGCAAAATTTTTATGAATTGTCTTCCAATTTCGTTCTTCCAAACGCTTTTACTGCCCCCAAAATTCACTTCCTCCTCTGTTCGAACCATTAAACTCGCGTACTTCAGTGAGTCCAGTGCCCTCCCATAAACTGGGACCATTTCCCAAACGAGAACGCCAATAACAAATCTAACAGCGTTTTTAATTTTGCTCCGTCCGCGTTTCTTCTCAACCTATTCTGGTCTGTCGGCCGCGTCACTTGTGGATGTGAAACGGATATGATTGGCAAAAAGACAAAACCGAATTGTCCTTGTTTGTGAGCATTCTACGCCGCGTCTTTCTTTTCACACCACCGCCCGTTGCTTGATTGATTTAAACAAGTTCGAAGTGCGGTTATTCCACTGTGTCACTGCGGGACTAGCATGTTTTCGTCCGCTCCGGACCACTTCCGTCCGCATGACAGTCTTGTGAGTTTTTCCACTTCTTCCGCACGTTTCGTTGATCTTTTTCTTCCAGAACCTGCCCACCTACATACATATCAGCCTGACGGAAGACACGGAGACCAAGGACACCATCAATTTCCCATTTTCCTTTCGGTTAGAGAACCCGACTCTCGAGCGAATAGCTGTCAAAAAGTTGAAATGCGTTGAGAAGGGATGTCAGTTTGGGAGCAACTAAGTGGTTTGAAAGTGTTAGAGTTCCAGATACTTACCCACACATTGACATTGTTTTTGTTCGGGGAGAGACGCGTCTAATTAAGGATAGCCCGGTCGCGGACCAAAATGAAAGAACATGCGGTAGATGAGTATTTTACCAAGCCACTGATATTATAATCGTTTTGCAGGTTTCTATAAAAGTGTTCAAACCATTTCCCGTAACTCCACTGAACTGCAACTGGTACCTGAGTTCAAGACTGAAGAAAATTTGAATGGTCAACTCAGAATGTCTATATTCTTCTTTAAATCTGTTTCTTTTCAGGATACGTCATTTTTGCCTACAAAACAATGGAGCACATGCACACACAAAAGTTTACGAATTCTTGGAAAACGTGGTCAGGAGCACGAATGCTCAGCACCCGGATGCCTCTCCCACATATCGTTACAAAGTGAGAAACCTCTTTTTCTGTGTGTTCTAATTGCTTCTCCAGAATGTCCTTTTTTAAAAAAGTCTCCGGTCATCTCACATTTGAGTATATTCTCGTAGCAAAAGTCAAGAACATGATGGTGAGCTTTGGAACTTGGCTGTTTTCAACGAGCTATTCCAGATGGACGCCGCTCCGGCGCTTAATGTGATCCATTACATGAAGCCGAAAGTGTGTGCATATGTTGGAGCCTACCGAAAAATATCTTTTGAGGTTTTGAACGTTTTCAGAAATCACAATCTGAACTCTTCATGTTTGCAGGTAAACACCAATTTGTGTCGAAGTCTGGGGTTAATAGAAGCCAATTACGCGAATGCTTTGACAAATCGCTTCAGAGTTTCGTACAGCAACAACACAGGTGATTCGGAGATCACTACAAGGATAACTTTGTAGAAGTTCCTGCAGGATACGTGGAATTGTCTGAATTCATTGAGTTTCGGTGCAAGGAAGAAGAGGAAGAAGCCAAGGAAGCTTTGAGAAGACCCAGGAGAAAGTCAATCCAAGTGCAAACTGAGCCTACGGAATCTTCGAAAACTGCGAGACGAACACTTCCGAGGTCTCAATGAACTGTGACTACAAATTGAATCACTCTCTTCCAGAACACTCCCTCCAACGCCAGTAGCACCTGAGTCCCCGATGAGTCATTCCTTCTATCCAACATATCCGTCCCCGAACTCTGTGATCGGGAGTGTCCTACGACATAAAAGCCAGATTGTGACCGTTGGAAGCAATTATCTGCTTGTTCTCGATAATCGCGGTCAGTTCCAACAGTTGAGGGTCTTCCTTATTGATGATATCATTGGTCGCATGAGATGAAAAAGCACTATTTCTTGGAAGTTCAAAGAAGAGTCAATTTCAGATTCGGAGACTCTACAAAGACAGGATACGGTGGCCGTGAATGAGAATAACACTCGGACGCTTCGTGACTATAAAACCGATGTAGGATGAAAGCGAATCATGAATCTTCTGAACAGGGACATTTTCAGCACTTCAAAGACAGCCAGCATTATCTCACCGAGTCCAATCAACCCGGTCCTTCTCACTGGCTTCACGAAAGTCTTCCCGAGTGAGTTCATCTGGATCACTCCCTCATTCCATTCAAACGTTTCTTTTTAGTTTATTTGCTGTTGTTTCGTTAATCCTTATTTACATCTGAAGTTAGGTTTTGCATACGGATATATGATTCCCATCGTCTACACACAGGATACTCTGATTCTTGTGTGCAAGACAATGATACAACCAAATTTGATTTCCATTCCTTAATGGTCAAATAGCCGTGTTTTTTGCCAAATCTATTCCGAACGCATAAAATGGATTGCAGAGACGACGGAAGCCTGTTGCGTCGGCTGAAAACCGAGTACTTCAAGTCGGAAGAGTACACCGCTGCCGAATTGTGCGAACACACGCCGAAATAAGGATCCGTAGCGATCATCGCTTTCCTCATCCTTTTTCCTATCTCTTCTTTGTTTCCTCTCGAACTTATCCCCCACTCATCTCTACTTTCCAAGTAGTCTTCAACTTGACCATCACTCTTTTTTATTGAATTCCCTCTTACCTGACAATCCAGTAACTATTTCAATAAACTGCTCGAACGGAAATCACTTTTCGAGCGTGTTTGTAAAGTATTAAAAGGATTTGATGACGATAGTAAAGCGGAAAAGCGGAAGAGCTCCTCATCATTCCATATTTTTGAGTCGATTGTGCTAATTCCGACAATTTCCGAGTCTAACCGACAGACCAAATACGTAGGGTCTTCCGTTATTCGAAAACTAGACAAAGGTGGATCCAAAGTGTCAGTTACACAAGAAATACGTTGTTTTTGTGTCGTTCCTTCAAAAAAAATCGCTCCTGTTCATGTTTTTCGCAAATCTTTCTTTTTGAACCCTCTCTGATCAATTTCTGAGCCGACTGACTACTGGCTACTTATAATTATCACTTTCCGTTGAGAAATGCGTTTCTTTGTTTTCTTATTTTCATAAACTCTTTCATTTTGCATACTCTTTATCAAAAACTGACCAATATTTCGCTTTTTTCTCTTGCTGCGGAAATGAAATCACTCGCTTTCAATTATCGTCAACAGCTTTCAAATAGCCCTATTTAGAACACTTGAAAAGAAGGAGTAAACGTTTTTCGTGCTCTTCTAGAAAATATGGTCAAAACTGAATTCATTGAATTGAGTCCACTACTCAGAAAGTCCGGCAAGAGAACGGCCAAAATACTTTAGGATTCACTATGCGAAGAATTTGTCTCGTTATAATAAACTGTTTTGGGCCCATTTCTCCCTCAAAAGATTCGTTCATTTTGCCGAAGATCCTTTTTACTCAAAAATCCTTTCTTTGGTTTGTCGAGCACTTTTTTTGCAATAAATAAGCGGTGGGATGCACTCAAGATTGCACTTACTGCCAGTTCGCACAAATTTATGAGTGGTACGAACACTTCTAGTGTTTTCTGCCAGAAGTTGCTAACTTTTTAGTTATTTAGTGAGGAGACTGAATGAGCACCTTCCTGTGTTTGTACAACTGCAATTTATCACTGAATCGCTTCTGTGGCTCAGTGACGTCAAGAACAGAAGGGAGAAGAAGAAGAAGAAGAAGAAGAGGCCTGTCATTGGCGAAGGGAAGTTCCGGTGGAAAAAACTGCCAATTTTGAGATATTCTCACATTTCGTGCAAGCGCTGAATGTGTTGGCAGTTATCGTTCCGAGCTTATTTGGATTGAATATAATTGAACAAGTAGTACATGATGAGTGTACCCATTTCATCCATTTCAAAGTGTACCCCTATCTTCTCACTTTAATTTTCTGACCAGAGCTCATTCCCGTCTTTGGTCAGAGGTTCTTTCAAGTTTGAACCTTCTGCACATTTTTGTCTCAAGTTACCCTCTTTTTTGAAATCGCAAGTGGGACATCCGCACGTCAAAAATGCGCTGTCAAACTTATAGTCTTGCTCTTCGCTCAAAGCCCCCGCACCAAAACTTGCCATAGAAAAAACAAAACTGACAAGTTGGTAAGATTTCTGATACACTTGGGCATCTTTTAAATTTTTTCCCAAATGACGTGCCATTCTTTTTCGAAGTGAAAATAGCTCTGCCTGACGACTATATTTGGATCCGTTGCCCTTAAAACTAGTCTGGAGCAGTCCAGAAACAAAATGTTAGCGAAAACAAGCTCTTTTAGAGTAATGACCGAAAAAAAAGATATATAGTAGCAGGCTTCCGCTTTCATTTCCACCTAACCTGAAAAGTAAAAAACTCACCCCAATTGGTTGCTAATAGAGTTTTCCGCAAGATTAGTTCCTCTTAAGTACTCAAAGATCTGTCTCTTTGTCCCCTACAATTTGCCAGACGGTCACTTGGGAGTTGGCGGTGAGTAAGCGAAATGAAATCACTTTTTTCTTTTAGATCTCTAGAAAAACGTGCCAGTTGAGCACCCAAATTGCAGAAAGCACAAGATTTGTTAGTAATTATTTATATCTGCCCTCTTCGACTATTCTTCCCCCAAGTCCAGTTCTCTTTTGAACCCAATTTTGTTTTGAGCCAAGTAAACGACTTTTTTTTGTCTCCTTAGTGTAACCAATTTTGTAAATGTAGCCTAATTCTCGAAAGATGAGCTCAGTTTAACGACTTCTGGGAGCAGACTCGCAAAAATACGTCAGAAGAGAATATTCTGGTCCGAGTTCCGAGGGCCCATCATTCTAATTCGACCGGTCACCGAAAGGAAAACACTCATAACTTTCCTTCCGGACACCTTTCGACTAATCGTGTTTCGACCTCCGCTGGGTAACTATAATGCTCTTTTTCGGTGCAGAATAATGCTTCGGATAGACTTTGTTCCCCTCTTTTCCATTCTTCCCAAGTTTCTGATAATTCATATGAACTCTAACGTGCGCATGTGACTAATCGGTGTGATTTCCGAGAGAAACGCGCTCGCTGACTAGCAATCAACACCTTTTCTCTCGTGCACTTTGCACGGATAGGTTTCCGTTTCCAAAAACACGTCAGGTTTGTTGGAATAAAGTAAAAGTGAGCAGAATTGCACGCAAGCTTAGCGGGTAATACTTCGCTCTTTGCACTGCCTCCAGCATGTCTGGAAAGTTAGGACACAGGCAAAATGGAAAATTAGAAAGCTGCAAACAAAGAGTTACTGGTCTTTGAAACTGCTCATATGATGTTGTGGATGTGGTTCTTCCTGCTAGAGTACACTCATGTATTTGACACTCATACACTCTCCCTCTCATCACCCCGAAATCTTCCATGATGACTCTTGTTTTTGAAGTTTTCATCACTTTTTTCGAGATCTTCGACGATCCAGACAAAGAATTGAATCGAAGATTGACTCATCATTTTCGATCCGCTCGATTCAGAAAGTACGTCGTAGGCCGTCTCTGTGGTCTCGTCGGCTCATTAGCCGAGATTTTGAGTCACTCGTCATTTGATCCGTCAGGCCGAGTTTCCTTAAGGATTAGAGGACATGTTGAATAATCCTAGAACCTTGACGCCACCCGGTTCACCCCATTATCTTAACTCCTTAAAATTCTCATCAGATCCTTGTTTGCCATCTCCTAAACGCATATTTATGATCAGATCACCGCATTTCTAGGTCAGTGACTCAGACGGCGTGGACCGCGTGAGTCCGTAACACTTCTTCTGATCTCATGTCTGTTCCAGACCCCGTTTTCCACTTTTCTCGCGTTGACTTTCATGTTGAGCAATCGGATTAGTCGACTTTTAAGCTAATCGGTTAGTTATTTTTTCGAAAACTATTCTGACTCAACTTTTTCTCACATGAGTTAATTTTATTTCGCTCCTATCCCTTTGTCGCTTTCATCTCCTCCTAACCGTATTCGAAATGGCGAATAACAACCGTGCTTGTTTTAGTTTACCCGCCCGCCAGTTTGGCAGAAACAATGATTAAAAATTCAGTATTGACTCCGCCCTCCGATATTATTCAATTCATCTAATGTTGAACAACAATAGAATTCTTGGTAACTTTGGCGGAAGCATTGAGTGGATTTATTGAGAATTTCTTATGAGTTTTGTGATTTCTAACCAAGCATTTTGGATCCAGGAAGCAAAACGTGCCTCAATTATTGAAAGGAAACGACACGCACTATAGCGAGAATCCCACTCATTTCGAAGCTCCAATTAGTCGTTGTACCTCTATCCTCCATTAGCATTCCCAGTGATCACGAGAATTGTAGTCTGTGATCTTCATCCCAAAATCATCTTCTCCCATTACTACTTCTACTCCAATTTCATACTACCACGCATGAGTCACAATGATGATTTGCACAGTGATGATTTGTAGTAATCTTTGAAGTTGAATATTTGAAAATAGTTCATTCCGGAAAAGCTCCCTCACCCTTTCGCTCTTTCTCACGTCACAGACAGGCTTGTCCCTGTTCTTTCAGTCCGCTTTTTAATATCTCCTAGTGACGAGACCGAGATTTCGAATTCAATGAGCCCCGAACAATTCGACACTTTCATGTTTCCCTCATGTTTATTCAACTCCGGACGGCAGGCTCGCTTCTAATCTCCCGTAAAGCCAATAACATAACGTTTTTTGATACTTGGTTCCAAGTACCTCGCACCTAATCTTGAAAGGCAATCAGTACCTTTTCGGGTGCGGAAGTTTCTGATTAGTTTCCAAAATTCTACTGTAGCTACTTACCCGCTATTGAGGGGAAACACCCTGACCCTTCTCTCGCTTTTTTCTATTAAACTTTTCCGGAAGTGCATGATGTCGTTCGTTTCCGTTGAGTCCTTCCTTCTTTTCAATATCCGCTTATTTGAACGACTGCAAAAACTATTTCCACATTAGCGCCAAAAAGAGACCGTAGTTCGCTTTTCTTTTATTTCCCAAACGGCCCACTTTTCTCAAGTCCAACTCCTTTTTTCTGTCGGGACGAGACCATATTTCAAGCGCGCATCATGACGAGTTCACTTGTAAGCCCCGCCCATCTCGGATTCGCTTTATATCGGCACTGACTTTTCAACATTTCTTTTTTCTGCAGACAAAACTTGCGGCCAATATGAAAGCAACCTTTTTTCTGGCGTGCCTTCTCGCGGGAGTCCTCGCTTCCCAGGCGGATTTGTTCCCCAAGCGCATGGATGCCAATGCATTCCGCATGTCTTTCGGAAAACGAAGTGTAAGCTATCACAATTTTGATTCGACTACTTTAGATTTTCGATCGGTTTGTTTCAGGTGGGATCTCCAGTGGAGGAAAAGCGTATGGACCCGAATGCATTCAGAATGTCCTTCGGAAAACGGTCTGCGGAGGCGGGAGGACAAAACGCCCTGACACAGGAAAACAAGGGACAGGCCGAGGATGTCTACGACGACACCAGAATTGAGGAGGCGAAACGCATGGATGCCAACGCATTCCGCATGTCATTTGGAAAACGCTCGGTACGCTTTGCACTAATTTGACGAGCTAGTCTATTCTCTTTATTTTTAGGCACTCGAGGATCAGTTGGAAGGTGTGGATGAGGACGACTACTTGGTTCCGGAGCAGAAGAGAATGGACGCGAACGCGTTCCGCATGTCGTTCGGAAAGCGAGTCAACCTGGACCCGAACAGCTTTCGCATGAGCTTCGGCAAGAGAAGTGTGAGTTTACAACAAAAGTTGGGAGATCGACTTCAATGTAAATCTTTTTCAGACCGTCGGGTACCACAATTTGGACGCTCGGAACTACTTCGTTGGCCTGGGACGTCGTTGAACACTGTTAATCATTCTCCTCACCCGCTTCTCATGTTCTAGCCCTGTTCTCCTATGACACTCCTTATTTGATATTGATTCCATCCTGTTTCCTCACAATAAAACGATTGTATGACACTGCCCTATGTGGGCAGTGCGGTCAACTTGTAGCCAATAAAGTGTTGTAAAAAAATGATATGAAACATTGAGTGGGGGTGAATGACTAATTGCCAATTACCCAAGAAATCGGAGCTCGGATCGCTTTTGCTTTTGCAGGATAGCTTGTTGTTATTCTCTTCGAGGAATCCTCATCCGCTCACAAAGCTCTCTTCTTAAAGTACGTGTCTTTTCATAACAGGATTAAGAGTCATGATGCTCGAGATGAGCATCAGATGATGATCGGCGGCGCGTGCACTTAAGGAAAAAGTCACGGAAAGATGACGAGTACCCAAAACACAAAAACCAGAACAACACGGTCATAAAAGAAATGGACGAAAGCGTGTCAAACTGTTCAAGAATTTTCCGTTTTCTCTTTGGCACACTGATAACTTGTGTGCCTCTGCGTCACTCAAGTGGGAGGACTCAACTGGAATTCATTAATGGAATTCACGTGTGATAAGGACACAAACTGCGATAACGGCGTCGATTCTTTTTTTATTGGTTCCATCGTCTGTTTCTTCCATTTGATCTTCGAATATGGCTCGAAAAACAATCGATTCGTGAGTTTTCGATTCTTGAGGAATTTCGCAGATATCCTATACTTTCCAGTCTTCCTAAACCCATTGTTTTGCCTTCCGAAAAGGAGGTCCAAAAACGGATCAAACTGAAAATGGTGGACTTTGACGCAGAGATTGCGAAACTGAATGTCCAGGTAGGATACACACAAACATGCTGATATTTACGCTATTTTTCTGCATAATTGAGACAAGGGAAATGGCGTTGTCTACTTCTTTTTTTTCGGTTCATTTAAAATTTGCAGTGACTTTTGTCTCTCTGGCTAGTACGGGCGACCAGACAAATCTTCTCGTTCTACTGAGAATTCGAATTGAGTACACTTGTCTGAAAGAAAAGCCAGAACGGACATTGAAAAAGCAAAACAGAATGTCTGATCTTGAAAATGAGCGGACAGGGAAGGCGCATGGAGACAAAATTGAAACTTTTCAGTCACTGGAGAGCACAATACAAATGATTCGCGATCTGGATCAAATGAACATGGACGGAGTTCAAACAGTGGCCGCTCTCGAAGATCAAGACGGTGAGTTCAAACTGTACATGCAAAACCAACATCATTTTGATGATTCTTATCACTGTAACAACTTTCCGCTTTCCGCTTTCCAAGTTCGATTTCTCAATGATTAAAATTCAGAACAACTCGACAAGATCGAAGAGAATCTGAGTAAAGTGAACGCAGATTTGAATGTTGTCTCGCACAATGTGACCGATATGGAGCATTACTGCGGATGCAACATATTTCGAATTCTTTGGTAGGTCACTAACACCAGCACGGACAACAAGCGAGATAATAAAATTTGTTTTCAGCACTCCATTCAAGTATTTTCGGAAACGAGAACGTGACATTATTAAGGAAGAGGTTTTAGAGTAAGAAAAATTGCGAAATCGAGTGGGATCGAAAGTTTTACTTGTATTTTTTTAGAAAAATGACAAGTCCGAAATTAGCACGAAAAGAAGAGAGTACTGTCATCTTCAGAAGTTCTCACAAGCGACGGGAGTCAACGGGAGATTTCATGAAACGGTAATTTCCATTTTTGTTTGAATCCCAATAATCTTCTTCTTTTCAGAATAACATGCGACACAATCGAAGATGAACTGGAAAGAAACCTCATTCAGATCGATCAAGGAATCGAGTCAGTGAAGAATCTCGCCGTGGATATGCATGTTCAGCTAAAAATCCAAGAGCCCAAACTAAACAGAATAGAAGAAATGGTACGGTTTAGTCTACAATCAGCGTGTAGTCGATTGAACTTTCGAAAATCGAATCACTGATCGTCTATTCTATTTTCGTTTCAGACCGAGGCCAATGACTTTGTGGTGGAGGGTGTCAATGATAAAGTCAAAAAGATGCTCCATTGATTATGTGTGAAAACGACGGAGTGCTCAAAATCCGATTAGTCTCTGAGATGGACGCTCTACGGGCAACACTGACGGTGCTTTTCTCGATAATTTTGTATTTATTTTATGTTTACAATGAACGGAATTTATTATTTTTCAAGCAAGTCTGTAGCTCCTAGTGGTCGACGCTACGACGCGTAAATATTGGCAGGCAGCTTCTGAAGAATGTTCGCGGCTGAGAATCAGTTTCAAGATGGACAATAGTCAGAAGTGCAAAGACCGTTAGTGGTTTCGTCAAAAGACATGACTTCCATATTGTCCGGAACTGAAAACATTGGTCACGAGGATAATACCACAAGTTGTTTTTATTAAATGAAAATGTTGATATTTACGATATACGCAATGAATTAAACATCACAGTATACAGAAATAGAAAAAATTGATTAGAAAAGAATATAAATGGGTCGTTCAGAAGGTCTTCGCGGGAATCTTCATGTGTTCCATCGGACCTCCGACTGCTATGCAGTTTAGGAGAACGAGTAGAAGTAACGGTGAGCTCCGTAGCGAGCTGAAAATGAAACGTACGTGTCACAACCCCAGTAAGTTTGTTGGAATGAGAACAAACCAGCTGGAAGGTAGACATCAGCCCAGTCCTTTCCACGGCGGTTCAAAGCAGTCGGCTCGATCCACTTCTTGTCCAGAGTCTTGAAGTCAATGCATCCGTTTCTGTACAGGTCGATGGCGGTCTTGACGTTCTTACTGAAGGAACAAACAAAACTGCTGATAGAACTGAAAGTGTCTCTTTGCTTACGTGTCATACTGCCATGGTCTCCAGTTGTTCCAGAGCGGTCTGTCGTAGTTCGGATCACGGTAACGTCTCCAGTAGGTTGGGTTCAGCCAGTCAGTGTACCACTTGTATCTCGACCAAAACGGAGCATACTCGTGTCCCAGGCTGTGTGGAATCGGGTCCACGTAGAGTTGACGACGAGCAGCGAAACGGTAGGTCTCCCAGTAGAACGGAGTGTAGAAGGTGTAGCGATCGATGGCTGCGTCATCGAGCTGCAAGTATAGAATCTTATTTTCTATCTCTTTGTTTCGTATTGTTTGATGATAGGGCGTCAAAAACCAGGCAACGGTGACGGAACAAAACAGAGATTGCAACGGATATTACACTTTTCAAGGAGGATGCCAACAATCATCTCTATCTCTTCTAGGAAATCGAGAAAAACGGGGAATGACTCCGATCGAATTACGACTCGTTTTATGGCTAGTTTCAAGCTGTTCCAACAGGTGGGCATATGAACAATTTTTCTTACCGAGTCATAGTCTCTACGATACTTGTGAAGAGTCGACGAGCGGTAGTTGGCTCCGACACGGTTGACGGAGAGATTCGGAACAGATGTCACTCTGAAATGGGAACTCTTGAAGAAAAGAAATATGAAGCACACACACACACATGTCTTGCACAATTTCAAAAAGGAAGAAAACTTTGTTTTGTTTGCAGGACAGAACAGGACAGGACAAAACCAGCATCTAAACAAGTGTTCGAAAAACATGTGAATAAGTTTACTGCTCAAAAACCTGATGGCCAACCAGTTGTACATTTGGAACATTTTGCCAGATACCAAAAAGACAACTACTCGAAATAGCATACCTGCTGAGAGTTCCAACACTTCCGAATCGCTCGACCGATCGGGATCTCGGCAAGCACACCGGGTTACGGGCTCTGAAAGCCACGTCGGACGGCATGGCGGCGATCGCTTTCAACTGATTGCTCTGCCGGGGGGAAGATGGCTGCGGCGCCGAGGGCTGGCTCATCGACGCCCACGCGTTGAAACCAAAACAGCTGGCTCATACACAACAAACACATCGATCCGTCCCCGTCTTTTTGCGTCCCATGAATCCAATCTATACGGAAACGTCTTTCTCGACTGGCAGATGTGTGCGGTAAAATCGAAAGACAGAAACCCCACTGGGAAGATGTGTACGGACTGTGTACGCGACAATATTGGCGTTAAAGTGTTACCTAATTACACCCCTTGGTATCGTTGTACCATTTCACAGATCGTTTGAGGATGAGCCGACACGCGCATAGGTGGTAATTGTGATGAAAGACTTTGCAGAAAATAACAAGACGGCCAGATGTTGAAAGTTCACGCAACACCCTTAAAACCGTGTGAAATCAGGAAGCCGACAAAAGTGAAGAGCCCCACGCAACTCCATTGATCGTGTCTAATCCATTCTGAACAATCAGAAGAAAAGTCGCCCATGGAATGTGTGGCGATTGGTGGTCGGCAACTCGTCTCTTGCTCATCACGAAAAGAAACACCGCCACTGTCGGCGTCGGGGGCTCCTCCGCTAGACTCCCTCCAACTCTCTTTGACTTGCCGCACGCGCGCGCGGCAGACAGTAACACATACCGGACGGGTTGCGCAATGACTACCAAGTTAGTCCGATTAATATCCCTTGTCGGCTCATCTGAGCAAACATTGGTTGACTTCTGAATTTCTTCGATGATTGAGACAAGGTCATTAGATCATTCACAAACACCTGATTGCGTCAAGAACAGAGAAGACTTTGAAAAGCAAATTGTAAAATATGTTGTGCAGAATTGTCACGGGCCGGGATTTAGTACTAAAATTTAAAAACATGATTCTTGAGCTAAATTTTATTCCGAAATCGTTACCTTTGTAATTTTGAGTTTGCGAAATACGTTTTCTGCTTTGTGATAGCCAATTTCAATGAACAATTTTTGACGAGTCTGATCAGAACAGAATACCTGGCTGCATCAAGAGAAAAAAATTCAAGATACAAGTTGTATAATGTAGATTTCTTCCAGTTCAAATTGAAGATATCAAAAAACTTTGTCATTTGCATTTAGCTCCCACGTGTCACGTCACCTGTCATTAAAGTGGTACTTTCTTTTTCCCGAAATCGGTCGGCCAGAAAATTATACAGTAATCGTTCTCACCTACTTACAGTAAGCGATTCTTTCATTTCTTGGGCTCGTACTCAAACACATCGGCTTCTTTCATCACACCTTTTTCTCAAACATGCATGCGATTGACACCCTCTATACATACATAGTCTATCTATTTGGTGAATCTTTCGGAAGGAGATGCAAATTATGGAAAGAGAGAATTGGTATAAGCCGATAAAGCTGCTCGTGTGTTGTCTAATTTTGAGTAACAAACACCATAATAGCACCCCAAAGTGTGCGAGTTGAGAACCGTCATCTGGTGAGCAGTAATCTTTTAATGAGAACAACTCATGAGTCTATTACAACACAAGACGACGGATTGTGTCACTTGGCCCCATTCAAGAAGGACCATACAGGAAAGTAGACACCTGTTTTCAGTCCTTCCTGCTACAGTTCACATTGTTCTCGGCGGGATTAGGATTACTGGAATTGAGACGTGACAGATATTGGGGATTTGAAAGTGAGTTGACTGTTCCGGAACAATACAGTAATCCAGGTGAGTGTCTGAACATCTGGAAACGACATTCGGCTCATTTTTCTGGTGACGCCATCTACCGACCTAAAAAAATGAAAGCAATTATCGAGAACCTCTTGTATTCGAAAGCTGTCTTTGCAAACAATATTAATAATAAAAAGATTAACCGCTTTGAGAACCGAAAACGTTGTTCTATTGCACAACTCTCCATCTGCTCAGCCCCTTACGGTGCGAGGGTCATCCACAAATGTCGATTCACTCGAGAACAACCTAAAGAACCGTGCCCTCCTTGGAATCCAGAAATTTCCAAGAATGTCACACCAATTGTAAACTCATGTTCTTTGCCTACCACATCATTAATCCCCATAATTTCATAACAAAAGGCATTGGAATGATGATTTGTCTCAATTTCCAAAATAAACATAAATGGTGGTGCGATAAACATACACAAAACCCCCATCTCTGGATTTCCGGTCCACAAATATGTGCCAAGATCATAAATATGCCTCCGGTGATGCGTTTTCCTCATCGATCATTGTAAATTTGTATCTCCCCCACTCATCCGCCCGCAGGTTTATTGGGCCACTGCGATTGACTGGCAGAACGGAGCACCTGCTGCCTTCATCGTCATCCCGACAGCCAATCACCAGCCGCAGTTGGACACATTAGAGGAGTCAATCGACTTCCGCCTGTTACAGCGCCTCCCCGACCCCCGAGTTTTTGAGGTCGCCGAATCCATAGGTTGTCAACTGATATGCTTCTGTTGATGTTCTTCCGACGCGGCTTTCCTGGAAATATGAAGCCTATCGGACAGACTCCTCCAGCCGGAACGTCTTTGAAGGTCCGATACAATAAGTTTATAGTTTATAGGTAATAGTAGACGTTTTTGCGGAACTCGAGGATGGTCCTCACATATAAACTTTCGGAAAAGATGGAAGGAAACAAGATATTCTGCCAAATATAAACACTCTTTGACGGATAAGATAGCTACAAAAACCACTAAGAAAATAATTCAGAATGTTCCAATTAAATCCATTATCTATTGCCTAACTGTTTCCACGATCAAGTGTCAAACGGCACAATCAGATAAGTCAACCTGTCGGCGTCGAACTGTCAAAGAGCCCATTTGCCTGCTGTCATCACAACGGATCGAATACCATGTCCAACACCCAAAGGACCGCGTTGCGTAACTTGCACCCGACGACGATTTGCCGAATACCGGACGTGTTTTGAGAACCCAATCGTCCAATTGATTTATTATGAAAGGTGATGACAAGACAACAAGTTAAAGACACGGAATGAAAACAAGTAATAAAGCGTTGAACACAGATCGCTATCGTAAGACACGGCACATTTTGAGGCAATCAGTCCGTGGGGACTGAGAGCCGTGTTAAGAGAAAATGAGGAATAAGTGGGCGGATGCAAAAAGTGCCCACAAAACAAAGAACCCGTCTAACAAGAAGCATCTAAACATTTCGATAAAAAATAAATTAGAAATGATGCACCGAACTAGTGATAAGATACGACAGTTGGCTAATAAGAATGCGGTATAAAAGATTACGGTAGCTTTGAGAAAAGCCCATTTTGTTGACCAAGATACATTTGAAGGAAATCGGCCTGACCGAAAACTTGGGGAAGAGAGGGGATTGGAACAAGCTGACGAGGCATGAAAGCCGTTGCGGGGTTGCCCATGTACGGGTTGCGGGGCAGTGCCGGGATTCCAGGAGGGAAGTACGGGAACAGGTTGGCGGCAGCAGGTCCGTAATGCTTATAGGCATCCATTCTGGCTCGGGACATGCTCGACGGACGACGACGCAGCTTTCCAGTGGCGCCTCCGATGAAGACCTCGTCTTCGCAGCTCGCATCCAGCATCCAGTAGTTTCCTGAATATAAATTATAATTAAATGCTACAAATTTTGTCATATTACCTTTTCCAGGGTCGTCGAAACTTCTGGGGACCTTGACGAAACATTTGTTGAGGGACAAGTTATGGCGGATGGAGTTCTGCCATCCCTGCTTGTTCTCCCGGTAGAACGGGTAGTTGCTGACGATGTACTCGTATATTCCAGAGAGAGTGAGACGCTTCTCGGGACTGTTCTTGATCGCCATCATGATCAGGGCATTGTACGAAAATGGCGGTTTGTCGTTTGGCGAAGCGGGTTTCTTTTCATTGGATGCATTGGACACTGGCGACTTTGATTCCTGAAGATATTTTTATGAACTCTCAAGTCAGAAATTTTCTGGTTACCTTGCTGGAAGTGCTTTCAGATCTCTCGTCATCGATGCTCTCGTCCAATAGGTAGTCGCAGTTGTCCTGCTCTCCATTCGACATTGTCTCCGTGTCGTTGGATGAGCACGGACCACTGATATCTGCAAGACGTGAAAGATTACGGTAGGTTGCGGGGAGAGCATGTGGTGAAACAAAGCGATGATGAGTTTTGACGAGCGTGGGGTTTACAATTCCGGAACATGACAGCTGGCCGCCGCGTCTCTACTGTCATTTTAGGTGAGGAGAAATAGTGTAAACGCCGGGAGGGATTCAGGCGGTTTGATACGAAAAACGAGAACGATGGCAAACATCAATCAACGACGACAACAAGTGCGGTTGGAGGCTCAGGCAAACACCGGCTACCGTAAGCTGGAGCACATATGCGAGGTGCATGTTTAACAGATAATAACAATAATAGGAGTTACGGCCTCTCTTTGACTATGGTAATCGGCGACAAGTGCCGTGAAAGCTGTTTCAGAAGAATTAGCGCGAGAAATCAGCATCAAAAACTAGATCTTAGAGATCCAATGGACGTTTTTGTTCTCGAATTACTGCATTGTCTTCCTAGATGCACTAGATTAGAATGCACTTGGCTGGGTTACTGTAGCAATCAGACTGTTTCTAATCTTTTCGTTTCTTGTAGTTTCTTCTATCAGATTAGCTTAATTGTGCCTATTAGTCTCTAAATCTAAGTTTTCAAATAACCATAAGAATAATTCTTGCAGTAGTATGGGTTCCCGTATACAATGCAGACAATTTGTAAAATATAGACAATGAAATACACCCCAAAAATGTAAAATCTTTAACTGAATTAGTAAGATATCGTTTTCAGCTACAATTATATTCTCTCAGAAGGTCGCATGTATGAAAACAAAACAAAAGTATGGATGGATGTAGCGTGCTCTGTAGAGTGCTCAGCTCACAATCAGTCTAGTGATCCTAGGATACCCCGCGCCATTTTCAAAAATAAACTAAGAGAGACTTACAAAAATGATAATGTAATATTCAAAACAAAAACTAACCTCGAACTTCGGTTTTGATTGTGACCGGCTGCGGGGTGACTGCCTGCTGAATGACGTTCGTTCCTTTATCGGCAAGATCCGGACATATTTCGAGAATCGAGAATCGGGCCATGGTAGTAGCTGAGTTTTGTCAAGTTGGTACACTGAGGCGATTAGGTATGGAAACAATAACGCGACAAAGTGATGGGTCTCGGTGGGTGGGGCGAGCCAGTGCGACGAGGCGGGGCGTGGCCTGCACGGTAGGGGTTCGTCTTGTTGAAAGAAGGGCCGACAGGGTGTCTGCCCGACACGGGGTGTGAGGGGCTATCAAGAACAGCACTATATGGACTGGGGTCTTAGAAAGGCGTGAAGAATACCGACATGCCGATCATCAAGGTTGATCGTGTGGAATTCAATTAGGCATGATATATTTGGATGCATAACTGCTGGATCACCGATATTTGTTAGTTATTTTCTTGTAATCGAATAGATAGTGGGAAGCATATTTTACATAAGAATATATATTTTATGGAAGAGTATGTTTCACTAGGAAATGTGCATTAGTTTGCATTGGATCTCTTGTTTGCCTGAACAAAACTTTTCGATAAAGTTCTCAAATTTAAGTTGAGAATGGTTAGAGACGACTAACTTTATTCTTCAAAGAACGTCCAGAAGTCATCCAAAAATCGCTCTCTTCTCCTTTAAACAAAAGTGGTTTTCAAATATGACCATTGGCGTACTAAAAGTACACAGTTTCAGTGACATTGTCTAGACGAGCTCCACATCATCCTTCTGGCTACCGACTTTTCACACACCTCAGGGGAAACAATTACTTAGAAAAGTGTGAAAAATGAAAATCATCAAAAATATTGACGCGAAAGTGTCGATCATAGGCACCTCTTTTTGAAAGCCGAAGTGTGAACTGCCGATCGGTGACCCAACAATAGGTGAGACTTGAAAACAAAGGTGGGATGGGTCCGCGTGAATCAATGATATGAGAAAGTAAAAGATAGACAGGGAGGGAATTTGTTTTACGACTGCGGTTGAGAAGGAAAGTTGGCAACAACTCGCGTGATTGACATCATTCAGCTGCTCGTCATATTATTGAACTCACTGACTCTTCACTCGCATTGTTCAACTGTTAGTCCTAATCCACAAGACAGGAAGGGATAGTAACAGTTGTGTTCCGGTAAACGACAGGTTGAGCAATATTATTCCATGAGCTATAGTTGGGACCAATCCAGCTCCACAACTTCTTTCGCGAATATGCATAGGATACAATGAAGGCTTCAAGCAAAGACTGGGTTCTGATCAAACTATATTGAACCAGGAGCAAACAAAATAGCAGGAAATCAGAAAGAAAACTCCACGAAGAAAATAGAATCAAAATCAGAAGAGTAGTGATAAAGCCAGAGGCACAATGACGTAGTAAAACTTTCGTTTTCTAATTTCTTCAATATAGTACCAATACATGACTATTGAAAAACTCTCGAAACTTTCAGAACGTGTTCTTTTCGTCGATCTCCGTTGATTTGGCTCAGACAAACTGCTAAAAGGATAAACAGGGATTGGTATGTTGAGAATAAATTCTGTGGAGATTATCACTTAGCATCCGTTTAGTTTCGACAGACGATGAAAAGCACTATCAAAACACAGAGACGGTCCGAGCAAAGTGCGGAAGAGCGAGCCTACCTTTATATCACAAACTGTAAGTCGTTCCGAGGACTTGTGGTTTATATGCACGTCTCAAAGTCAAATGATGGGTACAAAATGAAGTTATGCCCAAGGCCACATCACAATCAGACTAGAATCTCAAACTCTCGTGAGGTGGGGCAAATCTTCAAACATCACGATTTTTGTTCTCATTTGCGTCAGATCATCATGAGAAATTCAAAAATGAAGTGGCGTTTGACGTCAGGGTCATCCACGTTTCATGCAGTAAACATTACGATTTCCGGGCACAATTCGACATGATGTTCTGACACGACTACATTTGGAATTGTGCGAATGTGCGAATCACACGCTGTTCCTGAGACATGAGGCAGGAATTTGGACTGAAAAGGGAAAGGAGAAGTGGGGAGGAAGCTAAATTATATTGTAAGTCTAATCGCTCAATTTCGGTTCATTCTTACATCCTGAGCCTCTTAAAAAAAAGATTTTTTCAAACCTTTGAGTCAGGTGTAAGTTACGCGACTGTTGGCTTGACGGACTGTAAATCTATTGACAAATCATAAAACAATTATTGCGAATCTTGTAAAACGTCTGCTGTCTTTTGAAAAAGAACAGGCGTGAGACATCATAAACTAACAGATCCGAGTGGAATGTCAGAACTGTTACTTCAAAATCACGTTCAAACGTTCCGTCTTTTGAAATTTTTTGAAGTCCTTATACAAACTTGATGATTGAAGCGGAAAACGGTTATGTATCACCAAAATCGAATGGATCAAACTTCATTGGCGGTCTCATAACATTTGAAGGGAACTTAACTGGTTCTGTGTCTCTTTAGACCGCGTAATCTTTCCTCGGCTCCTTTCAAGGAAAGTTCATACAAGTGTGAAATTGCCGATAAACGGACACCGCTGCCGATTTTATTGTCCGGTCTTCGTTTATCCTATAACAATAATAATATGACGGTTTGCTTTTCGTTTACAGAGAATCCCAAGGGAAAAGGGAAATCAAGGAAAGAGAAAATGGATGTGTGATATAAGCCTGTGAGCAATAAATCTTCAGACAGGGGTCGTAGAAAATGATGTTTCTTCTATTCTATATATTTGTCCCGACTCAATTAGAAGCCATTCATATTAATTCAGAAGTGGAACGCAAGTTTTTTCCAGTACAATCCAATCAGATTGGTTTAGGCTCACAAAAAAAAAAGAGCTTGTACTTTGATAACAATACGATTTTTTGTACATTTGTCTCAAACTTTTTCAGATTTTGCCGTGTGGACCGTAGAATTATCCATCAGGCCCAACCCTGGCCGGCCCGTGACAACTGTAATTGCTTAGCATATTGGCAATGTTTGATTTTTCAATGCTTATTCCCAAACTAGCACAAATTTCAGTGTTCTGACAGTAGAGAAATGTGACGTGTAAGTCTGACGTCGACTTACTGCTTCAAAAGAGTGTGCTTAAACTTCAAATCAAACTTATCTATTCAAAAGTCAAACGAAGAAGAATGATTTAGTATTATTCAACTGCTCAACAAAATATTATGAAAAGAAAAGAACATATTTAGGGCAATTTGGCGCTTTCCTCTTCACTTTTATTGTCCAATTTTGTTCAATCATAATTTTAGTTCATTGCATAATCCGTTTTCTCACATTTATTAGCATTTGATTACCACTTTTTTGATTCACTTTTCTAATTTGCCATTACCCACGCGGCTCGCATGTCGCAAACACCACAACTCACGAGCCGATGCGGACTTCCACGCTGGCAACTTGTTTACCCGCACTTACTAGTTGATTAATTGTTTTAATGAGTAATTTACACGGAATGTTCAGTGTTTTTACTTTTTATTTGCAGGGGAATTGACCGCATGCACAAAAAGGAAGAGAACATCGCGGGAAGTCTTTGCAAAGCCGTCGCCATAACAGGTTAGTCTTAGTCATCCCAATGTTGCTAGTATCGATTGTCCCTCGCCTCCTCCGCGGGTCTTCACCGTGTTCCGCGTTCGTTTCTTTTTATTGGCATTCGGGAAGAAATGTGTGTCGACACCTTGCTACTCCCTCTCTCTCACTCTATTTCTGTTTTTGATAATCGCCGTGCACCAACCGTCATGTTCGCGACAGTTCGGCAGCCGAAACCTCCCATTAAACACATATTGGAGGGCGCAAAATGAGATGAGTGCGGTCTCGACCGCGGGCTATTATTGAGTGACCTCATTGTGATTCTCATTTGGTTTCCCACCCTTTTTCGAACAAACTTTAGCCCGAAACCTGCAGTTTCCCGATACTTTCTTCCCAACGAGAAGTATGTTTTGCATGCAATCAATGTTTTCTTCGCTCGAGATAGGCGACCATAGCTTGCTTGGCCACTCAAAACCTGTTCGAACTAGCCGCTTCGCCGTCCGCAGACACCGAATTTCTTTCTTCGCTATCCCCTTGCGTTTCCTAGTTTCTCACATCCCCCCAATCCGCTTCTTTTTCTCATCTTTTCAGATCACATCTTATCCTTCTCTGAATTTGAGAAAATGGAAAGTGTGACTGAAGCGCGGTTTTCGTATGATATGGAAATTTATGTTTCGTTTCTCATCATAAAACGATTCTTCTCCCGCATTCTTCCCCAAATCACAACTCTTTCATTTCAGGAGCGTTTATGCTGTTTATCTTGGTAGTTATCTTGGCGTTCAGCGCTTCAAGAGGCGCTTCCGAATCGCTATACGACAAAAACGATGCGATCCTCGAACTTGACATCGACACATTCGGACCTGCCATTTACGGATCAGTAAGCTCGAGCACCTTCTTATCCCTCATTAATCTTTTGTGTTTCTTTCAGAAAAAAGCTCATTTCATCGAATTCTACTCATCTTGGTGCGGAGCATGCATCGGATACGCTCCTACATTCAAGAAATTCGCAAAGTAAACTGTTTAGGGAAAAATTAGGGCAATCAAACGCAATTTATTTACACGCTCATGCACTTTTGTTTGAAATTTCTTCGCAATGCTACAAAACGTCGGGCGCATATCCTGGCACAGAGTGCAAACAGTGACAAAAAATGACCATTGATTCCGGAAAAATTAGGCGCTGGACACAAGACACGAAATCGCTGCCAATTTTCAATCAAAACGTTCAGACAACTCGAAAAATGGTCTCCACTGGTTCAAGTGACAGTTGTGAATTGTGCCGATGATAAAAATATGCCGCTGTGCAGAGAACAATCTGTCAGCTCGTACCCAACTCTCAAGGTACACACATTTGTGCTTCCTGCTTTTGACGCAACTTATTGTACTTTTCAGTATTTCAAATATGCGTCAAACAACAAAGACGACGGAATGAAGTACAGCGGAGATAAATATGACATCACTAAGCTGGCTCATGATATCGCCGGACTTGCTCAAGCCGATGCTCAACGTCAGAGCCCTGAGACATGGCCAGCGTTTTTGCCACTTTCGGAGTAGGATTTTGAGGTGATATCATCCAACATCTGATGATTTCCAGAAGCACCAGCCTTGAGGAGGTCTTCAAAACCATCGGAGACACTCAATATCTTGCGATTGTTGTTCAGGATGATCCGGCTGTCATTGCGTGGGCGGTGTGAACCCCCATTTGTAAACCTTGCATTTAACAACCGCTTGCAGAATCTGATCAACTATCACGGAAACAACGCAATCAAAGTGGCGTTTGTCGGTCAAACCCATCCAATCGCCACAAGATTCTTCACCGATGGAGCCGCCCACGCTCTCCTGTTCACCAACGGAAATGCGGAACCGATGTGGAAGTCCGAAGGTGTCGTTGAAAAATGGACGGACGTGCACGAAAAGATTGAGGAGCTCATCGGCGACAAGATTGCGGCCCAAAGTCCGACAATTCAACCGGCCGACTCAGCTGTAAGTCATTTTTCTGTGCAGCATTTTCATTGGGCGACTTGATTCTGTAAGCAATGATTTAGAACTGGGCTTCTATGTGGAACCGTTTTTGGAGAAGGGTAAAAGAAGTTAAGAGACTGTTCCAGGTATGTGGATCGCATGGTGTGGTTAACTCTTCCCAAGTTTTTTCATTGAACTGCACCTTAATCCACATCCCTGTAGTTGATACATCAATTGAAAGTTTCCCACCCTCCCCAACTCAGAAAAGCAACAAATCTATTATATATTTTTTCAGCCAGTCATTGCTGCCCCATCGACTCCATTGGGCAATCAGTTCGAAGTGCAATTGGTGGATTTGAAAAGCGCAATGAGTTACATGCTATACAAGGAAATCCCGAGAAGACAGGAGATTCGCGATGAGCCGTTGGCCGCTCTCAAGCAGTGGATGCACACTTTGAAGAAGGTATGTTTTTCCAAGTGAATATCCGTAAGAACACTTTGACTTTTCAGTATGCTCCTGGCACTACACCAATGCGCAGACTCTTCTTCCGTCTTGACGAGTGGGTTCAGCTCCGTTCTGCGATCACTTCTGACGAATGGACCGCCAAAGTGGATGAGATTCAAGTAAGATCATCTCTTTTCTTCACAGTTTTTTGTAACAGTGACGCAATGATTACTAATTGCTTTTTTATCAAACCAGTTTTGTTGTAGCAATCACTGGGTAATCCGCTGCCAAAGGAAATCACGTGGATGGCTTGTGCGGGGTCGAAGTCAAACCTCAGAGGCTACACCTGTGGACTTTGGACTCTTGCTCACACGATCACAGTCGAAGCGTACAAACAAGAAAAGCACAGTAATACTTACGCTCCCGGTGTCCACCTGCTAACATCGCGAAATTTTTGCAGATACAGACTTCAAGCCAGTGATCGATGTGCTTGAGCCGTTCCGCGCGTTCATCTTCCACTTCCTGAGTTGCTCCGAGTGTGCTCATAACTTCACAAAGGAGGCCGAGAAGAATCAACTTCACTTGGTCACAAGAGCAGAAGACGTGTACGCGTGGCTTTGGAGAGTACACAACTTTGTCAATAAAAGACTCTCCGGCTCTCTTACCGACGATCCGTCCTTCAAGAAACAGCAGTTCCCGCCGAAATCCATCTGCGCGGATTGTTACGATTCGAACGGAGAGATCGACGAAGCGAAGGCACTTCCGTTCGTGTTCAAGTACTATTCGAATATCAAGACGGACCCGGTAGAGGTATACAGTTCTTTAAAGATCACACACGTTTATATAACTTCTTTAATTTCAGAACGTGCCAGGATACAAAGTGGTGGAATACAAGGAAGGCAAGACGCTCTCTGCTGGACAGAGACACTTGAATCCAAAATTCCAAGTTCACGCCGGAAAGGTTGATCAACTCGAGGCTAATGATAAGGTCCGAAATGACGCCAGTCCACAGAGAACATGGAAAGATCTCGATGGCTACGGTGAGCGAAAGCGTTCCAGCGACAATGAGTCTACGCATGTTCCTGTTCCAGACAGTCTTCCGGACACTGCGAGCCGCACTCACCACTACTTCATCTGGCTCTCGCTCATCGGCGTGGCACTGATTGTCGTTTACTGCAAATACCGGAAGAACAGATCAAAGTTTTGGAAGACTTTCTATTATCAAAACGACTTCAAACTGTGATTTTTTTGCCGGGGTTTCTTTTGAGTTGGCCGCACTTTCTCCCCCTCACTGCTAACCGCATGTCGTTGCTTTTCGTTGCATGCATCCAATTCCACTCGTCATATCTTCATGCTATCACTTTCAAGCTAATGTAAGCCTCTGTAAAAACTTCATTCAAGTGTAACGTCCGGGTGAAGCCAGTCTAAGAAGCGGCGCTGACCTACTTCGAATTAGAAGACTACGTCTTGTTTTGTGTTTGGTTGTGTTCTGTCCTAGAAGTCATATGAGATCTAGATCTACCGTTTGAATTATCATCATAACATACTTATTCTAATTTATTCCTTTTTTAATGCATGCTCGACTCTCCTACGTGTTTCCCTTTTGTGTATTTGTCGCCACCTTGTGCTCGTCCAGTAAATTGACGTAATAAATGTTTCTTTCATGATAAACTTGATACATCCCGTCTCCTTATTACCTATATATAAACCGAAAGTTAGGGAATCTTTAGGAATGAAGGACGCAAAAGTACGTGCTGGGAGTTGTTTGCTTTGTTAAACATTTATGTTTCTAGAAAAATAGACCTAAATCACGCGATGTGCCGTCCCAGATTAGTTCTAACTGTAGAATTGTTTGTGTGTTCGTCACATACCCTAAAATAATAGACTGAAATAGAAAAACATATGTTAATCAGTAGAACAACTAACTTTTTCAGATGTCCCTGGAGTTCATCACCAGTAAAGCAGAACATCGTCTAACCAATCACCGGATGAAGAATATCTGATCTCATCAGCTATTCCGTTAAATATTGTGTACTCACTTTGTTTATTTTTTCTTTTTAATTTTCATTGTCATCGCATAACCATTATTTCTATTCTATTCCATTCACAATTCGTGTTCATTAACTGACATCTTTTGGTTACGGTTTCTTTCTTTTTCGAAATTTTTGGTCATTTTCATAAAAACTCTTTATTGCTAGCTTATTTCAATATCCTCTAACCAATGAAATCCCAAATGATTCGATAGTTTTTTCGATCGAACTTTTTGTTAGATGCAAAACGGTTAGAAAGGGAATGCTGCGATAAGCGGACACTCAAACTGTACACAAGTATAATCTGTAAAAGAATAAGTTGGCGTGAAGAGAAAACTGAAATTGTTCTTGAGACGAAGTCAAATCATTTATGCTCGAGCACACAAAAGATTCTTCAGCATCATTGTGGGGACCATGGACTACGGTGGCCTCATCTCTAGAACAATAAGAGATTTTCTTCTGTACATTTGTTGGCGACAAGCGAGGGAAAAGTGATAATTCTCGTTCGTCTGAAGTATAAATGGGTGTGCGAGGATTATTGGCGGATCCAGTTCTCGCGTTGCGGACGCGACGAGTCTGTGGTTTTCTTGGACGCGTGGTACGCAGTCAGAATGATCTCATCGGCCGATCTTTCGCGTCTAGCCGGTATTGGAGACGATTGCTCCGATCTGAATGGGTAAAGGTTAGGTCCATGCATTCCGGGGATAAATTATTTACCCGCTGCTAGTCGCATAATCACTTCCCACTGATCTTGGGCTCAATTCGTACTGTCTCTTGACGTGGTAGGCTCCGTATCCAGTGGTTCTGTACGGCACATAGTCCCCCTTGATGCTCTTTGTCAACACCTTCAGTTCATTTCCGCTGCTCGCGGAGTCTGCAGAAAATGTGACTCTGTTTTCTGTTTTTTTGCCGTTTCCGAGTTCGAATCGGAAGAAAGGAATGTTTGCGGTAGCGAGTAGGAAAAAAAACGAAATTACGACTGAATGGACTGTTTACATTTCTTCTAATGTTACTATTTAGCGACGGCTCTCGGTTTTTTGTTTGGCATCCGAACTCGGAAGTTAGACCCTAAACCTCAAAAACCCCTTCCAAGTTTACCTTTCTTCAAAAACTCCGGACTGTAGTCGCTGTCATACTGGCGAGTTCTAGAAGCGGGGCGCGGAGAAAGAGCTTGAGTTCGATGTGGCAGGTTTTGTGGCTCATCACCTGCAAATAATCCGTTTTTAATGGTTTGTGAACTGAGAATGCGAGGGGTCTTTGTCTAGAATCTCTTCATTACTATACCATTCTACAATTTGAGCAAATTGCAAAATTTTTGAGCAAGTACGTCAAAAGGCAAGCAAAACTCAATATATGAAAAAGCGATGGGGGCGATTGAATGGGTTCAGAGGTAATATTGACGAGAGTATTGATATTCCTCATGAATCTCACCGGTTGGCGATGGGCTGTGCGAGACGTATCCGGCATCTCCCCACTTGGTTCCGTATCTGGTGATCGAGTCTGTAATGTTACACTTTGTTGTAAAGAAAGTACTTTCCTAAAGATTTATTAAAGATAATCGACTATTCAAGATAATATTCTGTTTCTACAATTCGAATGACAGTGACTTTGGTTTCAGCTAACGCCCACAACTGTCCTTCCCAGTCAATTAGTCTAGGCTGCTCAGATTCCACGTCAGAGCTACTTTCGTAATCAGAATCGGAAGAAAGGTAACCTTTGCGGTGTCTCTCGTATTTAGCGTATTTGTCGAAGACAGTTTGGGATGGAGTCTCGGTGCGCGCTGGCGAAACACTTCTGGAGCGGTCTGGGATCGACAACTTTCTCTTCTGATGGGCTGGTCCTGAAAGGCAAATAAAGGTGAAATGTTTTCTTATAAGAGTAGTTCCTACCGTAGCCGGCAGAGCGATGTGGAACGACTTCTCTTGGGCTTGGTGGGACTTCATCATCAACGAAGACTGGTGGCTGGAGAACGAACTTCTTCGGCACTTTCTTTTCTTCCTTCACTTCGACGTCGACCTCGACTGGAGTGGACGACTTGGTCCATCCGACCATTCCGATGGCATCAATCGGTTCTTCCTTGATATCTCTGATCGGAACCTGAGCGTCGTTCAGTCTCTCTAGATGATTGAAGGCAGCCGAGATGAACGGGATGCTCTTTCCGGAAAGAATCCATCTTCCCTCAATATCGAGGTGCTTCAGACGGTTTGGTCCACGTCCTTGGATGTGAGAATCCATATGGAAATACTTGATGTCGTCGGTGTTCAGACCGAAGTCAGACATGAACAAGTTGGGAATGGTGGTTGGAGGAGCCATTGCAATAGAAAAGGAAGAAGAAGAGGAAGTTGAGAGTGTTGGATGAAATGAGCCAGACGAGCTGAGCTGATGTGATGATTGGAAATGACCTTGACCTGCCTTTTATACCAGGAACAGTTTTCGGGAGGTAACGCCCACCCACCGTGGTGAACTTGGGTAATGTGCACACATGCACTAAGCTCATCACAAATAGAAAGAAAAAAGAAAGAGAGAGAGAAAGAGACCTACGTGAAGAGAGAGTACTGTATGTGTTTTGGGCGACGTCGTTTTCCGAAACAAAAAAAAACGAGCGAAACTGTTTAACACCGGCTTATTGGAGCGGTGGCGTACGTTTTGAAAAATGATCAGTTTGATCATTTTGTCAGCTTTTTGTCAAACAGTGCGAGGAACTGACTGTCAGTCGGGAGGAACGTGAAAATATTGGAGTAACACGTGAGTCAGTTCAGCACCGCTCCCTAGGACCTGTTTGTCACTTTCAGATGATTGAGCACTTATCGAAATACTGAAAACATAATAGAAAGCTTTCATATATCAGTCATTCCCTTCTCTGAAACAACTATTGTCCGTGTTGATTTTAGAGTCATCATTGGTTCTTTCATGAAATTCCGTCACCACTCTAAGGTTTGCTTTGCTTTGTAATTTTCCTTCTCTTTCTTCATGACCTTCACTTCTTCACTCTCTCTCTCTCTGTGTTCATGGCCAACTGTTTACTTCTGTTTACCTCCCCGCTTTACTGTAACCGAAGGACGGTTCGGGAACGATGAAAGAATTCAGTGGCATTTCAAACTGTTATTTACTCTCCAGTGGTGGCCTCAATGAAAGCTTTTGTGGTTGGTTGGCTGCCGGTGTAATTTGAGAAAAGAATTAATTTTTTTGCAGAAAAAAGGGAACCAAGCAGCTGATGGTTTTCGATCTCAGGGGGTGCTAAACTGTGAAGTACCACTTGGCGAAATACTGATCAGAGACCATGTACATACATCCCAAAAATGGAAAAATTCTCAGAATTATTGGAAACCTATAGAAAACAGCAATAATAGAGTACACTGGGGAACGGAATTCACTCCGAACAGAAAAATGACATCAGGAAGCAATTACCAGTATTATTTCTAGGGCCGTTCTCGGAAAAACGTCAGAAAATTGGTCAATATTTCAAACTGGATACACATCTATTATATCTGCCTGTGTTTCGATCTTTCGATACTTTGCCATCGGAATGAATTGTATTGAAATCATTTATTATTCAATTTCACTGAACTCATTCTTGTTTTTAAAAGCCCGCAAGACATAATATGTGGTTAAAAAAGCACGAAACGGCACTCTGTCATAATCCGTCATTTCTTTTTCTCTTCTCTTCGAGAGATTATTCACTAATGGCAGGGGCAGACGGCCTACAATTGGACTAGTTTCTCAGAATTGCGAAAATCCATCTATCCTCTCCAAACAGCGCTTATTACTGAGTTTGTGAATTGAAGCGGAGCATACGAAGTGAGTATTTCATATGCTCATTTCCTGAAAAAAAACGCTTCTCTTTTCCTTTCTCTTTTTCATGTATCCGGACTCAATCTTTCCTCTGTCCACCAACGATTATTGACTAAAGTTCGAGAGTGCGAAAAAAGGAGCTATTATGTTTTTCTTATTTGTGTTTTTTCAACGGCAACAAGATATGTGGATTGCTGTTCAAATACTCGCTCAAACACAACCTACGCGCAAAACTCTGCTGTTGCTATTCTTTCCCGTTTATTTCATAACGCCTTTGGCGAAGCTTTGCTGCTGCTGCAAAATATTCATATGACCAACCCGTTATTTGCCGGGAGAAGGATGAAAGCTCATAAAAGGGGGATAGATGCATTTTATTTCAATTTAATTCGATCGAAAATTCCAGAGATGTTTGATGCTGTTCCATTATCTGATGCTTGAGGGGACAAACAGAGGTTTTCCAAAAAAGGATATATATTTAAGCTACTAGCTTGAGTGCAATTCCCAACGAAAATATTTTAGTCAGAAAACAACACGTTTTGTATTTATGTACGTGTTTCTTGCCCACTGTCACGCGTTATTAATCAATACCAATATGGCAAACAAGTCAACCGCCGCCACCTTCTTATCATATCGTTCGATTCCCATTGTGAATTATTGTTAATCAACCACTATGAGCAGATTTCGAACAATCACGAGGCCGTGGGATTGTTCCATTTTCTATCGAGTTACTTGTTTTCAACAATCTCCTTCTGCCAACAGTTGTGTTTTCGCAGTGGTTACAACAATGATGCCGCCATCTCCCCCCGTCATCCAGTTGTTGTTATTCTGGTTTCCACCTCACCACAGTTCATTTTATTTTTTCAAATTGTCACTTCCCTACGCTTGTCAGTTTTCATTATTTCATCACTCAAGAACGGTGGTGGTTCCCATCTGAGTCATCCGCTTCTTTTGTCAACTTTTTTGTAATACCTTTTCACACTGACCCGACCATTTTACCAAACATACAGCAGCAATAGCGGCCGGGCCCGGCTCGTCCAGTGTTTGAGTTGTGAGCCATAAGTTTTGAGAGTCGCATGACGTGCCGCCAGGACACCATGCTATTATCCTCTCTTTTCATCTTGTGAGCTGCATGTCTTCATCTTTGTTCACTTCAATACCATCACCCTAAAATTGTATTCGATGACTCAAAAAGCGATGGCTCCGTTATTCAAGTTTTTGATTGAATATGAGAAGAAAAGGAAGGGGAAGGTTCATAGTAGTCACCCGCTGTTGTCCGTTTTCATTTATGATTGTCCAACTGATCAAAATAACCATTGCTTTAATTATAACTCTGCATCCATCGGTCCTTCCCCTCCGCTTACAAATTTCTTCTCCAACCAGTTTACCTTGATAGACTCGGTTTCCGTTTTGAAAAGTGCGCAACCCAATAATTTCCGGCCGATCAAACTAATCGAATAACGTTTTCCGCACTGACAAAACAGATTTGTTGTGTATGACTCGAGGGCCAGCCTCTCTCTCTCTCTCTCTCTCTCTCTCTCTCTTTCTCTTTCTCCCCCATCGCCCAAACGAACCCCGCCCACAGCCACATCTCAGTCTGTGTCGTTCTTTTCACCTCAACTCGCCTCCCCGTCTCTGGTGCACTTCTGTTACCGATACATCTTCTCGGAAGTCACGACTCTGCTCCGGCGAACCACGTGTGGCGGACCGGGGGATAAGTTATGATACACTGTGTACAGCGACATCAGATTCCGTGCGAGAGGGCGATAAAACAACACGAGAATAGTATAAAACAAAGCTGTTTGGTTCTTTCCTCTTTCTCTTTCTCTTTTGCTTTTTCTCACCGAAATTCTCCGTCCTTGCCTTCTCCCGCTTTTCTGTTTTTCCGACCGATTCAATTTTGCTTTCCTTGCTTTTCGTCAATTTTCCTCGCAACAAACCGTGTTTTTTGCAGAGCATCATGGCCATCGAAATGCAACAAATCATCGAGCTGATCCTCGCGATCTTCCTGCCGGTAAGCGGATTCCAGACTTCAGAATTAAACAGAACAACTCAAATTGCAGCCACTGGCCATCTTCATCCACGGATCGGACTGCAACATCCACGTCGCCGTCAACATCATCCTCTGCTTCTTCTTCTACCTTCCGGCCATCATCCACGCCCTCTGGTACTGCTTCTTCAGAGGCTAAATGATTCACCCCCTCTGACGGTCTAAGAACACTCCTGCTGCCCGACTCCTACACCCCCCCAAAACTTCATGCATTTATCCCGAAATTGCTTCCTCTCTGTTTAATTTTCATCTTGCACGCATTCACCGTTTCAATAAGTTGCCTTATGAATAGTTATCGAATTCGAATTCTATGAATTGGCGCCTGTTGTTCTGTCCCCAATTTCTTCTTTTTTTTCCCCGAAAAAATGAATCAATCGATAATAGGTTGTTTATTGTGTTGTCAAGTGAAAAGTAGACATTGCGGATGAGATGTCGAAGAGATTCTCTCAAGAATCGGCCACATCGCGACTTACACCGCGTGTGTATGTGTGTGTTTGTGCCCACTTGGCGGCGAAATAGTACAGCAATCAGCGGAGACACGCGGCAGTTTTCGAAAAGTGAACAATAAACGAGACAGGGTTGATGGCTGATCGGGTGTGTACGTTACGTGGTTGAAGGACGACAACGCCGTCCTTTTCTTCATCTCCTGTTGACTTACAAGGCCTTCCGACCAGTACTGTACAGACACAAACACATCCTGTGTTTTCGAAAATGACACTGTTTTCAAAAAGAGGCAATCTGTCGTGACGAGCAAACAGGGTTTCGATCGAAAAATCAAGCGAAATGAGTCGGAAGACTACAGTATAGTTTATTGGAAATGGAAAAAGTGTTAAATATTCTCTATCTACCAGCCAGAAACGATGTCTTAAGACAAGGAAGTACGAATAAATTATGTGCGGAAACGTTTTCGATTGGTTAAGCCTTCACGTACGAGTCCGAGTCCATTTGAGTGTTGGAAAAAACTGATGGCGACTTTTTGTTATTTTTCTGAAAAAAAATTGCGTTTTTTCATCAGACAGGGGTTTTAGGCAGAAAAACCTCTTCAGAGCCTGTGGAATTGGAATTGGAGCTCATTGGAGAATCGTGCATGGGCTCCGTGTAACTGCCCGAATTGCTGTCATCATCCTCGTCTTGGCTATTGTTGTTGTTGTTGTTGTTGTGCCCATTATTATTGTTATTATTCGAGTTTTGTCCTCCATTCAATTTTCGGAATTTCGCAGCCATATTCTTGTACCTTAAGGGTAAAACGTTGAAAAGTCCACTCGAGAAAGTTATGAATAACTGAATTACTTCAAGCAGCAAAGGTTTTGAGAGCACTGCACGTATCCCGGCTGACATTGGCATGGAACTCCACAAGCTACAACGACTTCGGCATCTGCAACTGATTTTTCCGAAAAAGTTAGATGTGACGTAACCGTTTTCGAAAGATATTTTGTTTTGCAAACTGACTTTTTGATTCAAGAAGATAGAAATGACGGGGAAAAGAAGTAATTAGAATGAACAGGTTTGGAAAAAGGTTGGAGATCACACAGAATGGAATTTTCTTGAAGAAGGATCCTGCGGTCAGCCCCTGTTGTTAAACATGTTGTTGTTGTTGTTGTTGTTGTTGTTATTCTTGTTGAAATTGGTGAAACTGTTGAAATTGTTGAAATTGTTGTTATTATTCATAGTTTCGCATGCCCGGCACCCTTGAAAAGAAGGAGAAGGAGAAGGCGGGGGAATCGAACGTTGCTCTGTAACTGTCATGCAGATCCAAATCTGAAACCCCTCACACATTCTTACGTTGTTGCACGCATGTTGGTTGGCACAAAGGCATACACGCCGGAGCACATTTGATTGGAGCCGGTGAATATGTCTGAACACATGTTGGACTACACGCCGGCATACATGTTTGAATACAAGAGAGCTGAAAAGGACAATGTTCTTGTGAAACGTCGAGTTGCGACTGTTTCCAACCCTAGCTAGACAGCCGCTTTCACAAAGAGGCATGCACTGAGACGCACATGGAGAAGGCGCAAGTTGGACGGAATACTGTTGTACACAGTTCACGTCGCAGCTGGGATAACATTGCTGGGGACACATGGACTGCACACATGATGATGTACACGACGGCATACAAGCTGGCATACACTGAGACATTGGTCGGGCAATCTGAACAGAAATTTGATTCAATAGGCTGGAAAAAGATTTTTCGGGTGACCTGAACGTTTGAAACACAGGCGTTGGTACACATTGGTCGGCACTGTTGGGGACACATCGAGTACTGCTGGACACATGAAGAAGAGCATGAAGGCATGCAAGCTGAGTCACATCTTGGTGATGGTGGCTGAAAATTCTTTGCGTTTTTCAAAGCAATAAAACCACTTCAATTTCGAACATGAGTCACGTTTGCGCAAGTGACTTTTTTCGGTTTAATGGCCAATTGTGTGGGAGAACAGGTTTGGAAAGAAGAGAAAGACGATTGTTGTTCGTTGTTCAACTTACCGCTATGGGAACAGCGATTTGAATTTGTTGGATGCAGGTAGGGAGGCATCTTGGCATACATTGAGGAATGCAACTGGCTTGACTGAAATTAAAAGGAATTTCTTCTGGAAACTTGATTATCTGTACTTACGCGCAGTAGGATGGACAGTTATTGGTGCAAGTACTGCATGTTACTGCTTGAACACAGGACTGCGTGCAAGATGGCATACAGGCAGAAGAACAAGAGTCTTGCTTGATGCTGATTTCGTATTCCTGTACACATGATGGGGAGCATGATGGCATGCAAGACGGGGCACAGGTTGGTCGAACGGCTACTTGAATAGATTGAATGCATTGAGACGTGCAAACTGGTTGACATTGTTGCGGACAGTTAGGATAAACGGTCTAGAACTGGCGCTTGACTGATTTCAAAATGAAAAACGTACCTGAACGCAAGAAGAAGAACAGGATGGCATGCATTGCGGAGCGCATTCAGTCGGTCCTTGGATAGCATTGATGCACGCAGGGAGACAGAGTGGCATGCACTGCTGTCCGCATGATGGTCCCTATAATCAGGATTCGAAAAACTACTGAAAGCAGGTGAATAAAGTACCGATTTCACCAGATTGATACAGGCGGAATCACATTTTGGCATGCACTGCTCCACACAAACTGAGGTCTAGAACAAAACAAATGAAAACTGAAAGAACTGAGTAAAAATGAGACCTTGGCCATAACACAGGCTTGCGTGCACATTGGTTGACACCGTTCGGGGCATGTGACCTTGAAAATATCTTGGTGAAAAAGTAAACTGTACCCAACTCACGAATCCATTGCAAGATCCACAGCCACAGTTACCTGACGGGCACATCGCACAACATTGTCGTTTTGATCTGACTCGGGGGATCAAGGATCCATTAATGCTCGGAGAATTGAAAAGAGATGCGGACATCTGAAAATCATCAGACTACCATTCCGTTTTATTGCTACCTCTACCGTTACCTCTTCTCCCAAAGTCAACTGAAACACTGCAAACGCAGCGAAAAGATACTTCATAGCACAAATCTTGGATTGGCACAGAACGAACTGTGGAAACGAGGCGAATATCTAAAGAATGTCCGGCACGGTGGGCAGCTCTCTCCTATTTGTACCCATATATTTATAGAGATTGACACTTGCATTGTGCTCCCGGCGGCGGCGGCCACTTTTTGTGAACTCGCGCCCATCAAACACCATTTCACAAACACTTGATTGTCCACCGATATCCGGAAATCGCGGTCATTATGCTCGATTTTTCAAGTGGTGCTCCGATTGGGCAGCGATTTTGACACTTCTCGGCAGGCATTCAGAGAGTTTTTTACACTCTTCCTTGTGCCGCATAACGATATGGATAAGCGGGCAAAAGCACAATTGGGGATCAGAATGATAACCGGATTGCAACTGGACTCAATGAAACTGATGAGTTTATTAATGGCAAGCTAATGAGAATTCATAAATAATAGTTGAATAATAATCAATCTCAATCTCTGACAATCATATCGATAGGTTTGCGGATGGCAACAGCATTCTTCTTCAGCAGTGTCTCCCTCTTTCTTCTACCGTATCCAAATCCTCCTCCGCATCCGCAACTTGATCCACCACTATATCCACCACCATAACATCCTCCGCCGGACATGTAACCGCCACTAAAACCTCCGCCAAATCCACAACCTCTGAAAAGAAAAACCGCTTAGCAAATATAGTGATGCACGTTTTTGTACCCTCTCATACAAACCGGCATACAGACAGGCATGCAGCAACTACAGCAGTTCGACTGCACGGGAACCGGGACAGGCTGAAAAAAATGAAGTGAAAAAAATCAGTGGTTCTGTGCATTGACTGTACCACTGGCATTGGCATCGGCATCGGCATTGGCACCGGAATAGGAGCTGGCACTGGAGCAGGAACAGGGACTGGAATTGGTGGAGGGAGCGGAGGTGGCATGGGCATCTGGCAGCAGATCATGGTGCTCACACAGCATCCTCCTCCATAACCTCCACCAAATCCTCCAAAGCCACCGCCGAAACCACCTCCAAAACCTCCTCCAAATCCTCCCCACTGTCTTTTCGCTCTAATATGAACGGGTTCAACATTAGCAAGAGCAGTCGTTGTTGCGTTTAGCTTGATCTGAAAGTTTGTATTGATTCGTAGACTGAATCCCTAGTGATAGTGGCTGAACATCGCAAGATTTCTTTTCACTACGACTTTTGCATATCCACTTGACAAAACAAGCGTGCAACTAGTTGTCGCTGGCGACTATGACAAGATCAGCTCGCCGAGCATCAACAATTGAAAAGGACTATGCGGGGCAGATGTGAGAAAACTTGTCGCTGTTCAGCGATCAAACAAACATGTACTAAATTATCAGAAATCATGCAAAGTACCTCTGAGCCCGCCACTGAAGAAAACGTAGAAAATGTGAGAAGCACGATCACGATTAGCAGCATCATATTGAGAACTGTTCAAGTTCACAATGCAGCACTATTAGATGGAGGATATTCGTTTTATATTGGGGGTCATTCTTCATGTTTACTCAAGGTTTCCATAACCAGATGGACTGGACAAGATGTCCAGAATTCTTAGTCATCAATGTTCTTTTCGTGTATTCTGAAGTGTCCGGAGAGTAAGAACGTTTCGGGAAATCGTTTTCCGCTATATATTTGAGAGAGGACTAAGTAATGAAGAAAATTTAGTTATTTTTGGAGTTTTTTCCAACTTTGTGCTTTCACTTGATCTTTGGTTATCGTCTAGTCAGTAAGAGAGCAAAAAGTCAAACGACGTGTTTGTGGATCACAATCGTTTGTCATGCACTTCAAGATCCACCTAAACACACTTGCTATCAAGCAGTCCTTTTTAGCACCCGGTCCTAGCCTTTTGTCTTTTTCCCTTAAAAACCTGAGTCATATTCGAGAAAACGTGCATACTTTCTACTCATTGAAGGCCAAAGTAAACAGTTCAAATGAAAACGAGGCCGATCGGAGAGGCGAATCCAGAATTATATTTGCGTGAAACTGTATACTTTTTGTATTGGAGGAGGTGAGGAGGCGCCGCCAGAGACAGTCAACTACTGTTTCGAATATTGGATGAAGGATGAAGTTTGGTTCATTCAGATTGACTTGCAAAGATATTCCCACACGCAAGCATTAGAAGCCTTAACAAATCTACGATTTTTTATCACATAACTTCCCACGATCGCTGGATATCCTGAACACGTAGAAAAAGTGTATTCGGAGAGAAAATCCGAACCCCGTTCTCAAGTACAAGCGTTTTGCGGCACACTGATAAAACATACCGGCCAAGAGAGAGAGAGAGAGAGAGAGAGAGAGAGAGAGAGAGAGAGAGAGAGCTCACGTACCGGTCTTCCTCACGTATGTCGCATCGCCCTGTAACATGACCACCCCTGAGCTTTTAATCCGATTCCGACGCAACTTTTTGTGCTCTCTTCCTCACAAACATTGCAACTTTTATCCAGCCAAGACAACCGGTATCCAGGTGCTGAGTAATGAAGAATGTGATAATTTGGGTCTTTGTGTTTGTTTATTGGGAAAGGAATCAACGGAAGATTGTGCAAATGAATGAATGCAGCCAAGGGCGTTAACCAGTTTCTGTACATGTTTTCTTTAATGACGCGCACTCTATTTACGGACAACTGCTGGCAAACAACGACTAATCTATTGAACTTTGCAGCTACCGTTCGGCGATTGAAATTACAGTGCATTTATCTGGAAACACTTGCAGAAAGATAAGTGAAAACACTTTGGAAATCATACTTCAACTGACTGATTTGCTGCAAACAGATTTTTGCAGTTTCAGAAACTTCTTGGAGAACATCGGCGGATTTCGTGGAAAAATCATACTCCGGAATCATTTTGTCATTAGCAACCTGATAAAAACTAGAGTCAAAGTCATTGGCGTGGATCTTTGTTCTTATAATATGAAAGACAAACAGAAGTATTTGCATAGATGCCCTTTTCGGAACACCGACCGAGCAAGTCTTCCTTCCTAACCATTTTCTCACGTACTCTAATCCAATCAGCGGTACTCATCGATGTTTGAAGCACAATTGAAACTGCATTCGTTCTTTTTTGCGTTGTCTGTTCATGTGGCTGCCGGTCTTGCCCTCTTGCCATGACTCCTCCCGGCGGGCGCGTATAAATGGGAGGCGCGCAACTCGAGTTGTCAGTAGTAGCTCGGCTCACCACCTCCAACAGCAGCAGCAATGTTCCGCTCGGTTTTTTCGATTCTCGCTATTGTCGCTTTGGTAAGCATCATGAAGTTTCTTCTAGATTGTTCATTTCTTAATGTTTTCTAGGCTCTTTCCGCTCCAACTCTTAGAGAGAAACGGCAATCTTGTGCCTGTGCCCCAGTACAGCAGCAGCAGAATTCATGCTGCACCATCAATGTCCAGGTTCAATACACCCAGACTCAAACGACCCAAGCCCAAGACCCATGTGCCTGCCAGCAGCAGCAGCAGCAACAACCAGCTTGTGATTGTGCTCCAGCCCAGCAAGACCCATGCGCTTGCCAAGTGAGCCGTATTTTTCTGATGATAGAAAACAATTACAATCTTTCAGCAGCAGCAACAGCAGCAATCATCGTGCGACTGCGCTCCGGTCCAGCAAGACTCCTGCGCTTGCCAGCAACAGCAACAAACATCGTGCGATTGCGCTCCAGTTCAGCAAGACCCATGCGCCTGCCAGGTATACTTACAATCTCGAATAACTCTTTAGACGGAATTCATTTCAGCAGCAACAGCAACAATCTTCGTGCGATTGCAACCAAGCCGTCCAACAGCAACCAGCTTGTGACTGCCAGCAAAACCCGTCTTGCGTGACTTGCATCCAGATTGAGATCCGTCAAATTCAACAGCAACCACAAGCTTGCGACTGTGCTCCAGCTCAACAGACTTCTTGCTGCCAAGATGCTCAGGTATTCAAGAGAAAACAATTTATGAATCTAAATTCAAGAGGTTTGCAGCCATCATGCGATTGCGCCCAACAGCAACAGCAACAACCATCCTGTGACTGTGCCCAAACTCAGCAAACTTCTTGCTGCCAGCAACAAGCGCAGGTACTGCCGGAACTGCGAAAACGGAAGAGAACTGTTTGTTTCAGCCATCTTGCGACTGCTCCTCCCAGGTTCAACAGACTTCGTGCTGCCAACAAGCCCAGCCATCTTGCGACTGTGCCCAAACTCAGCAAACTTCCTGCTGCCAACAAGCTCAGGTAACTTGGAGCTCGAAAATTGGTTTAATAAATTTCTGAGTTATAGCCAGCTTGTGACTGCGCCCCAGTTCAACAACAATCATCCTGCGATTGCGCCCAGCAGACACAGACCACCACTTCCTGCTGCCAACAAGCTCAGGTGTGTGAAAAATTAAAAAATTAAAATAAATTACTTCTTTCAGCCATCGTGCGATTGCAATCAACAGACTCAGCCAACCTACCAAGTCCAAGTCCAACAGACCGCGCAAACGAACCAATGCGTCCCGGCTTGCCAGCCAGCCTGTCAATCCTCGTGCACTGCTTCCTACACCAACCAACAGAGCCAATACTCTACTGCTACTACTTCTTGCGACGCCCAACAGTGCGTTTGCCAACGTGGATACGTGAAATGCGCCGAGCAAACGTGCTGTCTGAGATACAGATACACCAGCCGCAAAGCCAAGCGATCGATCGCCTGAACGAATTCTCGATGACCATGTCTTTCCTTCGATTTCTTTTCATCAGCTATATTTGTACATTGAGGTAATAATATTGTTGCCAACCAGAATAAATCAGTTTTCGCTCATTTATAAAAGTCTACCAAACCTATGAATGCAATTGATGAGAATTTAAGTGAACAGGAAAAATGCGGCGAGATCCTTTGGAGAATCGAAAAAGTTAAGTGAGGAAACTTTTTTGCTATTGTCATTCTAGCACATGGAAAATGTTCTATGAGAAGAATTAGAATTAGAGCAGTTCAATGTAGCTGACAGGAAGTTTTCCACGCTTTCCGCCCTTCTCAGCCATCACGTACTCAGCATCCATTCCGGGAAGGCGATAGATGATGAGAATCTGAAATATTGGTCCGATGACGCAGCACGGGAGCACTTTTCACGCCGTATTCAGTTTCCAAAACGGAAATCGAAACGTTTTGAAGAGAGAAAAACTCACATCATTCTGGTTGACGCTGATCTCCTGCGGCAGCACCGCTTCGTAGTCCATAATCACTTTCGCTTGTTTTGTTCCCAAGTCGTCCGGGAGCAGGCTAGGCTGCAATAATAAAAATCTCATTTTGAAGGCGCGGAAGTGATTCTCATGAGGAACAGACAATCAAAGAGCATCCGAACGGAAAACGGATGAAAAGCCCCAAGAGAGGAAAGAGCCTTCCGTCCATATGTGCAAAATACGCTCCCCAATGGGCTAACCTTTGCCGCCGCAATAGCAGCCGCCATTGTTCTTCCGTTCGGAGGGTCCATGCTATTGTTCACCAGAATTGCCGAGCTTCCACGGAATGACATGGTCCTGAAAGGTCATTTCTTGGTTCAAAGTCAATATTCGGACAAACGTTTATTCGATACACACAAACTAACACACACAGCAAGGACGACTAGTCGGAGAACAATCTGAAATGCCGATCAACGGCTGGCGGGGGGAAATTTTTAAATTCAAAAGATAAATTACGCACATAGAATATGAATGACTATTCGAGACATTGCTGACCGGGGGGATAGATTTGAATACAATTACTTGGTTTACTTGGCTTGACAAATGAATATAATGATGCATCTAATCTCATTGTGGTTGTTCTTACAAAGTTAAATTACCGAATGGAAGGGATGGATGACACAAAAAGTTGTTGCGAAATAATTATGAAATTGTTGCGAAATAATTATGAAAGGTAAAATATATTATGCTTGTTGCATCACAATCACTGTTTCTAATACAAAATTGCATCCGCGGGACGGGGAGAATCATTCCTCGTGGCGGCTCGCGTTCCCGTAGTACAGGGACGAATCGGTGAGAGAACTGTAACAATGACATCACACGGACCGCTACAGCAACAGAGAAAATGAGGACCGCTTGTTCAAACTGCATGCGACATAGAAACTAATAAGACTAATTTGGATTCTTTCTCTCTCTTACCCGCTCAACTCGCGCTGCAGGTCAGCCATGAGCTGATGAGCCTGAGCATAGAACGACATTTGCGCCTCGACAAAATCGCGAAGGCATTTCAGCTGATTGTTCTGCAAACTCATGAATTATTGAAAGAAGACTGCGGAGAAACACTTACGTGCGCCGTTTGAATGCCTTCCAAAAGCAGCTTCGTGATCTCCGATTGCTTATCAAACTCCGCTTGGGCGACACGCACGTCCGCTTCGGCCTGAACATAATCATGTTACGGAACGCATAATTTTGTGGTTAATTTCAACACAAGCCCGAGGGGGATGGTTACACTGTCACAATAAAACTGATTACAACATCTTTCAACAAACCTGCTCAACAGTGAACCCTCCAGAAGTTTTACTATTTGTCTGGAAAGGATGTCTCAATGTTTTTCTGCAGGACCAGGGAAGTTTGTGTGTCATACTCACCACTGATTGGCTGTCCACCGTCTTGGCTTTCTTGAGACGGCTCTTGCAGGCGTCCAGATCCAAACGCTTGCTGTTCAGCACCTTTCTCTCCTTTTGGATCGTCTTCATATCACCCTCCAGGAAGCGACGAATCGGCAGCAAAGTGTTGGTAGCGGCATGTCCGCAGAGCTCTCTTTCCGCCTGTCCCAAACGGCTTTCCGTCTGAGCCACTTTCATCAGAGCAGTGCCTAAAGGAATATTACATTAACGTGACTCTCATTTGTCGTTCAAACCGTATGGCGTCGTCTCTCCAAATTGCTCGCCCGCCTCACTCATCGCGGTGGCCAATTGTTCAAGGTTGTTCTGCCGGACGACTCCATCCTTTTTCAATTCCAATTTTTCGTAGAAGACTTCTTCCATACGAACGGCTGCAATGAATACGTTACGGAGTGGGAGCCGCTACATGATTGATGGCGTTTTTCCGTTTGGTTTGCGCTTTGCTCGAGGGCACTTCATTTCGAAATACTACTCACTTGGGTTTGGCTGCAAATAACCTTCAATGGCGGAAAGGAGCCGGCGGGTGTGATCCTCCGTCTTGTCGGCGCGTTGCAGAAGGTTTTCGAAGTGCGAGTCCAGCTCGGTACGCTCCGCCTTCAGAAACGTTTCCTCGGTGAGCTGTAACAGCTTTTCACGGTTTGCCACTGTTCAACCTGTGATTCTCACCTGTTTGGCTCTGCTGAAGAATCCTCCGGCATCGCTTGCAATCTTTTTGAAGTTGAAATCCATGTTGAGGTGTCAGAAATCTGAAAGTTACTTGATTTGAAAACGGGACATGTTTTCAAGGAAAAGATGTGACAAACAAAAAAGATGAGGATGAGAATATGGGTTGTGGCACGTACTGGCAAGGATGACGACTGCGACGACACTACTGAAAAGGGGAAGGGGCGGTGGGAGGGGAGGGGCCACTAGCGGAAAATCGATGCGAGACTGCGCATGTCATGGAGGGAAACGAAACGAAAAGTGACTGAACAAGTGAGAATCGGGAGACGAATTTTGGGGAAGCAGCGAGAAGATGCATGCAACAAAAAGCGAGAGGTCGTTCATCTTTCTCGCCAGCATTCGCGCTCTTCCTCGCGTTTTTTGGCTTTTCCAAAGTCGACTCGTGTCCGATTGAGGCCGAATGTTATGCTTTATGATTGACTGCAATCAAAAGCAACGTGCAGCAGGCAGTGATGATCGAATTTTCCAAAAAGGATGATGATACAAGTCCATTTGATGAATAGCTTCGTAATGGAGTTCGGAGCACTTTTCTGGTCAAGCGAGCCATGTGATACACTTAGAGTTGTGCATGTGTATCACATTCTGATCGGAAGTTGAAGGCGGTTTCTGCGGGACTTGTAGACAACGGAAGGGAAACAGGTGAACAGCTGACTGCTGGCAGAGCAAAAGCGAAAACTTACTGAGCTGAGCGACGTTAAGACTTCACCAGCAGAATAAGCATTGTATAAACTTTGGTTAAAAATAAACTAATTACAGCGGCGAGAACAACGGCTGAACGACTATAAATAAACACACTGAGTTTGCGCAAGCACGAGAAACGCGCCACCAAATGCCGGCTGACGCGCATCGCGTCGTTGAGTGGAATTTCTACGTCATCGATGAGAAACAAAGTATAAAAATGACAAAAAACATGGAGTTTGAAGAAAAGCGTCAATCAGAAAACGTGAATCAGAAAGAGACCATATCAGAAACCGAAAATGAGAAAAGTGAAGAGGGGAGGCGCTCATGATTCATCGGATACAGCGTGTTTCGAATCATAAAAAAGGAATGTTACGTTGTATTTGTGCTATACCATGAATATTCGAAAGAATGAACCAAAACGTCTCGTCACCAGACGTCAAAGCTGAACCACCAGCCCATTATCTCAGATTGGATATGCTCCGAGGTCATGCAGCTGTGTCCTGCCGAGAAAGTGAATTGGTTTATTAGATTTTCCGAAGAATTTGTTTGAATGCGTTCCGGAAACGAGCAAAATGTCAGATGATATCACACGGGATTAGCCATTTTGTGTCGGAAGAATGGACTGAAATCATGTGGAAAAATGTACAGAATGAATCATAGAGCCATCCAAAGTTAAAATTATCCACCACTAGAATTTTTGCCTGTCAAGCTCTTTCTGGATTTACGGTGCATTTTCAATTTTTACGTTGAAAAAATCATATCTCAATCAGTTTTTAAGATATTTATAAAGTTAACAAACGAAATTGAAGATCTTAAAATTATCCAACTTATTGCTGTTGACATCAACAAAATTGACGCACCCGAACATCATTGAATGCATGTCAAACGTATAATTTTGACAGAATTTTACTTTCGGAAAAAATGTATTTTATGAGTTTAATTGAAAAAAACATGGTTTTTTGAAACCTTTATCGAGAAAGGTTCTTATGAGTTCAAGAGCTAGGAATTGATCTTTGAAACGAACTGCTCTCATTTCAGAGCACTCAAAAACATACAACGGAAGGTCGAAAGCACACAAAGATTTGCTCTTTTGTTCTAATTACCCATCGGAACTCGGATAAGCTTCCCTTTATCCTAATGAATTGTAACAAGTTGTGATGTTTGGTGTAATGAGTCAATTTCTAATTTCCGCTGCAAGCATTGTCGCCTCAGATGTTCAAACACGTGTTAACTTGCATGTGGCAACAAACAGAAATGCAAAACCGTTTGAACAGCTTTCGTGGGAAACTTCCATCTTTTCGCCGGGTCGACCGTCATTCTGCCAGTCTTGTCGGACGATGAACGCCGTTTCGCTTGCTCTCTTCCTTATTCTCGCCATTTCGATGCTGGAGGTAATCGGCAAGAAAACATGTATTTCTTTGTAATTATAAGGTTCAGGGCCTCACTCTTGTCATCAAAAAGAACCGCAAGTATAACGACCCGCCGTTCTGCTTCGCTTACACCAGAGAATACAACGACCAGGGTAAAATTGAAATTGGACTGAGTCTAATTCATACATATTGTAGTAACTTTTGTTCAGATGTGACTTCCTCGTGCTCCGGATACCAATTCGACTGCTTCGATTCCAGCGGTCCCCAAATTGGAGTCAGCTTTTTTTTCAGAAAGACTCCAGTAAATGATTTCATTTCAGAGCAGTGTCAACTTCAATACCGAGGATTGCGATTCGATGTCGGTGTTCAGAACGTTTTCGGATGCGGACTTCCAGAAACGTCTGGAGGTAGCCGCAAAATACGCGACAACAGTTGTGGCATCTGGCAACTGAACCTGAAGAGCCGCACAACATTCCATTGCAAAAACTTTTTTCTCCTTCTCTCAAAATCCTTGATACTTTTGTGTACCATGTTAACGTTGTATTGGTTTGTCCAGTGTTTTAGTTCAATTCGATTTTCCGTATTGTGTTATTCACTTTATGTCATCAGATAAATCAAAGACGGAGGAAGAGTTTGGTGTTTCTGTTTTTCGATGTTTTCCCTCATTTCTCTCGAGAGTGAAGACGCACGGTGTAAACTAGGAGCCTGATGCTCAATGCATTCGTGTGGGCGCCCTTATGATCTCATGCGGGCGTTGCCGACCCAGCTAGCTTGTTCTCCGCAATTTACGTTGTTCCATGTTTCAGAACCACGCGTGACTATTGACTAATATTATCAGACTTGAATCGAAATTCGGAATTGTTATTGCTGATGTGGTTCTTTTTTCTTCTTTGTTATGTCAGTTTTTAGTCGATCTCCTTTCTCACACGCACAGTTCAAAACATGTCTTCCTCTTTCTATTGTTGTCATCGAAGTTTATACTTTTGACTAATCTTTACTCTTTGCCCGATCAACGGCTGAAATATCGACCGAGTTTCCTCTTTTCTTCTCCGCCATCAATCTTTTGTTATATTCCGCTTTCTTCCTCTCTCTCTTTCTTTCTCCGACTCGCTGAGAACCGACGGAACAGGGACGTGCATAGCTTTTCGTAATTTCAGAGCACAAAATGAGTCGTGTTCCTCAAACACCAATCAAGAATACGTTCAAAAAGTGGAAGCCGCCTTGGGAGAGTGTTGAAGAGGAGGTAGAAGAGATGGAAGTGGATCCGGTCGAGGAAGAGTCACCATCCAAGTTGGAAAAAAAACCGAGTCTGAAGAGGAAAGATGCACCAACAAAACCAGCCGTATCTCCGGGTGCACCTTCGCCAGCGCCAGTCAAGAATCCAGTAAAAAAGTGGAGACCTCCGTGGGAAGACGACGACACACCGACGGAAAAGCCGAAAGCAGAACCGATCAAAGTGAGTGATCCACCTCCAAAGAAGACTGCCGCCAAGCCCAGAGATACATCTCCAAAGAAAGCAGTAGCGAAAAAAGAACCAGAAAAGGCGCTCAAGGCAGAATCCTCAGTAGGACCAGTTCCACCAACTCCTGTTAAGAATCCAGTGAAAAAGTGGAAGGCGCCGTGGGAAGACGATGAGCTTCCTACAGAGGAAGTTGGGCAACCTGAACCAACGACCAGGAAAACGCCTGCTCTCAAGAAGAAAGATCCAACTCCTGCTGAGAAGCCTGCATCTCGCGACCCATCTCCTAAGAAAGCAGTTCCAATCAAGAAAGAACCCGAGACGGCAGCAAAACCGGCTGCAGCTAAACCGAGAGATCTGTCGCCAAAGAAAACTGCTCCGAAAGTTGAAACAGAGGTACCAGCAGTGCCTCCGTCGCCAGTAAAGAATCCAGTGAAGAAATGGAAGCCGCCATGGGAAGACGACGAAGTTCCGACGGAAAATGTGAAGGCTCCGGCTGTTCCAGAGAAGAAGACTCCTGTGCTGAAGAAAAAAGAACCTGCAGCTGCAACAAAGCCTGCCAGCAGAGATCCGTCTCCGAAGAAAGCGGTACCAGTCAAGAAAAAAGAAGAGCCTGTGAAGCCGGCAAGCAAAGAACCCGAGATTCCAGCAGTGCCTCCGTCGCCAGTGAAGAATCCAGTGAAGAAATGGAAGCCGCCATGGGAAGACGACGAAGTTCCGACGGAAAATGTGAAGGCTCCGGCTGTTCCAGAGAAGAAGACTCCTGTGCTGAAGAAGAAAGAGCCTACTGCTGCAACGGAACCAGCTAAGCCGAAAGCTGCAGCAAAATCAAGAGATCCGTCTCCGAAAAAAGCGGTCAAGAAAAAAGAAGAGCCTGTGAAGCCGGCAAGCAAAGAACCCGAGATTCCAGCAGTGCCTCCGTCGCCAGTGAAGAATCCAGTGAAGAAATGGAAGCCGCCATGGGAAGACGACGAAGTTCCGACGGAAAATGTGAAGGCTCCGGCTGTTCCAGAGAAGAAGACTCCTGTGCTGAAGAAGAAAGAGCCTACTGCTGCAACGGAACCAGCTAAGCCGAAAGCTGCAGCAAAATCAAGAGATCCGTCTCCGAAAAAAGCGGTCAAGAAAAAAGAAGAGCCTGTGAAGCCGGCAAGCAAAGAACCCGAGATTCCAGCAGTGCCTCCGTCGCCAGTGAAGAATCCAGTGAAGAAATGGAAGCCGCCATGGGAAGACGACGAAGTTCCGACGGAAGATGTTAAGGCTCCGGCTGTTCCAGAGAAGAAGACTCCTGTGCTGAAGAAAAAAGAACCTGCAGCTGCAACAAAGCCTGCCAGCAGAGATCCGTCTCCGAAGAAAGCGGTACCAGTCAAGAAAAAAGAAGAGCCTGTGAAGCCGGCAAGCAAAGAACCCGAGATTCCAGCAGTGCCTCCGTCGCCAGTGAAGAACCCAGTGAAGAAATGGAAGCCGCCATGGGAAGACGACGAAGTTCCGACGGAAAATGTGAAGGCTCCGGCTGCTCCAGAGAAGAAGACTCCTGTGCTGAAGAAGAAAGAGCCTGCTGCTGCAACGGAACCAGCTAAGCCGAAAGCTGCAACAAAATCAAGAGATCCATCACCGAAAAAGTCGTTGGCCAAGCCGGAACCGGAAAAAGCGGCGCCACAAACACCTGTGAAGAATCCGGTTAAGAAGTGGAGGCCGCCATGGGAAGACGACGAAGTTCCGACGGAAAATGTGAAGGCTCCGGCTGCTCCAGAGAAGAAGACTCCTGTGCTGAAGAAGAAAGAGCCTGCTGCTGCAACGGAACCAGCTAAGCCGAAAGCTGCAACAAAATCAAGAGATCCATCACCGAAAAAGTCGTTGGCCAAGCCGGAACCGGAAAAAGCGGCGCCACAAACACCTGTGAAGAATCCGGTTAAGAAGTGGAGGCCGCCATGGGAAGACGACGAATCGCCAGCTGAAAACGTGGGAGAACCGACGCCAGAGAAGAAAACTCCCTCGCTTGCAAAGAAAGAACCAGTTCCTGCAAAACCTGTCGCAACTCCGGCAAAGACAAGGGATCCGTCTCCTAAGAAAGCAGTGGCAAAACCTGAACCAGAGAAGGAGAAGCCAGCAGTCCCGCCTACGCCTGTAAAAAATCCAATGAAGAAATGGAAACCACCATGGGAGGATGATGAGGATCCTGTTGAAGAAGTCAAAGAACCACTCGTTCCGGAAAAAAAGACGCCTGTTCTTGCAAAGAAAGCACCTGCAGCCAAACAACCAAAACCGGATGAAACTCCGATAGCGACCAAGAAAAAACCGGAGACCGCAGCGAAACCTAGAGATTCATCGCCGAAGAAAACTGCTCCAAAAGCTGAACCTGAGAAGGCTGTGCCGTCACCGTCTGCTGTCAAGAATCCGATCAAGAAATGGAAGCCGCCATGGGAAAATGATGAGGATCCTGTTGAAGAAGTGAAAGAACCACCAGTTCCGGAGAAAAAAACCCCTGTGCTTAACAAGAAGGATCCGACTGCTAAGGAACCAGTGAAGCCACGGGATCCTTCTCCGAAGAAAACACCAGCGAAGCCTGAACCAAAACCTGCCGAAGTGCCTCCAACGCCAGTGAAGAACCCAATGAAGAAATGGAAGCCACCATGGGAAGACGACGAAGTTCCGACAGAAGATGTGAAAGCTCCGGCTGCTCCAGAGAAAAAAACCCCAACTCTTGCTAAGAAGACTCCGATGAAACCCACCGGAAAACCATGCACTGAAGACGCTGCTGAACCGGTTCGTGGGCCTTCTTCCAAAGATCCCAAACTTAGTAAGAAAGCACCTGCTGAAAAACAGAACGAACCAACAAAACCAGTTGTGCCGAAAGAGGTTCCAAAGGCAGCTGAACCATCCAAACCGGCTGCACCAAAGAAATGGAGGCCGCCATGGGAAGAAGATCCAGATGAAGAACCTGAAGCCGACTTTACAGTTCCTGCTCCAGCGAAGGCACCTGCCAAACCGGATACCGATGATGCCGCCGATCCACTAGGCGTTCCAACCAAGCAGACTCCGGAATTGGCAAAAAAACCACCTGGCGACAAAGCAAAACCTGCTACTCCAGCTCCTGACGGTCCAGCAGAACCAACAGGAGCACCGACGAGTAAGACTCCTCAACTTGCTAAGAAATCGCCTTCAAAACCTGTCGAGAAACCAAAGGAAACACCGAAGCCGAAGGAAACTCCAAAACCAGCAGAACCTCCAAAACCTGTTGCACCGAAGAAATGGAAACCGCCATGGGAAGAAGATCCAGATGAGCCCGAAGAACCGGAAGCCGACTTCACGATGCCGGCACCGAAGAATCCAGATACGGAGTCACCAGCAGACCCATTGAGTGGTCCAATAGGAAAGGATCCAAAGTTGGCAACGAAGAAACCTGCTCCCAAAGCTGAGAAGCCTAAGCCTGCAACTGCTCCGAAAGAAGACAAGCCAAAAGCAGCACCTGCAAAGCCCGCGGATCCACCAAAGCCAGCTGCTCCGAAGAAATGGAGGCCACCATGGGAAGAAGATCCAGATGAGCCCGAAGAGCCGGAAGCCGACTTCACGATGCCGGCACCGAAGAATCCAGATACGGAGTCACCAGCAGACCCATTGGGTGGTCCAATAGGAAAGGATCCAAAGTTGGCAACGAAGAAACCTGCTCCCAAAGCTGAGAAGCCTAAGCCTGCAACTGCTCCGAAAGAAGACAAGCCAAAAGCAGCACCTGCAAAGCCCGCGGATCCACCAAAGCCAGCTGCTCCGAAGAAATGGAGGCCACCATGGGAAGAAGATCCAGATGAGCCCGAAGTGCCGGAAGCCGATTTCACGATGCCGGCACCGAAGAATCCAGACACGGAGTCACCAGCAGACCCATTGGGTGGTCCAATAGGAAAGGATCCAAAGTTGGCAACGAAAAAAACCTGCTCCCAAAGCTGAGAAGCCTAAGCCTGCAACTGCTCCGAAAGAAGACAAGCCAAAAAGCAGCACCTGCAAAGCCCGCGGATCCACCAAAGCCAGCTGCTCCGAAGAAATGGAGGCCACCATGGGAAGAAGATCCAGATGAGCCCGAAGAGCCGGAAGCCGATTTCACGATGCCGGCACCGAAGAATCCAGACACGGAGTCACCAGCAGACCCATTGGGTGGTCCAATAGGAAAGGATCCAAAGTTGGCAACGAAGAAACCTGCTCCCAAAGCTGAGAAGCCTAAGCCTGCAACTGCTCCGAAAGAAGACAAGCCAAAAAGCAGCACCTGCAAAGCCCGCGGATCCACCAAAGCCAGCTGCTCCGAAGAAATGGAGGCCACCATGGGAAGAAGATCCAGATGAGCCCGAAGTGCCGGAAGCCGATTTCACGATGCCGGCACCGAAGAATCCAGACACGGAGTCACCAGCAGACCCATTGGGTGGTCCAATAGGAAAGGATCCAAAGTTGGCAACGAAAAAACCTGCTCCCAAAGCTGAGAAGCCTAAGCCTGCAACTGCTCCGAAAGAAGACAAGCCAAAAGCAGCACCTGCAAAGCCCGCGGATCCACCAAAGCCAGCTGCTCCGAAGAAATGGAGGCCACCATGGGAAGAAGATCCAGATGAGCCCGAAGAGCCGGAAGCCGATTTCACGATGCCGGCACCGAAGAATCCAGACACGGAGTCACCAGCAGACCCATTGGGTGGTCCAATAGGAAAGGATCCAAAGTTGGCAACGAAGAAACCTGCTCCCAAAGCTGAGAAGCCTAAGCCTGCAACTGCTCCGAAAGAAGACAAGCCAAAAGCAGCACCTGCAAAGCCCGCGGATCCACCAAAGCCAGCTGCTCCGAAGAAATGGAGGCCACCATGGGAAGAAGATCCAGATGAGCCCGAAGAGCCGGAAGCCGATTTCACGATGCCGGCACCGAAGAATCCAGACACGGAGTCACCAGCAGACCCATTGGGTGGTCCAATAGGAAAGGATCCAAAGTTGGCAACGAAAAAACCTGCTCCCAAAGCTGAGAAGCCTAAGCCTGCAACTGCTCCGAAAGAAGACAAGCCAAAAGCAGCACCTGCAAAGCCCGCGGATCCACCAAAGCCAGCTGCTCCGAAGAAATGGAGGCCACCATGGGAAGAAGATCCAGATGAGCCCGAAGAGCCGGAAGCCGATTTCACGATGCCGGCACCGAAGAATCCAGATACGGAGTCACCAGCAGACCCATTGGGTGGTCCAATAGGAAAGGATCCAAAGTTGGCAACGAAGAAACCTGCTCCCAAAGCTGAAAAGCCTAAGCCTGCAACTGCTCCGAAAGAAGACAAGCCAAAAGCAGCACCTGCAAAGCCCGCGGATCCACCAAAGCCAGCTGCTCCGAAGAAATGGAGGCCACCATGGGAAGAAGATCCAGATGAGCCCGAAGAGCCGGAAGCCGATTTCACGATGCCGGCACCGAAGAATCCAGACACGGAGTCACCAGCAGACCCATTGGGTGGTCCAATAGGAAAGGATCCAAAGTTGGCAACGAAGAAACCTGCTCCCAAAGCTGAAAAGCCTAAGCCTGCAACTGCTCCGAAAGAAGACAAGCCAAAAGCAGCACCTGCAAAGCCCGCGGATCCACCAAAGCCAGCTGCTCCGAAGAAATGGAGGCCACCATGGGAAGAAGATCCAGATGAGCCCGAAGAGCCGGAAGCCGACTTCACGATGCCGGCACCGAAGAATCCAGACACGGAGTCACCAGCAGATCCACTCGGAGGTCCAAAGCCAAAAACTCCAAAACTTGCGAAGAAGGCGCCGACTAAAAAACCAGCAAATAAGCCGGAACCGAAAGAATCTCCGGAAAGTAAGAAACCAAAACCAGAAGATCCACCAAAGCCAGCTGCTCCGAAAAAATGGAGGCCACCATGGGAAGAAGATCCAGATGAGCCCGAAGAGCCGGAAGCCGACTTCACGATGCCGGCACCGAAGAATCCAGACACGGAGTCACCAGCAGATCCACTCGGAGGTCCAAAGCCAAAAACTCCAAAACTTGCGAAGAAGGCGCCGACTAAAAAACCAGCAAATAAGCCGGAACCGAAAGAATCTCCGGAAAGTAAGAAACCAAAACCAGAAGATCCACCAAAGCCAGCTGCTCCGAAAAAATGGAGGCCACCATGGGAAGAAGATCCAGATGAGCCCGAAGAGCCGGAAGCCGACTTCACGATGCCGGCACCGAAGAATCCAGACACGGAGTCACCAGCAGATCCACTCGGAGGTCCAAAGCCAAAAACTCCAAAACTTGCGAAGAAGGCGCCGACTAAAAAACCAGCAAATAAGCCGGAACCGAAAGAATCTCCGGAAAGTAAGAAACCAAAACCAGAAGATCCACCAAAGCCAGCTGCTCCGAAAAAATGGAGGCCACCATGGGAAGAAGATCCAGATGAGCCCGAAGAGCCGGAAGCCGACTTCACGATGCCGGCACCGAAGAATCCAGACACGGAGTCACCAGCAGATCCACTCGGAGGTCCAAAGCCAAAAACTCCAAAACTTGCGAAGAAGGCGCCGACTAAAAAACCAGCAAATAAGCCGGAACCGAAAGAATCTCCGGAAAGTAAGAAACCAAAACCAGAAGATCCACCAAAGCCAGCTGCTCCGAAAAAATGGAGGCCACCATGGGAAGAAGATCCAGATGAGCCCGAAGAGCCGGAAGCCGACTTCACGATGCCGGCACCGAAGAATCCAGACACGGAGTCACCAGCAGATCCACTCGGAGGTCCAAAGCCAAAAACTCCAAAACTTGCGAAGAAGGCGCCGACTAAAAAACCAGCAAATAAGCCGGAACCGAAAGAATCTCCGGAAAGTAAGAAACCAAAACCAGAAGATCCACCAAAGCCAGCTGCTCCGAAAAAATGGAGGCCACCATGGGAAGAAGATCCAGATGAGCCCGAAGAGCCGGAAGCCGACTTCACGATGCCGGCACCGAAGAATCCAGACACGGAGTCACCAGCAGATCCACTCGGAGGTCCAAAGCCAAAAACTCCAAAACTTGCGAAGAAGGCGCCGACTAAAAAACCAGCAAATAAGCCGGAACCGAAAGAATCTCCGGAAAGTAAGAAACCAAAACCAGAAGATCCACCAAAGCCAGCTGCTCCGAAAAAATGGAGGCCACCATGGGAAGAAGATCCAGATGAGCCAGAAGAACCGGAAGCAGATTTCACCATGCCAGCTCCTAAAAAACCAGACTCGGAAGACCCAGCAGATCCACTCGGAGGTCCAAAGCCAAAAGACCCAAAACTGGCTAAGAAAGCTCCAGCAAAGAGGCCTGCTGATAAACCAAAACCAGCTGAAGAACCAGAAAAGCCGATAGCACCGAAGAAGTGGAAGCCTCCATGGGAAGAAGATCCAGACGACGAACCAGAAGCTGATTTCACTGTTCCTCTTAAACCAGAAGAAGATGATGACGATGAGCCGGAACCTGAAGACGAAGAGGAGGAAGAAGCACCCGAAAATGAACCTAAACCAGAAAAGCCGAGAAAGAGGAAACCACGGAAACTGAAAAAACGACCGAAAAAGAAACCGGCAGCAGAACCAGAGAAAGAGTCAACGCCTGAACCAGTTGCTCCGAAAGTTCCCAAGTGGATTCCTCCGATAAAGAAGCCAGAAGAGCCAATTCCAATGCCGCCGAAGGAGAAAACAATTGCCGAGAGGAATAAGGAAGAGAGAATACCTCCTGCTCTTCGATATGCGAAGAAACCAAGAGAACTGTGAGTTATTACTTTTTTTTAAGTATATTGAACATTTTTGTAATTTCAGTGAAGTCTTCATTCCATTCGTTATTCCTTGGGAGCAAACAGCTGCATTAATTACACAAGAAGGTACACACCGTTGTCAACAGACTACAAATAATAGTCGTAATTCAGGAATGGGAGCTTTCGGAAAGAGCAGGGATGCAAACGTGGGCGTTGATTTCGGAGTGAAGCCTCTAACACAGGTATATTTTAAAACAGCCTGAACTTTACAAGACCAGTCACTTTTCAGGGAGCTGTTGATTCCAAAACTGTCATTCCGTTATGGAATGACGAATCAAAATGTGCGAATAGGAACGGAATGTCACCTTTTGGAGGCAAAAGACTTATCGTAGAGGACGTTGTTGACCATCACGTTTTCAATTTAATGGATGTAAGTGTTTTACAAAAAGCATAAAATCAAAAGTTGATATTTCAGAAAGGAAAAAGTCATACCATTATTCCGTTGCTGGCAAAAGGTACCATTCATCATCCGCATGGAGAATACGGTACCATCCGGAAACAGGTGAATTAGTCGAGTTTGAAGTTCAAACTTTGAACCTTAATAATATTCATCTACAGACAGCAGATGTGAAGTACAAAGATGGATGGAAGCCGGGAATGGACAGTGAGTCGCACGGCTTCATCTCTCGTCAGTTTGTGGCCAACAGTAAAGAGAAAGCTGGAAGTAACCTTTTGGACAAACGAAGAACTATTGTAAGTCCCCGTCCTGTTCAAATCATGAAATGTTGATGGAAACTGTTTGAGTCACACAATTTTCTTGACGTCATTCCTTGAAAAACAATTTGTTATCAGAAAATAATCAGACATCATAACAGTTTAATGACTCATGAACCCAACGAAATTTCGGAAAATGTAAGCGGGCAAGTGACATAATAATAAGTCCAGAAAAAACAAACATTATCTTTTCATAGGTCATAAAACACGGAAACATTTGTTTTTTTCAGATTTCTGATGCTCTTCCTCAGTCAAAGGAATGCGAAGCGATGATTCCGTTGATGTTTGACGGAAGATCAGTGGAAACGAAAGAAGGAAGCGAATTTGGATCGTTCCGTCCGTTGGTGTCCAATTCGATCGGAGGATACATCATGTCCTATCAGGACGAACTCAAGTGCAAAAACATAATTCCTTACCAGGTATGTTATTCCTCAGTCCGTTCATCATCCTTCAACTGCTTTATTTCAGACTGCTCCTTCGTTAGTCGCCTAAAGGATATTATAACTTGATCATTTTCTTTCATTTGTTCGTATCTTTCTTATTATCAATGATGACAACGTTTAGAATGTTTATAATGTAGTTCGTATCTATTTTTATCCTACTTTCCGTTTTCAATTGTATAGTGTTTGAGTTTACAGGTGCGTATTTTTCAAATAAAACGCACGTTTCAAACCGACGTCACCCACAGTTTAGTGTGTCAATGTGGTTTGACCGAGCACAATATGAATGTGAGAGAATGACTGCAACACACACACAAAAAACTAACTAGCCTTGCGCTTTTCTATTCATGAATAGCAAAATTACTGGCAATTTTATTAGTGCCCACTTCCTGTCGCTACTTTCATCCCAGCAAGCCACTGTTTATTTTCAAACTCTGTTGTGTATGTGCATAAATGAGCACGGATGTCTGTGAAGCGAAACGAGCAGTAACTTTGTGCAGAACAATAGACTCTTTGACAAATTGTACTTTTCACTTTGTCAAAACTAGGGTTCAGACATCCTCGCGCAGGCAATGCGTTTTCCTAAAAAAAAAAGACGGAGAAGAAAGAATAGGTTTCCGGTGGAAACGTTGTCCGAGTTTCTGTGCGGCGGCAAAGAAGTAAACAGGAAACTGCAATTTCGGATTCCGTATTGTTGTGTAGACGGAAAACATGCAAGTCGCTCCCCGCCAACCTTCAACTTATTGCCCATTCTTTTTGCGAAAACGTTTTTTCGCTCACAACAACAATGTTTTGCAATCATATTCAAATTTTATTCAAATGAAGTAAAATAAAAACCAGGGAGTTGTCACAAAACATCACATTCGAAAAAAAAAATGTGTTGAATTTGGGAAATACAATTAGAGGGACAAAGAGAAAGAGTGAGGAAATCAAAAAAACAAAAAGAAGGGGATGTTGGATTGCAGAATCAAAAGGTTTGATGGTGGGTGCTGCATTGGAACCGGTAGCGCAGAGTTCACACGGCTTGAAGGGGATCAAGAAGAATAATGATAGGGAGAGGGGGTAAGAAGAAAAAGAAAAAGTGGGAATCCATGATGTACGGAGGAGTGGCAGATCGGAAGAGTGGGTGTTGTGAATCGACACTCAGCACATACAAAATCAGAGGACTAATACTACTCGAATCGACACATAAAACAAGAATAGGCTTTAGCCTTTCAGAGGGACGATAGGAAACGGAAAAAAAGGGACAGGGCAATGGTGCATAGAAGAGAAAGGAAAGGTTCACATAGAATAAGAGTAGGGAAAGAGATAGAAGAAGTGGAATCTAGAAGAAAACAGTCTAACGATGTGGTCTGGATGAGGTGAGGGGCGAGAGGGAGAAGTGGTGTCGAGTACATGAGTTTTATGACCTCAAAGCGAGATTTCGAAGGTGCTGAGGCTAGAAATTCAGCGGAAAGCATGGGTTTCAGAGAGAGAGGCTTATCCAGGGGGACTCGTGTTCGACTACAAGTAACTTGCGCTGGTTGCACAACAAGGTGTATGAGTGTGTGAGAAAACTGGGTGATGAAGAAGGGAAGGAAGCTACTCAATGAAATTCGGATCTAGTTCTTGGTGCATAGAAAGATGTGATTGGTGGAAGAATAAGGAGTCAGTTCATAGGAGTCGATGAGACGATGATGAGTTGGTAACACGAGATCAATGCTTGTGCATATTAGAAGCACAACCAACAATAAAAGTATCGACGCATAGAAAGAGGTTTGTGCAACTGCTACTATTGGGTTCGTCTTTGAATCGGTGCCTATTGAAGAAGAAAACCCTGGCTCTCGGCCTTGATCGGCGAAAGGGTCGGACTGGTGATCTGCAGCTGATTGTTGCTCAGGTTGTTCATGTTTGGCAGAGTGAGAAGAGCTTGAAGCTGTGGGTTAATCTGGAGAAGGGTGTTGGTCAGCAGAAGCTGAAGTCCTGTCAGAGCAGCGTTGTCTCCCATCACGTCTGAAAAATAGTTTTTAAGTTTGAACCACTCCAATATGGACAAATTCTTACTGGATCTGTAGCTGTTCTGGAAGAGCGCTCCCTTGTAGTCATTGAGGATCTCCAGAGCATTCAGAACCGGAACCGATGGCTTCGGGTTCTCGCTCGGGGGGCTGATGGACGGCTGCGACGGGCTCGGCGACGTGTCGCCGCTTCCTGAACTGGCTCGTTCGTCTCGCGAAAATGTTCTTCCCGCATCGCTCTTCTTGGCCATTGCTCTAGGCTGTTGTTGACGAGTCCGCCTTCTGAGTGTCTGCTTATCGCTGAGCTCAGGTACCACGGTCCAGAAGTGACCTGCAAAACCTGAGATAGATAAGAATGTATCCATTTCCAAGCTCTCTGTTTTCTCCGACTATGACTTTCGACCCCCTTTCCGCGTTTTTTTCTCTTCCCATCCAGTAAACACTTGAGCGCACCAAACTAGAAAAATAGTGATGGGAAGAAAGAAAAAAGAGTTGTTTATGTTATTGTGCTCCGGTTTCACAAGAATTATGGATTGAGCCGCTGGACAGCCGACGCAAAAGATGGCCCCCCGGTGAGACACTCTCTCTCTCACTTCTCGGACCCTTACTCTCTGCTTCTGTGAGTGTCGCACCCTTGTTCTTTTTTTTTTGCTGGTTGTTTGTTGCCACCAAGAAACTTTGGAATTCAAGATCGGGGCGCCACTCGAAACTGGTAAACAAACATAACATCAGACCGCCCGAAAAAGAAAGAGAAGGGGGGAGGAGGATGAATTTCCTGCAACACGCAGAAACACAGCCGCACCCCGGTTTTTCTTCTTTCACAACTTCCTGCTACTGACAAGAACGACAGAATTCATGAATGAGTTTTGGTCGGTCCTAGAAAGGAAGGTCACTAGTATCACACAAATGCATATGCACCCTCATATCCGTTTTACGAGAGAGCAAGGCAGAAAGGACAGCTCTATGCATGCCTTCGTAAATTGAAAACATGTTTTTGTCTTGAGGCTTTTCCCGAAAGGTCAAAGTTCGCTAGTGGATGGGACAAATTGAACCTATTGTGTTTTATGTCTCGTCCTAGAATTGCAGATATTGATCCCGTTCTGAAAGTGTGAGCTATAAATATTTTACCTCGGAAAACATGTAGCTGATAAATATTTCACCAGTGTCATTTCCCAATGTTGTTTTTCTTTCCGAAAAAGCAAACTAGAAACCGATCTATCACCGCGTAGTATTTGAAGAGTTTGAATCGGTGACGCGTTGGCATTACAACTCCCCCGCTATCTGTCATTTTTCGCCGCCGCGTTTAGCTCTTTTCACTACAAACACCGTGTAATTCCCCATTTTTCTACTGATATCAGCCCATATTCAAACAATCACATGAAAGAAAAAAGTGTCGAGGAGAAACGTGATAGTGCCTCTTTTAATAGTACCCGCCGCATTTCTATGTATGTCTGTGTGTTTTGATAAAAAGTGTATGAAAACAGTAAAACGTACCGACAACTCCGCTGGCAGATGTCTGTTTGAGTGGCAGTTTGACGAAACAGTCGTGCAGACTCAGATTGTGTCTGATCGAGTTCTGCCATCCCCACTGGTCGGGCCGGTGTCTGTAGTATGGGTGCAGCAATCGGATAACCTGGAAAAGTAAACGGTTCCTAGACTGTGTGACTCATTCGAAATGACTCGAATAATATTTTGGCAAAGCACAATCGGAGCGGATGTCTGTTTGAAATTCAATAAACGGAAAGTAAACATAAGGTTGCTGAACTGTGAACTCCACTCGTTTCGTTTCGACTTTTTGCTGCTTTGTCATACTGTAGTCAGCAAACAGTCGCGGAGGGAAACAGAAAAACAGCCTGGGAATCATGAGGTTCGGAACGATAAAGAGAAAACTTTCGTGGCAACATAATATTTGACCTAGAGCGCCAGTCACACAACTAACTTGTGATTTGTTTCGAAAGATGTTTGCTTTTCGGTTTTAGTAAGGGTCTGGCCAGAACTGTGTTTTGAAGGATCCCTGGATGGCACCAAGTGTCTTTTCAAACGTATATTTTGGAGAGTGAAGCCGGAGAGCAAGTAATTTTTCGCTTGTAAGAGGACCACGAGCAGAGCCGAGTCTTACACGCGGAAAGTACAAACGCCCTTTCTTTGCGGCACCGACTATAGTCGCATTGAACGTTTGTGCGGACTCTGAGTGCATCTAGTGCAGAATCGCGCAGAAGTGCAGGTCCAATTTCACCTGGCCTCTCTTCCAGATATTATTGAAAAAATCTTCGTACCTGATATATCTCGTTAAGTTTCAGTCGCTTGTCGGGGCTCCTGTCAATTGCTTCTATGATGAGATCTTTGTAGGATAAGGAGGGCCTCTCGAAGCTGTCCGACGTAGCTGCTGTCAGGGCTGTTTGGATGGGGGACGCTTGTGACGAGATTGAGGAACTGTCGGTGTTGATTGTGTCCGACACTGAGGGCATCTGGATGGTAGACGCCAGCAAATCCATCTGGAATACAGTATACATTAGTCAAACATATTGTCAGAAACTTTCAAAACCATTATGAGGACGAGTTGTCAGGCAGAGATCGGAAGAGAGGGAAATACGACTGATAGGGAGAAGAGGAAGAGCAAGAGAGGGGAGCAAGAGGTACTGGAGGAGTTGTGTTATTCTGTTTTGAGCAAGTACCTCTCTTTACAGTTGCGCCGGTGGGCGGGACTTGGTACACACGGAAAAATGTGCAGAAACAGAGCATACAAAAGTGATGTCGTATGATCTACCGCTCAACCTGCGCCTCTTATCAAGGTTTTTTTTAGAGAAACGATAAAGTTTTAGCAAGGAGCCTGAGGTTTGATGTGATGTCAGAAAAGCATGCATATTTCAAAATCCGGAGAAGCAGAAGCCAAAACACTTTGCATGTTTCATCTAGAGGAAGAACATTTTTGTCGGGAGCCGGGACTCAAACGGCCAAACAGCCGATTGGTAGAGCGGAACAAATTCAATTTTCAAACATTCTGTGGTCATTTCCTTTCTATGAAAATTTTTTATTCCCGCCTGAGAGATAGAAAGAGAAAAAACATACTAGACGTCGGCTGTTTTCGGCTGATGGCTATGCAACAACAAGGACAATAGAAAAGAACCAGAGGGCAGGTGCCAATGCTTCCAAATCTACCGTAGTATATCAGAGAGCACGAGCCCCTCTTCCGCTATAGGAAATCCCTTGTGATCTCTCTGCTCAATAGCTCGCTAATCCGTCGGTTTTGCCTCCCCAAATGGGAAATTGCAAGGGAATGTGTCCGAATGAAAAACAAGAGATAAAGAGTACATCATTGGATGTTTCAAAATGAAAATTAGGCGCATTCCATTCCTCATGTTTTTGTTACAGCTGCTCTCTCTCTCTCTCTTTTCCTTTTTCTAGTTTGCACTGCACACTGAGCAAAACAAGGACACGGGCTCTCTGATATAGGGGAAACCGGCGGTCCTCGCACCCCGTTTTTCCAGATATGGATGGCCCCTAGGGGTCTGTTGCGTTTTTTCGCTGTGTGCGCCACAACGTTTCAAATTGCTTGCCTGCGGGTGCATACATGCCTGACTGAATGCAAAACAAACACACAAAAACAGATGGAAGGAAATAGGGCGAGAGCCAGGAAAAATGAGCCCCCGGCCGCCCGGGTCGGGCTACATGGTCCCGGCCGATCCGGTCGCGCTTCACCAGCCTTCCTTTTTTGACTTCTCTCGCCATTCTTCTTTCACACCTGACCTTACATATGTAAATGAAAACATGGCGGAGGCTGGGTTTGTGCTCGAATGAGAGAACAATGACAAAAGTAGGACTAAGCCAGCCGGAACAACTGGAATAGAAAGAAAGGAGAACTTGATCTTTTCGAGTTGAAGTACGGTACTTAATTGATTGACAGCTCATGAACAAAACCATACACTGATAGAAGGCGTGATAACAGAACCCAAGGAGGAACAATACATAAAAAAGTATCAGACAAAACTAAACTGGAAGTGTACAACTAGGCGAGATGTTTTATCAGTCAGATCAGAGTTTAGGAGTGAGATGATGTGAGAACGTGAAATATTCTTTGCGAATAACTAAGGAACTCCCGAGCGTGGGGTAGGGTCCTCCTCCTGCGGTCTTCTTCCTCCTTTTCATATGAATATTCAGTCCATCAAAGTGTGGCGGAAAGGGAAAAGAATGAGAAAAAAGTGTAGTAGAAGTTCTGAGCAAAAATAACAATGAGAACAACACATATGCGGAAAAAAGAGTCGAAGGCGAATTGTTGTGCTCCTGATGGACGCGGCGGCCACGCCCATTTCGCGCATGAGTCGCAAAACAGAGAATGGATGAACAAAAAAGTTTTCAAAAAAAATGGTGAAAGACGGACGGGAGGAGCGAAATTTGTTGCCATCTTTTTTGATGGCCATGTTTTTTGACAATTTAGCCATGAGGGATAGGAGAAATTGGAAAAAGCAGGAGGGTCCGAAACTCAAAAAAGGGGTTTTAGTTGTCTAAAAAATTCAGGAAACTTGAAGGGTCAAGTTTCCGTTCGGAAAACTAATTACGCACAAGGATGCAATTGGGAAACGTCGGAGCTCTTTTCCGGGCGGCTGTTCGGTTGTTTCTCATGATCCCCGGGCGGGAGAAGGGCCTCCACGTTTTCTTTTTCCGATGATATCTTGTTGTTCTAGAGGATGTTGTTTATCTCAAGTCCTCAAGGAAAACAACTTTCATCTTCTTTCTACATCCTTCAATTTCTCTCTCCGTCAGTGTTCACTGAACGCGGAAGAGCGTATAGGTGGAAGAGACTTAGAACACGCCAATCGAGTGGCGGAAAAACGAAAATTGAGTAATTAGACTGGACGGAGAAGACATCTATGATCTACAGGAAGCAAATTGGACTTGTCCCAAGAACTGCTATTCTAGTAAGTGCTCCTCCTACTAGGATTTGATTAACGGGATTATGTAGATTAGCAGATATTTTCTTCAAAATGCTAACATTGGAAGGAAAAATTAGAGTCTGAGACACACTCGGAAAGAGTGTGACTGGCACCGAAAGGTCGTATGTCTGTCTCCTGGCTTGCAGCTGGTCGAGTACAGTAAGAAGCTGAGGAAACGGAAGGGGTCGACGGGAACACTACTATGACATCACTTTGTACTTTTCATTACGAAAACTGATCGAGCGGCGAGAAAAAAGTTATGTTTCTTTTTTGTTTCCCTTTAAAAATGGGCAAATCCACGTCAAAGTGGGGGGAGTGCGTGCGTCAAGTGAATCAGTGCGATCTGGCAAATATTGCGACAAAACAAACACTAGATCCGTGCCATTGTCAGTCTGCAGGAGTGGGAGGGTCTGAAAAAACGGCTGTGAAGTGATGTCTGTGTTTGCATCGCCGTACTCAAAGTCAGTTCATAACTCTTGATGACTGATTGATCGGTCTCACTTTTTTCCCGGAGAAAACAAGCAAAAAACAAAGTGCAATCCTAATCAGTGCGGAAATTTTAATCGGACGATGATTATCGCGACACAAAAATGTTGCGTTATTACCTCTTTGCAGAAAAAATGGTGCGTGAAGCAGAAACTAGGCAGAGAATAATACGGAGTGGTGAAAACAGATAACAGTGTTTGGCTGCTTTGACGTGCAAACCTTTGAGGCGCCAACTCTGTCGCAAAACGGAGCTCAGCAGGTAATGACAAGAATAAGAGCTAGCAAAAGAAGAAATGATGACTGAGGACGGACTATTTTTTAAGTGGAGAGAAGCGGGCAAAACAAGGCAAAGCAAGCGATGCTCACGGCACAGACGTGATCGGATCGGAATGTTGCAAGGCGCGTACTTTTGCCTAGGCGCCGCCGCGCGGGAGGCGCCGGGAGGAGGGGGAGGCGGCAAATACATGAGGTAGCTGCAGAGTGCGCGACAGATGGGACGACCAGTTTTCTTGAAAAAAATAATAAACATTTCGAAACACAGAACCCGGTTTTTTCGGGGGCACTCACTCACTCCTTCTTTCCACACGGTCGCTTTCGCGAGGCGCGGCGCCCTGCCTTCCGCGCGCGCGCACTTCCACGCGGACGACGGAAACTGTGTGCCCTCATCCGTCGCTCAGGTGTTGCGTGTACTTAGGCGCCGCCCGCCGTCTACCGCCGCGCTACGTGGAAAAGAAGAAAAACGACCACGCAAACGGATATGTGTATTGGCAAACATCATTGGATATGCGTCACTGATTCGGACAGGTTGATGATAATAGTACGGCCACCGGACAAGCAACACCTCTTCCAATTTATGCAAAATTTCTGGATTTTCGAGTTGAACATTTGCGATACAGATGGGTAGATTGAATGCAACGCCTGGTGGAACCATTCTTGGGTTGGGTTCCAACTGAGACAGATCGAAAGACAGATGTTTGAGTTCAAAAGGAAAGTTTCTTATCAAAAGTTCTAAATCGGAAAAGTACAAGATCATGCCAGCCAGTGTATTGAACCTTCAGAAGCGAGTAGTTGAACAAAAATGGGGGGAAAAACAAAAGAGACTGTCACGCGGCCAAAATTCTAGTTAATCCTTTGTAAGAGGGAGAGATAGTTCTCCCATGATATGGTCGTTTTTAAAACACCTACAATTGTGTTTGAAAAACAAGCGGAAACAAGCGGTAGGAGTCGTCAGAAAAAGTTACACAGAGAAAAACTGTTTGAAACCCCGCATAGTTAACGAGGAACAGTTGACGGTTGGCAAACGGAAACAAGTTGAAGAACGCATGAAGCGATCGAAGGGCGAAGCGTACATACTACAACAACTTCTGAAGTGTTTGTATTCTTTTCGAGACGAATCATATAGGTAACCGTTTGCCTCCCCCGCCGCATTGACAGTAACTGACTGTCTGTTTGCCAAAACAATGAGGTTGCGCAACCCAACTATAAATAAACTTTCGTTGTTAAAACACTATATTTTCTGAGAAGGACCCAAAGTTTCCTGCGCAATTGTGTTTGTCATGTCGTTCTGCCACCAACACAGAGTTTCCGAAACAGGGGTTTGTTTTCATTTTCAGGGAGGAAATTCTGGTTTTGACATCCAGAGGAAGTGAATTGGATTCGGAGAACTGAAGCTACACAAAATAATTTCATTCATTTTTCTCGTGCCGCAAATGGAACTTAGTGGGACTTTGATTACATCATCCCCATCTCTATGATCTTAGTTTTTACTACACAAGCTCTCGCTATATCGGTTTATTTCCGGAAACGACGATGTTTTCCTTCATTTCTTTCTCTCTCATCTGATGAATGTGGGAGTGAAACTGGCGTGTGTGCCCTCCTCGGCAGACTTCTCTCACGCCTTCTTCCCCCTTCGACGGATGCCCGACCGACCAGCACAGATCTTTGGAACGATCCGCTCTCTGCTTTCCGGCGAACATTTCGGCTTGCTGGTAGTTAGGAGTGGTTTTTTCGAGTGTTATCCTTTGCGGCAGAGGCATTTATTTACTTTCGAAAACGGGCCGAGGGATGCTTCGTGGAGGCCTGCCATTGCATTCAAAGCAGCACAATTACATACAAACATCTACGCACACTTGCCCCGTTGTGCTCGAGGCAAATACAAACAAACATTTGCCAAACAACACACTTTTTATGCTCCCCTTTCCGCACAAATTGTCGATTTGGCATAAAAAACAGCACGCCTCACGTTGAATTGAGCACGCGTGGCAGCTGCGACGCACAAATTCAAGTTTTGCTTTTGGTTCGCGTAGTTGGAAACAGAAATCGGGAAATTACTAGTGCTCAAAACACACAATTGCTTCTTGACCTTCCCCCATTTCCTAAGATGTTTTGATGGGGGCGATCAAGAGGCTAATTGCTTCACACAGCCGTGCACAATTTCCTCGCCGCTCGCAACGCTCTCAACTCGTTCTCCTGATGATGTCACAAGAAATGGGAAAAGTACCTGAAGACTGCGATCGTTGCATGTGGTCTGAGTGTTCTGATTTGGTGCGGGTGTCATTTTGATACACATCCAAATTGACGGAGTGCCCGTGGCCGTTGTCTGCAGTGTTGCCTGAAAAATTAATGAATTGGGAAAGATTGGAACAAAAGAATCCGGACAACTAGAATGTAAGAAAAAGAAACAAAGAATAATGGGATAGATGTATCACTCGGCCATCGAACAGACCCGGGCAAAGTTCTGGATAAATCGGACCCGAGCTCAAAGGGACAAACATCGGACTGAGAGCAACACTGAATATTCTGAACGAAAAAGGCTGTAAGATGTCTTATTCTTAGACCCAATAAAACGGAATTCATCCAAATTGACAGCCATATCTATCTATCTTCGGAGCGGATAAAACCTTATAGCTATTCCGGTAGCACAGTGTTTTCGTTGTGACAACTTCGTCAAATATTCATAGTCGTCTCTCGCGGTGCCCTTCGAGCCGGGTTTTCTTTTTTCCGCCTTCTTCCTTATTTTTTATGTGTTGTTAGTCAGAAAAAACGGCTGAAGATCAAGAAACTTTTTTGGGTGTACATATGTTGCCCGTCAACACTTGAGAAGAAGCAGGATAGAAGATTTTCCGAATGTTCTTTAAGTGAAGACAAAAAAAAGATCGTTAAAAGTGTCAGAAAACGAAGCGCAAAGCCAATTTTGAGTGTCTAAAACTGAGCCGAGTGCTGAACTTTGAATGTTTTGGCCAACTCTTTTGCCGCCTTTTGCAATATACATGCCATCGTCCAAAATTGGATAAGCTGCTGTGATTTATGAGATAACCAGACTTAACCTAATAGAGTTTCGAGGGCCCAAAACATCAGCATGAGACGGATTATCTACGACCAATGGGTACGTATGGTTTTTCTTCTCCAAAAATGTTGCGTTTGCAAAAAATGATGGCTAATTTAGGGAATTAGGGAACAACTGTTGAGCAGATGATGGAACTATTCTTCCAGAACAAAAAAACATCAAAGAACACAGAACGCAGTGTAATTCGAGCTTCTTTCTTCGGACATTTCAAAAAGCAACCATTTTGAAATGAAATGGAATGACTTCGCAACATTTTTTCCCGGAGGAACTAGTTCTGAAATTCACATTTGCAGGTCGAATACTATTTGTAATAGGCTTGGGAGAGAAACGAAAACATGTAAAATTTGAGTTCGGACCAAAACGGAACAAGAATTAGAGATTTGGACACAACTGAAAACGGTTGAAACCGATATGGTTGGTCAAAAACCAAGATTAGCGTCGAAAATACGTTTATCCGTCATTATCCAACTGTTTGTGTTGTTCGCCAACACAAGCGTGGCAAATGGCGCCACAAATAAATATTCTCATCGGTGGGACACAAGCTGAAACATGAGTTTGGAGGACGTCTCGAGTTTGGCTCTTGGAGTGCTTTGAGTCCAAAAACAAATTTTTTCGAGCAGAATCAAAATATTCAGAAGCTCAGTGCGATGTGTCATCCGAACAATTGGCAACATTTTGAGTGAAGGGTCCTTTTCGGTTCGCAAAAACATTTGGAGAGCTCCAGGCCTGACCAAATGCTTATTGCACCAGAACCAAAATATGTATGTATGAATGAGACAAAAAGAACCCGGAATGGAAGAAAAAGGGAAAAAGAGGGAGGAGAAACGTTTTTCGCACAAAAACACTTTTCAGCGTCATGCATTCAAAGGACGCTTCCGCCGAGCTGGACAACGCCTTTTTGTGTCGAAGCTTGTCCGGCAGTGAGCAGCAGAAGTGCTCATCGTTTCACTTCATTCAATTTGCCGAACGAGGAGTTTTTCGTAGGGGACATCGGACGTTGAAAGTCGGCGGCGGCGGCGGTCCGAGAAGGGCGTCCGAATGGAACAATCAAAAAAATCGGAGGGGTCCCAGTGGGACATGTTGGAATACGAGCTCGGTGGTGGATTAGGTTGATTGCCGAGATCGTAAAATAGCACTCCCGACTCCGAATGTACTTAAGTTTATGGGGTCGGCTTCAAAAACAACTCGTACTATGTGGGACACCCCTTCCAATGTTTTCCTATTCCTTCCGTCTAAATGTATCTTTCAAGCGCGCCCTAAATGAAGTAGAAGGGATACTTTTTCCCGTGCTCCTTATCTCAAAACCTTTGGTTTAAAAATTGGCGCCGACAGTCTATAAATTGAAACATTTCTTTATCTGTTTTCTCTGTCAAAACACGTGCAGCGTCTTCATAATCACCGCTTGAGCATTTTGAGCACGGTTTTAAGAGAAAATAGACTGGCGCTTTTCGCCCCGTCTCTGTTCATCCTTGATAATAATGAGAGCGACGTAGCAGCTCCGAAAGAGCAAACATAACAAATGGCTCGTGGAGCATGGAAAAGCAACGATGGGGGAGTGAAATGGAGCGAAATGAGAGGAGGAAGGACTGTTTTGAGGGCAGAGGGTCTGACCTGGCCTTTACAATAAAATGAATAAATGGAATGAGCGTGAATAGAGAGCGCAAACTGTGTTATTGGTGTTTTGAGCTGCACAAAAAACACGCCGATCGTTCACAATGGACCTTTTATTACTTTGGCGGTGTGGTATTTGTTAAGCAATCAACTTTACGGCCTAGATATTCAAATCGAGTGAGCAGTTCAAGAAGCTCGTCGATTTCGACTGTGGGAAGAGTTACCATAGGCCTGATATTGGATTAGACGGGCTGTTCAATGATAGCTGCAGAATGCTGTTTAATCCGAGACAGATTAGTTACGTCTGTTCGTCGGATTTTCTCTTAAAGTTCACAACATCAGAACACATAAGTAGCGGTTACTGTAGGTTCGAAATTCTTGAACCCTGGTAATGCTGGAAAACGCGTGCGAAAGAGAGAGAGAGAGAGAACTACTTGGCAGCCCGCAAACTCATCGTTCTCTTCTTTTTCAATTATCTGTTTTTCGCTTGAATCTTGAATCTCGAAACAAACAACACGTTACGTAAAATGTGTAATACTACGTTTCTTGTTGCAGGGCGTCCGTTCCAGAGAAGCGGGCCCCCCGTGGCTGATAAAGATTGATGATATCCGTCCAGCTAAAACTATGTGTTGCCAATCTGTTCGGCTCATCTAATTCGATTCTCAAAAACACGCGAAAAGAAGTGGACAAAGTGTAATTTCTCGCAGGGGACTCCTACGAATGTTGCAGGACGCGCCTATCTGTTCGGACCTCGTGAAAAAGACGAAAACACGTCGGGTCACTGATTATATTTCTCGGTGATTTTTGAAAGCGGCGGATTAGAAACATCTGCGAATAAGAGAGCAAAGGTCACTCGCGAAACATTTTTCCGGGAAAAGCACCTGCTCAATCATAACTGTTTGGAGTTTAGGTGGGTTTGTTGTTGTTGTTTGTAAAGCGAAAGAAATCGACGTATTGCTCAGGCCGAGGTAAACATGTTTGTGGTCAGGGGCGGGATATTTCGATAATAAGAAGTCATGAACTCCGCGCGTTTTCAAGCTGAAGACAGTAGAGGCAAGTGGTTCGCATTTTGAAAACATTGCATTGAAAGCAACAAACAAGTATCCGGTTTCACAATGAAGACCTCGTGAAACTCGTGGTTTTTTGGGAGGGGATTGACAAAAACGGGACCTTTTTTGTTTCGGAAGTGTACTCTTCGGGAAAGCAAGCCCTTGTTGTTTACGAAAAATGACTAGTCCCATACATTTTCGACTACTGTAGCACTGATCTTCGACCTCGCAGTGTTTCCTTCGAGCTCCAGATGCTTGCTCGAAAACAAACAAAAAGGATGGAGGAAAACGAACCGGGAGAATGAGAAAAAACGCATGTGAATAGAATTTCAAGGGGGATTATGACCTCCAATTGAACGAAAAACACTTTGAGAGGTCTGAAACCGTCCGGTCTACAGTACAAGGCGCCCACTTGGCGAAGGTGAAATGTTGAGTGACTGGTTGAAACCAAAGAGGTCTGTTTTAGAAATTGTATTCAATCGACATCTTTAATGACGCCTAAGGAGAGTCTGGATGTTGTCAGATTTGAAAATTATCACCCCATTGTCATAAAACGCGTGAAACAGTATCTCGAAATTTCCACACGCTTTAGGTATCTTCAATGAGTTTCAATGAGTACAGCATCCCATTTCTGAACTCGTTGTCACTTTTGAACTGTGAATCTCCGAAAGTGGACGTTTCTTTTCCGGTTTCGATCCAAACTATGGCGACAAAGTGTCGTTCCGTGATAACGCCGTGTTTTGCGACACAGTACACAGCAATTTGGCAACAATAATGACTTCTTTTCTTTTCAACACACTGATAAGTCCGAATGACAACTGTACGCTTCATCATGATGATGACGATCACGTGAGGAAACGAGCGAGTGGTTTTGAAGTCATCTTGAAACCGTCAATCGGTCGGTCATGCCATCAGGTTGTTAAACTTTTCGAAACACAAACAACAAAAATAACAAGGGTTTTCCGTGTTTGGGGCGAAGGAACTGGTTTCGAAACATGAAATGAGGTTGAACATTGCAATCGAACGACGAGACAAAAATTGCAGATTTGTTGTTTTTGTCACTAATTGAGGTGAGACGAAAAGTGGACATTTTTTTGGGGAAATGAGAAATGACACCAGACATCTCAATGAGTCAGAAGGGTCCTCAAAGATAACAAACGTTGGTTGCTCGGCGGTTCTCTCTCTCTCTTTCTCTCTTTTTCGAAAAAAATTGTGATCTATGGCTGCAATTTGTCTTTTCATTGAGATTCTCATTTCAACAAAAAAACAGATACGAATTTGTCCAGCGCTGCAGGAAACTGTGAAGTCCGCTTTCTATCTTCTCATCGAATTGATACTGTAGGTTTACATAGTTAGTGAAACGTCAGCCATAAATCACCTAATCGCTCGAGAATCAGCAACAGTACAATCGTTTCTTTTCAAAACACGGAAAAGTGAGAGAAAGATCTCTCGACTGTATTCTTCATTGTTTCCGGCAATGAGATTCTCCGATGATTCATGCAGATAAGTAAGCATTTTTATTAGCCAAATGAAAAGTGTAAAATGTAAAGTGTTGTTCAACCAAGCCGAACAATGAATTTGAGAAGCAGTGACTCATTGAGAAAGGGTCGGATCGGGGTACAAACACGCGTCGGAATGAGGGCGCATTTTTGAATATTTTTCACAAGGACCGGGGGCGTATTATGGGAACATTGCTGTTTCACAAACTATCTCCTAAATGTTATGGGTGTTTGTTGTTGTGTGCATTTCCGCTGTCATCTCATCACTACCGTAACCTTTGCTCTTCCGGTGAACAACTGACTGGCGCAATACCGTCAGTGTGTTTTGCCAAAAACTGTATTTGTTTGCGAGCTTCGGGGCAGAAGTCAAACAAATGAGGCGCGCGCTCTTACGTGGTGCTCCGGTCGGCTTCTCCGCACAACGGGACTGTTGTTTCGCTATTCGCCGCCACGTTGCACGCTCTAAAACGAAGAGGACAACGTAAGAGCACGCGAGAAGAAGAGACAATGGCCAGACGAATACCGGAAGAGAAACAAACAGTGCACAATTGGCAGAAGTACGTCAGAAAGAGCACAAACACGCTGCGCGGTGGCCACAGAAAACAAACAATACGGTGCAGATCGGAGCAACAAAAAACTTGATCGAGGAGCCCTAGGAACGTGGAAAAAAGTATTACGCAACACAAGAACGCGCCGTGTTTTGTTTTTGTCAGGGATTTCGACCCAGCGAAGGCCGAGGGACGTACAAGGATCGGCAAAGCAAATCGCAACAGGTTTGCAAAGAGAAAGAGATGGAGCGAACGATGCAACAAAGTACATATGCAGAAAGATAACATTGTAGGCAGGAGGAAACAAACAGGTTACCGGAAACGGAATGTATTCCAAAAAAGGTGGTAGCCTTGGGGAAGAAGCAATAACAAATACAAGTGAAAAGAAGAAATGACAGCATAAAGAATCGAGGAATTCGTATTATCTGTATCTGTGCGCTTGGAAAAGATCGCCGTGGTCGTGGTGGGTCCCACCACAAAGTCAGCCCAAACTTGGCGACTTCTTACGGCCTCGGTCAGGGCCATATCTGCGAACAGAAGAGAGACGTCTAATAGTTTAAAAACTTTCTTTTTTCAAGAATTCAGCTGAAACTGATATGAGACTACGGTAGAAGGCTAATAGGGAAATGATTAGAACGAGGAAGTTGAATAGCTATTGTCACTTCCAAATGATTTCTGTTCAGTGCGGATTATAATATATTGTTTGTTGTGAGGAATGGATGCAAATAAAAGGGAATGTGGAAAAAAAACGCAACATATAATTTTCGAGCTGTCCGAGCTCAAAATATTTTAATTTTGACCAACTTGGATTGTGATGTATGAAATAGGTTTAGAAGCGAGATGAACGTAGGAGAAAGGGAACTTGATCGTCATTTGAATAACATACACACTTTCATGTTTGTCCTGATAACGATTATCGTCTTCTGAATCATTGAGAAAAGGATCGTTGCGCAAAGGTTCTGATAATGATGTTTTTATTAAGCGTACAGTAGCTCTCCGGTCTTGCGCTACCATATTTTGCCAAATGACTAACGGCCTTTGTCTTGGGGTTTTCAAAAATGCTGAGGAAACAACAAGAGAATGCGTGGGGGACACATGGCCTCGAATGAGTTATGTTTTTGGGACAAAAAAAGTTAGAATTCGTCTCGGAATAAAGCACTATTAAACTTTCACACCCCTAAGTTTATCCTAAAGAGTGTTGACACAAAATGAGAATAAAACTGTTTATTTTGGCATAAACGTGTTTGGCAACCTTGACGGCGGAATTGAAAAGAAAAAACACCGAAGAAATGTAAGGGTGAGTCAGGTATTTGGACAATTTCATAGTTCTGGAAAAAAGTTTGAAAGTATGGTAGGTGGGTGTAAAGTGAGGAAGAAAAGGAGGGCAGGTGGAAGGATTTGATGATAACTAACACCTTACAGCTTCGAGACGAACGTCTCCATTATGCATGAATAGGCAGGAAAACTTGAACACGATGGTGTAGTGTACTAAGATTGCGCAGTGAAGCAAACAGAAGAACAGTAAAGATCATGAAAATCAGTCTGTCCCAAAATTACATCTTGAATTCTGAGAAGAACATGTGTTGGAGTCATGAGAAGTTGACCTTGCCAGGTGTTCGATTGCAACATTCACTATCTCTACCATATGTTTCAACAAGAAATTTGAAAGAAAATAGGGCGATAACTAAATTAGCACTGATTATTACAGTAACCAAGGACAAGCGGACTTGAAGCGCACCGAACTCATTAGCATAATATCATCTAGAGATTGTTCCAATGTCTGTCTACGTCACGCTGTCATTAATCACTACCAAGTGTTCGATTGCTTTGGAAAATTAGCTGTAGGAGAAACGATTGACATGGACGCAAAAAAGTGCGAAGTGGTCGGCTAATGACAGATCCGTGAGTAAGCAGCGATGTAGATCTAGGAAAAAGAAAAGTGCGGAGACATGTAGGGCATTTGTTGTTATTTGGTGGTCGCTTCGGAATCCAAAGAAAGGGGGGATCGAAACATGGATACACTTTTGAAAAAGATGAGGGCAAGACGCACGAGACATACTGTCTTTCGCGGAGAGGGAGATCGACCGAATCCGTGAATTCGACGAGCGAAAGTTTCGGATCATCAAACTGTGGAAAACGAGGAGTGTCACAACAGTCGACCAAACACAACATTGCTGGCGCTGGATGACATTTTCGAGAGAAGAAGTGGAAGCGGCGAGGACGACAACGTCTTCCACATCTTTTTGCTTCGCCGAGGTGAAAGTGCATTCTGGTAAGGATTGAGGGATATAGTACAAGCCTGTCTCACGGCGCTTCAGACGCCCAACCGGTTTTGGCGTGTTTCGATTCCGAATTTCGACACTTTTTATTCATCAAATAGGGAAATCAAGAGACGTGCGCAAGCGCAAAGAAGGAGAAGATTTCCATCGAAACGGTATCTTTGCAAAGCGTCTGTCTGTGTGTGTTTTGACGCGCCAATGAGGAATCAGGCAAGGGCATCTATCACGCATTCTCACTGTTTGTCGGAGAAAGTCTAGAATAGTCTACACGCCTGTTGTGACGGCAAGTTTCTCAGATCACGCAGAAAAAAGGGGATGATCAAAAAGATTGGGGCCTGATTGAAACGAAAAATACAGACGACATCAAGACGCATTCTTAGAAACATACCCGCAAGCTGACGGTTTGATCTCTGAAAATAATGAATATTTTGGGTTTACGGTAGCGCGGAAATTGTTGACATCAAAGGAGTGCGGACTGCAAAAGGGCTCGGCAAACCAGAAGATTTTAATAAGCCTAACGAGCTAAACTGGTGACATTCGTAGTTTGAGGTAAACATTGGCATCCGAGAATGAATTCTCAGAAATATCAGAAAACAAAGGGAAACACGGATTCATTCAAGCAAACTGAAGAGAAACTCGAGGGTTTCTGTGTTTTCATTCTGGGGGACCATGATAGAATTATATATAAATAAACAGCAGCCTGAAACCGTCGGCTAATGCAATATTCTCCTCACGCTCTGCCGCTCGCTCCGGAAATTGTTTCCTCATTTGTTCCTTCCCCTTTTTGGGATGTGATGTTCTTCGAACATTGCTTTTCTCTTCTGCGGTGTGTAACATAGTTCTCTAATGACGACCATCGCCGAATAAAGCGGCAAACGAACGCAAAAGTTAGTTGGTGTATTTTGACATAATTGCGACGTTTACAACTTGAAACGCGGAACCAGCCAAGAGTACTTCTCCTCTTTTCACCCCCATCTAAAGTGTATGCGGATACAGTTCCAGAGGGATCGTAAACCCTAACAAGTGGCCGTTTTTTCGTCGGGGGCTGCAGACAGAAGATGCGACAAAACACACATTCCAATCTCTTTTCTATTTCTTGCAAAATGAGAGAAACGCGACATATGGCAGGGCCGAAGAAGGCAAAAAAATAGGTTCAGAGTGGAAATGATAAATAGGTATGGCGTGACAATTTGACAGATGTTGCTTGTTTTCTCCGAAACTTTTTTCGTCGTTTCCAACTTCTTACACCTATCCGTTTTCATTTTTCATCTCACGGGGTCCGTTTCCTCCCTTCCATCTCCGTTTCAAACAGAACGATGGTGGTAAAACAAAAACAACACCAACTGACGGGGGCCGTGCTGGCAATGCGCCAGCGAACCCTTCGAAAACTATGAGTCAGGTGTGATTGTGCAATTCTAGATGGACTCGGTCCCGAGTGACTTTTGTTTTTAGCCGCTCAGAGTTTCGCAAAAACACAGCTAGGCAGCTGTTGATGGAGTGGGAGGCAGCAGATTCCGAGGAAAGCACAACGTGTTTGTTCCGATTTTGAATCTGAGTGACGACGCTCTATCTATACTGAAAGCAATCCGGGAAACGAGACACTTCCGGCATTTCGTACGTGCCTGGCACGTGACATTTGAGACTCACCAATTGAAACTTTGCGGGGCTGGTTAAGGATAGTTCACCACGGGTTGCAGGAAAAGGAAGTGAAGCGGGACACAAAACACAACAACAATAACACTTTTACAGTCTTCCGCCTCGTTTTTCGAAAAACTACCTCCCCCCCCTTTGCTTGCAATAACTGCTCCCATAAAACGCTACAGTTATGCTACGTTTATCAGGGAGGTTTTAGATGAACAAAGATCGTCAAAGAAAGCTGAATTCGCAAATATTCTCTCCGTTGCTTCTGATCAGATGTGCCCATGATTTCCGAGTAAAACAACTAAGCGGAAAGTGTTATTGCTGGAAAACAACAACCGAATGTGATGATGAAAGTGATTCATTATTCAGAGAAAAATAACATTTCTATAGGCGATGGGTTCAATTTAATCGGCAAACTTGAACTTGGTGTCGTGAATTTCTCCCGGGTACTCGATCTGCAGGTTCACTTTTCCGAAGTCGTATACCTTACGGGCCTTGCTTCCAAGAGTTACGTAGTCTTCCGGAAGGCGGACTCCAATTCTTTTGTAGCCGTACTAAAAGGTATTGGAGTGGATCGATTGGTCGAAGGAGCACTCACGTTTGAGGTTTGCTTCTCGTCCATGTCGCAGTTGTGATGGATTGTCACGTACGGTCTGATTTCAGTCTTGGTTCTTGGAAATCTGAAACGGAAAAGAAAACAGAAAAGTGTTTTTGCAATAATCATGTTACCTGTCAGTGTTTCCTTCAACCTGGAACATTCCGGTTATGTAGGTGTTTTTCACATCGAGAAGTTCAGCAAGATCTAAATTGCGCAACTTTTCAAGAACTCGTGGAGCTGTACTCACCGTCCTCAGCATTTGGCTGGTAAACTCTAAAAAGTCTGATCTTGGCTCCCTCAAATGGTGTTTTTCCGCAGAAAAGTTGTCCCTTGATGGACATAGACCTGAAGCGGGGAAGTTTTGAATAACCTGGAAATTGTTAGACTACCGATTAGCCACGTTGGACGGCACTTCCAGATCCGATCCAGCGGAAACTTGAATGGCTGGCAGGAGAAGAGCGAGTAGGAAGAGGTACAACATGTTTTGTGATTGAGCCTGCAATGCGTGAGATAAGCGAGATGTTGGCCGGAGAAGCAATCAATGAGCCACCAAAAGACACGAAAAGCGAGGTCTTTGAACACCTGACCTTTCGGAAATGCACGTTTCTGTCAGGCATCCTAATCGATAAAGGTTTCGAAAACACTTTGATGTAACTCATAAAAATAGACAGAAAACGTTAAAATCATTGAACTGCACACTCGTTTATCAGGTTCGTACCGTCGTTTTGGCACGCCAAACATTAGGAAGTATATGAAGAGCTTATCATCTATTATCAATCGACGATTTGAGGACATTTCAGCACTATATAATAATAAACAACTTTTTCTTTCGATTATAACTCCGCATATGTGCATTCTTTATTGATGACGACGACAAATTATTCAGAAAAGTTGTATAAAAACTGTGTTATGAGAACATTTACATAGAAATCGACCCTATCAAAAGAAGGAAGCTCCGGGCTGAACAAAAACGAGCGGGGGGTTACAATCGGTTCATTGGGAACTGTGCACCAGGAAAAAAAGAAGAAAAAACGGATTGAGAAACAGGGAAAGGGCGGAAATTGAAAACGGCCTAGAAATCTCACCGGATGGTACAATAAGATACACAAAATGCAAAGTTTAGGAGAACGTGGGATGCTTTCCAGAAGAAAACAAGAATCGGAAACGTTTTGATGACTAGTCAAAACAAAATAGAAGCTGCAGAGGGAAAAAATGGCAGAAGTAACCATGAAACGTCGAATTACTAACCGTGTCTGGGGGGAAGCTGCTCTGAAAGCGAACGCATCGAAATATTTTATTACGCTAGAAAGTTCTACGGGAGTTGGAAGCGAGCTGATGGAGAACGTAAAGGGTTTCAGCTTAGACAGCAGCATAAAGGACCTGAGCATTGAGTATTTGAAAAGCGAATCGCATGGGGGAGCGTGTAAATGCAATATACTGCTTTGAACAAAACCGGGTAAGCATGGTTAACCGGAATGACGAAATGAGACATTATGTATGCGAACGAAAATGTTATGCTTGGAAGAGAGACAGAGAAAAAGATTTGAACTCTCAGAGTAACCGGAACAAAGCGAAATGATGAGGTACTGTCGGGGAAGGTTTGGTGAGGATATACTACAAAGGCACGGTGATCAAAGATCCGAGCAACCGTCATTGGATGGAGCATCTGGGCTACCTGATGTGCCGTCACCTGAAAAATAAAAAGTTTGACGTGTCCCAGAACTGAGCTTGACTTACTGTCATCGTTGCTGACTTGACAAGACGCCATCCGAGCAGCTTCCTGAATTTGCTCCATTGCACTCATCTGAAACCAGGCTCTGCTAAACAGTTCTCATTAGTTTTAAAGCTTACCGATGAGATATTCGGAAAAACCGGACTGACGGACGGAGTCACAATCTCGCCCTCAACTGGCTCATCGACCCTTCTCATCTTCTGCCGCCGATTGCAGAACCATACCCTGACGACGTCTCTGTCGAGCTCAAGAGCGTTCGCAATATCAGTCATCTTGTCGTGATCTGGTCTTGGATTCAGTGCAAAATAGGTATCGAGGGCGTTTCTCTGATTCATATCCAGGTTTGTCCTCTTTCTCCGCCGTTTGACGTGTTGCTCTCGATTTACTAAACTGGTGGCCGCCACCGAAGCAATTGAAGATACAATAGGACCTTCGGGGGACTGAAACATTTCTGTAAAAACGACAACATAGAACACGATCCTCATACATGTAATTCACTAATTGAATGATGATGGTTTCCATTGCTCAGTGTCTTTTTGTCAATGAGATCGGCGACCGTTGCCCCTGCTTCGAACGCTGTTTCCACGTCGGCCAGCCATTCTTTGAGAAGAGGCCTGAGTTTGCACATGTTCTTGAAAGACAGATTCAACGCTTCAAATCTCGAAATTGTTGTTTGGGAGAAGTCTGTTCCGTATCGCTTTCCGAGTGCCAGACCGACGTCGCCTTGAGTGAACCCAAACTTTATTCTCTGTTTTTTGAATGTCTGAGCAAACGCTTCGAGTTCGTTCATGTCAATCCGGTCATCTCCGTTCATACTGGCTGCTTCAATTCTTGACGTGTCATCAAACAAACGTCGTTTTGAAGCTTTGAGAGTTTGTGCGACTACTGGCGGCCGGTTTTCCTAAACTTAAAATCTTAGACAGACCCGAGATCCCGAACATTCTTACAGTTTTCTTCGGAGTCAATGAAGCCGTTGGCGTGGGCGGCGTGTTGATCAACGTCTGCAGGAGTGTGGGACTCGGAGCAATTAAGGGAGATGAGAGGAGACCGGTGTTAGAAGCTCCTGTAAGTTTGTGATAACCAAGAAAGCAGAAATGAATGGGTCTCACCAAGACCGTTAGTACTGAGAAACCCAAGAGACGGAGTCATTATAGCTTGAAGTATTTTCTCCGGGGTGCTCAGCGTACTGTCTGTGCTTGTGAACAACGGGGATAATGGTGTTGTGACTGGGGTCAGTAGTCCATTCCCATTTGTAATAATAGTCGGCGGATCAGATTGATCTGAAAAACCAAAATTTAATCCTAAACAGCTAAAACAGAATCACCGTACCTTTCATTGCCGATAGTTGCTGTGCTAAAAAATGAGAATTGAGCGCAGAACCATTCTGATTTCCTTGCAGAATGTCGGCCACTCTGCGCAAGAAATCAGTACCCGCAAGGCCGGCCTGCTCCATATCGTCGCAGTTTCCGTTTGAGAATATGTCGTCGGAGACGTTGTCGTCGTCTTCTCTGCAATGACGAACAGAAGTTCTCGGTGGCGGGGTGGTAGAAGAAAGGGGGGCGAAGCGGATGGAAAATAAAACTAATATTATTAAAATCGTGTGTGTATCATGCTAGTGCGACGGGGCCCATGCCCCTAATTTAATTAAAATTTGCTTTTATTGTTCTTGGTTGCTCGTATTGCATTTCGAACGCACAAAAATAACTGCAAAGCAGCGGCAGTAGAGTTGATTTTTTCGGAAAAAAGCAAACTGCGGGTTTGATCTATTGAAAGTTCTGTGTGACGGCAGAGTGGAATTGTCCTGTGAATAATGCGAAGCAAACGGAAGTTCAGCTCATTGAACTGACCTCAGATTCTTTTCGAACTTTTCGTCAGTCTAAAAACGTTTGAAACGTTTGAGAAAATTGTGAAATGTTTGTCGATGAAAAAATAGAATATCACGGATGTTACCTTGTGAATCATTCATTTTTCAGTAGTTCGGCAACGTTTTTGCATAATTTTCAAAACGTGTAACTCGGCAACAAGCGTCAAGTGATTCTTGAGTCTTTTTTGAGAATGTCTTGGACTGGTATTCCATTTTCAAAAAACAAAACTGTTCCAGTTTGAAATGGGTGGGACTGTGTACGTTCGAAGAAAGTCTGAGAATAGAACAAAAGGAGGAGAACAGCAAAAAAGAGTATCATTCTTCATGAATTTTCAAGCAGCGAACCATATGCGTAAGTTGAATTTCTGTGACCCTCTACTCGATGTTGCGTTCATCACGGGTAGAGTGCATTATGATGCATTAATTTTTTTCCGATCGACGCGACGCCGACCATCTCTACAGCACGTACAATCGAAAACGCGAAAATTGACGGTAGCCAGGTAAAAAATTGCAAGTCAAGTCAGAATGCAACGTGTTCGGATGAGTGCACTCAACCATGATTACTGTAATGGTGCTCTGGTCGGGTTGCAGAATTAGTCACATTTGACAGTAGTTCTAGTTCTAGGGTTGCCATCGGGAACATGAGCAAACACAAACAGACACATTCTCCTCTAATTTGTGACACTAGTCAAGTTCAAAGTTGGAGGAAGGCAAAAAACTAGGAGTTTGTGTTGACTTTTGTCAACAGTGACCAGCATCTTTCTTGGAAAAGTGTAAGTAATGCTCGACTTGTCTGTCGGTTGAATACTCATTTCCGAAACGCGAGTAGCCCAACAAAAAGACAGAGGAGGGAAGTGACAAATGGAATACAACAAACGCCTTTTTTTCGAGTGACTCTCCCGAAAACTGAAGGGACCAATTATGAAGGTGTTGAAAGTTTTGTGGAGCGCAAGGATGGAGGTGTCCACTCGGCCGCACACCAATTCACCGACTTATTGTCGTCGTCGTCGTCGAGCGTTTTGTCGCATACAAATACTCACTGAGCATTTATGCAACTTTCTATGAATTTCGCATTTCACGCCCACTATTCATCTCCAGAATACGCTTCTTGACACTTCTTTTTTGGGCTCCCCTTTTCACACTTGTTCACTGTCAGCACCCCCCCCCCTCCCGTCACCATCGACCAAATAATGTTTAAGGTCACATATTCATAATTGCCAGGGGGTTTTCATGAACTCTTCATGCCACACGTTGACACCAACACCGTAATTTTACGAAAAAAAGAAGAGAAAGAATTGAGTGAGCGTGTGGAAGACGACTAACATTTTTATAATGACCGGCAGAGAAATGAAATTCACACCTGACTAAGAATGGAACTTATAAATGAAATATAACACGGAGGGAACAAAAAAGCGTGCGCGGATCGGTCCAAAGGAAGGAAATGCGAAGAGCGGAAGGAATCCATGAATTCCGAATTGGGTCTCGATTGGAAATGTATGGCATCTGATTTAGTACAAAAAAACGGGAGCGAATTCCGTCTCCAACGCTATTCCGAACCTCTAATTAGAAGTTATCGACGAGGGTTGTGGAATGAACAGAAAAAAACAGAAAATGTCAGAGTTCGGCAAGCGGATACAGATTTGAACAGGACTACGGACGGGGTCATGAATAAACCCTGAATAATTGCATTTATCCGATTATCTAGATGAAAAACATAACAAATTTTCAGATGCAGAAGGGGAGGATGAAAAAATCTGCGAGAAGGGGGTGTGACAAAATGACTAAAACGGAACGGTAAATTTTTTGAAAAAAAACACACACAACTAGTTTTTTATCTGATCTGAACTGTTATTTTTCGGATTACCGATCGTTTATGGGTGACAGATCGCGCACTTTTCCAATTGCGACTCGAATTTGAATTTGAATTTGAAATTGAATTTTTAGAGAAAAAAACAATTGAACGTAACCTAATCAACAAAAGTTTTGTGTGTAAGACTCGGAAAAAAGGCATGAGAACGTGCTGAATAGAGCTAATTTCTAGACCAACCAGTATTTTAATTGATGGAGGTCATTAGTATTTCGTGAACGAAAAAAATGTTGTTACGCTCGGGGAATATTCGCAAAAACTGGAATATTCATCGGCCACTCTGGCGACGGGGATGATATCAGACGATTCGAGAGCCGGGAAGCAAAACAAAAACAACAAATGTTTCTGATTCCCCACAGAGATATTAGGTAACTCTTTTGCAGGCCAGGTAAATACTCGACAAGCGGCGAAAAGATGAAAAGAGCCGCCGAAAAACACTACTCATGCACATACACATCACAAACTCCCGGGTAAAAGTGGATGGGAGAAGGAGAAATTCTTTATGGCTGAAATAATTTCTCACTCGATTACTCGCCTTGCTCTTTATCGTCGTCTTTTCCAATCTACTTCACTACACACATCAGTTGAAAAAATTATGTACAGCCGTTTAATTAGCGCGGTGCCCTATGTCAGACGCCTACTAGCCCGTGCTCGAGCTTATTTAATTACCATTCGGAGAAGAACAGGATTCACAAAGACAAGAGACATTCAGAAAGAGAGACGTGCACTAGAAAAAGGGAAAAAGTTTTGGGAAAAAGTTGAGCATGAAGCTTTTGCACATTGCCGAATGGGTTTCAGATGCTAAGCTGATAAAAAGTTGAGCAAGAACGAAAGCTCTCCAAAAACAATGGGCAAGCAGACAAGTAATTACTAAATTCGACACCACACGGCTTTCGCTTGGTAGATGCTCCAATTTCTGTTTTCTTATTCCTACTGACAAATGCGCAAACGGGGGTTCTCAGAAATGATTGCCAAATGGTCCGAAACCTTGAATATGCAAATGAGTGAAGACATACTGGCGGCCGGATCAAATTTCAACGTTTTCGAAACGGAGTCTTCCTAAAAAACGGAAGCGACCAAAAGCGGCCATGAGTACAATTGAGTATAGAAAAGGTGAGTTCTGAGTTTGGGCCGTGACCATGATTCGACTCACCTGATACAGTCTTCCACGAGTTCATCACTCGTAAACCGACGAAGTGATGCCAGAAAGGGCTCGGCGGCATCCACCTGCATTGCTGGGCATCGTACTTCTTCCGGCTGCTCTTCTTCGACCTCCTGAAACGAGAACAGTATTTCGTGCCCAAATGATCCCTCACATCGGAATAATGCGAAACTCGTCAGTTTTTCTCTCAACCTCGGGTTTGCCTTTTGCTTGCGCGATGATTACTAAATCAACATTAACGCGGCGACTAAACAGTCAAGTCAACTTTTTTATGGCCGAAAGTCGATTGATTCGAGAATTCTTTCTCTCGCTCCCTCTATCAAACTTCCGCAGACTGCCAGAGAAACTTCGCATATTACACAAAAGAGTAACTAACAGACATCAAGAATGAAACAGCGCCGAGAAAGGAGAAAGTGGGCAATGCTACATGGAATAAATCAGAGAGTGACGCGTTTCGTTTTGTGGAATCGGAATAGGAATCGAGATCGATTTGGGTTGAAAAAAAGGCACTTCGGCAAGCGGAACGCGTCAGAGTTGGTAGAGGCTACTCCAGACTGATCAAGTGACGGTCTCTTAAATCAGGTCAAGATGTTGCATAATCATTATTTTTCTGAGTTTCCAGTAGCCCATCCACATTGTGACAACCAGCCATACTCTGGTAGTCATCATCATTTTTCATTAGGAATGAAATGATGAGCAGACAGATGATTGCGGGGGGAGCAGAGTGTTGCGGAAAGAGAATTGCAACCGAGACGGAGCGAAAAACAAAAGGGAAGTCGTTTGATGGTCTCAATGAGAAACAGAAACGACCTACTACACTTGCAGCTTCTCACTTTTCAAAATGCCCCCCGTTTTTTTGCGTCTTTTCCCGTTTTATGTATGCAACAAATGTTGCATCGGCAAACGGATGGAGAGGAATCTCTGCCCGAGTGGGTGCTACCAGCAGCGCCCTCCCGAAAAACATTGAGAAGGAGGAGGGGGACCAGAGAAGCGCTCCAAATGGGTGTGGGGGACCGATGTTGGCGGAGCGCAGCGAACGGGAGGACGCGCGAAAAATATTCCCCTAGTATGTATAAATCTGAGGCAATTGAAAAAAAAACTAACGGGAACGGAACGATGTGAAAAACAAGCAAAAGTGGAGGGGGATGAAAACTCGAGTCATTCAGTGGGGTCGTGCTTCTCACTTATACACCCACACGCAACGGACGTTTTGCCCCCAAAGGATCTCTTTCTTCTGTTGTCGTCGTCGTCGCGTCTTCACTCTAACCCAATGCTCATTACTTATTCAATTACTCGGCTTGGGGTCCATGATACTTATTGAAAAATATTGAAGCATGATTGGCTCGCCCGTCGCTTTTCAGCTGCTTCCGCCTAGACGTGCGCTTCTTTCCATTTTTGGGACAAAATTCAACGTGGAAAATAGAGTATGGTAAGAATGGAAGAAGAATCGGGAAAATCCTTTTGAGTGAATTCAGAGTAGGACTCTCCGTTCTTGTCTCAAGGAGCTTGGACGGAAAGGAATAAACTAGATGAGGGTCTAGTTGACAAAAAAGAAAAGATGGGACCAAGCGAGTCAGAAAACATAGAAAATACGTCGGATGTGCTTGCCGCCTACTCTTAGTTTCGCCCACATCATAGCCGAGGCCAACTCCCGAATCTGCTTATCTCGATACCCGCATCTCTTCTCCTTTTTAGTCACCCCTTTATTGCATTATCCCACACTTTCAATCCGCTGCTCAATCTTGAGAAAGCAAATGGATGGATAGCAAAGTAATTTCGGGTGAGGGCCCCCCGAAGAGAGAAAAATCGCCAAGTTTTGTGCGCATCTACTCAGATGGAAGTGTGCTCGTACAACTGCTCAAAAACTGACGTTTTCTTCCTGGATTACCTCCTCAGTGATAATCCTTTTCACTGGTCGACTTTTGCGTTTGCTGGCTCCGGACTGAGACGGACCGACTCGTTCTGCGGCGGCGCAACCATTTGTGTCTGGAAAAGAGAAGAAAACGATGGATTGTGGATAGATAGAGTTCAGGCGAAAGTCAATTTATTTGCTGCGTGTGCCCTACTCGGGCAATCTGCACATTTCATCTCATTTTCACGACGCCAATCGAATTCGCGAAGCCTGTGAGAGTTCTTTTTTGCGCATCAGCAAACCGATCGGAGCAATAGCAAAAGTGTCGTTTTTCAAACAGCATTTTCGGGGGGAAAACGGCAAAATTGGGAGTGAAAGAGGAGCTAACGACTGGTCCGCTGATACTGACGATTTGGTATGGTTTAAAAGGGGACAGAAGCGCTTATTGATGTTTTTCATTGTTTTTCTTCTCCTCCCTGCACTTGCAACCTGGCATCGATCATCCCGTCCGACTCCGCGAGTTTTTCTTCTCAAAATCAGTCGCAAATGAATTATCACGACAGAGCGACAGATTTGCGGCCGTCGGAGGGTCTCGGGCTCTCCAGAGGAAAAAGCGAGCAGAGATAAATGAGCACTTACCGAAAACACTGGAGAGAAGCTGAATTGTGTTCTCCAGGGCGTTCATTCCTCTTGCATTGATGATATGTGTTGAGTAGTTGTGAGTTCTGCTGGAAATCCAAAAGTTTCGGATAAGTCACCGATATGGTTATGAAACGGAAGAAACGATAGAAATCAGCGAATAGGATTGGTAAAGAGAGAGAGCTGGGGAAAATGTAATATTCCGACGATTGAGAAAATAATATGAAGAATGTGTTTCATGCGAGCAAATCGGAATCGGCGGCGCGGATCAAGCAAAAAGCGCGGGGCCACTCATTCGGGGGGTGATCGCAAGGCGATTCAGAAATGAGCCACCCCAGAAGTTGTAATATTGGCATAAAATCAGTCGGCTCTCTTCAGCCGGCAACTAACTCGCAACAACTAACCGGTGACACACAAGCCGTCTGGATGAGAGACTCTATGCCTCAGTATTTTTCAGCCAATTGTCGCATGTGCCTAATGATTCGATCCGATTTTTTGCCGCTTCACGTTCGCCTGCTCATCCTTGTTATGATAGCAGTCGGTGTAAACTGGAGGGGAGGAAGAAATGAAAAAGTCCGCATATTCACTTCACTTTTCGCTCTCGGTTTAAGATTTCGAAAGGAAATGACTATTTTGTGAAGTGACCACTATTTCTTATCATATGAATATGGTAAACAACGCATTATTGAACAGTGTACTCTTCTGAAGGTCTGGTCCAGACGAAAACGTGAAGCAAAGTGCTCTGAAAATGTGAAAACTCTATTAAAATTTTTGAGTCTGAATTTCAGCGTTGCAGAATGGCATGAGATCATAAAGAATTGACTGATAAGCTTTGAATAACACATTAGAGTATTAAAAAACGCAAATTTGCATATGATAAGAGGCATGGTCTTGTAGTGTCATTAACACATCACTTTCTGAAATTGGCCGATCGGATGCAATTAGACACATGTTTCTGCGGACTCTCTCTCTTTTTTGAGTTTTATCTTCTCTACCCACTGATCGGAATCTTTTGAAGTAGCGGGTTGTGTGCTGTGCGGAAATTTGAAATATGCAAAAGGATTTTTGAAACGCCACTTGGAGATAAGATGATATGATATCTTGTGTATGAGGGCGCTCACTCTTTCCTATTACACTTCACATTCATTACCTAGTCTTTTGAGCACCAAGTGGCTCATGAATTTGAGTCTTCACAAAATTACGTAGGTTGACAGATAACACAACTGCCAACGCTTCGCCAATGACGTCTCGTTTGATTATAACGATTTGATGGATTTTATCGAGTGATTGATCGAGAAAAAATGTTGATTCGGTGTTGTTTGAGGCAAAAGGAAAGATCCTCCGAGCGAGGAGAGAAAAGAGAAAAAGGTAGTTTGTGTATGGGATGAACCATGGAGAAACAGATGTGATCAAGGGGTCATCAGCTTAACGAAATGAGCATTGACACATGAGCCAAAACTCGAGCAATTTGAAACGAGCTTCTCTTTCTATTATCTCTCCTGCCCGCATTCCGCTCGGCATGGCTTACTGTAGAGTCTCCAGCGGCCGCGTTTTAACAAAAGGCGAACGAGATCTCGGAAAAGCAGTTGTTCAAATATGCATATTAGATGGCGTCGATTTGAAACGACGGTGCTTCTAGCCGAGCTAGATATACGACATTTGCCTATGCAAGCGAAAGAATGCCGTTTGCCTTGCTCTCTCTCTCTCAAAAGCCAAATGGCTCTATGAATAATCACAATGAAGTCGTGGTGGACATGTATGTAGTTGTGGAGGCACCAAGGAAAAATGAATAAAAAAGTTGGTGAATGGCGGAGAAAAACGGAGGGGGAGGGTCCCGACTAAATTGCCCCTCACCTCATTTGACTATTCACCGTGACCAACAATGAGGCGAATTTCAGATACGACTCAACATTTTTGTTGGAAGAGGAAGAAAGAGAAGACTCTATCTGGGTTTTTGAGTTACAAAATGAAATGAAAATTGAATTCTAATTCTATTCGTAAAAGTGTACAGTTAAATGCAATTTACAGTGAGTGGGCGTTTCTTTTAGTTCTAAAATAATAATTTGAATGCGAAATGGAAAATAAAAAGCTCGACGAGGCGAGCATTTCAGTAAACTGTGTACACAATAAATATGTGCTTTTGGCGTATCTCTGCGAGCATTTTCCATTGGATTCAAGGGCAGAAAACAATGACGAACAGTTTTCAAGTTGTGAATTCTGTCTCAGGACTACGTTGACGGTTTGTAGGCGATGGAAATTGCCACGAATAGAATGCCGAATGTCGAATTTCTTCTTTGTCAACTGATTTGATACGTCGGTATGCATTCTACTCGTCCTAATTGATCAATACTTGAGTTGAAACTACTTGATTAGGCAGTCGAAGAAAAACAGAAGAAGAAGAAGAAGAAGAAGAGGAACTTGGAATATTTGAACGGGGAGAAGAGAAGGGTTCTCACTTATCGGTATCATTAGTCAAGTTTTGATATCTTCCACAAATTCGTTAACACACTCCAACGATCATCGCTTGTCTTCTTTTTGCCCCCTTCCTCGCCAGGTATGCTGATGTGTAAAGTGTCTTAACACACGAGGTGAGACCGAGTAAACTGATCATGAATAAGGTATATCTCTAAAGAAAAATGAGAATCTAGAGTTTTAAACATCAAGGACACTAAATTTTAATCAAAGCGAATTTAAATTTTTTTGGTCTCCCGCCTGTATATTGTATGAGTCCAAGTTCCGAGGCAACTTATCACTTCCTACTTCTTTTTGCATAATCTCTGGCGCATAAGGGAGGTCTTCTCCGATTGGCTAAACAAATTACCGTAGTCTACACTTTGAGCGAGCAAATCGTTTTCAAATGTAGTAAGAATAAACAGTGACTGTTTAAAACGGCGATGACTCAGCCGACTACAGTCGTCAGAGTCGAGTCAAATTGAAATGAGCCAAGCACTGCTCCAAGTGCATCACGAAAATGTAAGAAATTCATGTTGTTTTTCAAAGGGAGATGCGCAGCTGTTGGTCAGCCGCACATTTAGGATACAAATGACGATGAAGACAACTGCTAAGCGAAGAGAAGGATTAGAGTTGAACTGAAGATTGGAGCGAAATTTGCATATTGCCTACAGTAGCCCAACTTCCACGATGAAGCGATGAAAATTGAAAATTGTTGATTTTGTGACTAATTGTGTCTAATGAAAATCTGGGTGTTGACTGAAGAAAATGAGGTTGAAAACAGTGGTTCGTTTACATATAGGAAGTGTGCAAGAGGGAGGAAAGTCTCGATAAACACAAAAAATTATACGCAACGGGGTTGAGAGCATTTGGTGAGAGGGCCCCGCAAGATACTCAAAAACGGGCGAGACAGTGGCCCTGGGGTCGCGCTCTCGCGCGGGAGTCATTCGCTCCGAGAAAACGAAGAACATGCTGCACAGTAACCTGTGGCGGCTCTGCTGACTTTCACTCAACTCAACTTACGTGACGCCTCTATTTGCATACGCGGCTCGCGTTGGCAAATTGTGCAACTGTTTGGGAGAGTGGAAACGACTTGGGCAGAATTCAGAGAGAGGGAGTCACATTTCGGCTCAACTGGGGACTATTGAGGAAGAGCAGTTTCGGAATGGCACCGACTGACTCGGCGTAGCATCTGTCACTTTTGCATCTATATGGACGAGGCGACATTTTTTCAACTCGAACTGAACACCTGCTCATCACGTTTTAAGCGGCGTCTTTGAAAATATTTTTCAATGAGGAAGCCAAACACAAGCGTGAATTTAGCCACATAAGGTCGGGACCAGAGGAACTGGAAAGAAGGAATTGAGATAACAGTGAAAATTGGCCGATTAGGTCACATTGATTTAACTTAAAGAACTTGTTTCTCGAGAAAACATACGGTAATGTATATCTATTCACATTCCTACTTCCTACTTCCCGTGACTTGTCTTGCGCCGAAAACTAAGGGAGCGGAATTATTTGCATAAGACGGCGAAAAAGCAAAGAAAATTATGCATTTTTCAGTAGTGACAAGTTAAAAGCACACTGTGCGCAGACAGTTCGACCCCGCGGCGGCTCTCCCGTGAGCACCTTTTTTTCTCTCCCAATCCACTATTCTATTCATTCAAATGTTTACTATTCCAATATTCTACCGTCTCTTATTTCGTTTTGTTGATTCACTGAATTTTTCTTTCGGTGATTGCAAAAACGCAAAGGTGAAGAAAAGAGGGTTACCGGTAAAGCAAAGGAAAATAGAGATTGTTTTGTGTTGATGGTAGATTCAGAGAGCAATCAGCTTACCAAATGGCATCTGTGCTTGCTCCAAAAATGACATAATTGGTCTGTGTGTGTCTATTTGTACAGTAAAAAATAGCAAAGCGAAGCAAAGCGAAGCAAAACGATTTGAATAGGAAGCATGTGTGCAAATTGAGCCAGGGGCACCGCACATTCACTAATTTTGCCGAATTCTTTGTCATGGCGGCTGTTGTAGGCAGCCTTGAACTCGCCAATATTGTACATGTAATGGAGTTGATAAATATTTAGACTTTCAATAAACATTCAGAGCCGCTTTGTCTAATGGCATGCACAGCTTGGATTTGCTTTACAGAGTAGAGCAGCAGTAGAGCAGCTGAGAGCATTCGAAAAAAGAGAAAAGATTGGCTAGTTACGGTTATCCGGACTGATAGACAGACTAAGAACGAATGGTTTAATCAGTCAGTTCTGCCATTTCATCAAATCACGGCCGCACGGTGTACACACCATAATCGAACGTAAGAAAAACGAGTGAAAGCCAGTGAGAGAACATGTTTCAACCTTTTGGTTGCCCCCCTCCCCCTTCCCCCGTCCCACCAATGTCAAGTGTGATCCTAGAACAAAAAATGATTTTTGGCGACGAAAAGAAGACGTCGATAGCGGCGGTTGAGATGAATAACGAAACACAATATGTTCGCGAGGCTTCACAGAGTTCTATTATGGAAACATGAGTCACGAGAAACAATAATTCGCATTATTTTTCAGTTTTCCTTTCTTCATCCGACTGAAACACAGTAGTTCCGTCAGCAAAAGTATCGATTCATAGGCTATCATAGAAATGTATAGTACAGTAGGAATATCACTTAATATTTATAGTTAAGAATGATGCGGATGAGGAAGGAACGCTTCGAAAGATGTCAAAGATCGATTCCATTGAATTCACAGTAGGAAGTAGAAAACTTAACCGACAGTTTATTTTTAGCGATCACGAGATAATCAAGAGAAAGTGACGGTTGCTCTAACTACAAAAAAGAAAGAGAAAGTTTTCTATCGGAATACGAGACAGACTGATCAATCAAGTTTCCTTATTGGATCATTACCGACTCTTGCTGATTTCACTATTTTCGAACTGGACAACCGAAAATTGAATAGGCAACAACAGGGGGGCAGAGAAGAAATGGTAATTGCGAGACAAAAATTTTGATAGCATCGAAAGTCGAAAGGGACAGTGAATGAGACATAGTATATGGGTCCACACATATGGACAACATTTCGAAAACTGGTTGACAATTTGCATGTGCACTTCTTCTTCTTCTTCTTCCTCTCCCCCTTGTATGGCAACCTCTTCACAACTTTCGACGTCTTCGCCCCGCCGTCACTGAATGTGTTCTCTACAGGTCGCTTTTCGATGTCAATTTATCAATCAGTCACTCGAATGCCGCGCAATTCTGCCTAACCAAATTTGATGGCGGATCAAAAAAATAAGGCAAAGAATGGAATAGAATGAAATGGGCGACTGTAGAAATGCATACGAAGGAGAACGGAACAAATACTACTGGAGAATTTTTGTTTTCTTGACAATTTTTCAAAATACCGACAAGATGAAAGAAGTAAACATTTGAGTGATTGCAGCTGTCAAGCATTTTTCGAAACAAAATTGCCATAGAGGTCAAGTCCGAGGGCGGTCGCTGATACAACGCCTTATTCTCGTGAGGTGACCAACTTAATGAGATGAAAATCAGTCACAAAGTCATACCGGGGGACAAAAATGCTATCCCTTTCTTTTCCGACAAGTGATAGAAACGGTTTAGATTGTCTCGGGATCTCACAATCCGATTAATCGTCTCTGACCCTGGCCGCACTTTACTGTACTCCTTTTCTGAAAAATAAGTCAATTAGCGACAGCGATAGAGTGAGAGAAGTCATTTGGGTTAGGAAAAAAAGCCCAGGAACATCATTGTTGCCGACCCGACCCTGTCATATACAGGCATTGAGGTAATTGTAGCGAAACTTCACGCCGTCTCTTCGCACTCTCCATTTTTTGAATGATGTCTGCAATGCCCATATTATCGGTTCCCGTTTGGAAAAAATGTCCATGAGGCGAGAGTGTGTGTCGACGGACATTGTCTTTTTTGATAGTCATTCGCTTTCCCTCGTGCGCATCGCCGCACTACCGTTTTACAGTGAATATGCAAGCGTGAATGACCTTGAATTTACTCATTTTGCCGCAAGTTTCGCACTTTTTCCGCCGTGGCGCCCATCTTTGACTGTCCTCGTCTCATTCTTGAGAGTACATTACCGCCAACCGACGGGAATTAATTACAAAACGCCTATTTCTTCATTGTCACCGGCTTTGTTTGGTTAAATAACAGACACATACACACACTCACAAACGAGAGAGAGAGAGAGAGAGGAAGGAGTTGCCCTGGAGAAGGGATCTGTTCAAACAGGTGGGACGAAAACAAACGAGAGAAAAAAGTATGCAAGAGGGTCAAATTAAGCATAGTCTGAAACTGGTCACTGTAACGAAAACAAGAAATGTTACTCGTCGCATGAAAATGTTTGAACCATCTCACAATATCGAATCTCCAAAAAGGGGTCACAGATACGGTCAACAGGGAAAGCGTTAAGAGCACTGTATGATTCGATCCAATGCCTATTCCTATTCCTACAAATCCAATAACCAATAATTCTACGGTTCCTTTCGTTTTCTTGAAAAGTGTCGGAAATAATACCAAATTGTAGAGTAAGTGTGAAGTTGAAGTGTACGTGGTTGGAAAGAAGGAGGGATGCCTTCTGAATGAACAGGTTATGCCTTCTTGAGACGAGACTGGCGACTGAAAGGCCATAAGGTTTGGAAATTGACAGTTTGAGTCGTTTTCTCTCTTCTAAATGTTTTGAGTTTATTCAAATCAACTTTGCGGAGAATAAGTTAATCACAAAAAGTTACAATAATCATGAGCGGGAGAAATTGGTTCAGAATTGAGTAATAGGCATGAAACGGCTGCACTCTCGTTACAGGAAGGAAGGAACAGTTATCGTATATTGAGATCTTAACCTCAGTACGCAATTGAGACACATTGAGATCAAAATCAAAGAGGTGAGACGTCAAAGACTCATACAAGCAAATTATGATAAAGCGGGTTGAAGGGTGGTTTGAGAACATCTCATGAATAGGCAAGATAAGAATGAGCTGAGGAATCTAATTTCAAGCAAGTAATGTATTTTAAGAAAATTGAAGAGAAGATAATGAGTCGAGACAGTCAGGCATATCATCTTCGGCACTATAAATAAAGTTTGATTGTTATAAACCTGGATGGTATCGTCGTATACTCTTTACCTTATAGTGACGGATGTTGGGTACATCATATCACTACTGCTGTCAGACTTCTGGCCAGGACTTATGGGTCCGACAGACGAACGCTGACTTCCTTCGTTGTCACCCTCAGACTTGAGGTGCCACTTTTTCTGCCGAGCGCGAGAATTCTGGAACCAGACTTGAGTGACCCTCTTGCTCAGTCCCGTCATTGTGGCGATCTTCTCGAGGTCCGCACCGTCTGGGTTACTGTCGCGATTAAAGTAAGCCTGCAATAACCACAATACATTTTTGGTTTCATCGAGCCTTTATACCTGGAGAACAGAGAGTTGTTCCTCACCAAAAGTGGTTCTGACTCTTTTCGTTTTTGCTTTCTGATTAGCCACTCCACTTTCTCCTTCCACAAGTTCCAAAAAATGTTGCTTGCACATCAGCTTCCCTTCTTGAAGAGCAAACTCTTCTCCGGTGCTCAGTTGCCTGAAAAACACCGTTCACAGAATGTTCGATGCACTCCAAACTCACCTTTTGCACTGGTTACAAGCAAAGCAGGCGAGATGGAACACGAGGTTTCGTGCTCTTCGTACCCAATCAGTTGACTGGATTACTCTATCACAAGAAGCACATTTAGGACCGAACTCTCTGCAATTGTTGTCGTTATACTATGAACAGAGTCCCAAGAGGACACAAGTGGGTTAATCAATGGCTGTATACACGAAACCGCGCAACATGTCGGCGGATCTTTTTACCGTACCGCTGAGCTGAGCCATCTGCCAGCGGAGGTCCCTATCAAAAAGCACTTGAGTTTGTATACTACATTGAAATCAAACGTCAATTGTTCTCCTTCTTCTTTTGGCGGTAGAATTATGTACAAGCGAACCATGTTTTCCCCATTTCTTTGTCAAGGAAGTTCGGAGTTTTTCAACTATGAAGTTGACTTTATCTCCTTTTCGCGTTTTCCAAAGACAATTCGGTCAGCATCCGCGACGTTTCCCCCTTTCTTTCTTTCCTTGAACACGAATAGACACACACAACATCCCCCACGTTTGCTTAAACGGATTTGTTCGGTTTAGGATGTGTGGAGCACAAAGCATATAAAGAATAACTTGGTTAGCCATCATGTCTCATCTCTACGTTGAACTATCGATCCTCCAGAAGAAGATCCAGAAGTTTCTACGCTTCGCCTCACAATAACTTATGTGCAAACCGAATTTTCCGCGCAAACGTGTAAACTGACACTCTGATTTGATTTGGGAGGCTCGGTTGTGGAAAATATGGTTGAAACCGGAAAAGAGAAACGGGTTGGAGTACACAAACCCCCGCGCACACACAAATCATATAATAGAAGGGGTCAGTATATGGAGCATGAAGATTACTGTAACGTTATGTAATCAGAGCAGGTTAGCTACCAGCTGCTCTAGAGAATATTCGCGCAACTGTGCCTCATTAACCACTTCCTAAAGCATGTTATTTTAGGATTTGTTAGACAATAATACGGTTATTCATCTGAATCATAGGCCAATCTTGCACGAATTCGGTTATAACCCATCTTCATAACTTCCTACTCAAATTCATTGAATCAAACAGTTTGAGGATGTCGCGTCACTAACGAGGGAATGATTAGTTGATGACTATTGAGAGGGGTCCCTTGGGACTAAGCAGGGTGGCCAATTAGCAATCAGTACATCCCTCAACTAACCGATAGTAGCAGCTTTTACAGTAAAACTTTGGATCTTTGAAGAAACACTTGGCGGTGAGAGTTGTATCACAAGAAGAGCACTGTAAGCATCCCTCATGCCAGGTTCTGTAATAATTGTTTGGATTTTATTTCAAAACTGATCATCGTCATTATCATACCTTCCCTCGACATGCAAAATAATCTTCTCTTGAATGGGCTTTTGACAATGTGCGCAGAGAATAACGATGGCATTGGGCTGCAGTTACCGTAATCTTATCACAATGAAAAAGTGGACATTTTATTCAATCAAGCTCTATTCAAACTTTTCCGGCTACTTATACATTAGGTTTGAGAAATCGCGGATTTTGTCAACTATACCATTATATAAAATTTATATAAGAGTCAGAATGATATGAAATTTTTCGGGAATATGAAACGAATATGAAAATTGATCTGATTTTTCTTGTGAGTGCTATTTAAAAAAGAAAGCAACTATCAATGTCAACAGAAAAATATGAAAACAAACTCACTTTATTGAGGGTTTCCTCATGATCAAACGCATAGTCGACTGCAATTTTAGAAACAATTCTGAGAGATTCGGAAATATAGTCATTGCGAGGAGGAGACAAGGAATTCGAGGAATCGGAGCAGTCATAGTCGATGACGCCGCACGGCAAAAAGTCGTAGAACTCGGTCGACGTCTCCGTTCCCGTATGATGAACCTCCATGGCGCAACTTGTGACAGCTGCTTCTTAACGAACCGCGGACCGAAGATAACAAGACAACAAGGAGCACTAACGAGTCGAACGAGCACCGACCGCTTCTTCTTGTAGCGTCTTCTTCTGTTGAGAAAAGTGAGTGGAATCCGTCTTAGCGCCGCCCACTGGTTTACGCTATTGGGCGGTTCTCCGGATTTGGGTGACAGCTTGCCAGAAGCTCTCCGGAAGAGTGGGCGGGGCACGACCACCGGGATCTTAAAGGATAACATGAAAAACAGTACCAACTAATTAAAATTACTATTCGTTCAAAAACAAAGACATATAACTGCTTATATGAAGCCTGCAATTATGGAAAAGGTATCTCGCTAATGAGCTCAATAAGTAAGCTAATTTGGTATCAGAAAATTAATCAGTGGAAACAGGAAATATAAATATTAGCGATAGCCAAATGAATTCCAAAATGCATGTTGAAGTGGCTGAACGTGTATCCTGAGGGAAAAAAGTGCTGAACAAGGACAATGAGCATGTACCTTTTTCAAAAATTGCTGATAACTCTAAACATGTAGCAGTTTTTTAGTAGTTGTTGGAGATCTTTCGAAATGAATTTCTGTGCATTTTCTTTTATTCTCCGATTCACAGGGGATAAGACTTGTTGAAATGTATACGTAGTGTTAGTTTGATTCCAGGTGCGGGAGGCCTCCATGAAGAGAAACAATTAGACTCAGATACTGCGGAAGACGCTTTTGGTGGCCAGTAGCGGGTTTGTGGGTATCTGTTTGTCGCCAAGTATCCGCATTGGACTAATGAACTCTTTTCATGTCATGCAAGCTGCCATTTCCTGCCATGGACCCGATAGCTCGTTTATTGTGCTATCATCTACCTATCCCATATTGCAGGTCTAACAAAATGATTAAGCACTAACGACATTTGTCGTGTAAAGACATTGAAGATAAATAAATATATAAAGCTAATTGTGTTAATGTGAATTGTTTTGTTGAGTGTGGATGACCTCTTGAAAAAAAGAACAGACGGCTGCACACCTTCACACCATTTGGCGCATTCCATGTGTGGCACATGCGCAATAGATTGAAGAAGGTCTCAATGGATGGAAGACGTCTGGCAGCAACAGTATATTGAGAACCAAAAATGACTGTAACTAAAAGAATCATCTCAAAAAGTTGTTATTGCAATACAGTATTTCAGATTTTTCAATCCCCTGGGGTTTGTGTGCAGAAAAAACGGATAAGATGAAAACAGCTCACGAGAACATACGAAACAAGGGAATTCAGACACAATTGCACTTTTAAGATGCTATTTCGTACTTTCCATCTCACCCACCCACCTGTCAATGGTGTTGACATCCCGCCCTTCTATACTCATTCAATCTTTTCCCTCATCGCCGAGCACCGAATCAGTTTTCCCAGATTTTTTGAAAGCATTTTGTTCGCTTTTTCTCAAGTCACCCTCACAGCTGGGATATATCTTGCCAAATAGTTGAAAGTCTCGGACCATTTCGTTAACATTCTTCTTCTTCTGGTCCAGTGTTTGTCGGGACGTGTGCAACAGCTTGAATCAAATTATCTCGAGATCGATGTAAATCGTGTTTCCTCTCTCCGCAAGGATGCGGACGCACTCAAAACACGAAAATGCGCGAATCAAATTAGCGACTTGATGGTCCGTCGGAAACTCCCAAAAGTCTCGAGACGGCTCTGGTTGGCATTGAAAGCGAACAAGTTTTCCTAGGGAAATTTGTTAGATCAGAGAAAAGCCGGCTCAAACCGGTACAAATTTTTTTGTTAAGACTTTTGACAAGGAAAAAAGTGAACAAGGTCACTGAGGAACATGTGAATGGCGGGTAGGTAATTCGACTATCAGTGAGAGAACCTTGAGGAACACAAAGAACTTCCACTGTAATTTGACAGTACTCAACGGTTCAGACGGTTTTTTTAATGGGACAAATGAGTATTTCAAATGATATTGTATGCTTAGAAAATATCAAACACTTTTCACTTTTCCAACAAGAAAGAAATAAGTCCGTGGATAGTGAAATCCGACTCTCGTCGACTGAGTTATGATCTTTATCAAATATTTTATCAAAGAATGCCTCCTATTTATTATACAAATTTGTAAGGCAATCACTGGTTTGACTAATCGTTACTCTATTGAATTGAAATGATGCGGAGCGCCCCCGCATCCATTTTTATGTTGCACGAACGTCGGTGATTGTCCTTTATTGTTTCGTTCGCAGTTCCTCCCCCGCCTCCGCACATTGTCATGTACATTTCTCAGTTTTTTAGCGAAAGAACGGTGAAAACAATGCGAATACTTGCTGATTTCCTACGTTCATTCCTTTGCATTAAGGTGGGCTGCACTCTGTTTCTTTCCCAGCTTTGTTGCGTTTTTGGCCATTCTGAAATAAAAACGAAAAACAAGCCTACAGTAGTACCTTGAAGGTTTTCTATTTCTCCCATTTCGGTGAACGCAATTCAGTTTTTAGTCTTTCCTCTCTCTCTTGTCATTTGGTTTCACAGACAATTGAATTATACGACGGATTTTATAGGTGAGGAGTGTGAAGTAATTACAGGGGTTGCGGGTGGAACCATAAAATCGAGAAGCGAAGGAGAATACATCTCTTTTGATTCTTCTCTCACTTCCTGTTCTCGACTAGTTTAGTCGTGATTCATGCAGACTGTTCTGGAACTGTTTTGATAACGGCCTGGTCAAACACCTTCTCGAAATAGCCCCTTATCGGTAACTTTTCCAGTCTACTTCCTATTTGTCATTTTCATTCCGGAATCGGAAATAGGCTTTTTTTCGCTTTCCAAAGACCCTTATATCTGCGGTACCAATCTCCGATTGCACCTTAGTCCCGTCTATTTTGTGAAGACTACATGTAATCTCCATTTTCATCTTTGTTCAAGCCTCCGAAAAAAACCAACCGCAGGTTTGATAGGAACATTCTTCAATCCTTGAATTTCCTTTGATGTTGTTCACTCTCACTTCCTGTATACTTACTGAACACAATTGAGCACCATGGCCTGATGTTCACACAATTATGAGTGAGGAAAAGAGGCTGACGTAAACACGCAGAGTTGTTCTCACGCGGAGTCGCCGATCTTGACTTTTGTTGGCTGTAGCCAATTGCCTACAGGTTGATGAGAACACGAGTTTGCGGCTTTTTCAGTTTTTTTGGATGCATTCCAAGTGCATGGTCGTTGAATCTTGTGAACGGTCGGTACGAAGAAACCAGTGCCAAAGGATGAAGATCTAAAATCAGTCTCAACTTTGATAGAACATTGAAGTTGTTTACCGGTTGTTTGTCGGTATTATCAAAAGTTCTTCAGCTCTTATCATCGGCACCAAGTGCATGTAGTTCTGTTGCCAGTCAGCCATTAATTGTTTTTCGTTCTGATTAAATTTGAATTAGAATTCTGAAAAAATCGAGGCTGATTTTCAAATTTTAGTTAATCACCTTTTTCAATGACAAGCCTCATTGTGTTCCGTATTCCGACAAATCTATCATCCCGCTTTTTTCTTCGTTTTTCCCAGCCAATTCTCGTTTATGCTTTTACTTTTACTGCTTTGTAATGTTCAAGAGAAAGCCGCCTCTGACTGCAGATCGAATGTCCTTCCTTTCAGTCGTTTTTTTGTTCCTCTTCCCGTTCTTTTTGCCCTCTTCTCTATTTTCTGAACACCCGGAAGATCATATCGAGTTGTTGATACCCATCAGTTGCGATGCGAAGGGATCCGACAGAGTTTACGAGGCAGTTAGATAGATTCCTCTGAGACTGGCAATTAGATCCATCCCCCCGGTTGCCTCGGATCCTTCGTCTTTTGTACTATTCTCACCAGGTGATAACGGATAACTTTTAAAAGTTTGTGCCTTGTTCTGACCACGGTGGTATTTGTGATCTGCGTAAACATCGTACAAGTTAGAAATAGATATATTTGACACAAGTGGACTTGAAAGTGATAAGTCTCTAGTGTCCTTGTGTTTGAATGATCTTCCTGAGCAAGAGCGTCTTCGCAAACACTGTTATCTTTGCTCCCAAAACCTTCGGGGTCATTAGACACTCGAGGATGCGAAAAACCTGTGAAATAATTTTGATGAACGGTGGTGGGTACAAAGTGGAAGATTGAACGACTCTAGGCCAACTACCTCACCGCGCGTCACTTTCAAAGGCGTTTTCTTTGCACTCGGCTCCCTCTGTTTCGGTTGTTTGCCCTCTGTCGCGCATTCTTTTCAACTTGAACAGTCATTTTTGTTTTTCTCCGCTTACCTTCTTACCTTCTGTTAATCTTTAACTGTTTCTTCAAAGACTTGCGAAGTGGGCGAGTGAATGAATGGAGGGAGGCTAAGACAGTCTAGTCTTCCTTCTCGCCCAGAATTCGTATCAGATGGATCCGGCAGTAGTCCTTTTCGTTTGTTTATAGTCTAGTCCTTTTCTATTTTGTTCTTTCCGCCAGCCTCCCAATTAAAATTTGTTTTCCAAGTGCTCTCTGGTCTCGTTATTAGTATTCATAACGCCTTCTTTCTGTCAATTCCCTTGAAAATTACGATGAGATGAATTTTCTCTCTCATTCTGCTAAAATCGTTTTTTGTTCATGCAATATTTCAACTTTCATCCAACGTCCGTTTTCTCGTTAGCCAAACCAAAAAGAAGCGCTCCGTTGACAAATATTGTCACTTTCGCGGGAGGAACTCTCTGCTCTGAATTATCACTCAACCGTCAATTTCTCACTGACAAATCTTCGGCTCAGCAAAAAGGGCTTTGACGTCATCCGTCGGTATCGAAAAACCATTTCTGTTTGTGTCTCGGATCCAATTTGCTTTGCAAAACTTTTGCAAGACCCTGTTGGTTTATAGTCTATGAGAAAAAGGAAAATGTTTGAGCTGTGGACCTATTACACCGGATACGACAACGTCCGAGGGTTCAGGGTTCTGACAGCAATTATGCAAATTGGATATGCATACTTACGCTTTGTTCTTCGAGTTTTTCAATAGCATACTTTGTGAATAAGTAATGCGAACCGAAACCAGCGCAATGAAGTTAATGGATACCAGGAAATGGACGAAAGTGAAAGTCAGCGCCAGGAAATAAACTTCTTACACAATGGGAATAATAAATAACTCGTCAGCAGTCGGTGTTTCGGCGCAGGTCGAAGTAATCGAATCTTGTCGACGACTAAATCTTTAATTGGAGTTTTCTCACTCGCTTCCAAATGTGCTTTGTTTGGAACTTTGTAGATTATCCACCGATGCGGAATTCATTTGCAGAGCCATTCGTGCGAATCTGAAAATGTTCTCACGTCGTTCTCCGCTGAATGAGCTCTAGTCTTGTAGCTCGACAGAGGCACGCTTTCTGCGAAATCACTTTCTAGAAACCTGCCATTCAAGAATGCACGTTTCGCAGCTGTTATCCGGGCTCACTTCCGATTAACCACGACCTCCTTTTCCTCCTTTTTTCAAAAAATTTCTGCCAAAAGTATTAGGGGTATTGCATTAGCAGAGAAGAGTGTGGCCCTCCGAAACCATTTCAAAGTACACTGAAGTTTGTTGCCGACCAGTTCTTTTGCGAATGTCGCGTCTATCGTTAGCTCCGGAAAATGGTCCGTTGGGATATGGAGAAATGGATATTTTTCGAAGAAAATTCCGAGTATGAACATGGCTCAGAAAAAGAGACACGAGTGAAGAGGGCGTTCCCGGTTTAAGGAGACAACTGAGAGAAGAGAGGAAGAAATGGAAAATACTCATTGCGCATTTGAATACTTTGTGCATGTATATTCGCTATAAATGTCATTCACACGAAAGAAATGTCCATTGTGACTCATCGAACACCGCTATTTAAGAGATGAAGTTTTTCCGCCTCTGTCATTTCTTTCGACGTTTGGTAAGTGCATTTTTGGTGTGGGGGTGTCTAAAAAGGTTTCACGAGGTGTCTTTCACTTGAAATTTGATACTTGATGGAAATCATGCGCGAAGAAATTTCAAAAACGCGCAAGATTTCACATCTCAACGCTCCGGCCGGTTGAGGTCCTTTCTAGCAACCAGTGGTCTTACTTCATCCGGCATTTCCTACCTTCCCCTCTTCCTTCTTCTCCTCCTCCCACTTTTATTTATATTTGTGGCTATGAGATGGAAAACGTTTAAACATTGGGCGGCTTGTTGGGTAAGTAATAATTTAGATTTGATTACATGTATGAGAATTTTAGTTTTGAAGGTAAAACACATGTTTACAAGGAAGTTGGCGCATGACGTGATTGCACACTGTCCTTGCACAATAGGGCAAATTGGATGGGCCTGAAAGTGTTTTTGCCATTCCGACTCATCTATTTCAGCCCCATCCACATTGTTTGTCTGCCGTTTTGGATAGACGTAAACTCGTGGGAACTGTTGATGTCTGCTCAAAACACTGGACCACAAAGAGCAGACATCTAGAAATAATTCCGTTTTCCCTTCTCACCACTAAATTTAGTCCCCGTTCTTTCTCGGGGGCACTCAGTCGCGTTGACAATTGTATAGATGGAATATACAATTTTTCATCTTGCTTTTCGCTCAAAAAATGAATGTGTATATATATATATATATATATATATATACATATATATACGAACGTGATCTAGATCGAGAATTCAGAGCGTCATCATTTCTCATTTCTCACGGTCTCGTTCTGGAACAATTGCTAGCCTTCCCCCAGTTGATATATTGGTCGGGATGGACGCGCATAAAAGCAGCATTTCGATGCAGAAAATGGGATGTTTTGTTGATACGACTGGATTTGGCATTCTGTGGTGGGTCCACGCTAAAAATGGAGTCTCTCTCCTAGTGAAATTCAATTACTTCTTCGTTTTGAAAAACGTCGTTTACTTCCCGTTTCTCGTTGTTTCTCCTGACAGAATTGTCTGCCAATCCAATACGGATGACCTTCCACCCACCTCGTTTCAAACTTCCCGCCATAATCATGTTTAGTGCTGCGCCACAGCTGTTTTCTATTCTTCACCCCGCCGGAAATGTGTACATGCTTCCTCAAAAAATAATTACTGAATTTTATTGTTTGGCACGCTCCGGAGAAGCCGAAATGAAGCTAATTCTTCATTATTGATGCCACGCGAAAAATAAGACCCCAAAGAATTACTTTTCCACGAAGAAGAACATGTGTGACCCTGACTTTAATTCGCAATCTTTCGTCCATTTCGTCGCGGTTTCATCTGCCGCCATCCGTCTGAACCATATGTTTTGTATCAAAGTGTCACCAGAGCATACATTGTACTCATTCATGATCAAAGTTTGCACAACGACTTTCTCCTAAACCGCACGTTGATTTTGATTCAATCAAAAAAAACGTTGCTCCGTAAATTCGTTGCATCAGAATTACGTTGAATGCGAGTTGAGTTCACCGCATCAAAATTCAGGACTAGTTGATGTAACATTTTATTCCAATCGGAAGTTCGTAGACAGATACTCAAATTTGAAATTTCAATATTCGCTCATATCACAGACCAGTCATCACAAACCATCCCGTCAGATATATAAAGACGAAAAGGAACTGGAGGCTAGCATATAATCCACTATTTCCAATCTTGCATACCATGGGTATTACCTCTACATTTTCATGGAACAAAAGCTAATCCCCCCTCCCCCCGTCCAGAATTAGTAATCCAACTGCCACCAAAAAGCTGCGTCGGCCATAAAAAGAGGCCGTGACTGCTGCAAGCAACTACTTCCAAGCGTGCTGCCACCCAGCCCCTGCTTTCATTCATCTTTTTCCGCGTCTCTTTCCGCCCCGTACTCCGCGTCTCTCTCCCACTCGCGCTTCCTTTCAAACTCTGGAATGTTCGCCCGGAATTCCGGCCTTTGCCTTTCCGCGAACGTGCACTCGAACACTACCTCCACGCGTGTGTCAATCGGCTAAAAAAGTGGAAGTGGCAAAAGGTGGGAAAACCGTCGAGCGCCCGCCCCTATCTTGCTGCAGTGCTCAGAGCAGCGATCTCACTCTTTGAGCCGCTGGGTGCTCTCCTTCAGAAGCCACGCCCCTTCTTCATGTGTAGTCTTTTCTCAGCTTTGGCTGTTCTGTTCTGTTTGCGTTTACTGTTACACCTTATTCAACTACCAGATTCTCCGAATAAGAGAAGAAACACATTATCTCTTATCTCACACTTCAGTTTTTGATGTATCAATCTCTTGAAGGTCTTGCTTGTTCCCCAAAAACTACTGTTTACATTTATCGGTCTTCTTTCTATTCTGCTATGCATCTTCTTTCTCATATTTGTACACAACATAAGGCATTAATTTGAAGCATTCCTATTCGCATTCGCTTGTTGGTATTGGATTCCCCGCGACTAATGAAAAACGTACACGTTGCGTTCTTTTGTCGGTAGAGCTGCGAACAACTTTCATCGAAAATATAAGGAAAAACAGCGGAAAAACAAAGCCATTGGCGGTTTTTTTGGACTTAAGCCTACAATCTTCTTGATAGAGTGTTATTTTTCTTCTCTGAGCAAATCGTTTTCGTTTAATTTGTCTAATGGACACTGCCATTTCAGATGTCCTCCTCCACATCTTCAGTGGAATCCGTGGAAGACGAAAGCTGCTCGAATGAGTGCTCCGCTTCGTTCACGTTCGACACCAACAACAACAGTCGAGGCGACAACGAAGTGAGCGTAAGTTCGCGTCCAAAGTACGTCCGAGCCCACGTTTGCATCTCATTTTGCAGGAGCTTACTGAGGAAACTCACATGAAACTGAGCATCACTCCGACGCGCGAATCATTCTCATTGAGTCAGTTGGAACGCATGCAGACAATCGGTGAGTTTGACGAGAAGACCCCCCCCCCCAGAGCATTGTAAAATCTCATAGACTGAGAAAAAAACGGGAGTTTCCAGCGGGATTTAGTATCGATTACATGGTTTAGAAAGCAAATATAGTGTGTCTGAGGGAGACAGTTTCGAACTCTGGCCTCGTTTCCCATTGAGTCGCGGTTATATAAACAACTGATTTTTTCAACACAATTCCGCGGAACTCGGGTTGAGCTTGAGTGTATTTTAAGAAAGGTGCGAGTTGAAGGGCTCAGCGGGGGAAGCGAACGCCGCGGATATTTTCAGCTCTTCCTCAACCCGTTTTAGCTATAAACATTCATGTCTTTGTGCCTGACGACTGGAGATGCTCAGGTGACCAATTCACTTGAAGTGTGAGCAAATTGTTGAGCTTGTCGTTCCGATTTTATATTATTTTCGTTCTCTTTCGTAGTATTCGAACATTTTCTGAACCGCCTGCTAATCCGATTAGTCAACCTATCAGTTGTACCGGAGGGAAATGCAATCCGACTGGCAAAGTACTCCGACTGTTCCCTCCGACCAATGTTTACCATGTTGAAATGCTACCGTATGACGTAGAGCATTGTGTTCTTCACACCCGCAAAATTAATCAAACTAGCTGAGCATTTGACGGGAATATTAGCGGTTGGGTGGGTATTGAGATCAAATGATCCTTCATAATGAAGTGTAAAAAATAGGGACACAGGGAACAAAAAACCGAGGAAGAAAAGCAAAATAAGTGAGCTAAAGATTGATATCGTTTGCTTTTGCCCCCGTGACCCTGATCCCTGACTTGAAAAACTGAAAGTCAATCCTCAGAAGAACATAAACATCTGCCGATCCTTGGATTAGTCGGGGGTAATCATGTCACCGAAAGTTACATCAGCTTTCCCAACCTATGTTCTTTCAATTCCGTTTCCGTTTCCGCCCTTTGCAATCAACTTCCCGCCCGACAAATCATATCTCTCGTTTGTGGTAAAATGAGAAAAACTCCGAAACACATGCAAAATTTCTCAACGGCGGTGCAAACTAATACGTGAACAGAGGATGATGACGACAGAATGCACTCGCAGGCAGTGTAACGTTTCAATCATCCATCCCGCGGATGAGCCTTCTCCACAATGCGAGACCGGGTGCCAAAAGGATCGGGAGAAGAACTTGTCCGTAGTTGGAAACTTTTTCACTGATCCTTCACGCCAAATACACATGCTTCGCTGGACAAACTTATGTATACATGCCAACTCAAGAATCTATACAAAAAGTAGTACACGTGAAAAATTTATGAGTGCTACCAGCGAACCCTTTTTGTCGCTCCTTTTTCTTTCTTTTTTTGGCGGCACTACGTATTCGTATAGTGGACAATTGAGAAACCCGAAACTGGGTGGACAAACTTCTTGAACCCGGAAATTGGGATTGGAAAGCAATCGAAAATGAATGAAGTGTAGTATTTCCGTAAATCTTGAAAAAGAACAATAGACATTTGGAATCTGTAGCCTACCGGCTATTCTATTCAAGTCTCACTCTCACTCACTCCAAAAAAACACTTCTGTTTCTTTTTTTCGTCTTTTGTCGCTATTCATCATTTCCCCAGAGAAATTCCTTTCGTTTTCGTAATGTGGAGTCGCGAAGCTCCATACTGCTCCGGGAAGAGCAGAAAAGTAATGTGCGACACACGCAAAAAACTTTGATGTGGCCACTTTTGATGAATGTGAGAGAATGCGCCGGATTTGAAGTGAAGAGCTTCCCGCTTTTGCAAGTTGCAAAAAAAAGGAAGTTTTTAGTTTTGGTGCTCTCCGATAATATGCAAATGACTAGATTTTCCGTGTTCTTTAAAGATGTTTAGTGGATCACCTGGTCCGGTCCGGTCCACACTTATTCATCATTTCCGTGTAATTGTGTTTCAACAAGCGCCAATATCAAGATGCCCATCCACCTCGGGAAAGAGAGAGAGAGAAAGAGAGAGCGAGATGAAAGCAGCGAGTTGTGATGGGAAAAGAGGGACTCCCCCCGTCATCCTGTGCAACATTTATCTGATCAATGAGCGGCAAAACTATCTTGACCAGTGACCATTGAGTAAATGTTTTTGGTGGGGGAACAAACCGCTGAGAACATCTTCTGAAAGTACGTGTTTTTCCAGGCAAAGGGACGTTCGGACGAGTGGAACTGGTCCGCGACAAGATCACCGGAGCTCACTATGCACTCAAAGTGCTCAACATTCGTCGTGTCGTCGATATGCGTCAGACGCAGCACGTTCATAATGAGAAACGTGTTCTGCTTCAGCTGAAGCATCCGTTCATTGTAAAAATGTGGGATTTTGAATCTATGCGAAGATTGTTACAAACATTTTATAGGTATGCCAGCGAGAAAGACAATAATCACTTGTACATGATCATGGAATTCGTTCCCGGAGGCGAAATGTTCTCATATTTGCGTGCTTCAAGGTGGAAAGGATTAGAGTGAGCTTCAAAACATGGATTTTCTATCTTACAGAGCTTTTTCGAACTCCATGGCCCGCTTCTACGCCTCAGAGATCGTCTGTGCCTTGGAGTACATCCACTCGCTCGGAATCGTAAGCATCGGAAACAATTTTCAGCTCAATCCTCATTTGTTCAGGTGTACCGTGATCTGAAGCCAGAAAATCTGATGCTCACCAAAGAAGGTCACATCAAAATGGCTGATTTTGGATTTGCCAAAGAACTGCGTGACAGGTCAGTGTTATTTTTCTTCATTTCCACCTTAGTCCCACTCCTCAGTGAATGCAAGTCATTTCCTCGTTTTCTGTTCATCTCCACTCTCTCCAATCAATCGTCAACAATTGTTGTCTGACAACAAAATGACCAGCGAGACGATGAAAAACTATTGAAATGATGTAGGCAGCAAGTGTGACGAGTGATATAAATCAATGAGCTGTGACTCGTCCCGCATCTATGTGGGTGGCTGTGGGGGATGATTGTTTTGAAGTTTGGCGCTTAGTGTTTTCAAGTAATTGTGATTGGTTCCAATGAAAGAGGGGTCGAGGTTCAAAAACCGATCAGACGGGGGCTAAAAATACGCTCGCTGGGATCTTAACGGCATTTTATTGGTTCTGGAGTCTGCTCCGATCAAAATATTCGTTAGTATCAAGTCACGTGTTACATTTCCTCTCGAGTTAGGGGACTAGGCTCTTGTTTCTCGGACCAATATTCTTTGCTCTCGGACACATGAATTCGCAACACTTGCCGAGAATTGGGAAAAGATGCAATAAAGCTTCCAGGGTCAAGTGAGCCATCAGGAAACGCAATTTTCTGAGCTCTAAACTTTTGACGTCAGAAAAGGGATCTAGATTTCACAAGATTATCGCTCCTTTTACAGAACGTACACAATCTGCGGAACTCCGGATTATCTGGCTCCGGAGTCTCTGGCCAGAACGGGCCACAACAAAGGTGTCGATTGGTGGGCGTTGGGAATTCTGATCTACGAGATGATGGTCGGAAAACCGCCATTCCGTGGAAAGACCACAGCTGAAATCTACGACGCCATTATCGAGCACAAGCTCAAGTTCCCGAGAAGCTTCAATCTTGCCGCAAAGTAATAAATCTGCGAGAATATGAATGCGAAAACTAATGGGATTGTTGATTTCAGGGATCTCGTCAAAAAATTACTGGAAGTGGATAGAACTCAACGTATTGGATGCATGAAGAATGGTACTCAGGACGTTAAAGAGCACAAATGGTTCGAGAAAGTCAACTGGGATGATACTCTTCACCTTCGCGTTGAGGTAGACAAACAGTTGTTAGAAATTGAAAAAAACTTCACAATATTCGTTCAGCCTCCCATCGTTCCAACTCTCTACCATCCCGGAGACACTGGTAATTTCGACGACTACGAAGAGGATGCGACCGGCGGACCCATTTGCACTCAGCGTGATCGTGATCTTTTCGCCGATTGGTGAAGCATTTTAATGCCAATAACTGATGAAACGTAGCATTCCTTCTTTGTTCCTATGATGTATAGCTCTCCCTGTAATTCTTCCCTCCGATTTCCTTCTCCAACTTCTGTCCCTGTCCCTGTGCATTTTGTGAATTTGAATCTTCTTCTCTCAGCCTCCATCCCAATCCCAATCTGTTTTCTTATTCTTACCATTTTGCTTCTTCTCTTTATTATAGCTTACTCCTTCTGAATCGCTTATCAGCAAAAAAAATAATAATAAATGTTCATTTGTACACAGTACATACTGAAGTGAAAAGTGTAGTTCAGTCTTCATTGTTCAGCTTCTTCTTTTTCGTCTCGTGCTGATTCCATAACTTCAACGATTACACTTCCATCTTTCTTCAGAATTTCAGCTTTCCCTTGTTCTGGATAATATACAATTGAGCCTGAAATAATGCTGCTCGAAACGGAAAGCTCAACGGAAAAGTACTGTTATTCGGCAGAGTTCTCATTGAAATCGTCGTAGATTTGACTGTCGGGGAACCTCCCATCCTTCTCAGCTCTGACATGTAGACAGACGTCTCATTTCCAGCGGACTGAACGCAAATTTGACTTGAATATATCTGAGCAAACACAGTAACTCACATTCACAGGATCACTTTCTTCATCGTCGCTGAATGACATGGATGTCATTCGGTTCTTGTACCGCACCGCCATTGTTCGGTATTTCATGCAGCAAGTCATTTCACTACACCTCACATATCTGAAATTTAAGGATGTTCATTTGTCTACTGATTGTGAGCATCTGGTTACCCAGCCGGACAGTGACAAACATTATCGAAAACACACGGGACCATGAGTGGTGGAGCGCTCACACATTCGTCAGAGCATTCCGGCATGCAAACTGGAATAATTTCGGATGAAAATAGTTTGGGGCGTCTAAACAAATGCACCTGCTTTACAGACTTTCGGTTTCGAGTTTTTGTCTGCCATCAAATAGGCATCCAGACATTGCGGTGTGCAGTACGGCATGCACTCATCCCTACATTCGATCGCTTTCTTCGGTGAGAATCGGATGTTCTGAAACAGAAAACGTTTGTATGAACCCTTGGAAAGAGAAACCCGTACATTTCCTGCTTCATTCACTGGCTGTCCCATAACGTCTATTGCTGTTAACGAGTTCATAAATGAAGCTACAATTTGATTATATCTCTGAAAAAACACATTTTGATTCGGTTCTAACTCGAACTATTGAAGAACCTGAAGACACCGAGTGTTGCACTGTGGCATGCACGCATTTGCGCACGTTTTAATAGTTGGAGGAAGCGTCGTGGTCCGTACTGTCGGATTACGGTTCACATACGGAAACCTTCCCCCGCGAGAAACAGACCCTGTCTGCTGATGTCTTCCATTCCCGAAAGCGGCCGGATTTGGAAAAACACGGTGCGAAATCGGATTTTTTCTGGCCATCTGCCTTGCCGTAGGACAACTAAAACTCATCAGATTTTTCAGAAAGGAAATGGATACTGACCATCTGAAAGCACACCACCCTTCGGGACCGCAACCCATCAGATCACTAAAGTATTCACCGATAGCTCTCATCCGACTGTCTGCGTAGTGGCCGTAATCGTTAAGAAAGTTAGTTTCATTTTGCTGAAAGCACAGGAACCAAATGATATCTGAATCTACTCAGGAACTTACTCCATGGACATAAAACATGAATGTTTGGAAAATAAGAAAAAAGATTATCATCTGGTCGTTTAGAAACACAAAATAAAGAAATGATATCTGCGGGGTGTGCAGGTGTCATTTTGGACATGCTGTCACTATCGGGTTCCTTCGATAAACAGTCGCATCGTGAGCTAACAAGACCCGCGCTCATCAATTTCGATGGAGTCACCCCCTCCCATCCATCAAATATTCATACTTTTCAGAGCATGATCCACACAAACTCAGTTCGTATTCACTTCATGTCAGCAGTGAGCAAAGTCATGAAAGCGTGAACTTCAAACTTCAATAGTGCATATTTCTCAGTGGGATGACTATGTCCGAGTTTGTCGAGACTGACTCAGAACTAAAAGGATATTCTCATTAAAAATAATTTAGTTCCGTGCCAAAATTCGAAAATTCAAAGTTTATGAGCATTTTCAGTCAGTTCTTTTTCGGAATTTGGAGCGAACAAGTTTTTGCAGAATTAAAATTTCGAGCACAAAGTTCTTCTTTTGAAAATATTCGGATCGCAATTAGTTATGCAAAACAAGTGCAAAGTCTCGAGGGAACCCGGGCCGAGTCTCTATTTGTCAATCACTTTTTTCTTTTTTCATATTCTCTCGTTCTGGCAGATTCAATTCTTTTCCGAATTTTCAAATTTTCAAATTCCAATGCACTCTCTGTTCTATTTTCTCACACTTTCCCGAAAATTTTTGCGAAACTGCAGCGGAATGACGCTTTCATTGAAGGTAAACTGAAAGTGAGACAACATTGCGCTTCGGGCTATCCTCGTGCGCTTTCATTAACCTTCCAGCTGGAAAATTTATCGCATTTTGCTTTTATTAGCTCAATAGCTTGCATAGTTTTAATGTTCTCAGCGTCTCATAAATTTGTTTGAGAATTTTCATCGTCCACGTTTTTTTCAGATAAATAATTGATGAGTAAGTTGCGACACCGACATCATTTATAGATTTTTAGACCTTCATCCGAGTTGTATACTTTTTGCAGTTTCAAAAACCAGATTTATCATTCAAATTTATCGATATGACATTATTTCGCAATTATTCATGCACTCTTGCAAAGTTCAAAATTTTGAAAATAAACAAGGCATAGGTCATGATTAGTGCTCAAAGTGCATTTGCATTGAGAGCCACTCGGTCCATCCTGTCATTCGGTTCATTTGCACAGTTTGCTCGCCCTCACAAAAGAGTGCCGGGGCAAAGCAGTTGCTGTAAAGTTACACATTTCTCCAGTGGAGGGCCTGCACGGCTCGTTTGTCCGGCCCCTGCCGTCCGTGGGCCACCAGACGCCTCGATTGTAATACCTTTACTATACTCTCACTTCTGATCGGATTATTCCGAACGCGTCAGTTGCTCCTTTCCTTCCTTCACTTGCTCGCTGAGATCGAATTATTAGTACTGGCTTTATGACTTCTTCGAAACAGTCATAAAACAAATTCAAAGGCAACGGCATAATCCGCTGGTTTGTTCATTTCCTTTTCCTATGATTCGAAAAATTTCCAATTTCAATTCAAAATTCAAATATTTTGTCGGACCCTGATCATTTTGATGATAGTTTCTGGAATGGCGGGCATCCAAACGAGTCAGTTTATAATCCCTAGGCAAAGATTTTAAGCCCTCCACCAACAACGACCATATGCTCCGCTTTAGGCAAACTATTCTCATTGTCATCTGAATTATACCCGAGTTTTCCAAAATTCTTTTCTTCTCTCCACCTTTCCAAAAAGCGCAATGTTCAATAATTGATGTGGGCTGGAGTCAGAAGTCTTCTATTGTGTTTCGCCTGACCCTTGCCGTTTCGAGCCGTCCTGGCAGGAAGCAGCAAATTATCGTGGGGGCCCAAATTATTGTACAATCTGACAATAGAAAGGTGAGCATAAGCTGCGAAAAGAGCGAAGTTGGCAGGAGAAGAGGAGGAGGCTGCCTGCAGCAGAATCACGTCTATATAAACATTTCCGTCCGATCGAGGACCCCCGTCGATTCGTCATCATTTTCCTAACTTCAAAAGTGTCAGCTTCTAACATTCCTTTCTTACCGCTTACGTTTTTTCAACACTGTTTTTTTGCGTTCAATAGTAAAAGCGAACATTCTCCAATAGACTGCTTGGATGCCCTGTCATTTGGCAACCATATGTCCGTCATACGCATCTCTGTCGTCTTAGAAATTCATTGAATTGAATAGTGGAATTTGTTGAGAAGGGGGTCCATCCGACCCCTCCCTGCGCACGTCGTTTTCCGACGACAATGATTCGTCGTCACTCTGCGACAAAAGAAAGACACGTCCGTTCCCACGTCCTTTTGAATGAACTCCCACGGACTGACTCAATCCATTGAAACGTACACCTGGAAGTGAAATGGAAACGCAATGCATCCTCGCAATATTGTCGTGTATATTGTCATGTGAATGAGTCCATATATGAATTCATGCTATGCGCTCTGGCGAGAAAAACCTATGTCCAGCATGCTCATAATCTGTATGTTTAAACCATCGGGAACTCACGGCGCGCATAAACACGACTGTGCATGAGCCCCGGAGCAAGGAGGCAAGTCCCCCGGAGCCGGAGAGAAAGAAAGAGAGAGCAAGTTCGAGCGGGTGACCTGTTGAAGAATGGTGTTTACGTTGTCAGCAGCTGCTCGACAGTTGCCTCCCCCGTTGCTTTCCGCTTGCAATCCTCGGGTGGCAAGAGAGAAGACGAAGAGCACTGGAATTCAGACTCGGGATTCCTGGACGCTTTACAACGGGCCGGCGGCGAGAGATGGATGCCGCCGGCCTCATTCATCCTAACTATGTGTATTGTTAGTCAGTAGGCTTTTCACTTCTTGTCGAGGAGCGGCCAACCGCCGTGTGCATCACAGCAAAATGTCACACCCTAACAATTAATTTATTTGAGTATTTCTTGAATTTTCTAGAATTATGACTCCCGAAGAATTTGATGAACGCTCGCTCAAAAAGTCACCGTCAGCGTGGACATTGTGCTGACTATCCAATCTCCTCATATTTTCCATCCATATTTCGCGCTCTTTGTCGCTCCCTTCCTCTCTTTTGTTCAATTAGCTGCTCTTTGTGCCAAATAAACGCAATCAACAGCCCTATTCGTTGCGACCGCATCTCGATTTCCCCGACAGTTCTCATTTTGCGACCACATCATCAAATATCATCCGCTTTTTGTTGCCCACTCTCCGAGACCGAAGAAGACGGTGTCTTATTTTGACTCAGAATGCACGAAAGAAGCAGTAAATCAAATTGCTTAGGAAGGTCTTACTGATTGAGAAACGGAGAAAGAGAGAGAGAGAGAGTGAAGTACATACGGAAAAGAAGCGGTGAAATGAGATAAAGACTTTTGTTGAGAAGATGTTGCGAATTGAAACGAGAGTTGTATTTTGTTGTGCTCCGATTGAGTGAAAAACAATCTAGCCACATTCCTTCCCCCGAAACACGCCGAAAGCTTTTTCTCGAGTACGGTAGGTTCATCAGAACACTCGTTCCTCATCTCACATGTATGTCGTCCACTACCAGCTTCTAATCTATGCATTAGGCCTTACTGTTTCGTCCCAATGATAATCTCTTCGGTCCTATGAATGGTTTATGCCACGCCACCACCCTGCGCAGGCATCTGCTCGCCAGACACGACCGTCTTGCGAATGCACAAAGTGTGTCCCACCGCGACCTCAATAAATCCACGGAAACACACTTGACAGCGACTGTTTATAGCACTTGGAAACTATCCAAGAGATACGTCTTTCTGTCCCTCTCCCCGTGTTCTTCCCAATTTTCTTTCTTTCTCCCACTTTCACCCTGTTGCGACGGAAGACGTAGAAGAAGAAGAGACCGCCGAAAACACGCGTAATCATAATTGACTTTGCGCTTTTTATTTATTTCTGTTTGCGACCGCATCAGCAGGTTTGGCATCTGCCGTTATCAGACAGGCCCCACATCATCAGTGTGTCCTTACAGCAGAGAATAGGGAAAAACTTTGAAGGCGCCGTTTTTTGCGCGGCGGAGGGGCTGTAGAAGACTGTCTCCTCCCGAAAGTCTCATGTTTCGTCCGTTCGCGCGGCTCGCTCGCACTTTTTCGTTGGCTCTTTGCCTATTTGTTTTCGGCGATGAACCAACCTCCTTTAAGACCAGTTTTCTTTTCACTCAAAATATATTTTTGCTACCTCCCACCATTGCCTTCCATCCGGCAAGAGAGAACTCAGCTGACCGACTGCTGCAGCAGCAGCAGCAGCAGCAGCTTTCTTGTTCTAGTTCCACTCATCTCGAATATTTCCTGTATTGACCCGTACTCACATTTCGAGTGACTGAGAGACTAACGGACTAAGAGACTAACACCAGACAGGTCTATTATGAAAGGAAGAAGCTGATTTCAGTCATAATACATAGACTACTAGTGTGTAATTGAAGCGGCATGTCATTTCCTGTATGTTTAGTTACATCGAGCCACCTTCCATTATGATCTCTCTTATTGGTTGACGAACCGTTTTCTGCCTTCATTCCTCCCAAGTCATGTGTCTATTAGGTCTCGCGGACATAAATAATGGAGAAAAGTGAAATGGCCGTTAGCAGTCTCTGTACTATCCGACCGATTCAAACCAACCCCTGAACGTCTCGGAACTAACACTTTTATCTTACTGTTCCCGGCCATTGTCATTATTTCCTAGAGCACTTCAGTAGGGGACTTGAGAAAACGTTTTTGAGCCCAACTTCATGGAAACCGGCGAATAAAAGTGTTGTGAACCGCTAGAATCAGAGTGCTCTTTCGCGTCGTTCAACAATTGCTTTCCAAGTCCTCCTCATTCTCCTATTGTTTAATCAGGCGGTGAGGGGTTGGGCGGCGGTGCCCCATACTCGAAACGCACAGATTTGAGCAATTGTATTTCTAGAAACAAGACTCGGTCGGCGCATCGGTTTGTTTTCATTTTTTGTGCCCGCCCTTCATTTTCTCTTCGCAATGCCTTGGCTCGGATTGTCCAAACATGCGAACGTCTTAGACCTAGCACATTGAGTGGACGGTATCCTTTTGTTTTTGGAAGCAGCGCAACACAAATGTTTCTATTTTCGGGATGGGTCGTCCAGTCCATTTTTTCAAGTTACATCCCACTTTAGCATCACGGATACGGTAAACAATCAGCAAACATGCCGCAGTTGAACAGAAAGGTCTGCCGGAAAATAAGAGACCGAGCCGAGCCAGCGCTCTCTCGCTAGCCGTACGCGTGTGTCATCGTCGTACAGTGTTTTCATCCAATCATCTTGAATTAGTTGTATTTATTCGCCTGTCGGGGCCTTGTTTTGGCCGTGTCGTTGCCTCCGCTGCCTCGTCATTGCATTCTCTTCTAGTTGCGATCAGAGATGGGCCGCTTCTCCGTCCGAGCAACTGCTCCCCGTCGCATCCTTTGATTGAGTCCTCTCCCCGCCACATCCACCCACTCGTTGTCAGTTTAGCACTTTCTCTCTCTCTTTCATTTTGTTTTGTTGCTGCTTCTGCCTGACGCCTGCCGTGCTTTCTGATTTTCCGTTCATATCATGTGACACTCTCATCATCAATCGATAATTGAATTCTGGATAAACACCTACTCCAGGCGCATGAATCGATATTTCATGTTTGCGAATCGGCTCAGATTTCGAAATATTCATGGCAAAATTGACCGGGCAGGAGGCGTACCGCGCCAATTTTTGCGCGGGTAAGACAGGCGGGCTGGCGGCTTCTGTTTGGAGAGCAAAACTTTGACAGGAGTCCACGAGCAGAGACCGAAGACAGCCGAAACATTTCGCGCGCACACCGCAACCGTCTCCTCCGATCGGCTCTTTCTTATCCCTCCGGCGTTATCTTATCTTTTGCGTTTCGTGAACTAACTATGCGGTCGCAAGGTTTCTGATCTTCTATCAACAATGATTGAGTGGCTGCTGATAGGGTGTAAGGTCCACATGAAGATCACACTTGCCACGGCTCTCATCTCTCGTTTCTCACTCACTCAATTATCATCCTCCTGACTAGCTTGTATTTCGAAAGAAATAACTCAACTAAAACTCGTATTTACAGACCAATTACTCAAACTCCTGTCCACCTCGGATTCGACTCGTTCAAACGGTCTACTTTAGTTTTAAAGTGAGCTTCATTTCAGTCACTGAAACCGTAACTCGGGTCAGTTTTAGAAGTGAATTATGCTTCCAGCAATGTACGGTCAGGTCCAAGATCCATTGGTTCACGCAGCCGCTGCCGCTCTTGCACAGTCAACAAACGCCGATCCAGTCATCGGTTCGTTTTTTTTTCATCCAGCTCCTTGCCACCGCTCTTTGTCTTGGTCACATGACGGCAGGAAACGAAGCGAAAAAAAAGAGGAAGCTGCCGTTATGTGTAACCTCGGCAGACATATGGTTCCACTTATGAAAACTGGAATTATTTCCAGGTTCGCGTGACACCATGTTCACCAAAATCTTCGTGGGTGGTCTGCCGTATCACACCAGTGATAAAACGCTGCACGAGTACTTTGAACAATTCGGCGACATTGAAGAGGCCGTCGTGATCACTGACCGTAACACCCAAAAAAGTCGCGGATACGGATTTGTGAGTAGTTCTTATTGGAATTTGAACAATTCGCAACAAGGTTGCTTGTCGGAGATCGATTGAAACGCTTTCTCGTCATCAATCACTGTCCTGATACGATGAACCGTTTTTTGCGCTCTTCCGACAAGAAATCACATTTGATAGGAAAACACGAGTTTTGTTCTAAACGGAATGAAAATAGAAATCTCGCGGTCCACTTTGCATCTTTCTGTCTCTCAAAGACTCGCACGCGTATCGTATTAGCAAACATTTGTATATCCTTATATCCATCGAATAATTATGTAACCGTATGAAGCAAACGAATTAGAATAGGATCATGATGAAACGGATTAATCACAGAAGAATGCTTTCAGGTTACAATGAAGGACCGTCCGTCGGCTGAAAGAGCATGCAAGGATCCGAACCCGATAATCGACGGTAGAAAAGCCAATGTGAACCTGGCCTACCTCGGAGCCAAGCCACGGACAAATGTTCAACTTGCCGGTACGTTTCTTTCAGAACATTATCTTGCTCTTCTCTTCCCCCAAGTGTGTTTTGGCTTCTGCTAAACATTACCATCCTCCACAACCTTCATAACCAGGAAACTGTTTGTGTCGCGCATCTATTTCAGTTTTTGTCTGTGTTAACCAAATCACCAAGTTGGTCTTTTTAGCGCTGGCCGCTGGACAAGTACAACTGCCACTCACCACCCAACTTCAAGCGTTGTTTCCACCAAGAATCGGGTAAGTTTGGGTGATGCCTGTGTGTGATACCTACTTCCTATCTCATCCAAAAACTGCGTTGTGTTGATCAGTCGGGATTAAAAACTTGAAAATCGTGTCCTAGCTCCGAGTCGTCATCTAGGTTTCCCAAATAAAAACACTCATGTTTCTGTTCACACCTTTAATGAATGACAACAATTTTAAGACAAGTGGCTGGTTGAATCGAGTCCGCGGATGCCTAAAACCAAAGGTTAGGCGTGCTTTGACGTGTGCCAATCATTACTCTCTCCAACCAAAAGCAGAATACAATAGTGCTGTGTTTTGAAGTGTCCATACTCTCTTTCTCTTTATTTCACCTATTTCCCAACCTATGATTTCAATATTTCTCCTCCCCTTGGTGAGATCTGCATAGTCCTGAATGAGCACCCCAGTTTTTTCATTGGTGGGATTTGATTTCTTTCTATTCTTAGGTCTATGGTATGGCTGCCTAACTAAAAGATCACGCATTCTAAAACTTCGCTATAGTTTGGTTCTATATAATGTGTCACAAAATACCCAAAAAAAAAGCAAAACGCAAAACCAAAGCTGATTTTTCTTTCCTTCTATCCCCATTTGTTAAAAGTCATTTTTGCACTAACTCCGAGCAAAGCAACAGTACTCCCAGCTTTTTCAAATGTCAAGTGGAAAGAAGCGAAGGAGCCATTTTTATTTGATTATTCATCACGCATGTGCGTGCTTTTGGGTGATATTGTGATCAACACTGTTGCCTTATTTCAAGCATTTGGCATCCTACCCAACTCTGGCAGATGTGTGAACGCGTTCATAATCGTGCCATTTTCAGACTACCTCAAATGTACTACCCGGCCGTCACAGGTCTGGTTAATCCGTTGATGGCTGGACATGGAGCCGCTGCACAGCAACAACTCATTGATTACCAGGCCCTCGCCGCCGTGATGGGACAGAACCAGAATGCTGCCGCTGCCTACGGTCTGGCACCACAAGGAAAATGTACTCAGATCCGAATCCTGAAACATTGGTTCTAATTCTCTTTATTTTTAGACGCATCGGCTGGCCAACCCACAATTGAACAATATGCAACCTACCCGGCCGGATACGGACTCGTCCCTCAAACCGCTTACAACCTCGGAAGCTCGCAACTGCAGCTGGCTGCCGCACAACAACAACTCGAGCATCAACGTGTTTAGAATCCAGATTAGAAGATCCAGATTTTGCTAACAGTTTTTTGAAAGTTTGTCACCACAGCAATATTTTGCCAACTAATTTTGCCAATAAGAGAACATCGGTGAATGTTGAAGATATCTTGATCGTTTCGTTTTAGTCTTTGAGAACTTGTTCCCTTTCACCTCATGCGCTAATTATCAGATCCTTCTACAAATCAGAATGTTCCCAATAGACTTTTGAACCTAAAAATCTTCGTGCCAGTCTAGTGAAATACGTACATCTATCACTTGATTCTATTCAACTTCATCTAATCTTCATTGTGGGTTTCTACGTTTTGCTGTAATTGTTTACGAAACGCCAGATTTGCCTCTCTGGGTGCCATTTGCACCGTTTCTCATTTATAATTCTTCTAATGACATACTTCACATGGTGAATACAGTTTTTTATAGTGTTTATCAATCTTGCATTTAATGTTCCAATAAAGATTCTGAAATTCTTGTCTTACAAATTTTATTCGCTCAAACATTTCTATTTTTAGGAGAAAATAGGAGAAAAGTAGGGAGTAACAGGAACTTCATTGCATTTTATTTATTGAGTTCTTTCCTTTCACAACACAATGTGAACTTCTGTCGTTCTGAAATATACACTTTTAAAGAAACAGTTCTCGAGGCGGAGAATGCTCACCGAGAATTCGCCGTTCAGGTTTCTTTGACATTAACGAACAGGAACGCTCTTGTTCTTCTTTCGGCAGTTGCTGTTGATTTTGTTTGTCCGTCCGAGTAGGACTCCAGTCTTGTTCTGAAAAATGAATTGTCTGTATTTTGCTAGCAATAAGAAATGCTCACTCTTTGTGTTTTCCTTGTAGCTACCACACAACCCACTTATTTGTCCGTCGTCAATCTCGTCGGTCATTCCGCATCTCTTCCTTCCTCTGACGTTATTGCTATGCAAGAAGTCAGCTCTCTCTCTCTCACTTCCTTCTTCTGACTTTATTGCTAATTTCAGCTACCGTTAACCGTTTAGAAATCAACTATTAACTGGCGACAAGTTGGTTATTCTCAGTGAAGTCTTGTCGGACGGAAACACTTTGACTTCGGTGACTGAAGACGGGGTGGTAGAGGCCTTAAAGAAGGCCTTCTTGAGATAGGCCAATCGGTCGTTGAACATGATCATCACAAATCTGAAGAGGCTGGATTCAAGGAAAAATGTGGAATAGTGCGTACCCGTCGAGCACATGAACGAATTCCCAGATGAACGTGCCACAAAAGAACGTCCAAATGCGTGCTTCGCTCAGCAAACTGAAATTAATCCATGATTCATTGAACACCAGTATCTATTCTATGAGAACCTGAGTCTGAATGTGAACAGCATGTCTGCCAGGATGATTGCGTCTTGGAGCACTGTTTGCAGGAACAACGACTTGTTCTTCCGTACTATCTTTTTTATTTCGTTTTCATCTCCTCCAGTCGACTTGTAGAACAAGTAGATTTTAGTGAATGTTGCCACATTCACGATGATCATTGCGCCGAGGAACAGGGCGGTCCGATTCACTGCGCCTTCCACGTTTTCATTGCATTGCGGGTCCATGTACGGGATCCACGCGAGCGCGGACGATGAGTAAATTAGAAAGCAGTTCAATCCTGAAACATACTGTTTTCCGAGTTTTGCTCTATGAGACTAACGTATGACATATGAAATGAGTTCATAAGCGACGTTCACTATTTGATATCCAAATAGAACAACGGTGAAGAGCTAAACTTTCAAGTTAGGTCCATAACCGAGTCATTACTATTACCAGAGTCAATCTGAAGCTGAAAATGATTTTGTAGTACACCGGAAAGTTCATGGCGCACGCGCGGTTTATAGCAATCAGAAACCCGCTGTACTGGAGTGCAGTGTAGAAGGCGTTGCACGTTCCGATCACCACTGTTTCGTATGCGTAAGAGAAAGGAGAGGCTCCTCTGAAACGACAAACTCTCTTCTGTTGTGGTGGTAGTTATCTTACAGGAAGGTTATCGGTACGAACGTTCCGAAAAAGGCCCAGATCAGAATGATGGTGCTGGAGGCACCTCGGAAAGCACACATCAGATCGAACGAGGATCTCTCGAGGGGCGAACGAGCGAAGATGTAAACGATCAGAGAGTTTAAGAGGATCCCGACCAGACCAGTCTATTATTTGTGATATATCAATCGACCTAGAAATCTATAAATCCTTACGACAATCATGATCACTGTTGCACAGATGTTGAGGGGATCGTCTAAATGGAAAGTTGAGTTGGACATTGGCGGGTGAGCAGTGTATGAACTGAGAGATCTGGCAAAGTGGGCTGGATAAAAACTTTTCCACTATAATCATTGGGTTCTGCATGTTTTTCTGCCATTTTTCAGAGTTGGAAAACATTGGAAATACCATTGGGCACGAAACATTATGTTGGTATATTGGTCAACGGTTCCCGTAATCTTGAGCTGCCCTCCTATGAATGATGGATTTGAAGAAGAAGTAGAGAAGAAGTTTCTCTTGAAAAAAGTGAGCCGCTCGTTGAACATAATCATGATTAAACTAGAGACTAAATATACGATAGAAAATGCAAAATGTCTTCCTACCCATCAAATGCCAAAATTTTTTGAACGAACTTTTATAGAGTTTTGAATCAATCACAACTCTTCGTCTTGAATACAAATTCAACTTCGGTTTTTTGGCCAAACAACAATATGGTCACCCTGGAATGTATCTAGCAAAACTCAAATTGGGAGCAATCTCAGAGAGACTTGGTGGCCACATGAAAGAGCCTTCGAGTCATGTAGAATTATACGAACAGAAGCTTTTTCAAACCGGACAAGGCGTTTTGTACGTGAATTCCGTGCACACTATCCAATGCCATTTGAGCGGCAATCCAATAACTAAGAAGCCTTCTGTCGAACGGACCCGGAAGCTAGAGCGCATCATTTTCACAGAAAATCAAAAGACGTTCATTTCCCATCAAGATAAGAAAAAGTAGATAAATTAAGTCAACAAACAGAAAACAATCAGGCTCGGCAACAGTTAGATCCGCATTGGTTGTATCCTTGAGGGCAGGCGCATGAGTTCGGACCGCACTTTGAAATGGTATTGTTTCCTTGAGTGATAGTGATTTTGATGAGACATTTGCAGGGAACCACATCAGTTGGAGCGGTAGTTGTGATTTCCGGAGATGGTGTCGGAACGGTTTCTGGTGGAGGAGTCGGGAGGTCATCTCGCTGTGGACTGGGAGAAGAAGATACACAAGTCGGAGCACATGTTGGCATACACGTAGGCGTGCAACTCGGAACCACTGGATAGTACGCAAGTCCGGCACTATACGGCTGATAAAAGGAAGCTGCATCAGGAGGAGTCTGGACCACTGGAGTTGCTTGTACAGCTTTCACAACTGGCTGGTATGCTGGATATGGTGACTGGGCGACAAGACACGAAGGAAGACAAGATGGCATGCATTGCTGAGCACACTGGAGTTGGGCAATCGGAGCAGCAGCCACCGCAATTGCCGGAGTTCGGAGATACACAGGTATTTGCTGCGAATCAATCTTTTTCGTTAATCCCAGATCATTTCACTTACCGCAAATGCAACAGGAAGACAGACTAACAGTAAACGGTAGAGCATTATCAGACGCGTGAAATGACACTTCACACTTTTCGCGCGAATCGCTTTTATATGAACTTCTCGAGTGGTTTCCGGTTTTGATAAGCGTTGATACCGATACGATTCCGAAAAGGATCATCTGCTCGCAGCTACCGGTCCGGTTATTTGTCCTTTGTTCGCCGCTGCTAGCGTCATTCAAGGGGTTAACCGCCGTCTGATTGAGAGTGTTGTTGCCTCTGAGGATCTCAAAACAATGAATGGGAGACGGTTTCGAACGGAACGTTCTGTTAGCTTTCGTCCTTGTTTTTGTTTTTGCGGAATGAAGATTAGCTAGTCCAGGTGGCATCCTACCCGCAGACTCGTATGGCGTGAAAAGCAATAAGTTTTCATCAGATTCAATAGGATTATCGTCTAAAACTTTTGCAAACTTTCCAACTTTTCAGCTATGTCTAGAATCTAGATGCGCTTAATAAAAAGACTTTACGAGTTTGTCGCACTTTTAAGTTTCTTCACCGACAGAAAACATTACAGCGCAACTTGGCAGGCTGGATAAATTCAACGTTTGAAATGGGATGGGTGACATTAAGATGACCTTCTGAAATGTGTCGGGGCGGCAAGGGAGATGGAAAGAGAGAGGAAGAGGAAGGACATTGAACAGTGGGACGCTGAATTGGGAAATTCGAGATTGAATTTGATAGCAGTCATTTCTCTTTCAAATAGACGTGACGACTACTTGCCATTCTATTTATGGGGGCTACTCTACCGTACCCCGGTCAGTTTTTGACCTCCGATCAACAGTACACTGTTTCTACCTTGGTGGTGAGGTACCTAATGAGAGAAACGAAGATATAAGATTCAGTTCATTCACGCAATCTCATCATCTAATATTCCATCCGCAATAACAAGCAAGCATTCAACGTCGTTTTTATAAATGTGGTTTTTTTTCAGTAGCTGTTGCGTGAGATCGAGAGACGGCGTCAGAGACTGCGTATGCCGCCCTTCGCATGAAGCGTCATTGGCATCAAGTTTAGTTGCTGAACGGTTGGCCTGCTTTCGAAGCCGTGTTCTCCCCCTGGTCACTGATATAAGGCCTTTCACTTTATCAGTTTCCAATGGTCAGATCAGAGTGTCTCTGTTACCTTCTGAAATACTCTTCTGAGATCACTTTCCTAACTTTCAGTTTCTAGTCCTGACAAGTTTTACTCCTCCTCCTCGTCATCTCCCCATGATATCGACACCTCCTCCCATCAGTGAACCGCGTAATGATAAGTTGGTAACGATCAAGTTCTTCCAGTAGTTCTTTCTCCGTCCAGCTTCTCCTCTCTTCTCACTTTTCCATTCCGCATTCATTCCCATATTGACTGTTGAAAGTGTAACCCTTTTCCTTTTTCTTTTTCCTGGAAGCTACTGTTTGCTGACCTTAGCCGCTGAAAAACCGGTAAGCGTCTAACGTGGAGTATAAAAGAAACGGTGCGTAGCAATCATTGATGTGTTTTGGTTTGCCGAGAGTACTGATAAGTTTTCTGATCTTCTAAGCCTAAAGTGTAATAACTTTTTGGCTTCAGTCTTAGTGTAAATGACCACTAATGACTGAAATGGAGGTATCAAGATTTGTGGCTTGAAAGCTAATGAGGAAGTAGGAGGTGGTGACAAAAAAACGTCTTGTAGAGTGTTCGTGATAACGTTTACCGTCAGTCAGTCACATCGCAGCTTCATCCTCTTTTCTTATTGTAAATGTTTTGTGTTTTACAATAACGGAAAGCTGTCTGGAAAGTATATTAATGCGAACAGCACCCTGTTCGTTTTCAGTTTGATCCAAACTGTAAACCCGCCCAATTTCATGGAAATTCGAATTGCAAAAGAAGAAGCATCAGCCTATTGACCTTCTCTTTCATGTTTCGATGTTCTCTCTTTTTCTCTCTCCCTTATGAATATGACCGATTTATATCCTTCTTCTGGTGCCTAAACAGTTTTTCTGTCTGCCATTCGATGAAACGGTCTTTCTTCATCTTTGCCGTGATACGTTTTGTTTCGGTTTCTGTAGTAGGCAACCAGACTTGTTAATCTATTCATTACAGGCCACCAAAAAAGTTCAAGAACTTCCTATTCCTTTTTTCTGACATGAAGTTGGTCTAGACACTGGAAACACTTATATCCGAAGATGACTTTTGCAATTATTTTCTGCTGCTTCGTTGTGGTAAGTGACCTGCAACAAACTAGATACTAATCAAATCTACGTGTGATTCAGGCGACTTCCGCAATTCATCACTTGATGACACCACTCGAATTGAAGCATTTTTTCGGCACAGAAAACAAAGAAAAAAGTAAGAATGGGCGAAGAATCTGTGAGAACCACTTCAGGCTTTCCCTTGTCTGCCATTTTGGCCTGACCTTGTCCATTAGCTTCGCAGCATTAAGAAGCAGGGTCTGAAGGTACTGTAGTGAATGATTGCAGTTCCGGAATACTTCTTGGATTCGCTCGAAAAAAGACGATCAGATGTTGATGACGGCTTCGAAGTGGATATCCTTATCGACGGAGTCATGGAGACGTTCGTGTTACGCAATAAACCGCATCTGTTCTCCGAAGGTTTGCAGTCCGCGCGAAGCCCCGTATCTTTTGTTATGCGTGTTAGGCCAGCTTGATAAAGAGATTAGAACGGTTTGCGATGATAGCTGACAACATGTTTGCGAAATAATAACATTCGCTTGCCTTACAATAATCTTAAAGGTCAAACGCAATTCGCTTTCATCTCTCTTTTCAGCGTCCCATTTGCTACACGGAACTTTTTTCAGGGTTTCACATGATGGATCAAGACATGGAACTAATGACGCATCCACTTAAGGATTGTGTTTACGAAGGAGAAAGTGCCGTTCGGGATGGCACACGTATTGGTCTAGTTGGATGCGGACACAATTTGGTAAACTTTCCCAACTTTGTTTTGATCGTGATCTTGCCCCAAGAATGGCACTATCAAATCAACTTTCGCTTTTGTTTCCGTACTTCTACGAGGAAGTTTCAACGGGTAGTGGTAGTCTGAACGAGGAAATAACAGTCGTTGATTGATTTGTGATTATAGTAATTTTTGTGAAAAGGTTCTCTCGAATCTGACTCAATTACAATGCAATCAAACCTCATCTTTTCTTTTTAGAGTTCATGATTTTTGATCTTTGCCTGATGCCGTGCCGACAAAGATTCACATTAAGTTTCAAAAACCGACAATTTGCAGAATGGTATGGTCATCACTGATAATGGGGATTATCATTTGATCCAATCCCATCAACAATCTGGTCAACATGTTATCCATAAGAGAAGTCTTGAATCCATCGATCACGAATGTCAATTTGGTAGGCAGAAAAGGCGAACGATGGTGGAACGGACAACTTTATTGCAGACGCAAGCGAGGATCCGTATCCAGAAGACAGAGAAGAAATTGCCATGAGAAGCATGCTCATGAAGTTAGTGAAAGATATTCGGAGGGTTGAGCATCGGAAAGATGAACTCGTGGTTGAATTGGCTGTGTTTGCGGACGATGCAATGTGGGATCACTTTCAGAAAATTTATGGAAAAGCAGCAGAAGAAAACATGCACACATTTATTATGGCGGTAGTGAACAATGTAAGCAATCACCGAAGAATATGTAAAAATTTACGCTTAAGATTGATGTGCTGTATACGCAAAGGCTTCTGCAGCCTAGAATTACCATCAAAATTGTCAGATATGAAATTCTAAAGAATATTCCAGTAAGTGAAGCTTCAGGTTTGAAGTGTACAGACGAAATTTCCAGCAAATTATGAATGCCAGAAAACACTCAAACGGTGACGTTGACCGATTGCTCGACGCATTTTGTCAGTACCAAAATGAGATAAACCCTCCGAATGACGCTGATCCTCGACATTGGGACCATGCACTTCTGTTCTCTGGGTACGTGAAATCAAGTTCTTCGGAGAAATAAATGTTGTTTGTTTTCAGTTACGATCTGCATAGAAATGGTGTCAAAACAGTGGCTGGATACGCTCCTGTAAAGGGAATGTGCAGTGGAGTCCGATCATGCACCATCAATGAAGGACTCGACTTTGGGAGTGTCTTTGTAGTCACTCATGAAATGGGGCATAGGTATGGCAGTTTAGAATAAATCAGCACTTTTGATTGGATTTAAGTCTTGGAATGTATCACGATGGAGACAATGAATGTGACTTGAGATGTTGCATTATGAGCCCTTCAGTTGGTAGTGGAAAAACCCATTGGAGTCATTGTTCTGTAAATGAAATGGCTACTTTTGTTGGAGTAAGTCTTTATTCAGTCAGTTTCCTTCTAGTTCACATACTTTTTAGCACCTCGGCGACGACTTCCGGCCTCCAAACTGTCTCCAAGACGTCCCAGTATCCGAACAAAAGATGGTGGCATTCAAAGAATCCGAGCCACCCGGACAGCTGTTCACTTTGGACGAACAATGTGAAATCTTTCATGGGGAATGTTGGAAGCACGAATTGAAAGACGGGCAAACGATGCAGGTAAAACCCTATTATTTTTTCACCAAGTACACCATAAAGATTATTATCAGAATGTATGCCAAATGGTGTGGTGCGGCAACGGCGAAGGTGTCATTAGAACGGCGCATCCGGCTTTGGAAGGCACGTATTGTGGATTCGGAATGGTGAATGAAATTTTGAGAAAAAAAAACGTCGCACATCTGCTGCTACTCCTATTTTTGTTTCGACCAATGCTTATCTTCAGATGTGTCGTCAAGGACAATGCGTCGGATCAAATCACTTGATGAGGGTGACTGTCGGCGGTTGGTCTTCGTGGAACGACCGACCAGCACCCACTTGTGGCGGACGGTGTTCGCAGTGTGAGATAAAGGGACAAATTCGAATTATGCGAAGTATCAGACAGTGTAACAATCCAAAGTTGGACGAATTTATAGTTTCTGGAAATGACACACCTGTTTCAGTTCAAACAACGGAGGAGCGCCATGCCAGGGAGACGAAGCTCGTGGAATGGTGTGCCATAAAGATGTCAGTGGGAATGGCTTTTTGAATTTGTTCATAAGAGGTTCAGGTTTGCAACGGAGACTCAATTAACAACTACGCAACCCGTGTTTGCATCCGACTACGTGATGAGAACGCTATTCCGAATACTTTGCTATCTGGAGAAGGAATGCAGTTTGAACAAGCAATGTGCAAGATTTGGTGTCTTATTTCTGGATCGACAAATATCCGAACAGTCTCAAACTTCCCAGACGGTACTCCTTGTGGTAGTGGTCAATATTGCATCAAAGGAGAATGCAGGGTACGCCAAAAACTCAAAACATCTGAATTCTCAATTTTCCAGCCTTTGCTCTGCGGAGCCACTACTCTTGCCTACTCTGAAGCAGATTGTCCACTGAGGGTTCTGCAGTCGACCACAACGCAATCACCAGCTCTACCACCAATGCACTCCGTTGATCAGTCAGCCACCAAAACCAATCCGTACAAAGAACAGAAGAAAAGTAAAACTCCAACCCGTAAAACAACATTCAGCATAGAGATTTCAGTTCCTTTCCTTAACGAATGGTCGGGATGGTCGGTGTGGTCCGAATGTGTCACTTATGACTGCCGTATGTACCTTTTCTTAAAGATCTGTTTTATACTTCTCGATTTAGACACTCCTGGAGTCAAAGTTCGCGTTCGCAGATGTTTGGCTGGCGTGTGTGCGGGAGCTCTTCGCGAAAGAGTACCTTGCACAAGACCGTGCACAGGATCTGAAAAACCACTCACTACTGCTGCCCCTCAGCAAACTTTCCGGAACAGATTCATCGCACCACTTCCGAATCGCCAAACAAATATGATTCTCAGAAAAGTCGAACAGTGAGTTTAATCAGACAATGTTGGATGGACCGTATTATGAGCCTAAAACGTATTCAGATGGGGACCGTGGTCAGCGTGCAGTGTTACTTGTGGATCCGGCCAGAAACTGCGCCAACGAAATAACTGCATTGGACAAGGTTTGTTTAGAGACAAAACTGTTTGTTCACATACGGTATACCCACTTCCAGAATGCGCTGAAACGGGAACATGCGTTATGTCCGCCTGCTCAACAACGCCAGCACCCAATCTCTGGACCGAATGGTCCGCTTGGTCCGAGTGCTCGGTCAGTTGCGGAGAAGGTCTTCAGTTCCGAAAAAGAGCCTGCTTCTCCGCTTTCTGTCGTGGGAAAGACAGCGATGTCAGGAATTGCTTCGGCCAGGTCTGTTTATTGCTAACCAATTCACCCCAAGTCGTGTTTTTCTTGCAGAAATGTGCAACGACAACAACGTCAAGACCTCTGGTAAACCAGTCCGGACTCTGGACAGGATGGTCATCCTGGTCAGCTTGTAGCACAAAATGTGGAATTGGACACCGTACCAGAAGGAGAAGATGCTATCAAGGCTCCTGTTTGGGTACTTCATACTCATTATTTTTTTCTCGTTTTTTTAATAGGAAACTTTCAGGAAACGACAACGAGACGGATAAATGCGTCGGGTCTCAGTGCTGATGCTCACATCTCACAATGTGCTGCCAAAAAAAACCCCAACGCCATTGGTTTTTCATCGAAACCACATGCTGTCTCAACGAAACGAGAAAATTAGTAGCAGATTTTATAGAATTATTGCCTTCCGTCTTTACGACTGTTTTAAGCCAGCCATTTTCTGCGGGTTATCGTTTTTTTCTCTAGGTATCGTTTGAGATACCAATTTTTGTACATTAATAAAAACGTCAACAATTCCACTAAAAAACTAGGTCACTTTAGAGCGAACGAGCAAGAACAGAGTGTTGGAGGGGAAATACGCGGGTTTTGCATTCAATGAGCAATATCATTCCACATAGATGAAAACTAAGTCGCTCGCACATTTTCATTAGGGAACTCTCTCACATGTTCATCTTCTGCACATTGTTTTTCTCGCCTTCTCTGTTCACAAATATCGACGCTTCATCCTTCTCAATCCAGCCTACTCCCGTCCCCTCCGGCGACTTCAAATTGTCGTAACAGCTGCTGTCGCTCTAATTTTTCACCTTTCTCATCCGCCCGATCATCTTGTCTCCCTCGCTCTCCACCTTCTTTTTTCTTCTTTTTCTTCTTCTTCTTCTACGTTGTCTGTCTGAAACGCATATCACTTTTCCACTGATGTTTTTGAGCAGAACAACGACAAACTAACAAAAGATGAAGTGGCCGTCGAGTGCCGACCCAACCGGTAAGTCCTTCCTTTTTCATTAGTACACATCTATTTCCCCCCTGCACATTTGCTCCAAAACTATGGCCAGATTCGATTGCCATTATTTTCTACGCATTTATGCCGGCCGGCTCCCATAAGGCTATGGTCGCATTACATTAGGAGGGTCCACCACTTTTTCGTCTCGTGTATGTAATACAAGGAAACCCATAACCTTGAATGGCCTTCGATGTGTGCGTCAGCCATTCAGAAATTGAATCTGAGAAAAATGAGCTGGCCTTGTGAGGAGAACGTTTCTCAATTTCGTTCTGTAGAGCCGCAACCCGATGGTATCGTGACTTCGTCATTTGGCCGGGACGTCGAGTCGGTTGCCTTCGCGGTTCTTCTCTTCCTTGCCGGCGGTATCATTCTCTTCATTTCGTGCTTTTTCGTCACCAAATGCCTTCAGTGCTACAAAGCCAGACAGCGAAGGTTGGTCGTTTCTCAAAATCCAGGAAGATAATTCAAATTTTTCCTTATTTTTCAGACTACGACGTAAAGCTCTCGGCGAGGACGACGAAGACGACGACGAAGATGAGGATGACGAGAACGATGTGGCAAGTGAAATTGACGAGGACGAGCCACAGACTGCCATCACCAATTCGAATCCGGATCTCGTCAAAGTCTAAATCATTTTGATGTGCAAAAACTATGTAAAGTAATACATACTTGATATTTTTCCAATAAATGTTCACTTTGAAATTGAATATTATAATGTTTATGAATGGTAGAACCGGACAGAGAAAAAGAACATTCGGATGAAGAGAGAAAGGGAGGAAATTGAATGGGTTCATAGATTACTGATAAGCGGAATCAGAGAATGTTTTCAGCTAACGAATCACATTCATAATATTTTTTTGAAAAAAAAAGGAAGAAAGGATAGAATAGAGGCAGAAAAACATTCAAAGAAGCAATGGCTAATGATCGAAACGGCCTGTTCCGATTGTTCCAAAACAGAATCACACAACTTGGAGGCGTTATGAGAAGAAAATATAGACAGGGACAGAGATAGAGAGAGAAATGGAGAAAGAGAGAGAAGAAGGAAGTAACGGCTATTTTTGGTGAGGGTTCATTTGGTTTAAAAGGTTATCGTTGTGTCACATGGAAAGGAAGGGAGGTAACGGATAAGAAACCGAAAGAGAAGAATAGAAAGTGCCAGTGAAATTGTTACTAGCGCTATTGGAATTGATGTTATGACAAAACTGATTCATTATTGGATGCAGCATGACCTCTGTCTGCCGTCTAGGCTTCCTCGAAAACGACGAAGGTCTCCGTTTGTTTTGTATGTCTCGAGGAACTTGAGCTGTTTGTGATTGAGAGCTCCACGACGTTCGCTGCAAAAAATAACATATTTCTGCTTTCAGCGTTCCTCTTACTGTCTGATCATCTCGACCGCATCCTCGTACTTCATGCCCGCTTCGATCAGAGCAATGCCGACGAGCACGGGGGCTCTGCCGAGTCCGGCCACGCAGTGCACCGCGATGCTCTTGTCCGGATGTTCTTTGAATGACGTTTTGCACAGCTCGAACCAGCTTTCGATGACCTGCAAGGCAAACATTAGGATTAGAGACTTCAATCGAATAACAAAGATAATACTTCTGGCGTTGGCGCGCTGCCGTCGCTGAATTGCAAGTCGATGACATCGATGCCAGCTTCTTTGAGAGCTTTGGTGTCGTACGTCGACTCGCAGACACGAACCACAGCCCGAGCTCCGTGCTTCTCCAATTCCTCGATGTAGGATTGAATGGACGCGTTGCTCGGACGGTCGGTGATCAGGAAGCGCATCTTTCCCCATGCGATCTCGGATGGAGCGGGTTTGAAGTAGGTGGTCGCGGCCACAGCGTTGTTGGAGACTTTCTTTTGACCGGTGCTGCTCATGGTTGCTCTGAGAAGGAAACGAATAGGATTTAGTTTTAGTTGTGGAGAAAGAAATGCGCAGCTCCGCCCACTTATGAGTGAGTTTCGAGCGCATATGTGCACACTTACGTTGGATAATTAAGGAGGTTTGAAGTTGATGGCGTCGAAGAGTGATATTCGCTTAATTAGAAACGAATTGCTGAATGGAAGTGGTGAATACGCCACAGATAGTCAGTGTTGACCTCGACAATACTCGCCGATTGGTGCTCGCAACACTTTCGATCGGCTGAAAAGAATAAAGAATAAGGGAGCAGAGATAGCAATGAGATGACGAGGGGGAGGTTTCCGCCCGGATATCAACCAAATTTCAGCTGCATTCTATTATCCGGCGAAACCTCAAGCGTAATCCGCTTATTCATCGATTTCGCATGTACACAAGTCAAAGAACTCTCGTTTTTTTCTGTCAGGAAGTGCTTTTAATCCTGATATTTGGAAGGTAAATGTGAACTGATCACAACAAAAAAGAGAGAATAAGAGAAAGAAGACCTATTTCCGAATGGCTGACCCGAAGTGATGAACTTGTACGCGCTAACTGCGAAAAAACGAAAACACAGTAGGAATGGTTTCCAACCTTGATCAGTCGTGACCTGCAGATAATTGTTTTACAACAATCGAAACACAGTACGAAGACTGCCTAATCTTCGAAAATTACGTTAAGAGTGAATTTGATTTCGATGAACACAAGAGTTTTACAAAGAATGTATTCAAAACCAAGCACGAGAAAAAACACGCGCACTAGTGAAACCTTAGAGTGATAGCAAAAGGATCACAATTCAGACTGAGCAGATCGAAAAGAAAAGAGACCAGAGAGAATGGTGTCGTAAGAGATGTGTTCAAACCAAAACTGTTGACTGACGTGGCGGCAGGATGGCCGCCGCGACATGAAGAAATACGGCCGAAACGTTTTATTATTCTGTTTGTCCCAACAGTTTTCATTCTTTTTCTTTATTTTCATACGGACGAAGAAACGAACCTGGAACGTGTTGAGAAGATGTGGTGTAAGCCAATTCTCATAGCAGTGCTTCTGTCTACTTGCTTGTTCGGGCGGACGAGCCGACTGACAAAAAACCTGAAAATATATGATTTAAGAAAAGCTATTTTAAAAAGTAAATTCGGATACGAAATACGAAGAGCAGATGGAAAACAGAAAACCAACGTGAATGACATCAGAACCTTGTCTCGTGGAATTTCAAGAATGGCATTCAACAATGGAAAGCAGGAAACTGAGGGCGGGCCAGCTGACTTGATTCACAGAATAAACTCCAAACAGCATGGATATATATTTTGTGTGTGCGACCTCAATACGTGAGAAGAAAAAAGGGAAAAATGGACGGAATAATTCAGGGCTCATCAAACTTTCGTACCCTCAAATCCATAAACTTCTCAGAATCTTCGAGTCCAGAGTTGTGTTTGGGAAATCGACAAGAGTTTATTACACATGAAAACGTGACAGATGAAACTAGTGCTCGCCGTTAAGTTAGAGGGAGGATGTCGTGTGCCGAGGACATGATGCGAACGAGCAGTCTCGGTTTCTTTTCTTCTTCCGCAGAAACTCGGTAACTGAGTAGTTGTTTTCTCGACTCAATCACAGACTGGATGGAGGTCAAAGGCGAAGTAAAATTGAGACATGTGAGTGGCCCCGCATGACTAGAAAGTCCCAAGGCTCCTCAAGTAAGCACAACTGACACCGTTGATGATATCCACGAGAGAAAGAACTTTTTGCTGATAACTCGGAAATACGAGAAATGTGTTTGGTCGTCGACTGACTGAGCCGTGCTGATAATCACGGAAAGTGAGAAATCAAGCGAGACGACTCAAAGTGTCCTGATAAGGTCGGCTCAGCTCGGCTTCTTATCTCCGGATTATAGGTCCTCATCTTGTGATGAACAAAACGAGACAAATGGAAAAAAGAAGAGGATGCACGTTTTAAAAACTCTAATGCACTTGGGGTGGTCGGTCATTCGAGTGTAACTCCCAGTGCCGCTTCGACGTTTTAATTATCGCTCTCTTGCTTAGTGACCTCTAGACAGAAAGCGACGCCTCTCTAAATTTAGAATGATCCGGTCACACCGGAGATTAGATTTCAGTACAAACATTATCCAGTTTTGACGTAAGTGCGGATTTCATTTTTTTAGTCGGTAAGCAGAACTGAGGCATGTCAATGCTGCTTTTGGCGAACAAAACAAGAGCCCGGCAATACGCGTCACTTTGATATTATCAGACACATGCAGTGAGCGGAAGAATTTAATTATAATAACTTGTGGCAGGTGGATTGAGAATGCGTGACTCAAAAGCTACGGTAGAAGGCTTTCGCAAAAAAAGAGCCCGTTTCGAAATGGCCTGACCATGATCACTTACGAAATTATTACGAAACTTGACAACACTAGAAGCTGGATTATTTCTAGTGCAGAATATTATAATGAATCGGAGAGACGTTGGAAACGTCGAACCGGAAATGAGCGAGAATGAAGAATATAATATCCGCTAGCTTATATGCGCAACGAGAAGCTTTTCCAGGAGCCAAATAGTGAGAATTCTCAGATTCTGTTGTTTTTTTCGGAGAAAACGTCACGCGGCCGATTCTCGGAAAACGCGTAGGAAGCCGTTCGGTCTAATGAGTCTCTGACGGAGACTTTGGTCGCGAAAACGAACTAGATTAAGGGGGCGGCTGGCTTCCATTTACAATTCTATCCGGCTCTATTCTCAGGAGAGTCTGAGAGATTGTAGTCGAGAACATGACATTTTATAGGAAAAGTGTTTTGTCGGCTTTTTTGATTGGAATTTCGCAGAAAGTTGGGGCGTCTTCCTTACCACAATTTTGCCAGGAAATATAATCTTTACGCGAACTTTCGCAAAAAATTTTGATAAATATGTTCTTTAAACTTGAATAGGATCAAGAAAACAGACATAGAGGCTAGAATTAACACAATTTTTCTGAGAACTAGAAACCCTATTATTATGAGAGTAAGAGTTTAGAGGAGTAGCCTGGCGTGGTTTGAGAGACTGATAATCTCGAGTCGCTGCACAAACTCTTCATTTTAGAGGAAAAAAGTGAACTCTGACTGCTGCACGATGTTATATTCTTGAGCTTGAGAAACCACAGATGGTAGCGCGTGCGGGTAGAAAGAGGAGGAGAAGAAGGGAGAGAAAGAGGGACTAGTCGGTGCTAGTCGTGCTATTGCGGGAGACACAAGTAATAGGGCAGTGGAAGGGAGTGCGCAGAGAAGCCGGAGACGCTCGGCAGGCAGTGTAATTCCCCTCGAGGCGGGAGGGGCTGCTTGTCGAGCCGGCACTGGCCCATCGATCAGCAAACACGAGACGAATTCTTTGGATTGGTTGAATGATTCAATTGAACTGGGTGGCACCGTTTTTGCACTCTCAATCATCCCGCGAGAGTACAATGCAAACCATGGGAAAGTGATTCAATGGTCGAGAACCTTCCAGTTGCTCATCGAAAACACGAAGGTGTTTTTCAGTAATAAAAAAGAGAATAACGAGTAATAATAAGCGAATGAAAACATGCAGTAATAAGCGAAAGGAATGTTTTGCAAGTGGAAGAGGAAAGACTCAAAAACAGAGCGAGCAGGGACAAAAATCCCACTCCAAAGAACGGATTTTTCTGTTCCATTTGTCACGAGCATCAAAAATCAAAACTGAACACAGCTAGAATATCAAAAAAACATCATTTACCCTAGACTGATTTTTTGAGAAGCTCAATAATATTTACCACCGCCGCGCTCTCAATTAAGATAACGTTATCAGTGAGTCAAAGACTTATTCGAAAAATAATTTAGTTTCAAAAGAAAGATTCTAGTAGCGTGTCGAATTACCATTTTTTGATCAAAAAGGGTCAACCGACCGCATATGATGAAATATTAATATCCCTTTTGAAACGTTGCGGCAAAAGAGCCCCCCGCGTGCGTCGCTGGCTCATTTCCAAATGGGCGGCTTTTTCTCGAAAACTACGCGTGGGCAAAAAAGAGGGGAAAGAGGAAGAAGAGCGAAATTTAATATTTGTTTTTGTTTTGAGAGATATCAATTGCTAATGTAAAAGTCTAGAATTGGGATCTCACATGATGTGAGTGAATTTTTTTGTTGGAAAGAACGGATTGGCCTGACCGGACGTTAGCTGCGAGCCGGTTCAATACGTAGACTCCGATACGTAGACTGATGACGCAAACCGATCGCAGCGAGTTTCAAGAAGACATGGCACCGGCAGAAAGGTTCAAAGAGAAGAGTCGGGCAAACAGTCGTCATTTCGTGCCGTACACACATGTGCACCACCACCACGCATCAAATACATAAAGCCACCTCCGCACAGTTTGGGAAAAAGCAGGCAGGCAGCTCCGCATTCACATTCAAACAATATGGTCGGCTGCCTCTTTTCTGCCCAAAAGGATCATACGCTGTGTTGCAAGACAAAAGTTGAAGCGGAACAAAACCAAAGTCAACATTTCCTGTTTTTGTGTCCTTTGGGGAAAGAAGAGCCGTAGAGGGGACGACAAGAAATGAGCACGAGAGAGCCATTTGCATTCCATTTGGGAGCCGCCTTGTGCTCGCTACACTTCAATTGGCACGTCTCTAACGCATTCAACTTTTGCGACGGCGCGACATGTTATACATGTGTGATCAACTCGAGTGTGTTTTGTCTTGAACCTACTGGAATGTCAGGCAACTTACTGTTTCTCAGGAATTGTCAACAAGTTCTCGTGGTTGCACTGGTCAATATTTGCAATCAACACGAGGTTGGGATGGAATGCGATGGGCGCGAAAAAGTTTAAAATTTGGGATTTTTCAGGTAGGATTTATCAAACTGAGGCATTTTCGTTTGCTCAATGGGAAAGGAAGAAGACAGAAAAACGCATTCGTGATTAATCCCCAAGTTTGGGCAATATTGTGAAATTTCTAGAAGCTGCTGCAGTATGACATCACTATACTGAAAAATAAAGACAAACTTTTAGAGAACATGACATTGAATTCACACTAGAAAGCGTGTTTTTGAAAGGAAAACTTCGGAACAAATGGACGAACAAAGCATCAATTCTTGCATTTTTAGTTTGAAAAAATGAACCAAGAGTGTCGAAGCTATCCGTTTTCGTTTTCAAATTTTAGGAACTGAAACTATGAATAATTTCGAAAAAAAAGGAGTGGGCGCATTGCACGCTGATTAAACGGGGTCGACGCTGATAATTAGGAGGCGCCCGACTGGAATTCTCCTACACGTCATTTTGATAAGCGCAAAGAGTGGAGCGGTTTCAGGTTACAAACAAATACCGATTGTGTCACTTTTTCTCTAAAACAATGTCTTCTCAATAGAATCATCCTATCTAATTTGTCTTGTTTACATTGTTTTCCGTAAAGTGTGTTATGTTATAATCCTGTAAACTATTTTGAATAAAAGTACTACCGGCCGGTTTTCACAACATGTGTTTGTTTATGATAACATTATAAAACATGAAAATTGTGACTGGGAGACTTGCAAACATAAATACTATATTTTCACATCACTAGCGAACAAAAAATCCATCGTCTTTCCCTCTACGCATTTCAAAAATAGCAATAAAGTATGAGAAAGGTCACAACTCTGTTCCTCCAACCTCAGCGCGTCCTGTGTCCTTCACATCGTACCCTACTCTGACTTTTTTTGTTGGAACCTGTCAAGTTGGGCGAAGCCTTGTCAACTCGACGAATATAAATGACACTCACAAACTTACCTCCGAATGTTTTATCCATTTCCTTCAAATCTTTCTGAATTTTCAATCAAACAGCTTCTGGATGACTTTCTTAGCACAGATCGTGGACGTGCTTGTGAATAGGAGTCTGGAAAATGATTCTGAAAAAAAAATCAACTAGTTCAGATCAGCGGTGTTAGAATGGGAAATCCTTTAGAAAATTCATCCGTTCACTACCTACAGTACTCCCCTTTTTATTCTTCCTCTTGTTTTCGTTCATGTGCGTGTTAGGATGGAAGTGTCGGACAAAATGAGGAAAAGATGGAGGTTCTGTCCTCATTTTTCACTGCCACAACACAGCGAGTGCACCCTCCTCGAACACTTTCATTCAACTGTCAGCCTCCCCGCACGATTTATGTCAGTTCGGGGGCCAATCCGATCAGCCGCCACCATCTGAACCTTGTTACCATATTTTCTGCCACCCAGCCTGGCCGACCGAACGAACGACGCGACAAGTCGTCGGACGACAAAACGCTTTACAGCTTCTTTCACTCGTGGCGGCTCTCCGCCTTTTTATATCCGCCACTCTCGAGCGGACGCTTATTAACAAACTGTTTATTGCTGCTTTGAGGGAACACGGGGTGTTCTCTTTATTTTTCTCTAGACATGCAAGAATTTGAAATAGATGTATGCATCCCGTCTGCTCAGAGTTCCGGGTACAGCCTTTCATGGCATAAGTAGACACGTTTGGATTGTTTCGGTGAGTACTGATTCCATAATGAAACCGCGTTCAAACGTCTTAATTTTATCAAAATTGTGTTGTCGGAGTGATTATGACTCATCCCTCCACTTCTTCCCTTTCAAAAAACTCTTCACTTTTCCAACTACTTTGCTTTCCTCTCCACAAAGTGTCCATTATCCGATTTGCGTTAGAAGAAGAGGGAGGTAAGAATGCATCCATCGAAAGCTCATCACCTCCTGATTTGCGTCGCTAAGAGTCTATTAATGAGGTGATTGATAGGCCCATTCCCTGCCGACCCCCGGTGCTATCCGTTTCGACAATTACGAAAACAAAACAAAAAGCCACAAGTTTCTCGATAAGCACAGAATTTTGATTGTCCAGCCGGTACGAACCGCCGCCTTTGATTCTATTAGTGGACGGAAACCAGATAAGAAAGTGTCAATTTTCACAGTTTTTAATGGCGTCTTTTGCTGTTGTGTTTAACGACACTGGCTATTGCATGATCATCATGATTCTCTGCCTTTCTGCCTTCTTTCACTGATACAGTTTCACTTTCTTCTGACAAGCGTTCAACGGTAAAGAAGGTCATCATCTTCTCGAATGTTTGCTTTGCTTTATCGACGCACGGATTGATATTTCTCCCCCTCTCGTCTGTTAGTCTTGGTGTCGGCAAGTCGGTACCATTGACACACACAGAATGACGTCCGTCTTATTACTACCGCCTCCATGCAATAATCATATTTTGCCGACAACTTTATGACCATCACAATCGGCTGCGTTTGATGAATGGGCCAGATAGTGTAGGCCGAGAGGTTGAAGTTACCTACCGCTCTCGGAGTTTTTCATTTATTCGTCATTGGCGCGCAACCACTATTAAAGTAGATGGCTATCTTTTCCCCAACTTTTTTCAGCAGTTCTCACAAAACTGCCGCAAATATTTCGGTCACTCCCCTCTTCTTCTTTTATTTGCAGAAGTATCTCTTTCATGATGTGCCCAACTTGTTCCCCATCCTGTACTATTGCATTGTTCCAGCTACTCGTCAGTCCCTTCTCCATGACGAAGCTCTTTCTTTTTGTTTATGCTATACAAGCGCACTTCACAGGGCCTCTCCTCCCTCCTCCTTCCCCTCATCCAAATATGTTTTGTTGGGCCATTTTTGGTTGCCCCCAGAAGATTCATAACTCTCTCTCTCTCTCTCTCTTTCTCTCGGAAGGGTGGGAAGGCGGCGCATGTCTGAGTCGGAAGGCGCGCATTTGTTCACCCATGTAATTTATATGCGGCACCGATAATAAAACTTTCTGGAAGAATTCTTCAGAGCTCTTCGCATCGAAAGCCGCCGCCTCATAAACGTTTTTTGTTTTATGCGATTGGTAAAGAAGAAAAAAGGTTTTCAAGTTTCCGCAATTGTGTTCAATCGGAAACAAAGTTTAGAATCTGAGTAGGAGAAGGAGGGGAGGACAGCTCCAATCGGAAGTTGTTGCTCGGGAACCAAGAGTTTATGACATTTTTATAACTCCCGCTAATTGAAAACCAATTAGGTCTCAATAGAAATCGAAAGTCCTTCTAGAATGGGCACATCCCCCATTGGTCGAATGTGTGATTGCCAATGAGACCATCAATCCAGATTTACGAGGTGATTGGGTGCTCACGGAAAGGTGTGCTCCGGGCGAAAAGCATGGGCTTCTCCTGCAGTAGCTCCCATTTCCATTGAGCCCCGCTTTATTTTACGACTTGTCATAAATTTACCAGTTTTTTTGTCAAATAATAGCAGTGGGTGGGTAGTCTTAGGCACATTGGTTCCCAGTTAATCCACGGTAAAGTTGGTTAGCCGGAAGTCAACACGGCCAAAAGTTGTTCATTTTTCATTTTATTTCTATCGGAATAAACATCGAAAAAGGAGTGATATTGGGAAGGAAGTGATGAAACTTCTCTCTCTCTCTCTCTCTCTCTCTCTCTCTTTCTCCCACTCGCGCTCGGACAAGTGAAGTGACAAGTGAGAAAAGAAACATATGCTGTTCATCAGATGTGATTCATTTATCTGTCGATTGAGAAATGTCCTTGCAACTCTGCCTTCTTTTTCTTTTTTCGAAAGTCTTCGGGGTTCTTGAGTCACTCATGTGTGCGTGTGTGCCCACCTCCTGCGACCATCACTCTTATTATGACACTTCCTCCCCTCACATTTTTTCTCATTTTCAAAAACTGATGCCTCCTGCTACTCCTCCTCCTCTCCAGAGAATAGCATGACTTGGCCCCCGTTTATTCACTTCTCCAACTTTCGGGCCCACAGTCCCATCATTATTTCTGCCATTTTCCCCACATACAACGTGCCCTTTCTGCTATTGTGCATGTTTTTATTTGTTGTCTCGCTGATTCATGGAGCCCATCCCCCCGCCAGCAACCAATTTTCTCACAATGAGCAGCCAGTGGTACGTACATGGGCTCAAATAATTTTGTGACAGCTTGGCCAAGATTAAAACGCCTGCCTCCATTCTTCTTGCGGCCGCCTCAAGCACCATTTCAAAAGATAAACTTGGATTATTTTGGCACCCCGCACAATGAGTGGCCGCCCGCAGCCGCCGCCGAAAACTGATCCCCCCCCTTCCTCCTCCAGCGGTTTTGACGCTGCTCCACATATGATAGTGGCCAATCAACAATTATTTGCGGCTCTTTCAAGAGGTTCCAGGCAGGAAGTGAAATGTGTGGAAAAGTAGCGGGCCGACCTTTTCCCCCCAAAAAACAGAACGATTCCTATTGTTTGTTCTTCTGATGACGGTCCACCTGGACGCGAACCGAGAGAAATAGTTGCGTAATTCAAAAATTGTTGGACGGTTGTATGTCGCCCGTCTTCTCGCTCTCCTTTATGCCCTTTCCTTCTCGTTTTTTCTCCCTTTTCTTTCCTAATTTAATTTTCGTTTGGTGCCATTGTACATGAAACGACTTGCACTAACTCAATTTGAAAGACACATACGCACACGAATCCGTCCAATAAACACTTCATCCGAGGTCTCGAAAAGAAGACGTATTGTGTGCATCTCTCTTTCTCTCTCTCTCTCTCTCTCTCTCTCTCTCTCTCTTTGTCAATTTTTATTTTAATCTGTCGCGCATTTCAGCGTCTGTGATTAGTCTGAGAGCAAATGAAAGAAAATGTACGGCATCGGGTTTCACCAAACTCGCCTTAGATTAACGTGATTTTGGGGGTTCTTTCCTTTCGTGCTCGGGTGGGCGCCGCAGATCTCGTCTTTCAAAATGTCTATTTCGGAACCTGCGTTTCCCTCCATTACCAATTTTCATCAGAACTCTGACCGACTATGAGGGAAAGAAGCACTTTGCTTTGTTTTTATTGAGAGCTTCCCCAGGAATATGATACTTGCGTACTTCGGCCTACGTGTTTTTCTATCCCAAATCCAATTTTCTTTTTTTTCCCCGAAATTCTCTCTTCTCACTTCTCGCCGATTGTTGCATTTTGTTGACCTCTATCCTTTCCTTTCCTGAAGGTGTCTATCGTCTATCATCCATCACTTTCGATTCGCTTCTGAACACCGATGAATTAATTTTCCTCCGATCCCTCCTCCTCATTCTTTTCTTCATCTCCAATGTTGCAATTTCAACTTTAAAACACCTCATTTCGGATTTGCAGCGGATGTGATGACAGTTCGAAAACTTATTCTTCTTGCCCTTCTCTGGGCGCACTGTCTGGCCAACATCAACATGTTCATCAGTAAGGAGGAAATGAACCGAACCTTAGGTACACTGATGGATAAATTCTCAAAAAAACCCTTAATATTTAATTTCAGGTGTGAAAGCAGAGCTGAATTATATCGAAATGGGTAGCATCAACACTTACTCCACCAAATTCCACTACAGGGTAATGGCTAATATTGACTACGTCTCATTCACTTGGAACGCCGTCGGACAGGTAGCCTTTAAAGTCAGAGCAGTGAATGATAAATCTGAAATTAAGGTGGAATATGATGTTCGTGTGGAGGCGGATGACTCTTCTGTTCTTCCGATCGTTCGAATTCCGTTGAAAGGAAAAGTGCCGGCTTCTCTTCAAGGTCAACAGTCGATCTTCAAGTCATCACAACTCTTATTCATACCCTTTCAGAATTCAGTGTAGAGTACAGATGTGCAGGTCATCGATCCGGACAATTCACAGTCAGTCTATATTTCAATTTCTACTACGACGGAAAGACGGTGCCCGTCAAATTGCGACAAGAGAAGATCTGTGCATCGCGAGACGGACGCCGCGGCCTGAATGGTAAGCGCCGGTTCCCATGGTATGGCGGGTCTCACCATGACAGATGCGCATGTTACCTCTGTCCTCCGGTGACAGACTCCAAAACATTTTTGCGAAGCGAAGACGGGAAGGCATCCGAATGATTGAATGACACGCGCTCTATAGTGCAGCTGTTTGATTGTCACAGGAGCGGCGGAAGACGAAAATAAATGAGTTTGAATTGAAATAAAGAGAGTGGGTCCTTCGGGTCGGAAAGAGAGACCGCTTTGGAAATGGAATTATTCTCATGCGCGGACTGAATTTCAATTCCAATCAAATGGTGGTCAAATTAAAGGGGAAAAGTCGGAACAAGCATTCAGTTGAATTCTTTCTTTTAGGGGGATACGAAGGAAATGAAATCGACGAAACAGACTCGATTGACAAGGCGTTTTTTGTTATCATCTGCATCGCCGCAGCATTTCTGCTCATTGTGGCAGCCACGTTGATCTGCTACTTCAAACGTTCCAAAAAAGAAGACATGATTCCAACTCGCCTACCGTTAGTTTCAGCACCTCCTACAAATCAGATTTTTTTAAATTTAGAACCTCATTCCGAAACTCCTTGAAATCAACCAAAAGTGCACAACCGTTCCTCCTAAGCACTCCTAGAGATGGTAACCATTCTCGTTTGTTATTTTGTGTAGACCAGATTATTTTTGCAGGACCGCCTACGCTCTCCGCAGTGTCAAGCGCACCATGTTCTTCGGCATCCGGAAACTCAATAATCCCGGACAAGCCGAGAAATGTGAGTTTTGTGAAAAGTGACAAGCTGACGAAGTTTCTGAGCTGGTTGTAGGTTGACGTGCGACGTGCATTGTTACAACTTTACCAAGACCGCGATGCTTTCCAACCGCTTCCCTATTCCGACATGGAGGGTAAGAAACACTCAAAGAGACTTTTTCGAATGGAGAAAAGATTTTAGGTACTTTCGGAGAAGTCAGATATGCCATTTGGCGCCAGGCCGATGACACTCTTAACGGAGATGTGGATGATGAAGAAGATGCGTTTTGCAACCAGGAAGCGGTCTACACAAAGACGCTAAAGAAAAATGCGTCGTCGGTTCAGCTGGATCGTTTCCTGTCGGACGCGCTTCTCTTCTACAACATCACGCCTCATACGAACTTGTCTCAAGTGGCATGTGTTGCTTCTTTCGGCAGATTCGATCGCCCCGAGACGGTCACGGATTTCCCATTAGTTTGCTACAGACACCAAGGTTTTGGAAACTTGAAGAAGTTTTTGACTAACTGCAGACATGGAGATAAAACTAAAGGTACAAGCCAAAACTGATATGAAAATTGACCTGAATTGCTTCAGGAGCTCAAACTCTGCGCACACATCAACTGGTTGCTTTGGCCACTCAACTTTCCTCCGCTGTTGCCCATCTCCACAAATATCGTATCATCCACAACGACATTGCCGCCAGAAACTGCCTGATTGCTGAAGTGAATGGCCGTCTGCAAGTTCAGCTCTGTGACTCTGCCCTGTCCCGTGATCTCTTCCCGGCCGACTATCACTGTTTGGGTGACAATGAGAACAGACCGCTGAAATGGATGTCTCCGGAAGCGATCGCAAGTGGATTGTACTCTTCTGCAGCGGATGTAGTAAGTCTAACGACCTTCGTTGGCTAAATAGGTCGTTTTTGTGTTTAGTGGTCCTTCGGAGTGCTCATGTGGGAGCTGATGTCACTCGGAGGTAATCCATTGGCCGAGGTCGACCCAGAAGATGTGTACACTATGATCTTGAAGGGAGCACGTCTCCATCAGCCAAACAACTGCCCAGACCAATTGTATGACTCAGCATTTCTTCGTATTCATAGGAATCTGGTTTCAGGTACAAAGTGATGCTCTGCTGCTGGCGCATTCTCAGTGAGGAACGTCCGAGCAGTGAACAAGTTCTCCACGGACTCCGTGACTTCAACATTCAACTCAGCCAGTACATCTAATCGTCAAAGCTTATGAACACATCCGCAATATAACGGGTCAAATATCTCGATTCGTTTTGTCAGTTTCGTCTCGTTCTCTCCTTTTTATTCTATATATATATATACATATATGTATACATTAATTAACAATGAAAGCTAATCGTACATGATATCAATAACGCTTTCGGCATGGTTGGAAAACGGAAGGAACGTGAGTTTTGTGGAGTCACAACTCGGAAGACAGAACTTTCCGACTCCACAATTGTTCGTTCGATCGCACCATTTCTTAGAGCAGCAAACGGTCCTGCTCCCGCAATTTTTATCCTCTTGGCATTCATTTCGAACGTAATCTGCAACCGAAACTTTAAGAAAAATGAAATCAAAAAACAAAGGATACCGGCTGCGTTATCCATTTCGATCCTTATTGGCCTGTTCTGTCTGTTCGCTTTCGTGTACTCATTATAGAGTCTTAGATCGTCTGGAGTTTTGATTTTCTTCCGTGGTGACCTTCTGAACTAAAGTGTTTCGAGAGGTCTGTAACTAGTAGTTCACCTGAACTCTCCGCTGAATATTCCCAGATGTGGTATGTCTCCTTTCTTCATCGGATACCACACTCCCATCCGATGTTGTCTAAACGGTGCTGACTCTGGAGTCGTTTCGGGAGGATCGTCCGACGCCATATCACCGCTGATATTGCTTAATGGCGCGATTCTTTCAAAATTACGTTTTTGGATTATGTACGGCTTTGGTGCGTAAGTACGCGTCTCTTCCAAGTGCAAATCGGGAATGGGAGAGAATTTGGTTGTTGGATCTGCAAACCACGAGATTTTGGGCGAATTTTGAGCAATTTCACCTTCTGTTGCAAGCGAAACTTGAATATCTGGAAGTGGTTCGGGATTGTTGAAGCTTTGGAGAATTTGGAAACTTGGCTTGACAGTATTAGTTTCTTCCTCGTTTTTGAGTGCGTGAGAGTTGAACAGTTCAATCAAACTTTTATGGTCTTTCAGCTCTTCTCTTGTAGGCTCGGCGCTTAGCGCTCGTGGTTTCATGAAGCCATTTTTGATTTTTGACGAGATCGGAAACTCTATCTCGTCTACTCCACTGAAAACAAAAAGATTAGCTGAAATTGATATTCTAAAACCTCAAATCTTCAATTTCAGACGCATCGTCGGGGATCGACGTTGTAGTTCTCAGTCTTTTATGGTTCGATCGAAGAGGAAGAAGAGAAGGAGGCTGACAACAAATCAGTTCAGAAGAGATTACTAACTGAAAATCTTACCATTTCTAGATGAATTTTCTTAATGTGCGATTGCAAAGAGATTGGGTAATCCATGTCATGCACTTCCTCTTTCACTCCGAGAAAATTGGGCTTCCTGAAGTATCAAAGTTTGAGAATTAGAGCATCACAGTCATTGGTAATACCTTTCTTTCATGTACTCCATTTTGTGATCATTGAAAACTTTTTTCTCAGTTGTTGGTGATGGAGTCGGCGGTGGAGCGACTGTCGTTTCAATCATGAAAAACTGATCGACAGTGATTGGAGGCACATCTGAATTTTCCAATTTTCGCTTTGTTTTCCTTCTTACTCCTTACGGTCTGTTGTGCTTGTGAACGGTGACGTCACTGTTGCAATTGTAGTTGTGGGAGGGAACCAATCATATTTCTTCACCTTTGCAGTGGTTCTCTGAAGTTGCTTTGCAAAATCAACAGAAACAAAACGGGAGATTCCTCTAAAAGATAAAAAGAAATTTATATTCGAAATTCAGTATTGAAAAACCGTCTGGGGATATCCGTTGGGATGATATCCGGTACCACTGTGATGCTCGGGACTATCTCTTCATTCGGCCTCGAAGTTCTGATCTCATCCGTATCAAACGATATTTTTTTCGTGTTTTCATCTTCTTAAAGACAATGTTATTTGGAAGACGTCCGTTCTATTTGTTAATTTTTACCTGTATTTCTGGATATTATAATTTCTGTCGGTTTTGAGTTTTTCCTCTCTGGAATACTCCAACAGTCTCCGTGAATACAGACTAGATTCTCCGGACACTGTTCATTCTTATCACAAACACCTCAAATGCCTATTCTGTTGACAAAGTCTGTGAGTTTGCGTGCATTGATTCGATAATAATATATTTCATGCGAGTCATTCAATAAAACAATACTTTCACCGGAGAAAAGAACAACCAAGAAGGTACCATGCATAGATGTTCATTCGTCACAATGTACAACAGAATACGTGCGTAGATATCCGTCACCACAGCCGCAATCTACCTGGCCACTCGAGTCGTTCCGACCTTCTCGGTTTTGAGTTTCTCTTATTCCGTCTTAATTCTTGCAGATTCTGAAGATTACTCTCAAGTTATTTATGCCGTTGCAGTTTCAGGAGTCTTACATTTGCGTTCTCTTCCAAATCATTACTCTCTGTTTCTGGAGGTCCGTATTCAGTGCTCTTTTTGACAAATGGATCCACTTCACACACTCCAGACTTTCTCATATTCTGTTGATATCCAGGCTGACAATTGCATTTACCCAGGTCGCAATATTGGTTTTTCTCGTAACAATCTTTGTCGGTGTCGCAATCTGAAATCAAACATTAGAGAAACGTTTATGCTTTTTTGATACCTGCTGCAATCCACAAACATTGACAATCTTGGCAGCCTTTCTCGTTGATAGTCACAAAACAGTTTTTCCCGCACATTGGAGGTGACGGGCACGAAATTTTTGAAGCTGAAACAAAGAACTTCGATGCTTTTCAGGCAATTCAACGCTTACTAGTTTCATTCGCATCATTATCTCCAATATCCAAAACTGTCTTCACATTTGATACTTCCACAGCATTTTCCTCATCGACTTTGTTGTCATCATCATCCTCAGAGGCTTGGAGAACTGCAGCAGCTTGGTTTTTTTGATAGACCGTGTCGGAAATCGTTTCCACTTCAGCGTCACTTGTGTTCTGATCATACAAAATGCTTGAGTTGGATGATGCCTCCACAAATGAATCCTCCATTGACGAGTTATTGGCAGAAGAGAAATAATCGATCGTAGTTCCGGCGGAAGTAGAAGAAGTCGTCAAAACTTCCGCTGATTTTTCAGAGTTCTCTTCAATTGCAGCTCCCGAGCCTTCATATGAAAGTTCTGAAAAGACTGATTTCAGAATGAAGCGTCAACATGAATTCCTTACTTTTTGTGTTCTCCTCAACAGCGGCATTGGAGAATAGATTCGACCCAATTGCTGGCGGACCGTTCGCATTGAACATACTTTTCATTTTCAGCCTTTTCTTCAACGTCTCCGCTTGATCGGCATCTGAAACAGCAACAGATAAAACTAAACATTCTTATTCGAAAAAAATACAGCTCAGAGCAAGTTCATCTTTTTCTTCGGCGGAACTAGAATTTGCTTCGTCCAGAAATGTCGGAAAGTTCTGAACAAAAAACCGTTCGATGTCGCTTAGTTTTTTAGCCTTTCAACTCACATCTGTGCTGAATGGAAACTCTTCTTCGCTCAAAAGTTGGGGAGCGGAAATGACAGTAGAGAATAAGGTAAGAAGGATCAGGAATCGCATGTCTGAAAGTGAGTGTGGAAGAAGTGCGAAATGGAAATCGGCGGAGACACTCGTGGCGGTTAGGGGAAGCCAGTTCTGAACTACTTGAACGTTTTTTCGCTTGCTTACACAAAAACGACATTTATTCATCAGAAATCTCGTCCTTGTTAACGTCACTGAAGAGCTTATCAAGTGGGTGACTGTGTTTCAGATGAAGTGTGCGGTAACAGTTGGCAATAAGCAGTCGAGGTTCGAGTGAGAATGAGAGAACAAGTGGGCGACGCGGTTTTCGAAACCCGAAGAAAATTGGAGGAAACGACGATGGAGAGGATCGGTAGTGAAGCTCATTAAACGCGATGGGTCAGCCGGGCGGCGGTATGAGTTTCTTCGTATTCATCCAGGTTCCGCGCGCTCACTTTCACTCCCAACCCGGCCCGTTTCCAACAATTGAAACCGCATAGAAACCAGAATAAACTGCGTAATACTTGTGTGGCATGACGACCCGCACCGGTTAGATGCTTTTTGACCAGCGAACGAGAGCGACGGAAATCCAATTCGAACAACGCTTTTCACGCTCAATTATAATCTTTGTTTTATTGGTTCCAGTCAGAAGGTTCCACATACCAGAGTACATTCACCACTTGCGCTAGACACGGAAGAAGGTCGAAGTAAAAAACTAGATTTATCTCGAATTCACATTACATTAGAAGTTTATTGATTCATACTCATAGACGTTTCTCTCACAGATCAAATTAGTATCCTCTTGGTGGGTATCCTTGGTATGGACCATTTGGTGGCGGTGGTGGGTAGGCTCCCGGGGTCGATCCTTGTCCAAGCTGATACGGCTGTGGTGGGTATCCTGGGGCGCTTGGGTACGGCTGGTTGGATGGATAAACATTGGCTCCCGGGTACGGCTGCTGTGGGACCGGCTGTGGAAGTGGCGGTGGAATTTGCTGCCCGTACGGTCCGGTGGTGTATCCTCGATTTGGGAGTGGTGGGGCCTGTTGCACATACCCTGGGGTCACTCCTCTTCCGATTCCGACTCCAACTGGTGGTGGTGGAGCGTATGCAAGTCCAACTCCAGCTCCGATTGGAACTCCTGGTGGTGGGGGTCCGTAGTTGTGAGGCATTGGGGCAGCGCCGAATCCGATAGGAGCGCGGTAAGAACCGTCGGAAGAACTGGAGGACGAGGAAGAACTGCTGCACGAGCGACCGTACATCTGAAAAGTAAACGGAGAGTCAAGGACTTAAAAGGAAGAAAAAACGATCGATAGTGACACAAAGTGGGCGAAACGCCCTGTGAGTGAAAGGTTTTCAATACGATACGCTTATCAGTTTGCGATTCAGCCAGAAGTTTCTTTCTCGTTTCACGTTTTTCGGTCGCAACGAGCAAACAATGACGTATCGACAAGTGAGGAAGGGAGGGCGTTTCATAGTTTATTTTGAAATCTTCGTCGAACAGCCAACTGAATCATCAGAGGGATGTGAATGATACGTTGACTCACCACATCAAATGCACGGCGAAGGGAACATGAGAACCAGAGGAAAAGAGGACAATCGGATTCAGTTTTTTCTAGAAGATTCATGCTAGTGGCGAACTCCAGCGAAATCATGAGAACCAGGCTGAATCTGTATAGGTTTCTGAGAAATCGAGCGTGTCTCTAACTCGGTTGCAAGAGATATTGTAAGCAATTGGATAGCAGAGAAACCATGTGCTCATTGTAATGACTTTCATTATCTTTTTGATTAATTCCAAATCAGTGCAAGCTGCGTGTATCGGTTTTTGACAGCTCTAGTTTGCATTTTTCAAGCTGAGTCCAACTTTCGAACACAGCCTTCTCACCCTCTCTCTTTTGCGTATCAGCCACACACTCCGCAGAAGAGAAAGAGGAAGGAAAAGTCTGGCGAGTGCCTGCGTCCTCACCAGCCTCCACTTCCCGGGAGAATGTGGCCGAATGGTCTAGTGGTATGATTCTCGCTTTGGGTGCGAGAGGTCCCGGGTTCAATCCCCGGTTCGGCCCATCTTTTTTAAATTTCATTCATCCACGTCACATAAAATCCTAACAGAATTCTTGCAAGAAATCGCAGATATTGGAGCGAGTATGCAGAATGCAATCGTCTGTGTGATGCTTACGTAGTGTGTCCATTCCGAGTGAACCGCCCGGCGGAGGAGGAAGACAACAAACGAGTGGTTTACTTTTCGCGGCGACCGCCCGGACTCACGCTCGCATTGGAAAGATGCGTGCGTATCTACGGAGTAGCGTTCTTCGGTTTGCGTGGCCGGATGGTCTAGTGGTATGATTCTCGCTTAGGGTGCGAGAGGTCCCGGGATCGATCCCCGGTCCGGCCCACCTAGTTTTTCCGTTTTAAAATATCTTTTGCTCTAAATATTCTTACCGGAACAAGTTTGTGGTACATTTTTCAGTGAACTCGGGGTATTTTTTCTTAGACCTAATCGAAAACGTCTTTCATCAAAGTTTCAATAATTTATGAAAAGGGCAATAATATACACAAAAAACCGGAAAAGAGACACAAGGAGGAGTAATAAAGTCTATCTGATTGATATTATCTTTCTATGACATCAAAAGCATCAAGAGGTGCGTTTCTTTTGATTTCCAACGATCGCACTGAACCCGTGAACAAAACAATTCCTACAAATCTACTGCTGAATAACCCATATCAAAATGAGAGAGAATTTAAAAAAAGAGAGATTTGAAATGGGTCTAAGCGTAATCTGTGAGTTTTGCTTTATTCTCCGAGACTTTGACAGGGCACTTATTGCAGCATCGGCAGGCAGCAAAGCAAAATACGGCGAGCACCAGGAATGCAAACGAAATGCCCAAGGCAATGAGTGGCATTTTGATGGAAGCGTTTATCAGTTGTTCCTGTAGCACAGCTATTCTCGTCTCAGCAAACGCTTCACGACCTGAAATACAATCGTTTGGTTCACAGATAGATAACTTATTGCCATTGCGCAAGTTAATTGAGATTTAAGACCTGACCATAGGTCAACAAATATTGAGAAAAACGAAGAGAAAGGTCCCTCGACTTACCCATTGCGTCATAGTTCGTGATGCGGAGCATAAACTCGCAATGGATGTTACTTGGAAGTGACATCTCGTAGCTGGTAGATGGGGCCGCCAGATACACAGTTGTTGGGTCTTTGTTGCACGGTCCGAGGTAGGCTTGGTACGTGACAGCATAAGTCAGAATGTTCTCCGGCTCGGCGGATGCCGTCCACGTGATCATCGCCGTCGAGTTAGCTTGAATAGCAACACGAATGTTTGAAACTGGTTCCGGAGCTAAAATTGTAAAGTAACAGTGTGAAAGCACGAGAGGATCACTCGTACCGCAATGAAGACTTCCTTTTCCGTAAACTTGTTTGCATTGGAATGAGTTAAACCTCACTGAGATTGGCGGTGTTGCAGTTTTCTGATCCGACGAGAGAGCAGAAAGAGTGACTGCGTAAGAAGAGTCAAACTCCAAATGGGAGAGAAGAATTGAGAAGGTCGGATCGACACGAATATCCGTCACAACAGCATTCGTCGCATTTTTGACTTGCACTCGGAAATGGCAACTGTCATAGGCCGTTCTGCAATGGGATTAATTGACCATTGGATTGGAAAGGGGATCATTTGAGAACGGTCAGCGGATAATGCTCATAAAGGATTGCCGACCACATGCTTCACTTCATTGCGGCTAATTAGACACTATTATTACAATTGCGGACGGTCTTAGAAAAAACAACGCTTACCTTGGAAAATGGAGATGGGCAACGACGCCTTGCTCCGAATTGAAACCGTTTTTGACAATCAGCGGAGCACCGGGAGCCTTTACAGCAAGATTATTGGCGATTTCGGTCCACTCGCTTTGAATGGTATCTCCGAGTTTGCCAGCTGGTCCGACAACAGTAACCAGAAACTTGTACTGGACACCGGGGATCATTCCGTCCGCCTTGATCATGCTGTCAGACTCGACCTGAAAACACAAATTTCTGAATGTGCCTGAAAATCAAGTCACAAACCGATGCAGTAATCCATTGACTCTCGTCGTAGTATCCCAATGCATAAGTTCTTTGTTTCCACTGGACGACATATTGTACAGGACCAGATGGACGAACTTTCGACAGACCGAGAAGTCCCTGTAATTGGAAAACCATTAGTTCGATGACACGTCTTGAGTCACAACATAAACAATGGCAGTTATCCACCACCCCATGAGCCCTTTTCTCACCTCGAACGAATCGTCCAAATCGGGTGTCGCTGACGGCATCTGGCACAACAGCTCAACAGATGAGATCGGAGATGAGCCGACTTTGCCTAAACACTGTTCATATTTATAATTCCTTTCAAATGGACTGATACCTGAGTGAGCACTTGATTCGAGCCAGAATTTGGCTCCTTGAAGAGTTTCACCGGTCAAATTGCTTCGTTTCATGTCACGTCGATGCTGGAATTGAATGCAGCCGTTCTCGCATTTTGTGTACTCTTCAGTGTCCACAAAGAAGTATTCATCGATTGTGCCGTCGAGAAGGTCACGAGTCTTAGGATATCCATACTGAAATGTCAGAATAATTTCACATTTGAGTAATTAGGAGACAGTACCTTTTCTGAGCATTTAGCCTTGCAATGAGCTACTCGGATGAGATGAGCATAGTCGATTTGGATGTACGGGAGGACAACAAAGGAGAGGGTCAAGTTGGTGGCACTCAACAGTATGAGAAAACTGTGCAGCCACATGCTGGGAGTGGTGGGAACCCTGCAAACTTTTGTGATGAGTGGTGTGCACCGGAGCATGAAAAGGGAGAAGAAAAGAAGAGAATACGGAAGAACTCGTGCACACGAATTTCTAGCTAAGGTAATAATAATTAGTATATCCTTTGTGTGCGAATGATGAAGAGCTCTTGAACGTCTTTGTGCCCATCTCTCCCCCCAGTCATTGACGATTTGGCATCGAAAATGAAGAGAAAAGACAGCAGTTTTGGCGTCCCACACGCCAGTCGCTAAATTTCCGGAGGCAGTTCGAGAAAGATTGGGAATAAGGGAATGGGGGAACAAACACTTGAGGAGAGACAATCCGTTAACCTCCAAAAAAAGAGCAGTCTTGAGGAAACAATAGGGCATGCAAATGCCGTTAATAGTGGCCCGAGAGTCGACCATTTAGAATACAATACGCGAGAAGGTCAGATTTATGTATTTTGTACGGGAACCGGCGACTGCACCAGTGCCCAACAGACGTTAGGAAGGGGTGCTGACGCGAGAGAACGGATTACACAACTGGCAGGATTTATTGGCCAATTGCTTATTGCTAAGGTGTTCTTTCGGGAGAGATCGAGGCCACCGGCTCTTGAAAAGACAGTTGGCGTCCTGCTCGCATATATTATCGAAGAAGAGAAATAGCAGCAAAAAAAAGTTGTGTGCGACGGATGATGAGCAGAGGATGAAGAGCCACGTGAAGGGGAAGCCATAATTCGAATTATCTTCTCGGATTTTCAGTTGGTCCCAGCACTTTGGATGATGAAGGAGAAACAAAAAGGTGGAATGGATATATCCGAAAAAGCACTTGAAAATTATATGGTTCAATACGCCGCTCCGTGGGTGAAATTTGAATAAAAGACAAAACAAACATAGCTAAGCTTGTTTGTTGCAAAAACTTTGAATAGAGATGGGAGATGCGGAGAGAAATTGCAACATTGTAAAAAAACGATAAAGTTTAGGAGAGAATCGTGAAAAACATGAAGAAGAGCCGGCGACCAGCTCGTTATTTTCTGTTAACTAGACCAATTCCGAAAGATACTCTCTCTCTCTCTCTTTCACTCTCGGAAAACGAATGAATTCGTTCAGGAAAGAGAGAGGAGAATGTAGGCGCGGGCGGCCAAACTGATAGTGAAAAATACGAACGAACGCTCGATTTGTATTAGTATTATTTACAAAATATGAATAAACGTTCGTTATAAGCGAATGGGTGGGAAAGAAAGATAAGGAGTAGAAGAAGGTGCCTTCCTCCACCAGCACGGGACCGAGTGTACACCACAAGGGGGCGGAGTCTCCCGACCGCAAGGTGATAGAGAGCGACGGGCAAATGGACAATTGGGAACATCAGCCAACTGGAGGAGAGACTGAACCGGCGAAACCGTGCGGTGCCCCCGAGGGTTAATCCCATTTTATTACAGGTTATTGAAAAGAAAAACGCATCAAATCGGCGGTGCGATTGGATTGTATTGTTCAGGAAAAAACCTGTTGCTCCGATGGAAATTTATGGAGTTTGCGCAACATTCTCGAGTAACACAAAAAAACGCCGGAAGGCTGGTCATTCCTTATTCTGCGATTGCATGATTACTTGAAGCAGGCTCGCAAAAACAATAAGTGGATGAAATATTCTAGGAATATTCCTTCTTCTCTTTCCTCTCGCTTCACATCTCCGTCTTTTCTGACCTTCCCGCGAACGGACGCAAAAAAAGTGTTCGGTTACCAGTTAGTTCCCAATCGGCACAAGAGCGCGGAGAAAGCACCTGTTGCCGAATGCTCGTTGGCGGCATAATCGAGCGGGGAAAAGGAAAAAGGGACCGAGAGCTCTATACGATTAATCAGCAGGATGTAAACCCCGCGCACAGTGCTTAGTATTCCTTCTCCAAGACAACAACAATCTCATTACAATATTCGAAACAAGCTGACAGCCGCTTTTGAGCCGAGAATAAGAGACACGGACCTCATCAATTAACGAATACCTGCGGCTGTCATAAACAACATATGTAGGCAGGAAATGTGATGAATTATTCCGATGTGCTATCCGTCTTAATTTTGTGCGTTGAGATTGAAACACACGACAACTGTTGTCGCGAATCTCATTTTCTCACAGTCAAAATCTCGATTGGGGTTAAGAGGATCGTTCGGAACAAGGATTAGGTGATGTACGATGACGCAGGCCTGCTACAGTTACATTGAAATGACTGCTTGGACACCTGGCACTTGGCGGTCGCACAGAAAACAAGAAATAAGTCATGAATGCTTCCGTCTATGACTGAATGCTATCAGAACCAACTGAACAAACTTCAGCCTTATAAAACCAACGAATACAAGTGAAGCGAACGCAAATCGACCTTTCAGGTGTCCAATGGCCGCGGTGCTCGGGTGCATCCTCTGCCTAAATGCACCAATTACGATGAGTGCCCCGGAATCCAAACATTGGCAGAGGTGTTAGTAGGCAAACAATGCCCTGAATAATTAGAGACTGCGGTTTTGCGCAATCGGATCTCATCGCATGCTGACTTTTGAGGTTGAAAGCACAGTACTGCCATTGTGACATCAGAAATGGGTGTCAAAGGTGTCGGATATGCGATCCGAGCAGAAGCACGCAACATTTGGCAATCACTAACAAAAGAATATGCAAATTTTTGTTGACTTGACTTGGCTTTTCTTGATTTTATGGGGTATAAGAGGATAGAGATGACCATACAGAGGGTATTAACGGTTTTACGGCGGAATCTGGTTTTCATGCCCTCGCAGACAACCTCGGAAAAGTTTGCACAATAGTGTTAACTTCCTCCATGAAGTCAGATCCGTTCACACTAATGTGTAAGACTCACCTACACTGCGGATATTGTCACTTCCGTGTTTGATTAGCACCTCGCACAAAGGATCGAGAACACAATACCTGAGATATTCAACACCTGAAAGAACACACTATCGGGAGCAAAATGAGCAGAAAGCGAGGAGATTGTAAAGTAGGCCGGATTTGAAAGATGATCCATAAGAATGTTTATTCCATCTTGGATTAAGCCGTCAACCGGCTGCCGATGGAACAAAAACGCGCGGTCTGGCACGTTAGTATCGCATTTTCGAGTCCACACTTTAAACTTTTTTGTCTCCGATCAGAAGGCAAGATTCGGATGAAATGGGGAGGCAGTTTGAATTATGATTGTGAATTGGGAACAAGTGCCACTGGTGTGTAGGCAGCTAGTGTAAGCAAAAGGGTCAGAAGGGAGCAGGCGAGAGAAAAGAGCGAGATAATGAGTGATCTAACTTGATTGGTTGATGGGGTTCGAAAGGTTCCGATTGGTGAAAAAACACCGATTATCGGGAATCAGTGTCAGGCTGTGATCGTGTCGGGAACTTTGAGGGGGAGAGGGGAGGGCAACGGACTGCTCGACGAGTCTCCCACAAACCACAGAGGAGGGCAATAAATCAAAGGTAGTTTGAATGTCAATGAACAAACCAGATTTTGGCCACGGTTGCAGTCCGCATTCGAAAAACTGAAGAGATATGTATGCAAATTGACCAAAAACGGAGGAGGTGTTCTTCCTTGGACAAATAACCGGTTAGACAATGTGATTGAGCAGGTAAATGGGGCATCCTCCACGAATCCCCCGTTTTGACACTTGACACGTGTAAACGCCAATGAGGCGGACAGTAGACGAACTGACGCTTTGGAAGGTTGAAGAAATGATGGAAGGAACGAGAAAAGAGTTATGTTTACTACTAGCTTTGCAAATTCAATTTCGAAATCGGTGTCGGGATAGGTTTAATGAGCTGAAGACCGGCAGGATATGTCGTTTGTGCGCACATATGTTTTCGCCAACAACAAAATGTGTGAATTGATATGTTAGGAAGGAAGGCAAAAATGTCACTCACACGCATTATGTCGTCGAGAAAAATAGAACAATACAATTTCAGGGTGAGTAAGGTTTTGAAAGAAGATTGGCTAAGATTAACAGTAAAAACAAAAACACTACAAAGCTTTTGATTTACCGCCGATGTAATGTACGAGCAGATGTGAGTAATGCAAATTGACTTAAATCTTGAGGTAGCACCATCTGGATCATGATGCTAATATATATGTGCTACTGATTTGAAAAAAGGATGTTGTACATTGTACTAGTAATGTGGAAAGAAGTAGAGTAGAGAGATAGAACAACGAAGGTGAATAAGCTTCATTACAATTCTGAACTTCAGAAAGGAAGGAAGTGTGAGGAAGAGAAGGAGAGAGAGTTGACGCATATTCTCATTTCCATAATAAGGATTCGTAATAACGACTCGAAAGATCCATCTACCAGATAGAACTGTGATTGTCATTAACAGGAATAATGGAACGCTGTTCCGATAAGAATCGGACCTGTCACCACGCGCGCTTGGCACCTCTCAAATGTCACAATGTTTCCGGCCGGAATGTGTGAGCGATGTGACCGATTGGTGAGCAACACATGCTCGAGAACCACACTTATCAAAAAGTTTCCAGTTGCACATGTGTGTGTGTGTGTGTGTGTGTTTGTGTGCACTTGAAATTTTTCATAAATGGAAGGAGAAAATGATGGAGGAGGGAGTGAAAGGGCGCCAAAATAGAGAAAAAACGACTCTCGAAAAAGTATATGGGAAAAGTTTGAAAATTATACGTTTGGCTGACGGGAGTACATTTATTCATGATGACCTGTCAAAGAATAGCACTCGGAAAAAGTTTGATATGCATTTTCGATAGTTTTTGAGAGAAATATAACGGAATTCTGGGAAGTGGAAGAGTCAAATCTCGATGAATGCTCGCTGATCCAGAAGTTATTCATAATTTCTATAGAATTTCTGAAAACTTTGAGAATGGAAAATTTGGAATTTGAAATGAATTGAATTGAACAAAGAGAAAAGATGTAGGGAAAAAAACTCAACAAACATGCACGCAAGGTCCACAAGGACATCATTAGGGAGTTACGATTTGCCTGTTCAAGGATGTTTGAATGAGACCCGAAAAAAAC